AGGTCACACTGGGGCCTCTTTGTCAATTACGGCTCTGCACGTAAATTTTCCGATCCTTGGGATTCGGTTTCCTGGGACTCCGCTTGCCAGCCAATGGGACGACCACCTACCATTGGACGACAACGAAGCGCACCATTCAGCAGACTGACTGCTGCTTCGCGGCGAAGTATGGAATGGCACTTTTTGAAAGTGTGTTCTCATGTGACAAGCTGGCTGACGAGAGGATTCCGCAGCGTTTCGTATGATCCAATCCTTATAAGATCCCGCCTGTACGACATTGCAATCCTGCCGGATCTTACTCATCGATAAGATCTGTTCATCGCCTGCACGCACGTGTAAAGTGAGCGTTTGTGTCCCTGCTTTAGTGCGCGTCATTCCCCCATGCCCTCTCCTGGCTGTCTACTGTGACTTTGGCTGCGGTAGTCCAGCCCCGCGAACCGACGACGGCCCCTGTTCACTGTTCCGGATCTGGAACGGTCTCGCTACCAACTCTCAATCCCTCGAAAATTGCTCAGGGCACTATGCGAACCCTTTGAGCCTTGTCCCTGGTCTGGTTAAGGACGAGGATACCAATAACGTTGTTTCTAGAATCTGTCGACTATTGAAACAAGCGAAACTTTCTTTCCTTGCTACGTAGTTGCGATCGCGTGTTCTTGAATTTTCCACAGAGCCCAACCTGAAAAGCTGAGATGGTACAGAAAGCAATAAAATCCTTCGAAGGATTATCCATCCGACTGCTACCCACAGACGTTTTTCTAGTTGAGATCTGCTCAAGGAACATACCAGGCTGTTCTCATCCGGTTGCGCACTGACAACGCCCAATCAAGGTCCGGCCTAGCTCCGAAGGAACCTGATGCTAGCCGGCGGGAGGGCATGATTTCGGGTTTATGCAGACCCGTTCGATGCCCCCAAGAAGATTTGCCAACTGCTCTTCCGGGGTTCTGAGGCAGTCCAAGATCTCTAGGCAAGCCCATGAAATCGAGAGGAGAATCCCGACGAGCTTCTGCTGATAGGTAGGCGAGCATCCTGTTACCCCTTCGCATTATGACCTGGCTCCCGTGCATCTCGGGTCGCTGGTTTAAGGGGCGCGGCAAGATGACATATCCATGATGGATCGGTGTCACCACGCCATAGACTACGACATAATACACTGACCGGCGTACCTTTGAGCCCCATTTGTCACTCGAGTGCTCATATCATAACCATGTTGGCTCCACAACGATGTGCTACAGATTGCCCTGCCTACGAACCCTTCTCGTGCTGGAAGTTCCGAATCTGGTCCCAACGTTTCATCGATCTGGCTGCGTGGCATCCTGGAGCAACTTGAAACAGATAGCACAACCACAACCTCATATCGCACTATCGAACCTTCAGGGCTCCCTTGCCGACCGTAGCCACGGCCGTGGACACAGAACCAGAGTTCAGCGTTGCCGAGTCTTGGCTCTCTACTCTACCGCTCCGCTTGGCTCCCAGCTAGTAACGCGATGGGCAGGGTGGCCTGTACGACTCCCCCACCCGTCCGGTCGTGAAATGCCAAACCCGGTAACGCGCCTTAGAAACGTGCTTCGTCCACAGTAACCCTCTGCTACACGACCAATGCAAGTGCAAGGTGCAGCGAGCGTCGAGATTTGCTCAATCCTACCGACATCCTGGCGAGCATCTACCAAGAATGACACCAGCAAGCCAGAAGGTAGACTGGAATCTCTTGGTCACACACCACCCCGTGACCTGCTCGGCTGGTTTTAGTCGGCCAGCTTCGCCTACCAAAAATCCTTGTAGGATGCCCATCCGGTTTCGTGTGAGTGACTTCGTGGAGGAGCCCCCTTGGTCTACAATCGCACAATACTATTGCAGCCCACGATGCCCACATTCTCTGCGACTGATCCAGGTACCAGCGCTTGTTTCTAGCTGCGTGATGAGATGGTAGTGCAGTCTGGAAAGTTGGCATTCGCATATGCAACTTGAAACTCGGTTAGGTACAGTCCACGAGGATACGGAAGGTCCAGAGTACAGACATCCGGACTAACAAATACTCACTTATACACCTTTCAACTCTTCCTAGGTGCTTTACACCGCCGCGGCAGTCCAAGGGCAGGGACGTCCGACGGTTGTGGCGGCAAACGTGGTAATAGATCCGATGTAACCGCATTCCCACACTTGACTGCCGGCGCCGTTGGATGCAAGTTGCCAGTCTTCGTTTATGCTTATGATGGCTCCCTCACACACCGTTGACGATGGTGCGTCTCCCCTGTCATGATCTGTACAGTAACTCCACACACACCTCAAGTAGATCGGCCATGTGCCTGAGCACCTTCCTACATACGTGCAAACACGGACCATGTCTGCTCAGTCTGTCGTAGTATTGGTTCGACAGTCAACCATGGCAGATGCAGACATGCACATGGACAGCCGAAGGTGCAAATACCGGTGCCTTGTCTAGTGGCTACGTGTAGGTAACTGCTGGCAAGATGAGGCAGGCCGTCGAGCCATGCAGTGCCACGCCGTGGTGTCTGCGTCATTCCAATCTACCCAAGTCTGTCCCACGTGAATCTGGCCATATATTGGGAAGTTGGAGTGGGCCGGATCGGGCACTTGTTCGCCCTACTCAGACTTGGCGGCCAGCGTATAGGCCTGGAGGTATGTTCGGTTTGAGACGTCGTTTCCGGCAGTGTAAGTACGAGCCTGAATTGACTGTTTCGGTTTGACAGATCATACAAGATGGTTTCTTTGCCTTAAACCCAGAAAATGGGTTTTTATAACAAAAGGAACTTGAGTATTGCTCATTTATTATAAAAATATATATACTTCAAAATATATCATTTTAGTACAAAATTGCAACCGACATGCCACAAGAGCCTGGACTGCTCTTGCCTCATTCACATCACATATTATATAGATGCACTGTACAATATTCCCACTACCAGCTTAGATTGGAGTCCAACGTCCAGGTGTAGCAGTTGTTCTCCGGGACACCTGCCTGCTTACCACTGTCCTTGCGGCAGTTGCAGGATCTCGATGTCGCCATGACAGCCATGTACTTGGCACTGATCGTCACGAGATTCTGGATACGGATGTTGGCAAGATTGTTCTCGAGGAACATGAGCACCTTTTGACAAAGATGGTCGTCGATGTATCTCTACGCCCACGTCGAGAACCAACACATGATCAAACAGTTAGCAAATCACAATAGCTACACAGCGTGGACGGACAGGTGCGGAAAGCAGCTGTGCAGGCGACACAGCCTTTGTCCAGGTCATAATCCTTACATACCGAGTAGGTGCCAGCGCTGGAGACGAAAATGTTCTAAGAATCTCTCATGATCACCGCCCATGATTCGTCGCGGCTGTTGGACTCGTCTCCGACAACACAACGACCTTTTGAATATTTAAAATACCATCGCGCATACTTATAACTTATAAATAATCATAATTGGAATAACATCGAAGGCCATATATTATCTGACTTAAGAACATTGCAATTACTATTAACGTAATCGTAACCGTCAACTTCAAATCCTGCTTGCCTATCGGTTTAGACCATCTTGGTACCCATTTACTTTACTATGAATATGACAGGTAATTAAGCACACTGAGGCTTATACTTTGTTATCTATAGCTCGTCGTGTTATGGTACACCGTTTGAGTTCACCCTGAGAACCTGTATTTGATAGCTCTACAAGTAAGTCTATATACATGGGCAAGGATTAGTTGTGTGCGAGTCTGTTCGTCTTATGACTGACAGTACGCTCTCGGTTTCTTGTATATTCACGAGTCAGATTGGATCGGTTCTGCTCTCTCTCCCGCCTTTACAGCCCGTTGTGGACATCAACCAATACTTGAGTTGGATAGTCTGTCTTTCAGGTCATCTAAGTGGCTTTCAACCTCCGTAAGTTCGTCTCGTAAACCAAAGTTTACACGCACAACCATTCAGTTGAATCCGCACATAATGAGGAGGTTGCGATCGGAGGCAATAACATCGCATAGTCCCTGGCACCCCGTCATATTTCCACTGCTTCCGAGATAAACCTCTTAAGGGCTTCAGCATTTGACCCTGGGCTGTTCCCGCGTATTGCTTTCCTCCGAGGCTGGGTGAATTAGAGCGCCTCCCTGCTTCCAGGCCTGTGCCTTTGAGATTTCGATCCCAGACACTACATTGAGCCCCAGGTGGCTGATCTTTTGCTTGCTTGCTTTTAGTCTCATGTTGCTGTATGGAGTAGTTGAAGTTAATTAAATGACAATGCTGTATTCGGTATGGGCGTAAATCTCGAGGACTTGATATATCATCACCCTAATCGGCCAGCCAGCAATGAAGGGAGGGATGTCAAACTGTAAATCCTGCAGACTGCGCTGGCGAAGACACTTCTTGGTTCACACTACCGCGCCTCGTCCTCAAAGAGAATCAATTACTGTGTTGGGTCACTTCTATACTCAACAGACAGTGCACCAACCTAGTCTAGGCGAGTCGGTACAATCCAATTCGAGGAGATGCAGCGCTTCTTTGGATGCAACAAACCGTCTCTGGTGGATCTAGTAGCACTCATTCAAGAATCAAAGTCCGACTCCGTCTTCCTCCCTCTAGAACTATTCGACAATGATGAATGAGCCACAGGCGAACTGCTCGTCTTGGTCATGAGGCCCTCGTCAGCGATATCCTGTGGATGTGGCGCGACGAGAAATGAACGCACCGAATTCATGTCTCAGATCATAGGCAGTAGCAGTAATGAGAGGGATCGGGGTTGGTAGAGATAGTAGAACTCGGAAAGAGGAACACGGCAGCACAAAGCTGCCCACGCAAGCGTTGAGATTTGGTACACATTCATAGCCCTGATCATGATGCATCGTGATATTGTCTACCCAAGTCATAACGCCTAGCTGTGCAACCACTTTTGAACCGTAACAATGCTTGAACCAACCACCATCAAGACAGAAATCCATGGACTAGCTCCATGTACATTTCTATACTGAAGAAAAAGGAAAGAGGGGTGTTACCCAGTCCCCCATTTACCCATACTCTTCCTCTCCTCCCTGCCGCTCCACCCACTCGGCCTTCCCATTCCTGTAGCGGTACTCGACAAACGTCTGCGCCGACGTCTCGAACGGCATGGACAGCGGCGAAGCCGTCTGCTCCTGCTCCTGCTCCTCACCCAGCAGCGTCGGATTCCTCTCCTGGGTCGCCCGCAGGTACTGGCCGGTCCGCTGGACCACGACCTTGACCCACTGGAGAAGCGCCGAGGCGCAGGCGACGGTGGGGGCGCGCGAGGGCCCGCGGTCCTGGGCCACGGAGAGGACGCCGAGGTCCTCGAGCGCGGAGCGGCCGATGGGCACCAGGCGGCAGCGGCGCGTCGGGGCCGCGAAGGTGTCGGCCAGCCGGTGGTGGCCGGCGGACGAGGGCAGCACGATGGCCAGCGACTCGAGGCGCCGGAAGTAGGTCATCAGGGCCAGCGAGCGGGCGCCGTGGTCGAGGAACGCCGGGGCCTGCATGGCGACGTGGCGGGTCAGCGAGCCGCGCCGGCCGTCGTCGAACCAGATGGGATCCGCGTCGCGCCCCGGCAGGTACAGGATGTCGAGGTCCGGGCGGAACGGCCGCGTCGGCACCTCCATGCCCGCGACCTGCGAGTAGCGGAACATGGTGCGGCGCGCGGCGAAGTCCCGCCACTCGCGACAGACGTGCATGAGCACCGGGTACGCCGTGTGGATGACGAGACACTCCGCCTCGTCGTCCGGCCGCGGTCCCAGAGGGAGGATGGGCCGCAGACCGGCAGGGTAGGTGGCCATCTCCGGCACCTCATCGGGCAAGGCGTACAGCCATATGAGCTCCTTGAGCTCGTGGGGGAGGTCGTCGAAGGGGAAGCCAGGACGCTTCTTCCCCCGGCATTGGAAAAGCATTATTCTCTCGAGGATTGGGAACAGGGTCCAGTCCCCGAGTAGCAGGGAGGCATCGAGTTTCTATGAACGCCATCACTTGATGCGTACCCGGATTACTTAAGACCCATCTTGAGTCGGCTCAATCATTTGCCCGCAGGCGGAGGAACCAAAACGAGGCCCATTATACACCGGTCCCCATGTGAGGACGCATTGCGAGAACAAGAGAATGACCACAAGACTACCTCATGGACTGTATTTTGAAATATCGCCTATCGCGATGATACGGCGAGAGGATGCCGCCGGCCGCCTGGCCACGAGTTGTGAGGCCGGACCAAGATCGGCCCCTCGCACGCACACACACATGAAAACTCACACACAAGGGTTGCCAAAAAAAAACCAAAAAAACCGAGAGATGTGCGCAGTGTCTATCTAACAGCCAACCCAGTAATTCTTTTTGAGATGCAGGAGCCGCTAGCGAAAAAAGACTGCTTGATATCGTTCTAGGCACGCGTAAATGATCAGGACGTCTTGGAAGTGAAGGGTGGATGTCTGATGATAAGGAATGGTGCCATGAGATTTGGGGAGAAGAGAAGGGAAGGAAACCTCGAGCCCGCCCGCGACGAAAATTTAGAGGTCGTTCCATCTCGGGCGGCTGTGGCGCTAGCGCGCGGCGGTGAGACGCTGCAGTTGGGATTGACCGGACTGTATGGCCGAAATGTCCACGGGTATGGGGCGGCGCATTGTCACCTAAAAGTTACCTAAAGCGCTACGGATAACTTAGTGCTTAACTAGGTACCCATCGATCCGTGCTTTATGCAAGCAATTCCAGCCCTTGTGACAGTCTGCGCGAGTATGCGCAAGCCTGCCGGACTGCCAGTCCTGTGTGCTGGTCTGCTTACGTTCAGGGCGAGCACCCGCAACGGCTCACGGTCGATGATATCACAGCGGCGAGCGGATGTTCAGAAGTGTATACTGTGTCTGTGAGAGCGCATATATGTTCCGTTTACAAACTCCTAAGCCTGTCTATCTACTGTGCGTAATACACTCCTAGTGCCACCCGCTATCCGCCACACCCGTCGATACTTGGGACCAAGCATCAACCGTCCAGGCAATGTGATGTGATAAAACCCAATGAACAAATACATATATATAAGCGTCTCCCATCCATGATTACATCGCACTCCCTCCCAACTGTAAGCACCGTCATGTGGGCCTCCCCTCTCCACTGAAATGCATCGGATCTGTTCAAAGAAAGATCCGAACGAAGCTGATGCCGAAGAACGCCGTCCAGATGCTGCAAATAAAAGGCCCGTGGTCGCCTCCAGAACAGTGATGTCCAAACCAGGACCGACTGAACCAGATTCAAACGCGGCCGCCTTCCGCCAGGGGGGTATCTTAACCAGGTAAATGGGCCTCCCATCTCGCCAAAGTCAACCGTTCATCATGTCGCTCGTGTTGCCGTGAAACAGAAAACGCCCTCTTTCTAAAACGCCGGTGTTCATGTGCTACGTGGTATCATGCAGTCGTGGTAATACACGGACAAATCAGACCCGTATCTCTTTCAACTCGGAAATAGCTCGAGCCACCTCCTTGGTAGCCATCTTTTCGTAGTGGCGGCGTGTCTCATCGCTGAGAGTTTCTTCCGGCACCTCCTTGTAGAGTTTGCGGGATAGGTCGCGGTTGATGATGGTGTACTGGTCGGCATTGATGCTGCCTGATTTGTAATGCGGTTTGAGGGCTGCCTTGATGATGGCAGTGATGCTCTCCTTGGCCTTCAAGGAGAGAGATTCACGGGTGGGCGACGACTCGGGCGAGCGGACATCGTGCCCAATGTCTGTGTTGATGTGCACCGGGGTGTGTCGGCGAGGCTGAGGGTGTCGAATGCCGGAATGGCTCGTGGAGCCATTCTGGCGGCGGTGGCGTTGACGTTGCGCGGTGGACTCGGAGTCGCTTCCGCTCTGGTCGCTGCCGTTACGGGCACGGGTGGGAGAGAAACCTGCCGGCGAGAAATAGACCGGCTCAATGTGTGTAGATAATGCAAGAGGTGACCCAGGCCGGTCAGTTATGCCACGAGGGGGCGGCGTAGCAGAGAGGGCACGGGGACTGCTGGGCCCCGACGGCGAGGGCGACGTTGCGGGCGAGGAGGCATCGACGGTGGGCCGAGCGGTGGTGCCCAAGAGCACGCGTACGTTCTCATCATCGGACGGAGTGTTCGCTTCCACCTCCTTTAGCAACGAAGACAGGAACGAGGGTGCGCCAAGGCCGTTTGACGGGCCTCCTCCATTTTGCATTGCAGACGAGGGCTCTCCATTTTGCCGCGATGACGAGGGCTCGCCTGATTGAGGCATGCGGCGAGTGCGAGGTCGTTTCAGTCGCCGTTCCGGCTGCTGGGGTGGCTCTCTTGGGGATGCAGTGGCAGAGCGCGATTTCCGCTTGCGGGTATTAGGGGTGGTGTTGTTTGCACTGGCAGCGTTGTTGGTGCTGCTAGTGCTGCTGCTGCTGACCTCCATCGCCCGCTCGAGATCACCCCACGCCTGTTTCTCCTCAGCGGTCTCCGGAGGAGGTGGCGGCGGTTGCTGCGGCTGGGTGCGCTGGGGGAGACCTCGGGCGATGTTGGCGGCGAAAGACGCGCCAGCGCCCAGGCGATTTGCAATACTGAGCCGCTGCTGCCATCTCTGATATTCCTGACGTTCTCTTTCACGGCGCCGCTGGGCCCTTCGGTAGTTGTGAAGCGCTTCGTCGTCGTCGTGGTTGTCAAGGTCGAGATCGAGGATGTCGAACACATGGCTGGCAATCTGGCCCCAAGCACCCTGCCACTCGTCGGAGCGTGCTCGTCGACGTGCACGGCGCATGGTCGCCTGCGTGCGAGGCAGGTAGTCCGACCGGCCAGCAGCATTGCTGCGGTCTTCCCACTCTTCGAGCTCTTCCTCGAGGACGGCCCGGTACTGGGCGTTGCACTCCATGCACAGCCAGTGGCCGCGGGGTACGCATTCCAGGCCGACGCAGTATGTGTGATAGGGCGCGTCGCAGCCATCGCACAGGAGGGTGAGTTCTTCGTGCTCGGGATTCTGGCAGATGATGCAGGGTCTGGACGGTTCTGCCTCCTCGGGGTTTTCGTCCAACCAGGCTTGCGCATCGAACTCGGCAACCTGCTTCTTGTCTTGGACAGTATACGTCGAGAGCTTGGTCCCTCCGACTTTGTCGTATACGTTCACAGAGTTGAAGGATTGGCGGCAAATCGGGCAGCTGTTTGCCTTGCCCGTCCACTCGCGCAAGCATGCATCGTGGAGGACGTGACCGCAGACTTCTATTTCGGCGATGCTGCTGTCGTCGGCGTTGTTTGTGGGAGCTGGGTACGCTGCACCGCCGGCAGCTGATTGTGGACGTGGTGATACCGCGACGTTATCAGCTTCAGATAGCGCTGACTCGCTTGGCTGCAAGTCCAAGGTGGCCGCGCCAGGTGCAGCGGCGGGAGTGGGCTGCACGTCTAGATTCTCTAGACATACAATGCATTGATCAGCCATCAGGGCAGGACTTCATAGATTGCCGGCGTCGATGAGCTGACATGTAAGAGATCGTGAAGGCTCTTGTGGGTTTGGGGGCTCTGAATAATAGAGCTTGCTGCAGTGGATGCAACAAGGCGCAGTGCAGCAAAGACAAGCCAGACACAAAGTGGTTTTGTGGTGAATTGACCGACGCCGAGGGGTATCGAGGACCGAGGGGCACCACTGCACAACGGCGGTAATGAGTTGCAGCGCGTGGAGCCAGTCAGGCGTCCCTATGGGGCGGAAGCTTGGCGGCGGACTGAACGGTCGTTCAGCAGGGTGCCTGTCGACTGAAAAGTACGGTCAAGCGATGCACGCACACGCGGCGACCAATCAAGCAGCCGACGAAAATAAGACGGCTGAATGAAGACACCTGGAACGTGAGGTGGACGGGGTGTGTGAGTCTCTGGAGGACTTGCGTGCTTTTGGGTTTGGATGATTTGATGATTCAAAGAATCACCGGTACGGTGTGTATGTGTGTATGTGTGTATGTGTGTATGCGGCGTTGTATGGGGGTGCAGTGTGGCAGTAGTGCAGGGCAGATAGAGAGCGAGGGGAGAGAGAGAGAGAGATTGGGGGGCGGATTCTCTCAGTAGCGGGTGGTTGTGGATGAGGTTGGGAACAAGCTTCGAGATGAGATAGCTGTGCAGAAGAGTTGATAATGACCCAAAGGGCCAACGTTGTTAACTGCGACGGGGAGCTTTTGAAGAGGGGCGAACTTGGGAATGGTGGCCGGGTAGGGAATCAATCCACTTTGCAATTGATTGCAGTTGCAAGGAGGGAGGAACAGAGGGAGGAAAGGCGGCGAATTATCGCATGGGACAGGCCCAGGCCAAACTGCGGCAAAACTCAAAAAGAGGCCCAGAGGTTGGCGGTGTTTGCGCTGCGATGCGATGCGAGTGCCACCAGGAGATTTGATAACTCAGGGAAAACGAAACTATGTCTGTCGAAGAGTGTGCAGCCAGGCAGAGAGACTGGGGACGGACAGGCAGACAGGCAGCCAGACTGGAAGCCAGACAGGCCAGACAGGCCAGACAGACAGACCCGTCAGAGGAGGTGGAACTCCAGTTCTCTCAAGTTTGCAGTGGAGGTGATGAAGAACAGGGAAAGCTTTGGGAGAGGGGGCCCTTTCGGGGGGCCTTGGGGGCCTTGCTAGCAGGGGGTTTTTGTCGAGCTTAGCGCTGTCTGCACAGCACAAGACTCGCTGGCTAAGCGGACCCAATCAGCTGATGCCACCCACTAACAAGTCCGACGGGGTGCCAATCCTCGAGGTTTGGGCCAAGGCGCTGGCGAGCCGATGCTATAGCGGCTCTCAAACGTCGTCTGGCGATGGGGGGGCTGAACTCGACTGGGTTTTGGGATGTGGGCGTGGGCTGCTCGATCCGGTTGCCGGTACGAAGTGCTGCGGGACAAGAACTGATGGCAGTCGGAGGCCAGACACCCAGAGCCGGGATGGAGGTTACCGGACAAGAACTGTGATCCTGTGCAATAGCACCAGCAGGAGCAGCTTAGTTAGACTGACGTGCAGTCGAGTGTGGACGGGCCACCACAAGCCTAATAGTAAGAGTAAGGTGTGTGCCTGGGTCCTCCACTCGGGTACCTAGGTAGCACGTACCGACCAACCAGCCTGACCGGTGCCCAGCCGCTGACACAGCGTCACGTCTAACTTATGCCTGTTGCGGACCGCCAATGGACGCAAGGAGGGCAGCCAGTGACCAGAACGACATGCGGCGGCACCACACCACCACCGCGAACCCGCGTGGAGAGGCCACCTGCGCAGAAGTAGCGTCTCTGGTGACTATCGCCGTTGCGCGGTCAGGCCCCCTAGTTTTACAGGTACGTGTGACCGCTTGGAGGGTCGTGTTCCGTGACGTGGTTGATAGATTGAAGTGTGGAGCCCAGCGGGCCGGTAACAACAGGGTCGCCCAGATTAGGAATCTGCTCCAAGTTGCTGTGTCGAGGTAGCGAGCGTCTAGGGACAGAGCAGCAAACGGCTGCCGCGACGAGCTGCAATCAAATACGAGACATTCATCTGGCAGTTTCTTTGTTGTCCGAGGCCTGGGTCGAAATGTGCTGATTTCCGAGCATTCACTCTCGTCCTCGAAATGCGGAGATTCCGCTTTGCTTGGCCTTGGTTGGCGGGCTTACAGGCAGGGAGGACCGGGTTGGAGATCAGAGTTCAGAGGCATGTCATGGCTGACGGCCACTCGAGCGGAAAGACTTGCAGCACAGCCAGTCAACGCATGAAAGCTGCTGCGTGCCCGGCCTGGAACGGGAGAGACAAACAGCCCAGCAAGCCCAGCAGGCTGAGCTACCCAGGTGAAAGACCAACTGGTGGCCGAGCTCAAAGGCTCAGGCTTCCCCACGGGCCTTTGTGTGGATTGTCAGCCGGCGGCCGGTTCGTTGGAGAATTTGGAGAACGAAGGAATGGATGGCAAACTGCTGGATGCTGATTCGACGCTTCTCGACAAACTGAAACCCGGAACCAGTCGAGTCCTTATATAACTGCCACACCAAGGCTCCAGCCTGGCTTAAGGCTCAGGCTTACCTGGGTGCATATATCTCGGGATTTCTTCACCAGCTGGATGACTTCCCGGTCTGATAACTCTTGCGTCGGCAAAAACCATCCCGCCGACACGTTTGGTGCATGCACATTACTTCAGTTCAGCGGATGGTACTCGTAGGCAACCATGGCAGGTGACTCACTTGTACCTGAATTACGCATATCAACGTAGCCATCCAGATGATTCAAAGGGGTCAACACCTCCAGCTCTTCGAACGCGCGTGGAGTCATCAGTGGGTGGCGAGGGCACCCTCACTGCCGGTCGGTCAGCCTCGTTCTCATGGAGGCGCCATATCAGCACCCGAGAGCCACCCAGGCTGATCGAGGCGACCCAACAGATTGCGATGGTCTTCTCGCGTATCGTAGGGTGCTTGTCACCATCTGTCTCCATAGAGGGACCTCGCCCCACGAGAGTCACCCCATCGATGACTCGAATTGCTGTGCTCCTCCCCTCAGCCGTCCATTGTTCTCGAGCTCCCAGCCAGTGCAACGCTGTGCGGTTAGTATCTTCATGTCACGTAGAAACACATCGAAGCGCCGAGCGGCCATCCGAGTTGCTGGCGCTTCCCTGGAGAACAGCATCGATCGATCAGGAAGTCTTGTTCAGTCATGTCTTTGTCATTGCTGATCCATTGGATTCTCTCCTATGGACCAAGGCCGAGGACCGATCCGTACGTCGTCAACCTTGAGAATGGTATGCGTAAGAAATCCGATTTTCCCAGTACAACACCGAAGCCAAATGCAAAAACCATCCCTTCACCCGATGCGCGTCTAAACCTCCTGGATCTCCCTCAGACGGCGCAGCGTCGAGCGCATGGCAGCGGCGGCGGGGGTCCTGTTGAACCGAAGGTTAGTATCCTATGTCCACGCCGAGGACGAGTAGAAAAAAGCCCCATCGTGTTCCGTAGGGGGCGCGGGTTGCAACATACGAGACAGTGTAGGCGCCACCAGCAATGGTCTTGCGGCACGACTTGCAGTTCCAGATACCGGTAGAGTGGCGCTTGACGTTGACCTTTCCGCAGAAGGTGCAGGTGTACTTGGCGTGCTGGGTGATTTCCATCTTCTTGACCTGCTTACGGAGCGAGGCACCGTATCTGTGGGAGGAGCCATCTGTCAGTACTTGTTCCTCTCTCTCTCTCTCGCAGTGGAATGTTCTCGCTCTCGCGGTGTCTGTGGCGGGCGGTCGGGAGTCAATGTAGATAGGTGGGTGGTGGGAATATTTTGTATCGGGCTGGTCGGGTTGTCGTCGTGGTGATGCGCTGGATGGCAGGCGTTCAAGGCCGTTCTGTGGAAAATACACACCTGGTACCGTATTTACCGGTCACGCCGACCTTCTTGGTGCGCTTGGTCATCTTGTCTGAGTTGTCGGGGGTTACTCGTGAAGTTGTTGATGACGAGGTTGAACGTGGACGCTTCAGTGAAATTTCATGTAGGCGTGGGTGGATTTTTGACGGGCTCACTAAATTGCTTTGGTGTTTTTCCTAGGGTTGAGGTGGGTGAGTGGGATGGACGCGGATAAACGATGGGCCAGAGCTCCGACCCGCCCTTGGGATCGAGCCTCCCAAGCCCCTCAAGCCTCCTCGCCCGCGCGCCACACCCACACACTCGAGCCTCCAGGGCATTTGAGCACAATTTCCTGCACAGCCACAGGGGGGGTGGGCTACGCACCTATGCAGCTGCATGCCAAGCCCGGCCGGTCTGCGTGCAGAAACGAAAGCCTGGGTCGAGGACAGCGTTGCTCAACCTTCCGGTCGTCTCACTGCCCCAACTGGGGCACCCATGTGACGATCGCCGGGACTCTAGCCATTATCAGCACTGTCACCGTCCTCGCCAGGTAGCTTTGACTTTGGGAAATGTGTGAACTCCCATCGCATCTTCACGGGAATAGGGGACGCATTGTGGATGTGCTGCCGAGGCAGCCTCGGACTTGCTTCCAGACAGAGCAAGCCGCCCCCAGCTCGGGTGCCAGAGGCACGGAGATTCCATAACACCATTGAGACCTCGCCAGGATATCTCTGGCTTCCGGATGGCATGCTGCGGCTGCCAGCACCCTCAGTGGGCAGATACAATAGATGAGGATTGTCAAAGCACACCGAGGCCGACCTGTCATGTCATGTCATGTCGTTTCGACGTCGGCAGGCCGTTGAAGCATGATATTTGTCAAGGTCGGCCGGCATCCATCCCGCCTCATGGTGGGGAAAAGCTCGACCCTTGGGTTGATTCGTCTGGCTACTATTTGAAAACTTCACATCTACTCGGTCCCTTCCCATCTTGCCATACCTTTCTCTCTCTGTGACTTGATAACCCGTGCTTGTCTCTCACCATGTCTCCCAGAAAGCATGATCGTCAATATGACGTGGTTGTCTTCGGCGCCACAGGTCAGCCCCAAGCGAATCCCACAACTACTGCTGAGGTACATGATCCTAATGCCAGGTGCCAGGTTACACCGGCCTCATGACCGCTGAGCACATTGCAGCTCGGTTTCCAACCGATACCAAGTGGGCCGTTGCAGGTCGATCTGCCGACAAGCTCCAGAAGGTAGTCTCGGAATGCAAGGCCTTGAACCCAGATAGGATACAGCCAGGTCCGCAGCTTCTGCTCCTCTCGTCATGATGTTGCCTAACAGGTCACCTCAGAAATCCAAGTCTGCAACCTCGATGATGCCGACCTGCTCGCCCTGGCCAAGAAGACGTGCGTGCTCATCACCACCGTGGGGCCCTATGCCCAATACGGCGAACATGCCTTCAAGGCCTGCGCCCAGGCTGGAACGCATTATGTCGACTGCACTGGAGAAAGTGTATGGACGCTCGAGATGATCAACAAATACGAGTCAACGGCACGGGAGACCGGTGCTGTACTGCTCCCGCAGAGCGGTATCGAGTCAGCTCCATCCGACCTGTTGACATGGTCTATGGCGCAGCTCATCCAGACCGAGCTCTCCGCTCAAACCGCTGATGCTATCGTGGAAGTGCACGAGCTCAAGTAAGTGATTCGACGTGCGGCCTGTGTCTTGGAAGACTGAATTTGACGTCCACAGCGCTAAGCCCTCCGGCGGCACTCTGGCGACGGTGCTCGGACTCGCCGAATCCTACAGCATCAAGGATATAGCAGCTTCTCATAAGCCATACGCTCTATCTCCAGTCCCCAACCCACACCCGACTCCCGCTGCCTCGCTGTTCTCCAAACTGACGGGTCTTTATTCGGTAAGCAACCTGGGGCTGCTTCACACCTCCATCACGGCAGGCACGAACACGTCCATCGTGCAGCGGACCTGGGGTCTGCTCAAGCAGGAGGATTCGCGACAGAAGCAGTTCTACGGACCCAAGTTCAGCTACCGCGAGTTCATGAAGGCCCGCAATTTCTTGACGGGAATCGCCATGCACTACGCCCTCATTGTTGGTGGGGCATTGCTGCTGTTCGTGCCCCCGTTCCGGGCCCTCATGAGGAGGCTTGTCTTCCAGCCCGGCCAGGGCCCGAGCAAGGAAGATGCTGCAAAGGAATACATCGAGTTCCGGGGAGTGGCCAACCCGGACGTGGCAGACAGCAAAAAGCAAGCCTTCGTCAAAGCCTGGTACTCCGGGTCTATGTACTACCGTAAGTCTGTTCATTCCCGCTCGGCAGAGGCTAAGAAGCTGACCAAACCCAGTGACGGCAACGCTGCTGGCCCAAGCAGCTGCTACATTGCTGGAAGAGGATGTGGGTTTGAAAGGAGGTGTATATACACCGGCATGCCTGGGTCAAGGGTATATCGACCGCCTGAATGAGAATGGATTCAAGGTGGAGACCAAGATTCTTAACGTGTAGGGTGGTTGTCATTTACGGCTTGAAGTATACTCTCTAGGTAGACGATCGCGTTCAACCTGGTCGCGAACCGGCATGAACATAATCATGTGGCTTCACAGAAAAGACCCTACACTCTGAGACCTGAGGCGTTGGCTAGGCATGCATCGTAGGAAATGTCTAAGCCTAGCTGCACCTCACCGATCTGCTTGCCACAAGTCTGCACGCTCCAATGCCTGAGACGCTAACGCGCAAACATCCCAACACCAGCTTCGATATACCCATGCACCCTATACCATGCCGGACACCGACCTATAAACACCTGTGCAGTCGTTCGCTCGTTCATTCGTTCGTTTCCCTTTTCGGGAGGAGAGAGGGGCCCAGAACGGGTCACGGCACGGCTCCCCGCAAAACCAAGCACCGGCAGGGGTCTGGGCTGCTGCGTTGCAGTAGGCGGTACCCGCCCAAAATTTCCTTGCCAAATTTAGACGTCATCAAACATGGGCCCCAAAGCTGCAACCACAAGCCTCACCTGGACAACAAACATCTCAACGGGACAGCCGCTCGTGGATTCCGTCGCGACACCAGCAGAAACACGTATCCTCGCGGAACAGCCCCCTCGGCAACTTTCCATGGCAGCGTGGTGACAATTGCCCCGGCTGTCCTTCTACGACATCGGCTGGTAGCTCCAGAGCTTCCGAAGCTTGACTGAAGACCCGACGAATCCCCCGTCGCCCCGGCCGTCGACCAGCAGCAACGCCCTGTCGCGGCCTTCTGCTCTGCTGCTCGCATCATGGCATCCTCGAGCACTTCCTCCTCGGCAGACGTCCACCAGGACACGGAGCGGACGCCGCTGCTGCGCGACCCTGACCGCCCCAAGGCAGCCCGCAGTGTGACCTTCCACCCAAACCCCGTGTCCGACACCCGGTATGCCGACCCCGTCTCCCTCAGCTCTTCGCCCGCAAGCACACTCGGCGCAGTGCCTATAGCCAATGCCTTGACCCCCGTTCGTACGACCGGCTCGATTGCGGGCTCCCCGAGCTCTGCATTCCACCATGCGCCCTTATCAGCCATGACGAACCGCCTGAGGCGACGGAACTCCCATGGCGGGACTTTCTCGGCTCTCCCAGCTCCTCTGGGCCCTATACCCAAGCTCGGCCCGCAGCGCTCGAGCAAGATTGCCCAGAAGCTCAAGCTGCTTCCGAATCCTATGGAAGATGCGGAACAGCCCGACGAGGAGAGCGGGCGCGACGTCTACAGTCAGTACACGCGCATTCAAGACCCCGTAGCCCGCCGAGATGCGGCCCGGCTAGGGAAGGCGGACCGAGATCGACTGCCAAGAGTGACAGCATACTGCACGGCAAACAAGTACCTCATGGAAGGCCTGATGCGTTTTCTGAAGGGTCGAGGCAAGAGCAGAGGCTCCAACCCCAAGTTGATTGACGAGTGCATCTATACACCATACAACTATAGCACAGGCAAGGCAACGGAGCGAGCCGAGGCCGTCGAGGAGCGGGTACGGAGGGAACGCGAGGAACAGGAGCACCGCGATCAGGAATCACGACGCCACGAATCGCCGAGGCCACCCATGAGCTATGAGCGCAGGCATTCGACAGGGGATCTGCAAGAGTTTCATGAAGGTGAAATGGAGTCTGGTTTCAGTAACGGGCGTGATGTACACAATAACCTCTCCTACCCTTCACACACAACCGATGAGATCCACGACCCGTCGGAGGATCACCACGATGCCGACTTTGATACCCAAGTACACACCCCCGAGGTTTTTCTATTTGACTACGGCGTTGTGGTGATATGGGGCATGACACCAGCGCACGAGCAGCGCTTCCTCAAGGACATTGCCAAATTTGAGAGCGAGAAATTGGACCCCGAGGATGTCGAGACCGAGTGCTTCAACTTCTACTACACACGCGAATACCAGGCGCGTATCTACAACGATTTCATTACACTACGGGACAAGAACAACTATATGACGAAGCTGGCCATCAGTCACGCTTTGGCACAGAGCGTCAAGGTATGGTCTTCATTTGAGGGACTCGCGCGTTGAGCATAGCTAACAAGGCATACAGACATCTCTCTTTGAGGAACTTATTGCCAGCACCATCGAGACATGCAAGGACATACCGACGCAGATCGCGTTGACTGGCAAAATTGATCTGTCCCGTAGCCAGATCAACATGCAGATTGGCGAGCTCTTTATCCTACGCATCAATATTCATCTAAACGGCTCGGTCTTGGATACGCCCGAGCTTTTCTGGGTTGAGCCGGCCTTGGAGCCGGTATACCAAGCCGTGAGGTCATACCTCGAGATGGACCAGCGAGTGGGACTTCTCACAGAACGATTAGATGTCATTGCAGACTTGTTGGCTGTGCTCAAGGATCAGCTCAGTCATGGTCACGGCGAGATGCTTGAATGGATTGGTAAGTTGCCAGGGATCCCCTCCTTTTCGCATACGGCTCTCCATTTGGTCGGCGTTGTCCCAAAGAACAAAATCTAACGTAAAATGCAGTTATTATTCTTATTGCAGCCGAGATTCTGGTAGCAGCAGTCAACATCGTCGTCGATCTGTATGCAGGGGTGGATTGATCGGTTTCGGTCTATACTCCACACCAGGAGTAGTGAAACGAAGCACCAAACAGGAACTTTCTCACTTCCGACTCGCCCAGCAATAAGCTGGATGACGAAGATAGAGTGATTTCGGCGTTAATGGCCGACGTCATAAGTACGCGTGGGATGGAATCAAGCGACACACCCCATCTTCCCTTCCTTGTTTTCATCAATTTTGTAACCAGTAGACCGAGATTCGCAATATCCAAGCGACAAGAATCAGCAACGGCGCCAAGGCAGCATGGGATGGATTGTGAAGGAAAAGGGAATTTCAAGATACCACGCATAGGTTTTCCTCGGTCTTGGGAACTGGTACGCAGCTTCGGAGCCTTGGGGGACTTGTAACTAGATCAGGAAGCATGCTTCGCGGCGCTAGTGGATGAACATCAAACTCATTGATTTGGCATTTCTGCATTGTGACGGCGGTGGCTTGCGGATGACACCCAACCGGGGCCTGTTGTCCTGCATATTCACTGCAAATTTAAACCCCACGAAGGACGCACCTTGAAGGCCGAAGGGGGCAGCAGGTATGACCACCCCGAGCGACCACCATCGCGCTTGAACGACCGGAATTATCACGGTACGGGAAGCCTAACACGCAAGCCGACTGTGTTTATAGTACGAATGACTACATGGTATAGGATTGAGCTCGTGGACAAGATTCTATTCGTGTAAATCTGTCACAATTAGGGTCAGGCACCCAGTGGAGCACTCAAACTATCTGACTCGGTATCGTAGGCTATGGTAATTTGCCATCCTCCCTAGCATCGATCGGCAGAATCCGTGCCAACTTTGCAACCAAAACTTCATCGCACTCGGGGCATCTTGCGAGACTATAATTGCAGTGAAGAGCGCGCCGGATTGGTTATCGTACGGCAGGGGTTCATACCAAGCCTGAAGATAAAAATAGAACACAAATAATGTGCACTCCTCTGTATGGTGAAATTATAGCTAGATAGATTAATTGACATGTATAAAGATCTATTCAAAAACACAGGGTGGCAGATATCAACAGAAGTTGCGCAGGATGCACTTATCCTCAAGGGGCACCTGATATCCATTTCTTTACGTGTGGTCCACTTTCAAGGACCAAGTTTCCTGAACTGGTTTATGTTTCATAGCCACTGACGTGACGGATGGCTGTCGTGCAACTTGAATAGAAGAAAGGGGAGGACTAAGCCCCAAACTACCATGGTATCCCACATAGGTACGATGGAGCCTCGCGGTGTATGGCAGCTTCGCGAAGGCTAAAATTGCAGTGCAGTATGCATACTAGTCTGACGCCACTTTTGATATGTGATCTGTGCGCTAGCCCTAGCTTAGAGGAGACTAGTTTCCCAGCGCTGTGGAGGAACCTTTCCTCCTCAGTGCAACAACATCGTATGTTTGCACCCTTACATGCAACACAAACGCCAAGTCCGTGTCCCTCCAGTCCGGCTCAACTATAGACGCGAAGGCAATTCACCTCAGTCCAGGAGCGAGCATTAAGGCAATACCAAACTTGACAGGATTTCAGTTCTCTCTCTGGTCACTTCTTCGACTTTTTCGCCTGTGTCAAGTGTTGTATCCCCGTCTTCGTCTCCGTGTGCTCCGTGCTTAGTTTTTGGTGCTTGATGAAAACACTGGCTACTACTGCAACAGCTGCTAGGCTCGTATATAGTATGAACATGTTCCTCATGCTCCACGCAAAAGCTTCCAGCACTGCCTGACGCTGTGCGGGATCTTGGATGGATTGCGTGATGCCCACGTTGGCCGCTGCCTGGCTTCCCGATAGGGCTTCGAGGGAAGACTTGCTAAGGCCAGCGGCAGCAAGGGCTGATTGCCTGGCATCCATGCTGTTTTGGAATACCACACCACCAATGACAACAGATAGTGACATGGCAATGCTCCGGAGAAAGATCAAGGAAGATGTGGCAGCCGCAGTGTCTTCCTGGCTAACAGTGTTCTGGATAGCGGCCATAGGCGCTTGGAAAAGAAGTGATGGGCCGACTGCGCCGACAATTTCCAGTCCGATAACAACCGCAACGGACGTTCCAGCTCCGAAGATTATGTACAACCCGGTTCCTAGCGTCATCAGCACGGAACCAACCCATATTGACTCTCTGTAGCGGCCGGTGCGATGAACCAGGAAGCCGCCTAGAATTTCCCCCACGGCTTGTACTATGATCAATGGTAGCAGCAGAATGCCGCTCCGGAGGGGTGAGGCTTGCTGCACGCTTTGAAGATATAAGGGCATATAATATTCTATACCTATCAGCACCATACCGTGCGAAAAGACGATGAGGAAAACTGCGTTGTTCGACCGGCTTTTGAACACCGTTAGCGGCATAAGGGGGTATTTGGCTAGGCGCTGCTCATTCAAGACGAAGAAGCCAATCATCAGCGCCCCAAACGCGATCAAGCAGATGACTTTCGGGCTGCTCCAGGGGAATATAACCCCACCGAAATCCAATCCAACGAGAAGCAGAGTGGTGATTGCCAGGATCGAGGCGCTCCCAACCCAGTCCACGGCCCTGAGCCCTTCGCCTAACCTCGTGCGCGGGTTGTTTACGTCGAGGAACAGAACCAGGAGGCCAAAGGTGATGGCGCATATGGGGAGGTTGATCCAGAAGCACCAACGCCAAGTGACGGATTCTGTGAATGCCCCCCCGATCAGCGGTCCGACGGATCCAGCTACAGCCCACACAACTCCAGAGAAGCCCAAGTATACCGATCTCTCGCGCACACTGAAGAGATCCGAGATGGTGATAACGGACAGCTGCACCATACCGCCGCCAGCTGCGCCTTGCAACACTCGTCCGGCAATCAGCATGGGCATGTTGGCGCTCAGCGCCGCAATCATACTGGCGGCCGCGAATAAGCCGACGGCCGTGAGGAGAACGACCTTGCGGCCCCAGATATCACTGATTCTCGCCCAGATGGGACCTGTGGCGGCGCTAGCGAGTAAATAGGCGCTGCCAATCCAGACATAGCCCTCGGCAGAGCCCAGGTCACTGCATATTGTGGGAATTGATTGTGTGACGATGGTCGTATCGAGGGCGGACAGGAACAGGGCGAGCTGCAAGTTATCGTTAGTGGGATGTTTCTTCGCCCAACTCATAGTGCGGGGATAAGCTACATAAAATGCCGTTAAGATCAGGTATAGACGCAGTTTTGTGCGGACATTGGGGCTTTCTTCGAGGTCAATTGGTGTGATAGAAGTGTCATCTGCGGATGCTGTCGTGACAGGAATCTCTGTAGGGAGCCCAGCCTGTACCAGTGGAGGCTCTGAGGCCTTGGTGATGTCCATAGTCATTTGGCTATGCCCAGACTGTTTTGGCATAGGCCACAGAATCGGCACAAAGCTTTCAATATACAGGTCAGAATGATTAACCAGGGTGACGCGTGATAGCAATGAGACAGCTCTCGTAGTCTATAGTGTAAGGAAGGACACATTAGACTATTCAAATCGGTGTAGATGACTTCTACTGAGCTACTCTGTATATGACCATATAAGCGAGAGGGCTGATGCGGGGACTACGCCCTTGCAATCACGCCAGAAGTGAGTCAGACCGACACATTATGCATGGCAACCGAAGCAGACTATCAAAGTGGAGGACTCTCCTCCAATCGTTGGTCAATTGATTCCGGGCCAAGCTATCTCCAATCCTTGATGATATGACTATACGTCTTTTACTTCGGAGCACAAGCACTATTGAGACATATCGCGACGGCGCTACGGAGTACGTGCTTGGTTGAACGGGGTCTGGAGGAGAAATAACCTCCTGGCAGGCGTCATTTAATCATGGAAAGACAGAAGAATGTCCATAATTAAAGGAGATAGGTTACTAAAGATGTGATGGCTCCCTAATATGTAAGTTATGCTCCTCTGGTGATGGGCTCTTAACAAGCTAAGCGGGAGCCCTACCCCGCAAAATTCGGAGGATAGCCCCTGAAGGCCCACAAGGGTGCCCCACCTAGAAACTTAGACCTTGCTGGTCTTGAAGATTATCGCTTTGGTTGTCTCTGGTTGAGCCGAGTAAATCGTCTGGGCAAACCGAGCTGAGGAAGCAAAAGGCAGGCTTGGCGCGGACGAAAGGTGTAGAAGGCGGTGGGATTTGGGATGCGCTGGTCCCAGCACAATAATAGATACTCGTTAAGAGAAAAGATAATACCAGAAGAAAGCTGTCTCTTCTCGGTGCTCCGATATGCCCTGGTACAGAAACTCATCATATCCTCCAAATACAAACCCATACCGCTTGTATAACCGACAAGCCGGAACATTGTTGTTTTGAGTCTCCAATCGGATCCCCGCTACACCAAGCTGGCGGGCCCAAGTGACAATAGCATCGAGGAGTCGTTTTCCATGCCCTTGCCCACGAATGCTTTTGTCTAGAGCGATGTCGTTGAGTACGACGAAATTGTTCCACGATTTGGCTGCATGCGCATACCCCAAGACCTGCCCATCCCGATCCATCGTGGTGAAAATGACTGCGTCGGGGTCATCCAAATCGGCAAAGGTCTCCTCATCGAATCCGTAGGTCTTTATCTTCCGCGTAGTACGAGTTGTGATGATCTCTGTGCCCTGGGAGAGATGATCGTAGGGTTTGGCGATGACTTCGCTGATCTCAAAGGAAAAGTCTCGACCGATGATGTTCTCCTTCGTAAGACTCCTTGATGCTATGATTTCCATCTTGAAAATGCTGATTCCAATGATCATGGTACCAAGAATAGGAAATGATCGGGATGAGCCAAGTATACCAGCTTTGACCTCGAATGTTGAAGTGTCAAGGGCGTACGGCCTTCGCCGATGACTCATCATCTCGAAGAAGCAGGCCCCTAGGCGCCATAATACAGTCAGCGACCAAGCGCCACGATAATATATTAGCGGAGCATCCTGTCTTTTGCTTGGTCACGATCTGCATCGCCATACTGCGCAATAAGGGATGCCTCCCAGGCTATGCGCCATCTATTCGAGTTGAATATTCCCTGCAGAGAAGACAACAATGGATACGTGGTCTTGTAACCAAAACGAGAGAGAGAGGTTTATTTGAAGACCTGATCAGTTACCAAAATCGTAAATTTGATTTCATAGCACACCAATATCTCAGACTGTTGAGGACGGTGTGCATTCAGTCTCGTGTTCAGTATCATCTTGGTATCGCAGAGCACAACTTTTGGTGACCCAGTCACGATCAAGCTCTCTTGCCAGCTCAGCTCCTCACAGCTCCCCAGGCGCATCTTCGTATCACCTCAAGTCTCGTCCTTCTTTGGAAGTATCTTCTTAACACGTAAGACAGTTTCTATGTGTTCTAGCGCCAGCGGGCCTCGTTCTCTAGCCGCTAGCAGTCTCGCGGTCTTCACAACATTCTTAATTTGTCGTCCGTTGAGCTCGATGCGAGACAACCCCTCCAGCTCTTCTTCTACAACAGCGCTGCTGCTCGAAACAAACGTGCGCCATATATGCAACCTGCCTGCGAAATCCAGTCGAGGATAGTCGATGGTAAGGTGGATACGGGACTCGAAAGCTGGGTCGAATGATGCCACCCGGTTTGTGGTTAGAAACATGACGCCTTGGTAGTACTCCAGAAGTCGTAGGAACACTGATACGAGTTTGTTGCGGTGCAGGTCGGATATCGTCCGCTTCTCAAGGAACACGTCACATTCGTCAATCAGCAAAACAGCGCTCCATTTGGTTGACAACTCCAGCACCCGCCGCAGGTTAGCCTCCACAGCGTCTGCGGAGTCGCCCAGCTCGCCTGCGCTCACATTGTACAGCGGCTTCTTCATAGCATCTGCAACTGTGATTATCGGAAAAGATCAGCATCATTCCTATTAGTGACACTATGGCTCCTCACCTGATTCCGAAGTCAGTGTTTTACCAGTCCCAGGCTCGCCACTCAAGAGCATAACAACACTACGCCCTGTATTTTGTCAGGATTCATCTATAGTGCCAAAGGTTTCTTGTGATCACCTTTCCCTCTAACAATATCATCAAAGTCCTCGGAGCCGGACAACTGAGTGTCCACGAACGCCCATATGATCTTCTTATAGTCTTCGGGTAGGACGAGCTGGTTGAAAGCCTCATGACTCCATTGTATGTCCTTCACCATGTCAATGCTGAAGGTAGCTTTTATGATTTATCAGTCAGTGGACATGACTGCAGCACTATAATTCCCACTTACCCCATTCCTTGGCCTTGAGGCAGAACCCTCTCACAGTAGCACAGCACAGAGCATAATACTCTGGCGACAGACAACGTGTGCCTGCGCTGAATTAGCACGTCACAGCCACCAGCGTCGATTTGAGACGATGACTTGCCTGATGGCTGATGATGCTGGCCGGCGTATCTTCGTCGTGCTTTCTTCGCCATATGTCGCATCAGCCGAATTGTGCCCCCAGGGCCATGATCTGGCTCGTCATCTAAGTCATCAATGAGAGTGAGTGCTCCGAGGGTGTCCATGTGGTCCGATGGTGCAGGTGGCCTATCAAGCGGGCCTAAATCTTCAGTTCTTCGGCCGTTATATCTCAGAAACGACGCACAATCAATCATGATTCTGCCTTCTTCGACCTGCGGCACGTAAGAAACCGATAGAACACGGGGAACAAAACATTATTCAACGTAAATATTGTTGGTGAGGAGCGCCAAAGGTTGTCCTTTGCAATTGGTACGCGCCCGAGTAAGCCATGCAGGGCAGTCCACGGAGCATTTCGAACTTACGGCCCCTCTGTTCCGGTCGAACTCGAATGTCGTCAATGCCTGGGCGCAGGTAGCTGGGCAAGACATTCAGTTCAGATATTGGCTTCACATTCTCGAACTCCTGGATGATTAAGCACGCGGTCTTGTAACCGAAACGTTCCCCGTTAGTATCCACGTAGCGACAGGAAATGCTGTAAAGCCTGGGGCCTCCAGGGCCCTTTTGGTACCTTCCACCATTCACCAGGTATAAGCGGTCATCGTCTCCATCCTTGCAATGAACCTCTGTTCCCGGCTCAAACATTGCCCACACATAATCAAACGAAATGACATGGTTCTTTAACAGGTCTTCTGCTTGATCGATGTGCGGCTCAATTTCGGAACTTATGATGTTAAACAGAAGCCTATAATGACGTTCGCCATCTTCACCGTCTTCCTGAATTGTCGTCACCTTGCAGAACTCGTCCCATCGGTAGAAGAATTCCCAAAAAGGGGCCCGAAACTCCAATTTCTTCAGATTTGTGTTGAACCCCTGGTACCCTGTGAAGACAGGGCCCAGCTGTTTCCTGATCAGTGGGCTCTGGACGGTGATGGAATGCAAGACCAGAACAGTCGCATCAGCGTCACCATTCGCCTTTTCTCGTCGCACGATCAGGGCGAACTTTGCCGAAGAAGCTGTGGATGCCGAGTTGAGCCTGATGTCACCAGGAGCCCACAGTCGCCAGGGGACCCGGAAGTCCTCTCGGTAGAGATTTTTTGTTTCGGCCGTTATGCCAACCTTGATCGGCTCTCTTTTGTCAATGGATTCCCTGTCGTCGCTAGAGGAATCCGTATCAGAGTCCGTGGGTGCTTCTACATTGGGACGACGATTTTGGACACCATCGGAGGATGAAGACTCTGATATCCTACGAATCCGAATGGGACTCATCGTGAATTATCGTGTGAAGATATGGCTAACGCCACGGCCTACAGGTTGTGACGTTTCAGGTTTTATAGCAGTGGTGGCTTAGGGATACTTCCTTGACGAGATTATGGAGGATGGTAGATATTAAATGAAAACGAAGGATGGCGATGTGGCCTTGGGAAATGTGCAGAGCCTCGTCTTGGTTCGCCATATCTGCAAGTGCCTGTGTCCGCCTCAGGTCTTGCGACGTATCCCTAGCTAGCTAACTCGGCCAATTTGCGCTTGCCGCATTATATAGGATGGTTGCACTGGGTTGTGATTGGCGAATCACTTATAGTGCAGCAAGCGCTACCAATGTACCACCTGAGGAAGGCTATCTAAGGCAAACTTTGTGGTTCGCATCAAGCTTCCCGAATGCCTTTTTACTTTTTTATTCCCGTTTCACAAGGGATAAAGCGATTTCGTCGATGAATTAGCTTCATCCACCTCATTCTAAGGCAACATGATTGACGACGCCAGATACCGGCATCATGAGACCTCGACGGCTCGTTCCCATGATTCCCTGCAAAATATATAGTCGTAAGTCTTAGTAGTCCAGCGACGCGAGCTCATACCGATCGCTGGTCCAGTAGCCTGCATTATTTGGGCCTTTGACGACAACGAAGATAGACATCGCCAAATGCATAGAGCGAATGAGTCGGCAATAATTCAGAACGCACATATCCGTGAACAATGCCAGTCATGTGCAAGGATGGTCCCTATACCATCTGGTCACATGTACGCCTGCCATGTTAGGAGTAAATTTGCCAAGGATCGAGAGGCCGAATATCGCAAGTACAATGACCTCTGAGGTCATATCCAGGAGCGCACTTGCGATGAATGCCAGCACATCCCATTATTTCCCAACGAGGGGAAAGTGACGCGATTCCGTATCCGCAGGGTAGAATCGTCGGACATCGGGACTTCACACACTTATATAAATCGGCTTTAGTATTCACGTGCAGCTACGTGTTATAGGGACACGAAATCTATGGCATATAACTCAGTTAAGAATCCAATCTCGCTATGGAAGCAGTCTTGCGTCTGATTTTGCAATCATGCAGTGTAGCATGGCCAGTATCCTTCTGCCCTCATAGGGGCACGGTGACAAATTACGAACGTTTATCAGTGAGAAAGTATTACGTATATGGCCTGGCTCTCCAGTTGCGGGAGAACATCTTACATTGCTGTCCCCAAACAAACCTGGCACTTTCTCACCGCTGTCCTCCACTGCGATTTTCGGTGCTCATCAAGGCATGTCTCTTCCGCAAGAGTAGATACAGCTGTGGTAAACAGTTAACAAGACAAGTTACCGCGGCCCTATCTGAGTTTAATTGGCTTAGTGCTTACCTGTGTTGGGTTCTGTTCGTGCTGCGCAACTAATTTTCACTGCAATTTTAACCCCCACGAAGTGTCTGAGGTTAGGGTACATGGGCTGCGCAAATACTTGTCACTGCAATTTTAACCCCACGAAGGGTCTGAGGGAACTGCACCTCTCTGGCCTAATGCATAACTAGATCCTGGTCCCAGGTGGGTGCGACTTGGTTTGGTCGTCCACTTTGCGTGCAACAACAACGGTTGGTGCACTTCCCATTGAAAGATTTCGAGGTACACTGTCAGAGCCACGGCCGATGGACCTGGCGAGGATCTCGAGGTCTTATGGCCTTCTCGGAGCGCAAAGGCACAACATCGATACACGTTGCCTCATACCGACAGGCCACGCACCAAGAAGCAGAGCTTAGTGGTGCGCGAAGTCTATTGTCTTCAACTTGCCGGGGGTCCCCGGAGCTCCATCGAGGTTCGCCACTTTGGGGACTGCAACTGCGCCTTCCAAGATATTGGCCAAGGTTAATTCTTCCACCCCTTTCCCGTTTTCACTGCGATTTTAACCCACGCGAAGGGGAGAGTATGGAAGCGAGGCTGAGCATATAGCGGGCCAACCAAAGTCCGCCAATCGATGCACTCCCAAAGCTGTGCTACAAACACACAGTCTTTGCGTACAGCGTCGTAATCAGGTATATGGCTGTCGTAGGTGCAGACTTCAGCTTTGCACTCAAAAGATCGATATACAGCAGTGCTCCCGCACGTTTTAAGTAAAGGGTGCGAGGTTGAGAACGAAGCAACTCGTGGCATAGTGTCAGTCAGTCGATGTAACCCAGAACTTACTATCACCGCGGCGTTGCTCAAATACAGGAGGCCCGGGGGCCAGTATACATGGAATGCCACTGCAGAGCTCCGAATATAAAGATGACGAGAAAATGTGGCAATAGGGACAAGTGGTATTCCATGACCATCTATCTATCAGGTGGTATAACGCCGACCAATTTTTGTTTGCCGCCTGCATGACATTACTTTCTCTAAATCCCATGAACCATCACATATGCTTCCTTCAGTCATCATCCCAGTTGGGGTTGGGGCCCGGGGGCTTGGGCCCGCCGGCTTGTCTTGCTACAATGATCTGGTCGACCGAGAGCACGGTCCGCGCGGCGTCTGTGGCCAGCTTGATGGCCCATGCCTTGGTAACCATGAGGTCGAGGATGCCGTCGTCATTGGCATCGAGGAGACCGGTGCCATCGTCGTTCTGGAGAGGCAGCGTTAGTTTTGTATCACTTTTATGGAGTTTCGAGAGAGAAAGACATACCTCGATATCCACACCGGTCTTCCAGTCGTCCTTCTTGTAGTGTGCCGTGTAGAGTTTGCTGAGAACCTCGGTGGCATCCAGGCCAGCACTCTCGGCCAGTGTCCTGGGAACAACCTCGAAGGCCTCACCAAACTTGCGGATAGAGTATTGCGGCAGACCCGAAGTCTTGTCGCCAAAGGCCTGTATCCGTGCCACCAGCTGGGTCTCTGTTGCACCAGCGCCGGGCACTAACCTGGGATCTCTGGTGATGGCCTTGACGACGTTGACACCGTCATCCACCGCCCGCTCGACGTCGTCCAAGTGGTTCTGGGTGGCGCCTCTCAGGACAATGGTGGCGGTCCGCGTAACCTCGTCCTCCTGTCTGAACACCGTCACACGGTCTCCTCCAATCTCGAGGGTCTCGACGACATCGACGGATCCCATCTCGTCGGGCATGGGGGCTCCCAGCCGGGCCAGGGGCGTGGCGCCGACGACGCGGCATATTCTCCGTAACTCGAACTTGCTCAGGATCTTGATGACCAGGATGCCGTAGCGGTTCAGGTAGTGCATGGCGAGCTCGCCGACGGTGGAGCCGGCAATGACGACGCGCAGGCCGGCGTCGTACAGCTCCTTGATGGCGATGTCGAGCTGGTCCTCCTCGCCCTTGGTGAAGTCCATCATCTCCTTGGCGTTGTGCAGCAGCACGGTGCCCTTGGTCTCGGTCTGGCTGGTGTCGAGGGGGCACGAGAAGACACCGACCTTGGCCTTCTGGACCTTCTTGACGGAACCGTCGGGCTCCTTGGGGAAGACCATGCCCTTGACGACGCGGCTCTGCTCGAGGGCGCCGCCCATGATCTTGACGACGCGGATGTTGTCGACGTTGAAGTTGGCGGGGTTCTTGGGCAGGACGGCCAGGACGGCCTCGGCGACCAGGTCGGCGAGGAAGTCCTCGTTACCGTTCTGCTTGCTGGCAACGACGGTGCGGATGGCCTTGCTCAGCTCCTCCTGATCGCGGATGTTCTCCACCTTGTCGACGACGAGCTGCTCGAGGGCCTCGAGGGCGAACTGGGCGGCGCGCTCGTAGCCGGTGACGATGTCGGCGGTCTTGAGGCCCATGCGCAGCAGGTCCTCGGCCTTGCGCAACAGCTCGCCGGCCAGGACGATGACGAGGTTGGTAGCGTCGCCCATCTCGGCCTCCTGCTGCTGGCTGGCCATGACGAGCAGCTTGGCGGCGGGGTGGACGACGTCGAGCTCCTTGAGGATGGTGGCGGCGTCCGAGGTGAGGATCATCTTCTGCAGGTGGTTGATGACGATCTTGTTGCGGCCGTAGGGGCCGAGCGAGGTCTGGACGGTGGAGGCGATGGCGCGGCAGGCGTCAATGTTGCGCAGGACGGCGCCATCCTCGGAGTCGTAGCTGTGTGGTTCACATGACGGGTCAGCGCTTCTTCTGTCTGTCTCTGCCTGTCTGTCTGCCCGCCTGTCTGTCTGTCTGTCTGTCTGCCTGTCTGTCTGTCTGTCTGTCTGTCTGTCTGTCTGTCTGTCTGTCTGTCTGTCTGTCTGTCTGTCTGTCTGTCTGTCTGGTGTGGTGTGCTTGTGCTGCTGTTCTGCCCGGTGCCGAGAGCGAGGGATGGAAGATATGGCGGGGTGGATGGGATGCAACTTACTTGTTGTAGCCCCCCTTGAACAGGCCCGCGTTCGGGGCGTTGGGGATGTTCAACGACATGCTGGGTCCGTGGCTGCGAAGGCTCTCGCGGTCGGGACGGGGAGAGGGAGCGGGCTGGGGGAGATGTTGGCGACGTTCCTGGAGGGAGGAGGATGTCGTCGCGGCGGGATGGTGGGAGATATCTCGAGCAGCAGAGCAGCCTAGGGGAAAGGCCCAGCGCCTATGGAGCTTCCCCCCTGCCCGCAGGCCGAAGAAAAAAAGTTGGGCAGCTGCCAGGGTCGGCCGGCCCCAGTGTGCGGTAGCGAATAGGTGGGGGCACCACGGCTGGCCGCCAGGTTGCCAGGTACATTGGCTGGTGGTGCCACCCAGGGATTGAACACTGGATCAACATCTTCTGCAGCAGACTGGTATTTCCCGAGGTACGCCGTAGTATTATACCAGACTGTGCACACATTTATCTTGTTTGTTTGTTTGTTGTTTGTAGCTTGTCGTCAGTGGGATGCGGTTCAGTCTCCCTTTCACTTCCAATAGCCAGGTACCTGCCTAGGTGCTTGCAGCGGTGGTTTACTGTACTTACAGCCGGAGCCATCAGCTAACTTGACTTGGTTAGCCAACGTGCTGCTTATCGATAACCGCCCATCAGCCTCGCGGCTGGCTGGCCGTTCCCCCCGGCCCCCAGTCCAGCCCAGCCAATCCATGCGTGGGACCTGCGGCTCCCTGAAGCTATCACCAGATTGCTGACCTGCACTTGCATTCCTCCACTCCAACCGAACACCATCTATTCTTCTCAATTCCCGCGACGGCCATCTCTCGCCATCTCTCGCCGCCTCGCGCCATACCACATCCCTCTACCACACGTCAAACTCACACCCGTGTTCAATCAGCCGCGTGTTCTCTTCCACATCTCCAGTCTTCTGTCGCGACCTCACCCCGGTCGCGCGCGCACACCATGGCGCCATCCAACTGTACGTCTGCTCCCCTGACCGCGCATCATTTGGCCCTGCGAATCCGCCAGTCACACTCGGGCATGTATGAGCATTGCTGCAGTCTCCAGAGTCTTCGTCATACACCGAGTCGAGCTCAGCAGAGGCCAGGTGCTGCCAGTGCAGTCCAGAGAGCCACAGCACACATGCCTCCCTTCCTTCGTCGCTCGTGTCCGCCTTGGCCCATCTCAGCCGTCGCAATACCGCAGAAGTGGCATTGCACGCCTTCATGATCACCCAAGCTACCCAAGCTCGCATTCTAGTTCCCTACCACTCCCCAGCCGCAAATGCGAGCGAGGCCAAGCCCAGGCCGCCGCTGCTGCTCCTGTTGCTGCTAAACCAGTGGACTGACATATCCCCGCCCCGACAGCAAACCCGCCCTCGCTCCCTCCCACGGTAGAGGAGGCTTACCGACGCAAATGCATCCAGCTCAAGCAGAGGTCCAAGGAGATCGAGGATGAGAACGACGCCTACCGCCTGCGCCTGAAGAGGCTCGAGCGCCAGATCCAGAAGGCCCGCCTCGAGCGCGCCTTTCTCCTCGAGCAGATTGCCAAGCGCACGAGCACAAACGTAGAGGATTCAGAGGGCAGCCCAAGCCCCCCGCCCACGGTAAGTGTGTCTGGGTCACCACATCTCGGAGCTCTCGACCAACGTTTCGCCACGCAGCCCGATGACAAGCCCATGAGGCTCAAGCGCGGCCACAAGTCCTCGCACCTCCCCTCGGACCTGGCGTCATCTGGCCCGACCTTCATCAGCGACAACCCCCGCGGCTTCTCCCCGGCCTCCGACACCTACTCCCACGATCAGTACTCCTCCCGCAACGGCGCCAACGTCCTGCCCAAACCCCCCAAGCGGCCCAGCAACGGCTTTGAGATCTACTGCAACGACACCCGCCCCAAGCTGCAGGAGGAGCACAAGGACGAGATCGCCGCCGGCGAGTACCAGCTCGAGCAGGAGCTGGCCAAGGGCTGGAAGGACCTAACCCAGGACGAGCAGGCCGTCTACCAGAAGCGCTACGAGGAGGCCCTCAAGCAGTGGAAGGAGGACCGCGACGCCTACCGCCGCAGCCTCAAGGAGGCCAACAAGCGCGGCCGGAACGGCGGCCGCGACTACGACTCGTACCCCTCCTTCCGCCGCGGCCGTGGCTCCGCCGCCGCCCGCCATCGGTCCCAGCTCGCGCGGGATGACACCGAGGATGTCAGCGTGGCCGACGACCAGGGCGAGGACCAGGATGTGGAGATGGGCGACGCCGACGCTCAGGAGGCAGAGGCGGAAGCAGAAGCAGAAGCTGAAGCGGAGGCAGAGGCCGAGGCCGAGGCCGACCGCACGGCCTACGACCAGGAGACGGAACCCGAGGAGGACGGGCAGGATCAGGTGTCCGACTAGGGGGCGGACGGGCACCCTCGGACGGGCGCGGTGGAACTTCTAGTTGTGTAATATCTTAAGGGCGATGAGGTAATGACTACGGATCATGGGGGATTCACGTTGTTTGGTATTTGGGCGCGCTTTGACTCCTAGCTCTTTCACGGTAGACGGGGAAAAGATGAAGCATTTCTTTCTTAGCTGGTTTGTAAGGAGAGAAAGAATCTGGCGTCGATCGAGCGAGATCCAGCCATGTATACTGTCTGGTCTCTTTGATTGTGTGCTGTTTGACACCAGACCGTTCATTTCACAGTCGCCTTTACCTGTGCAGCATGAAGCACGTACGACGCGTTGAGCTTGAGCTTCTTGAACATTTATCTATCGACTGTGGCTGGACGCCGTGCCGTATCTGATAGGGACCAGATACCACACGAAGCCAATCCATGCGGGGTTCATTCGTCTCAATAAGCACGGACCGGTCTTCAGCTTGACCACAACGTTCTTGCACCGTCCAGCCTCTCTTGAACTCTCAACTCAGTCCCCTTTCCTAACCGACGGCGGTTGGGCTTGATGAGTTTCCTCATAGTTACAGATAAAGGCCCCAATGAACAATTACGTAATACCGTCTCTAGGCTGAGTGGCGCAATTGGCTAGCGTGTGAGATTCCAGTCCCCTGGAGTATCCTCAAGGTTATGTGTTCAAGTCACATCTCGGTCAAGATTTTTTTGTGTCTTTGACTATCTAGGTAGGTAGCCTATCTGTTTCCATTCAGACGGTTCCTTCTCGATCGATCATCACGATCTAGGATACACCTGTAGAAAACTGTCAGGGAGACTGAAATCAACTTTTTGCACTGGAAGATGAGGCGGCTCCTCGTCGCCGACCCGGGGATTGGACAGTACTTCCCCCCCAAGCCAGCAGCCGTGAGCAGATAGGAAGGAAGGCTGTTTCTCGGCTCTAGTTCCTATAAGCACTACCCAAGCTTGGACCAAGATGGGGAGCATCTTCCCTCCCGGACAACTATATCCTGTTGACTAGTCATCTCAGATGCTCCATCATTCCGTTTCTGTCTATCTGCTCCGGCCGCTGTCATTGGTCCCGGGAGGTTGACTGGTATTAGCCATGCAACATGTTTGCTTCGTCACATGCGCGACTTCAACATGCCCATCCACTTATCCTGCACCGTGATCTGGACCCTGCGCGGGCTGGCCTGCCGCCACCTCGAGAAGGCCTCCTGATCCTTCCTCCACCGTTGGATCTCCGAGCCCAGAAACCCAACCGCGGCCTCCGCACACTCGCCCACCATCTCCATCGGCATGAGGTGGCCGCAGTCCAGGTCAATTCGCTCCACCCGGGCCGCCTCCACACCCCCGCTGCCTCCGTGCCCGGACCCCGTACGCCGTACCTTGGCCTCGCACTCTTCGGGGATCGCAAAGGGCGACTTGCGCCCGAAGATGTACAAGACGCTTGATCTCACCTCGGGGAGCCGCTCGTACACTTGCAGCGGCTCAGGGCGATAGAAGGGGTGTTTGGGAAGTGTCTGTGCCGGGTATGCACCATTTAGACCGGAGGTGAGCTCGTTGCGCTCCATAGGCCGCTGGAATGCCACAATCTCCTGGTGCTTGGAGGTAGCGAGTGTGACTGGACGGGAGGCTGGCTCTCCCCCTTTCAAGCCAGACTCCAGGGGATATAGCTCCGTGGGCGCCTCCCTGAGGGCGTGCTCCATCCACCGCTCAAAGACACGAGGGTCCCACGACCGATAGTACGGGTTCCGGCGGAACGCATCCACGGCCGCTTGGCGCGCTGGCCACAGGTCGCGCCGTCGGGCGGACATAGCGGCCGGCATGGCACCGGCGTTGCCCTTTGTGATCACCGGGTCGATGAGCACGAGGGAGCGCAGCAGCCGCGGGTGCATCAAGGCCAGCTGGACCAGCTCCGTGCCGCCCATGCTGTGTCCCACCCCGACGATGGGCTGGGGCATCTCGTCTTGCTTCTGGTTGATGAGACTGAGCAAGTCTCTCGAGTGGTCTGCCCAGCTGGCTGCGCGGGTTCTCAGCACTCCAACGTTGACACTTGCAGGGAAGTGACTTACGATCAAGCCCTAGTATGCCTTCGTTGGCTATTCCGGATTTCCCTTGCGTCCAGGCATCGGCTACCCAGATGCTTCGGATGCGAAGACCCTCTTTCTTGGTTCTTACGTATATGTCTTCCCATAATGGTTCGTATACCTCCTGCGATATGTTATTTCGGAGCCTCCCAAACGAATCTCTCACATGCCTACCTTTGGAAACCCGTTGGCATGTGTGCCGATGATAGTAACATCTCCGGTCTGTGGATTCGCGTTGTCCTTTGGGATGTACTGCTTGACTGCCAACAGAGGGGTGTCCAAGTCGCCGTTCGCAGTGGCCGCAATGTACTCGCGTGTATGCTGGCAGCGGACGGTGTGCTCCACGATGCGGAAGTACTCGCTCGACATACTGACCGATACTTTGAAGATAAGAAAGGAGACAGCTAGATTATGGTGTTCTTGTTCACGTATTTGACATCGCTCGACCGTACGTAAGCTGGAGCCAAGGAAGGTAAGCCGAGGCTGGCTTACAGCTACGCCTCTTCTAAGCAAGGGATAGAGTAATCACGTCACAGCGAGTGGATTAAATTGCACTCGTGCCCCACCTACTTCGAAGGATCTCGAGGTCTAGTGCCAACCAGCCCATCTTATGACTAGTTCGAGCTCATGGATGACAATCTTCTGCTGAGAAGCCAGAAGCCTGAAGTCTGCCGCGGTCAAGACTGGGATGTAATAGTAACAGCATCGCTTGGCCATCAGGAGCTAGTGCAGTGCTAACGCAGTGGATATAGACATGTCACTCCTATGCTCCGATTCGCCCTTGGTAAAAGCTGCTTGTGTACAAGTGACAATAGGAGTGTTTTTTTTTTTTTTTTTTTTTTTTTTTTTTTTTTTTTTTTTTTTTTTTTTACCGATCAACAGTTTCAGAGCCATTGGGAATTTCTCATCCGTGTGTCTCCAATAAGCTAGTTCAGGAAAAGTACCATTTTCAATACTGCTTTTGCATAGCCTTCCGTATTTCAGGAAACTCCGCATCGGGGACAATGACATGCCGATTCCCGTCCTGTCCAGCAACAGGAGGCGGGACGTACTCCTTGTGACTAGCTTTGTGAACCCTACCATTGATGCAGATGACGTTGAGCTTATCGTGGTCCTGGAGCACGCTGATATCGTCCAGCGGATTCCCATCTACCAGGATGCAGTCCGCATAGTATCCCGGCTGGATCTTCCCGAGCTCCGCCGGCCGCCTCATGAGCTTAGCCACGCCCGCCGTGGCGGCGATGACAGCCTCGTGCGGCGTGAAGCCGAGCAGCTTGACAAAGTGCTCGAGGTCCCGCGCGTACGTGCCGTGCGGTGTCCACGCGAAGCCGTAGTCCCCACCAGGTAGGACCACGATGCCGCGGCGGTGCATCTCCCGCAGGGCTGCCACGGCCGCATCGAGCTCCCGCCCGTAGCCCACCTTTTCTGCCTTCTCGTGCGTGTAGCCGAACGCTTCGGCCTCGTTCAGTGTGGTGATCAGCCAGTTGATTCCTGGTACGACGACGTGGTGCGTCTTGGCCTTTTCAAGCATGTCCATGCCTTCCTCGTCAATATATGAGGCGTGATATATGGCCTCAACGCCATGGCGTATACCTGCAATATCCTTAAATATGAGTATTATCATTGTTCGGTACTATACTCGTCGTGCAAAGGTAAAAAGGGGCGTCGTTCAGTCTTACACATTTTGACCGAGTCCCGCGCCCGTGCATGGGCACAGAGCATCCTCCCGTGCTTATGTGCCTCATCTACACAAGCTGCCGTTTCCTCGTCGGTGAAATAGCAATCCTGCGCGGATCTGATCTCAGTCATCTGTAATTCAAGCGATTTGTTAGTGAACGTCACAACGCTTGCAGTACAGCGCGGTGCAGGATGGACCAACACACCTCCTCGCCAGACATGCTCAGTTTCACATTATCGACACCAACGTTTACGTGCTGCCGGATCACTTGCCGCATTTCTTCCGGCCCATCGGCAAAGGTCGTGATGCCACCGACTAGTTCCCCGCCTCGGCGGGCCATCTCTTGTCCGTTGGCTAGGTACCGCGGGCCGGGGATGTCGCCTGCGTTGATGGCGTTGCGGATGACAACATCCAATCTCTCTTTCGCTGATGCAGCACCAAAACACCTACAAATTGTCAGACATATTAGATTTCATAGCATTATCAGTAGGCTGTAGTGCGGAGGTGCAAGTCAGACTTACATCGTATAACCCGAGTCCAGGAAACACTGAGCACTGCGCATCGTGAGAAGCGTATGCTCTTCAATCTTGAGTTCTCCCAGGCGATCGAGATCACCACCATTCCAGCTGAAATGCGCATGGCCATCGCCCAAGCCGGACATGAGGGTCCTGCCCCGGCCTCGGAAGACTCGCACCTTAGGATCACTCTTCAACTCCTCAACATTCGGCACTGTACCAACCGCAGAGATGCGTTCTCCTAAGTATAGTTAGAATGAAATGTATTCTCGACAATATCTTCTTAACCGACCTTCAATGAATACATCTCCACGGTATGGCAGTGCACCAGTTGAATCCAAAATGTTGACATTCAGAAAGATGATCCTGGACTCCGGGTGGGTACCATATATTTCATGCTCGTTACGCATCAAAGAGGTGCTCCATTGCAGCTCGTCTATGTGTTTAATATTGCGCGGGGCGTCGAGCTCCATTCTAGCAACTTGAAAGTCGATCTCCTACAGAATTCAAACTGCTATCTCTGATACGAAACGGGAAGCAATCAGTCTTGGCCCGGCTGAGACTTCAACCAGCAAGTGCCGGTGGTAGAGTACGATATCCAAAAATAGCACTTCGGCGTCGATTGAGATTCCGGAAGCCATTTGAGTGCCCCCAAGCGTCGCAAACTGTTGCTTCTATCTACATTGCCGTGTGGGGAACTTGGGGTCGTATCAAAGATGTTGCTTCTGCAGGTATTGGGAGCAGATGATTCGCAGGCGTGATGGAGAAGCGATCTCGATCTCCGCAGAAATGGCACAGTGAGATCTTACCGTTATAAGTCTGCATTAGCTTACACAGCGTTGTACTTAAGCAGTGGCTTGTCGGCAACGACCTCGCTCTCCTCGGCGGTTCTTTGAGTGGCCACATCAACTTTCAACATCACAGTAAATTTCTAGATAGCTGCCCTTGTAGCAGTTTGGTACACACCATGTCGTACATGCGAAGGTAATATCGCAGACATTACCAGTGGCGCTGGCAGTAATCAACTACCAGCGCTTGGTAACGAATGACCGACGCACAAACATCGGAACCCGCATAACGTCTAAAGGGAACCTGAACACACATAGTAAAGACAGCAGCTCGGGTGGCAGTTTGATTGCATACACCGAAAGTCAGTTTCCTCAGACATTAGCAAGACTTGAACTTCGCACATAGCCCTTGGGACCCCTGTCCTCCTTCACAGACTTTCTGGCTTATTCGTGGAACCATTGCCGGTTGGATGGATATTGTCCTTTCATTCGCTATCAGTACGCTAGATTACTGAAAAGGTCCAATTTCCGCCTCAACCTTCTCATCAAATTTCTAAACACAACCTCCAACTTGCAAGACTCGAGATAAAGTCTAGGGCGCGCTTCCTCTACAACGAGCATCAGTACTATATCTATGAGCAACCCAAACATTGTCTTAGACCCATGCACGACGACTGGTGCCACCGTTGGCTAATTTGAACAAGCCTGAGAATTCAAATATCAGTCGCTATGAAAGTGGCAGTGGGCGTTCACTGCCCTACTTCAACATTGCAACACTGACCTGCGCTGCTTTATTTCTTAAGGCCGCACATTGGACAACAGCCGGCACCGCTGCGAAGGCATGCTTCAGTCTCGGCAGGAGTTCTTTTGTCCTCCATTGGGGCTGCGTTGACACTCATGGCAAGCATGAGGGTGGAAAGAAGGAGCTGCTTCAACTGCATTTTGAATAACTGTCGAAAGACTTTAAGGAGAGAGTTTGAAAGTGGTAAAGATAAAAACTGTGTGGAATTGATAGTGTTCAATGACGATGAGGTGTAGAGCTGGTCGTCAGAAGGAGCTGGCTTTATACTTTTCGTCTCTGCCATTCAACGCAGAGAATCTCTCTGGTGGTTCCCCCCGTATATCAGCTCGCCTGTGCTTGATAGCCTGTTGCGATGATATGATCCAAGACCGAGATGATCAAGGGGTTGAAGCCATCGTGCAGCGTGCCAGGACAAATCTGGACCAGAATCCGTAGGGCGCAGTGAAAGGATAGCAGAAAGTAGCAGTCTAGACCGTCCGTGAAGCTGAAATTCTGTCCTGCCAAGCAATATACCCACCTGCTGTGCCATGAGCTAAGAATTTGTGCCCCAATCGCACATTGATTGTTCCAAATTCCGGCTGGATGACCATGGGTTCTGTTTGGGCAATCTTGATCGCTCTCTTTCCCATCTCCTCTTTGGATCCTCCTGTTTCAATATAAGTTGTAATACTTTCAAGGCTTGTCACATGAGGGAAGTCGTTACAACTTGAATTCTTACTTAGTTACTTAAGGCTCATCATACAATGGCAGCGAACGACCACAATAGATATTCACTTATTCCAGCGGGAGACGGGCCTTCTGGCCATATCGTGACGTGCCACAGCCAAGCTCAATTTGAAACCCCAGGCTTAAAACACAAACTCGCGAAATGGGGGTTGGTCGCGTTTATCAGTGCTTCGAACTTGACAGTGTTTATGTTAAGTGTCGCAGCGTTCCGTGGCTGTCGCAACTCGATGATAGACGAATGGATTCAGAGTACATCGACTTATTGTAAGTGCCTCAGATATGGACGGCAACGTGATAAAAATACTGTGAACTGCTAACATTGTGGATCGCAGCACCAATTCTGAGGGACATGGACATGAAGATTTCTTCGCAGACTTTCAACGGTGCGTTGCGTGACAATACAACAATCTGGAGAAAGCCACCCTCACGAGAAGTTGACGCTGCGTGGGATTTCCTCTCCGCTGAAGACATGCAGCTCATCACAGTGTCGGCGGACGATATTCTTCTGGCGGGCAAAGATCCCTCGAGATCAGTCAAGGCGCCCGCTTCTTGGGGGTTTGGCGATGACGCTTATATCGCTCAAGTCGAGGTCTTCCATCAGATCCATTGCTTGAATGAGCTTCGAAAAGAGATGCACTACGATTACTACTATAGCTCGCCACGAACCGAGCTTCACCTCAGCCACAAGAGCCACTGCGTTCACATGCTGCTTCAAACTCTGATGTGCAACGCGGACGTGGGGATCGTGACTCATCAGTGGGTGCACGATGATGCATACAGCGACCCGAAGACGCGGCCCTTTCCCGACTTTGACGTTGTGAAAAAGTGTAGAGATTTCGACGGCGTGATGCATTGGCTGAGGCATGGCGGTGGCGTCGAAAATTTGGCAGAGAAATTGCCAATGGATTATCCTGGAGGGACACCTGTGATTAACGCACAGGGCTACACACAAAAGCAAGGCAGCAAGGTGTAGAGACAAGGCGAATCTAGACCTCGGGAAGAATTCCGAAAACAACTGCTTGGGCGCCTCCTTGAACTGAACAACAGTGTATTATTGGAAAACGGTCGAGGCTCTGCGATTGGGGAGTGGGGTCATTGCGGCTGCATGTGAATAGTATGCCGGGGTCCACCTGTGGCTGATTTAGCTCATCCGTTAATTGGATCAATCCCCTTCAAAGTTTACTGTGCCAGGCCATTGCATGAGAACCTCGCGTTGAGATTAGGGCCCTGATCTTTCTATTGAACCTCCCGTGAGCTGGGGTAAGCTATTTAGCAGAGGCACAGTCATGTCAGATCATAATCGCAACTAGCTTCGTCTGAGACTTATATTGCCAAGTTGCTTAAGCGCTGGTTCCGCCTCTTCACTAGCCATGGTAGGAAGGACCACGCCAAGTATACTTGGCAGTCATTGGATTCAGATGTCGGTTCCCCCATGCATTCAGCTTCTGATATTGATAACGCTTCAATTGTCTTCTTTCTGTGTAGTCGAGGGCTAGACCCAAGTCCTAAGCTGTGCCTCACATGCCAAGGCGATAGCCAAGACGAACAACGGACCCAAGCTTGGTCGCATCATCATTCACGTGTGGTCGTCCTTATTTGGACGATGTCCCATAATGGAATTTTTGTTCTTGATCCTTCCAATTACTTTCATCAAACCAAAAAAAATCTCGTCTCAATATTATATGGTCAAGCAATTGACCGTCGGGCAGGATGACGGTTCACGAGATTCATTCGTATGTCAATACAAACACTGCGCCGTGTTTCCAATGCCATTGAGACTTTCGGCCATCCTCAGGCTGCTGAGTAACACCCATAGGCTAATATAGTTGGAAATAGGAACGAAGAGTTCGAGCTGGTGATCGCCCAGCACAAGTCAGTGCTGGTAGATTTTTTTGCAACTTGGTGCGGGCCGTGCAAAGTGATTGCACCGATATACGCAGGGTTAGTACCGTTGATCAAGGCTAGAAAGGTTGCTCGTAAGTAAAATAAAGTTGACAATTGTTCTTCGCTAGGCATTCGGAAGACGAGAAATACAAGGATATCTACTTCACTAAGATCGACGTGGATAAGCTCTCGTCCTTAGCAGATGACCTGGATATTCAAGCTATGCCAACCCTCTTATTATTCAAGGGTGGAGAAAAGTCAGAAGTACTTGTTGACCCTAACCCGAAAGCACTGGTTGAACTTGTTGAGAAGGGCGTTTGAAACTTCAGCAGGTTGTGAGCAAAGTGGATGCAAGAGATCCACCGATTTTTATAGTGATGTGCCAAAATACCTTCTATGTGGCCAGTTCATCTGAACGTATAAATGGGGAAAATACATATCATTACAATATTTGAATTTTTTTCTTTAGACATTAGATTCATGGAAATACTCTTAGGTAAACTAGCCACGAATCCAAGTCTTCATCATTCCAACTTCACTCTGCACGTCGCTCGACCTCGTCAGTGGCCACTTATAGGGAACGTGACGGTGGGCAGAGAGTCTGCGGAAGGCACACCCCTGTTGATATCTATCGGTGTGCTATAGTAGTTCCCTCTACTAAGGGAGCAATCGCCGTCGTTTACATAGCACGGGCTCTTCGTTGTTGATACGTTTTCTCCCTTGATAAATCGATATATAGGCCTGTACGTGGCGAATGATACGGTAAGGAAACCAATCATACATTCGACGGGGGTCAGTTAACGAGGGCCAGGGAACACCGCTAAGGGAATTGACAAATTAAGAATATCGATACTGTAAATATCAATTATGGTGCCACTAATCTATTAGAAAGGCTGAACTTCTCTTCAGGCTTAGACGTTTATTGCCCAGTCCGGGTCTTGCCCATCTCTGGGCCTGAGTTGATATGCAGTTGTGTATTGGGGTCCTTCGAACTCCACCAAATATCCAGCTTTGCATTCATCGAAAGAAATTCTTGGAATCTCTCCGTTGAAGAACTCGTCGTATTCAGGGGAAAGTGCAGCCAAGAGTGAAGTAATCCGGCCTGTAGGGTCCAAAGTGCCCCACGGGTCACGGCAAGAAATACCGGAACATGACTTCAACACCATTAAGAGACCATCGAGTCGACTTGCTAGCCTGCTCACCGGTACTGAAGTACCGCGAACCACGATATTAGAGGAGGAATTCGAATTGAAACCATCTTTGAAGACGTTGTTGAGTTGGTAAGGGTCCGACTTAGCAACTGTGTTAGCTAATTACTTGAGAGAGGGTCGCGTTCGATGTGGAGTTCTCACGGTCATATCGTAAAGCTCGTGCTCGTTAGTACACCATACAGAGTAATAGAAACTATAGTCTGTAGAGACTATCCGAAGGCTCTTGTAAGTATTGGCTACTTGGGCTAATGCAACGCGTCAGTACTTTCCCTGCATGAAATTGTTCTGTGGGCTTCCTGCGGAAGAACAGTAGGTTTGATCACATACTTGTGTTTCTTACACCACCTTCTCCAGGTTGAGACAGTCTCCAAAACTCAATGTTAACGTGCTCATGCCTGGTGTTTGTCTTCATTGCGACCTCAGTAAGAGGAATGGCTACCCCGTCAAAATCGACCTGCGGCTGTTTCCCGGCAATTTTGACAAAAGTTGGGGCAAGGTCAGTCATGGACGTTGGGGATTTGAAGCGAGCACCGGCCGGAACACCGGGCCCACGAACGATCAGTGGCACATTGGTATCTTCTTCATATCCACAAGTCTTGCCAGGAGCCATGCGATGGTGGCCGATATGATAACCGTTGTCCGACGTGAAAAAGACATATGTGTTGTCTATAATTCCGTGTTGTTCCAAGCGCAAGAAAAGCTGGTCGACCATTGAGTCAACAGATTGCAATGACTGCAAACGAGACCGATGCCACTTGTCATTGTTTTCAACCTGAGTGGCATTGAGCCGTGGGAGGGTCTTCACCCAGCTGGCCCCCGACGACTATCACAGTTAGTTTCATCAGGCAATATGCCTGGAATGCAGCCAAGAACTAAACTTACAAACTCAGGGTTGAAGTTTGGCGCACGAGGCACCTTGGCGTCTAGAAATAGGTTGGCATGTTCTGGCTTTGGCTGTGGGGCGCTGGTAGAGGATAGTAGAGTAGTGAGATTGGTATCGACTTGTGAATGGGGAGCGATAGGCGCCATTGTTAGGAAGAACGGCTTTCCAGCAGTGACAGCATCATCCAAGAAACCAAACGACTTTTCCGCCAAAAGGTCAGTAACATAACTGCCGTTGTGAAGGACAGGAGCATCCTCGTTCCGTTGAAACATAGGCGAAAAGTAAGAGTATTGATAAGGGTCCAGCAAAAAGTCCTGGTTGTCACAACTCATCAGCTTGAGATGAAGAAGTGGTTGAGTTGGGAAAGAAGCATACAGATCCGTTCCACGCTGCAGGAAATGGTTTGTTGTAGTTCTGTGGATTGTGCGAGTTGAAGAGCTTGCCGATATACCAAGTACTGTATCCTGCATCTTGCAACCAGACAGGTAAGTACCGATCATTGAAACCTTCAGCTACGAACTTGTCATAACCGCCTAGGCTTACAGTCAGCAAATGCGTTTTCTAGATTTTGATGGATCGCGGCCGCTGCAGCTAGAAACCGAAACTCACCATACGGCCCTTTCACGTCGGTTACATTAGTGTTGTGACCCGCCTTTCCAGTGAGTAGACTGGCTCTTGAAGGACAACATAAAGCCATGGTAGCATAATGACTCAGGTATGATGTTCCTTTGTTCACCAAGTGTTTCTGTACTGCTCCCATGTAGTCCAAGCTGCCCATTCGAGAATCCAAGTCGTCTAGAAGGATGAACACTATGTTTGGCCGGCTGGGATTACCTCCGCAAGAGGCCTGTACCACGGTGGAAATGCATGCTGCCCAAAACCCCAAGTAAAGGAGTAAATGCGAAAATACCGGCATCTTGTCAAGGAACAGGACTGTGCGACATGAGATGCGTAAACTTGCAGTCGTAAACCTCATTGTCCTTCTATCAGAGAGGTATCTCTGGTAACCAGTAATATATTCGACAAGACGACTCAACGAATAAAAGGATGCCGATGAAATTTACCTAGCGCGATGGTGTGATCATTGTAACGACGGACTAGCAAATGATGTGATGGTGATTGAAGCTAAGCCGAGAAGGGCCCAGGATGAACTTCCGTTTTGGGTACGCTGTCGTGGGTCAATGTCGTTGACTGCCGCAGAATCAAGCATAAATGGCGCGGGGACGAGCAAACCCGAAGTTTACGAAATAGTACGAGATTCCCGACAAGAAAGTGGGCTGGTAACAATCGACATCTTCTCAACCCTGGCCCTATGTGAAAGAAATTAGGGGCCAGAATGCGCTATAGTTGAGAGCAATGGGGAATGTTCCGTCTTTGTGTGTTGAAATATGTAATAACAACGTGCTATCTCCTAGTAAGAGCGATTCAAGTGCTAGTCCTCCGTATGTGATTGGAAGGAAGCGAATATGGTAGCAATGCCAAGGTGGTCTGTGATTGATCTTGAAAATCTCGATTATTGATCGAGCTGAGTGCGCAATTGATTATCCCGATTTATTTGCAAGCGATCTTGAATTATATTGTCTTTAATAGCATGGAGTATAATGCAACTTCTGTTCAACGACCCGACATGTGGGGCGGGTTGGGCGTGCCACGCCCTAGCTGCCACACTGTGACGTATAGCGCATGAGCATTAGTTACACGGGATGCTAACAATTGCGTTGCCACTAGTTGAGCCTAATAAGTAATGCATTGTATAGAGACGCGCAAATGTAGCGATCCAAGCTACTCGGTTGATATAGGTTGACATTGCAAAAGCTAAGGCTGGAGGGTAGGAGCAAACGATTCAGACCTATGGCTGCGATACCGCAAAGCGATTGTCGAGAAGGAATATCACTTCTTAGGCCAGGCTCACGCGGGACGGGCTGACGACAGTTTCCGTCACTGCCAAGCCTCGTTCTGCTTCGCAATCTTGCCAAAGAAAGCAGAAGGTCAGTTCACGAGCTCACAACCTATGTAATATAGTTATTAGAGAAACAAAGGAAATTCTCGCATTCCGTTCTTAAATACACACAATTGCACTACGCGATTTGTTACTAGGTCTTGGACGATGCAGGAGTAAGCCCAAGCAAGGTGCAGACCCACCGTGGCCAACAGCGCTACCGCGTCAAGACCAACAGTTCGATGTTCTCCGACATGAGCCCAAAGTGGCATGGCTTTATGTGCATTTGCTTTGATGGAGGGAGAGAAGACGTCAAGTGTCATAGATGCAGGCCTTCACATCTAGCCTCCTAATAAACACAGTAAGCAAACATCCTGTAGTCAACGCAGTGGGGCCATCCAATGGGGACAGAGCGTCGAAAGAAGCACAGCCATCTTTTGTACAGCATATGCAGGATTAAGATTCGGGGCCAAACCCGTCTGGTCTTCCCACCGATCCACTACCCCTGCCAACATGAGGTGTGTGGGCGACCGCGTCTGCTGTGGCCAATCACGTCGCTGAGTATCTCGATGCCTAACTGATCTGCGACTTGGAAATCCTTCGACCACGGACCCCATCCACCATCCGCCCCGAAAATGGCAAAGGCTTATATATAATGGCAGGACCGAATGCTGCTGCCTCGCGGCAGCTTAGTTTGATGACTATTCTCAGCTTACTATAAAAATTCCTCAAACAGCCTTCAGTGAGGCTCAAGAGCTAGCACAATGCCTCTTCACAAACCTGAACCCGCGCGCCCGGTCAACACCACGGTGGAGACTCAAACCGACTCCAGCCGACCGCTCTCTGCCACCCCTTCGAAACTGTCAATTTCCGGAACGCGCGACTTCGGTATGAAGTTCATGCCTGGTGTAGAGGACATGCCAGTCAGCACGACTGGCAGTCAGCGATCTCCCGACACCAACACGGAAGCGACTTGGACCAATAGCCCGGTCAACGCACCGCCGACTTACTGGGAAGCACCACACTCGGAAGCCTCGACCGAGCTTGATGACGAAGATGAGGACGAACACCATCCGTATCTGTTGTCCTGGTGGTGGATATTAAAAGGGACAGGCCTCATTCTATTCGGTGTCTTCGCCAACGCTCTGGTTCTTGCGGATGCGATTGCGAAGTTGCTGCATCACACGCCTGTTTTATACGGTGATACAACGGTTCGGAAATGGCCAAGAGTCACCGGCGTTGTGGATGGCTGTGCCGTAGGCGGCAAGGTAAACACCCGTGGACTAACGCCTGTTTTAATGACATTGACTAACACTGCATCTCAACAGTACCTGGGGCTTGGGATCTACGATGGCCTTGCCGACTGGGTCGTCCTGCCATGTAAAGGAGCCAAGGAAGAGGGCGCGTTTGGTGCTTTCAAGGGATTTCTGAGAGCGCCAGGTTCCACGATGTTTAAGATGGCTGCCGGTTAGTAATATGCTCTCTACTGCGTGCATCCCCTGTTTAACATCAATTACAGGCATTGCGGGCATCGTGGGCCATCCTTTCTTTGGTATCTACAAAGACAGCAAGAAAATCCGAATTACGATCAAGCACAAGCGTACTAAGCACAGGAAGGATACCTCTCAAGTGTGATTGTGGAGCATGCTATTACCAGCGAGCATATTGGATTAGGACGCAGGGTTGCAGGTACGGGTATCGGCGAGTGTTCGCTGCTACGGGCCCGCATCCCTTGTATGAAACTTTTACTAGACGAGATATGCAGCGACAGCTTCCTCCTTGTATGAACATGCCGAGACAGGGAGAGAGAAAACCGAAATGAAGATTGCTTCATCTACTGTTATAGCCTTCCCATTCTCGACCTGGGATATTTCTTGGCGTGAATATTTGAGAAAGCTATGTGTGCTCTGAATATAGGTTGCTTTTTTTCACTGGTCGGCCTTTGCAAATATAGTTGGCTCTTCTTGTCAATTTGACATTTCTTGACCTAACAATCGAACGCAGACATAACACAAGTCGAGTGAGAAGAGCATCGACGAAGGAGGAAAGCATCGCGGTACATGCATTACTGTACCATAATACCAAAGTACTCTAGACTATGTACAACCAGCTTCGGTTCATTCTGAATCATGATCATAGCACTTTTAGGTATGGGTCGTGTGAATGGGAGGAGATCTTAGCTCTGTATAGTCAAAGAACCGCTTATATTTGTCTATATACAAGTCTGGCATCTTACATATCAAAACCCAGAGGGAAGAATTTACAAGAATGAAAAGCGGAGGAAAGGCCACAAGCCGTAGTCATCCTCGCATCTGGAGACCATTTCGCTGGAAATCCCATCATACGCTCCAGCACTCTAGGACTGAGTGACGTCGCTCTCGTCGTAGATGCAGTAGGTGCCGTCGGGGCCGGAGCCGTTCTTCACAGGCTCCTCGTCATTGTTGTCGGTGCCGGTGTACGTGACACAGATGTCGTCGACGTTGCTGGCGGTGATGTCGCTGAGGGTTGCGGAGTCGCCGTAGTTGGAGTTGATGCCGGCAAGCTGCGAGCCGGACGAGGCAGTGATGCCGCTCATGATGACATGGCGCTCGTGCATGGTATCGCAGTTTCCACAGCTGCGGTACAGCTTGCCAAAATCGTCGACGGTGAAGTCGCTGATGGACACGGTGCCGGCGCCGTTGTGCTGCACCACCTTGTCCGAGGCGCCAAAGGCACCACCGCCCTTGACGTAAGTTGTGGCACCGCTACTCTGCTCTTTGATGCTGAAGGCATCCTCGCAGACTGCCGACCACCAGACGTTGGTGAGCGTGCAAGCGCCGTTGCACTATCATTGTGAGTTAGCATCATTCTGAGTCAGGGCTGGCCCCGACTGTGCCCAGTATGGACTTACGTGAACACCCTCAATCTGGTTAGGTCCGATGATGACATTGGAAAGAGAAGCACCCTCCTCAAGAAGGAAGACAGCATCGCTACCGCCACCCTCGCCGGAGGTGCAGGATACACCACGGTCGATCATATACATGCCGCCATCGTAAGACTCGCCTGCTGCGATGGTCTGGACGGCGGACAGCTTGGAGGTACCTGACGAGGCCGGAAGGCTGGCGCGAGCTGCGAGCTTCTTGGGAGCCGCGGTGATCTGCGGGCTCGGGGCAGCGGAGACGCCAAGGGCGAGGGAGGCAGCGATGAGGACTTTGTACTGCATTTTGCTGGTTGACGATGTCCAAGAGAGAAAGGACAAAAGTTTCTAGACCTGCTTGAAAGGGGAACAAGGACGAAATTCAAGCACTGCTTGATGAAAGGCAAGAAGCAAGGTAAGTCAGGTTGGCGATGATAGTGAATAGAGAAGCGGTGGATTCCAGGTGAATAACACGAGATTATATAGATCTCAACGCACTAACAGTGCGCCGTCTTCGGTAGTTGGGTGGATAGGGGCATGCACGCTTCCCGTTAGTCGACCAAGAAGCATGGTCACTGGTTGCAGTGGAACTGGGTAAACATGCCATGGTTGGGGATTGAATGACATCGAGGAGTGTTTCTCGCCAAATTGGAACAGGGAAGTAAAAGTCCACCAAACAATAGCTGTGATGAAGTAGTTCTCTCTTGGCAGGAACACCCATGGGGAACATCCACCACGTTCATCGCCAAAGTCGACCAATGAGTTGGACTGCCACGGCAGACCTAGCGGCTAGCTTGGGAGGAGCCTCATCTGATGTCCATATAGCGGCATCGCTTTGATTGCGGACGACTTCGACCGGGGAATGGTAAATCACAATCCCCGGAGAACCTGCTAATCTTTGCCCGAACGACTACCGGGTTGAATACCGGCGGCTGTGCTGGTGAAGATTCACGCATGTAGATGGAACTTCCAAGACAACGTGGGCCGATGTGGTGTGCGGCTTATGGGGGCCTTGGGGTCTTGGGAGCCGTAGCGAGGTACCAGGAACTCGATCAACTCGATTTGGACTTTTCCAGACGCTGAACGGTGGAGAATTATGAATTGTCGTCGGCCAGCGCTGCCAGAACCAGTGTCTGAGGCCGCCTTACCCCATATTTCAGGGAACGATGAAGCACCGCCAAGGATGATCACCAGCTTGGCGCACTACTTGCAGCCCGCGCCATCGGGTACAGCCCGGCAGAGCTACCCTGGTCTTCTTTCGAATATATTAAAGCATTCGTCATGCATTAGCTGGGATCCGGGCTGGTGAGGCTCAAGAATTCTGTTTTCGGTTGCAGCGTGGACATGACTCGCATTGCTATACTTCATGCGCACAGCTCGATGCCCAAGACACCGTTGGTGGCGTCCAATTTCTCCAGCCTTCAACGCTGCTTTGCATGGGGTTAAGAAATATCGGACCATTACATTCATCGGACCATGTGAGACTCCGCTTGTCGACGTAGTGCTGGCAAAATACTTCGATTGTAAACCCTCCTTGACTAGGCAGGGATGGGGCGATATAGTGATGTGCGAAGTAAGCGACTAATTTAGTCTCATCAACAAGTCGCTCCGGAGCGTTGAACATTTGTGAATCAGTAGAATGTGTTTCATGATACGATCTGTCACGTAAGTGTATGTAAGAAGTGATGGCATGTGGAAATCCTCGCTCTTTGAACCGTATGTTCACTGTACAATTCTCTGTATTCTACATCCATGGCTTCATTAGTGTATAGTGTACATGCGGAAGGATATGGTGACTCAAGTATTCTGTTTTTACAGAGACCTCGCCATTCTCCTCATTGAGGCTCTTCAACGGCGACTTTATGTTCATCGTCTTCCAAGTCCCCATCTGTAGATTCTATCCTGAATCTCTTCCCAGCTCAAAGACTTTGCTGATGAGCCGGGCTGCTGAGCCTCTTGTAGAACAACAGTGGGCTGGCCACTGCCGTTGCCAGGGTTCTGCACTAGACCACCTGTGACCTGCTGAGCCACGCGGCGGAGATCCTCGACAGTAAGGGACTCGATCTTGCGGCACATCTCATGGACTGGTACTTTGCGACCGTGGACCTGAACTTGCCGTCCGAGGTCCTCCAATTCGACCATGCGGCTCTCCAAGTTCATAAGGAGGCTTGATCTCAATTGGTTCTTGGCTCGGCTGACTTCGACCTGGCCCAAAGCGGCGAAGCCTGTGCTTAGAGTCAGTGCACGTAGCTCCTGGCACATGACATCAAGCATGGGCTGTGTCCGTCCTGGAATACACATGGCCGAAATTCCAAAAAGGCCGGAATCGGTGTAAGAATGGTTGAACGCAATGCAGGACTCAACCCAGGCGTGCTGGTTGAGAACATTCGTGTACAGTCTCGAGTACATACCCTTGCCAGGGCCACCGGCGGAGAATGAACCGCCACCGCCGAGCAAAGTGTTTAGAGTGGCCAAGGCATAGATATCGTCCGAGGCGATCGGTAAACCTTCAAATGCAAGGTGGATATGAGTGAAAACAGGCTGCAGAGGGTTATATGATGGCGGTTGGGAGGGAAGCGAGACAAATCCACCGGTATAGTGTGCAGGGGCAGTCATTTCCTGCTGCGTGGGGTAGAGTTTGGCCGGATCGGTGATGACGGCTGCGTTGGATGATGCAGAGGTGGAGAGGTTCTTGAAAAGGGGTAGCTTTGATAATATGCTGGGAGATTGCTGAGATGGTGTTGATGACGCGGATGATGCGCTGGACGCAGTGGAATCGTCGGTGCTCGCTGAAACGTTGGACCCAATCGACGTCTCTGAACCCGTTCGCGACAAGGCGGGTTGGTCTGAACCTTCCATGTCACCGAAGAACTGAGTGGCCAGCTGGACAGCCTCATCGTGAGCGACGCCAGCAAAGGCGACCACAGTTCTTTCCGGTCGGTAGAAAGCCTTTCTATACGCCTCGACGACTGACTTGTTGATCTCGGGAATGCGCTCTGCCGGGCACAACAGCGGGTTACCGAGCGTGTTGTCCTTAAAAGCAGCCATGTGCACCAGTTCAGGGAGGATAAGCTCGGGCTTCTTCCAGATCTCTGTAATCTCGTACTCAGCCGTCGCCAGCTCCTGACTGACTTCTTCTTCCGAAATTTGTGGATTTCGTATCGTTTCTGCCAACAGTTCTGTGGCCGTAGGGACGGCAGAGTTGAACGTGGCAGCCTGGTACATCATGGACTCTCTGCTTGAAACGCACTGGATGTTCCCACCCAGCGACTCGACCGTCTCCTGGATCTGTTCGCCGCTTCGCTTGGTCGTCGACGCGAAAGCGAGACGGTCCACGATGTGGCTGACACCACTGAGGTAGGCATTCTCGAAGCGCGACCCGCCTTCGATGTAGACACCAACGCCAGAGAAGGAGCCTGGGAGGGCCTCCGAAGCGACACGGACACCGTTCGGCAGAGTCGTGATGTTATCGAGGTCGGTCGGTTCCTGGTACTGGATATCAGCCTCGGCTGTGGACAGACGGATGGACAAACCGTGAGCGCCGGGACGGGTTGCTTACCTGGGGCGTCGGCACGCTGACAGATGCTAACGTTCTGACTGGTGTGCGGTTGACATGGCGTTTTGCAAGGGAGGCCGTCCGTCTCGCCGGTGACGCCACACCCCTCGTAAAAAGTCTGGAGGAGCTGGCCCGGAACATGGTGAATGCAGCTTGTCTTGGTACCAACCACGGGGGGAGCCACGGTCAATGGGCGTGTCTGTCGTCTGGCGCGTCTCGGTACGGGGATGGGAAAAAGTCGTTATCGGCTTATCGTGGTCGGCTGCTGCGGCATGACCTCATCCGGCAAAACACCGGACCCGCCCTCCGCTCCGTCCGGGCCACCCCCGAAGGCTCCGAGAGCAGCTCGACAGCATCGCGTTGTCGCCTACACATGTGCTGCGATCCTGGGTAGTGGGAGTTGTGAGTCTTTCCAGCCATGATTGAACTGCTGCTGGCTCATTGAACATGCACTGCACGCGTGCGTTCTAAGAGGCTTGTCGCAATTCGGCGATCGCTCTGGACAGGGTCCACTGGCACTGGGTCTTCGTCTTGTTGTCACAACGCTATCGGGGTCTTACTGCCAAACCTCTCCCCGATGGCGGTCTTTGTGACACTCCGAATGGCAAATCTGTGACATGTCTATCTCTCAGCTGGAAATAAGGCTGAGATCCGCCTGACGCTTTTGCTCCCGTCCATTGGTCCTTGGCGGCACAGTTGCTGACCCCAGCTAGCACTAACGAAAACAGAACGCTCCGTTGAATTACCGTCTTAGTCATTCCCTCAATTTGACATCATTCCAATAAAGTCTGCTTCGAGATTGACTTAAATGTACTGTCGATAGGTCGTCAAGGCCAAAATCCCATCAAACCCTCCTCATCACTTTGCTACCATGGCAGGCCGACGCCTCATCAACCGTCAGCTGCTGAGTTTATGCCCACCCTCAGCGAGACACAGTGCTCCGACACATCCTATAAGCTTGGCTCGCTTTGCAAGCGTAGACTCTAGCAATGGAAATGACAGTATGCGTTCGATTCCTCTCCTTTTGTCGAAAAGGCCATTCTCACAGCAAGCAAGAAGACAGGAAAGAGCGCGTCGTCATTCTTGGGTCCGGATGGGCCGGATACGGCTTTGCACGGACACTAGACCCAAAGAAGTACGAGCGTATTATGATATCGCCTCGTTCGTACTTTGTGTTCACCCCATTGCTGGCAGGCACAGCAGTTGGCACTCTCGAGTTCCGGGCAACACTAGAATCCGTCAGGCGGCTAGGACTGGACAGCTTCCACCAGGGTTGGGCCGATGACATTGATTTCACCAAAAAGACGATTAGAGTTGAAGCAAACACCTCTGATGATCTGGCCTCACGGACACATCTCTTACCTACCAAGTCTTCGAAGGTGCAGGCTGAGAAAGGGGTGATGTTCGATGTGCCGTATGACAAGCTCGTCATCGCTGTCGGCTCATACAGCCAGACTTTTGGAATCGAGGGTGTCAAGGAACACGCAAACTTCTTGCGAGATGTCGGCGACGCTAGGAAAATCCGGCTAAGGGTTCTGCAATGCTTCGAAAAAGCAGCGCTTCCTACCACGACCGATGAGGAGAGGAAGAAACTGCTGCACTTCGCTGTGGTAGGCGGCGGCCCAACTGGTATTGAATTCGCTGCCGAGCTTCATGACCTGATTCAGGATGATCTCAAGAAGCTCTACCCAGACGTGATGAAGTATGTGGGCATCACTGTGTATGACGTGGCGCCGAAGGTTCTGCCCATGTTTGACCAGACCCTGGCCAATTATGCCATGGAAACCTTCCACCGCGAGGGAATCAAGGTCAAGACTCAGCATCACCTTACGCGCATCAGACCCGACGACGACACAGCAGGCTGCTTGAAGCTGAAAATTGAAGAACTTGGCGACGAGGAAGTCGATGCGGGGATCGTGGTTTGGAGCACTGGCCTCATGCAGAACCCTTTGGTGCAAAAGTTGGAAGAGAAAGTCTTCCGTCCATCGTTGATAGCTGGTAGCGCTGACCCTGCCCCGGAAGTAAGGCTCCACAAAGACGCGAAGACGGGCAGCTTGCTCACCAACACTCACCTTAATCTCACGGTCGTTCCTAGCAGACTGGAGCAGGCTAAGGATACCTCATCTTCGATCCTCCCCGATGTGTACGCCATTGGAGACTGCGCTATCATTGACGGCCAGGTCCTTCCTGCCACTGCACAAGTTGCCAGTCAAAAGGCAAGTTACTTGGCAAAGCAACTCAACAAGGGCACCGCCGGGACGACAGACTTCAAGTTTCGCAACTGGGGCACCATGACCTACCTTGGAGGGTGGAAAGCGATCCATCAGAGTAGTGCTGATGACCTCAAAGGGTGGGCCGCCTGGGTCTTGTGGCGCACTGCGTATCTCACAAAGAGCATGAGCATTCGGAACAAGATTATGGTCCCTATATACTGGTTCATTTCCTGGGTTTTTGGCCGGGATATCTCAAGGTTCTAGACAAAAGGTTTGTATAATAGACATGGAGGTTGGCCTCGGGGGCGGAACGACGCGAATACCCAATATATAGAGAACGTATGGAATACGATAAGATGTTATTTGTCTTGGACATTGCTCAGTGCTCATTATAATCTTGATTGCTACTGTTTACACAATGAATGTGCTACATGCCAAGCTTTGCCCATAGTACATCGCCTCGTAAGCGGGCATGTCGAAAATGGTTGACTTTGAAAACTTTAAAGAAGCCCTCGCCGCATTCGAGGCGCTCTGGTCTTTACTACATCCTCACGGCGTTTCATAATCAATACTGACCATCTAGTGGACAGCCTAATTTCGATTAATAGTTATGTCTCCTTATTGAGTCTTTCTTCATTGTAGGATCTTGGTCGAAACTACACTGGCTCCAAAATGAGGCTGATTCGAGTCTTGGCTGCATATCGCACCGACTTGAATTCAGATTGGTCCGGCCAATTGAGAGTCACATTCATGCGGTGCCGTTCAAAAGTACCCGGCCCGTAGCAGCGAAATTAAATGTAGACATTGAAGTGGCATCGCGATGCGATCAGCTATATCGGCTTGGCGTGCACTTTTGCAAGAGCCGACATTGCTTGTATTGCTTATGTTGCACAAAGACGGTGCCAAGGTCGGGTTGCATCCGTAGCGGTCTCGGTAAAGCTTGTTCACACGCAGTCTGCCGCCCGAAAGCGCCGGCTCCCTGTCTGCATCGCGCGACATACCAAAACAAGTAGGTCGTAATTTTGTTCACTTCCAAAGGGCTGATGGAGCAGATACAGACACGATAGAGACAAGCGGGGTAAAGTGGGCTCTTGACAGCCCAGGAAGACTATGTAAGTAGTATCCACTAAGTATTGGCTGTCAGCTATATCGAGTACCGTAAGATTTTCTGCGCTGAGTGTGGAGCTGGGACCGTTGTTATCCCCTTATCAACAGTGCGCCAGACCGTCATCGAACAGAGCTGTTTCTGCAGCGAAAAGAGGCGCGCTCGCCGCCTACATGTGGCTTTCCTCATAATGGCTTAAGCATAGCAATCCTTGCAGGTTTTGCATTAGTTGATAGGCACGGCTTCTTGTCCCGGAATCATGGGCAAAGTGTCATTGCTAGGTCGACCGAGATCCGACGCTGTCAAAATAGATGAGGGCCCCACGACCCATGTCCCATCTAGCCCCAGCCATAAGTGATGCCAGACTCGGGTCGCATTGGACCAACGCCGTTACGTGATGATTGGCTACATATCATACTTGAGGACTAACTGCTAGGAAACATGCAACGCTACGTCAAATTATTGAAAAGCTGAATGCAGCAACCCCTGCTTTGCGTAATGGCCAGTCGAGAGATCAATGACAGAATTGTCCAGTAGATGGTGATCAGCAGTCCCGCGTTAGCTCGCATTGGGTATCGTGGGAGTTTACCGTCATTGGGCAATTGAAGACTCTACTGAGGTGTCACAGCAGCTCAGGGGTCATCGCAAGTCAGCGTGTACGGACGCTGGGTTGCAAATCTGCAAAGCTGCCCATCTATAAAGCTCTTGCCGTCGCACCGCTTTGCCTCGGTCTGGCGTGAAAGCAGGCCCAAGCACTTTAAGTGACCACTCTCCTTCTTCAATTAAAGATGAAGTCATTATATTTCCTAGTATTGTCTTTATACACGGCCAGAGGTGTAGAGTCGTCGACTACTCCACCGCTCGGCTTCGAGAGGAGAGCCCTTTTTCGAGATTTCACCAGGCGCGCGGCTGCAGGCTCCAGTGCTTCGACCTCTGGGACTTGTTCTCTCGATGAGAGTGCGCCAACCATTTCTGCCCCCAAGACCAATGTCTGGAGGACGCTTTCGCCGGAAGACAACATTGCAGTCTATAATCTGCTGCATGACCCGGCGTCTGGGTTGAACCTGACTGATGTTTCAACTGCTGGGATCAATGACAACTACCTATTTTATATCGACACGGTCCCGCTGAACAAGTCCGACGTCCTGCCATATTTGGATGCATCGGGGCCAAAGCCAGCACAATACGCGAGAGCTATCATCTTCGAGGGTGGCAAGGAGGAGCCTGTCTCCCAAGAATACATGGTTGGTCCTCTGCCAGTCGACAGTAAGACGACGATCCAGAAGCTGGATTATCTCTACAATGGTGGTAGCGGTGGATCAATCCCGTTCAACGGCAGAACGTTTGACGCTTTGCGGGCTGCAGCGTCGGATACTCTCTTGTTAGAGATCATGGCAAATGTCAGCGATATCACGACTGCACTTCTTGGCGGTGCTTGGTATGGAGACTTCCTGCCAGAGTCCACACTTGAGTCGTCGATTTCTGCTCCTTCCTCATACGATGGAACACAAGCCTTCCGTATTGTGGCGTTCAAGCGCCCCGGTCCTGCGTCGTACTTGCGGCCAGTGGACTTCTATGTTATCTTGGACTGCACCGGAACCGATGCCTCACTTTACAAGCTGAAATCGATTGTTACGAACACTCGAGTGTTCCCGTCGATCGCTGAGCTAAGGGCAGCATTCGAGGCAGGCGAACTGACAGAAGAGAACAAACAACCCGAAGACTACGACTGGGCACTAGTGAAGCCCGATCAGGAGATGGGCAAGCGGGATCTGGAGGAGAAGTTCGCGCCTCAGAGCATTGAGATCGGTGGAAAGAGATACAAGCTTGACAATGAGCAGAAATACGTCGAGTACATGGGTTGGTCCTTCTATGTCTCTCACACCATTAGTCTTGGCGTCATGTTCTTCGACATCAAGTTTAAAGGGGAGCGAATCCTATACGAACTATCAATGCAGGAAGCTGCGGCTCAGTATGGAGGATTCCAGCCGAAGTCTGCTTCGACGCTCTATCACGATACGTATTACCAGATGGGTACGAATTTGTACCCCCTGGTGGACGGATTTGATTGCCCTTTCGGTTCCTCTTTTTGGAATGTTACCTACCACGATACAAACACGACGGTCGTGAGCCCAAACGCCATCTGTATCTTCGAGTCCGATGCTGGTTTTCCGCTCTCTCGACATCGCGCTCCTGGAGGGAACGCGTACGGGTTGACAAACATCGGTGTTGTCAAGGCATCTATGCTGACCCTTCGCTCGATTGCTACAGTGGGCAACTATGATTATCTTTTCGACTACGCCTTTCATGTTGATGGGTCTTTGGAGGTAACAGTCCGGGCATCAGGATACCTACAGTCCTCCTTCTACTATCCGGACCAAGGTAAATGGGGACCACGGATTCAACAGGCAACTCAGGGCTCGCTCCACGACCACGTTCTGACGTGGAAGGCGGATTTTGATATCCTTGATACTAACAACGATTTGGAGGTCACCGAGGTCCGCGCCGCGCCCACGGAACAGCCGTGGTTCCCCGAGTTGGGTGTCTTTGAGCAGCTCGAGTTGAACCAATACAAGATGGACACTGAACAGCGCTTTGACTGGGCCGCTAATGGGCAGACGATGTATTGCGTTAATCATGCGAGTGAGACAAACAAGTGGGGCACCAAGCGCGGATATCGCATCATTCCAGGCCGGTCTAACATCCGGTTGAGCACTCTCGACTCGCCATTTAGCCGACGTAACTCGGAGTTATCCAAGTCACAGCTGGCCGTGACTCGGCAACATGACACGGAGCCGTGGGGAAACAGTGTGCAAAACCTCAACATGCCGTGGAAGCCACAACAGGACTTTGGCAAGTTCTTCAACAACGAGAGTATCGAAGGGGAAGACTTGGTGGTCTGGTTCACCCTTGGGATGCATCACTTCACGCGTGCCGAAGACGTGCCAGTGACGCTGTACTCGGAGGCCGTAAGCAGCATCATGTTTGCACCGCAGAACTTCTTCGATAGAGCGCAGGACGGCGACATCCAGAATCGTAGGTGGATTACTCCTGCGCCGAACTCGACTTCTCTGGTGTATGAGACCTTTGGTATTGAACTGCCGCAGTGCAAGGTTGAGTTGAAGGAGAGGGTGATACAACCCTTTGATTTGTACTAAAAGGGACTTTGGATTGAATTAATGAATTGATCTTAAACTTGATTCACCTCGACAGCATTGTTTGCTAGCATTGCATGATAGCGGACACAATTGGGCTAGATCTTTTGCTCACTTGCATACAGGCTGAAGGGGTACAGCGGCAGTCTTCGCTGTGACCTACAACCATGTTCCCCAAAATATCGATAGAAAAAGGGAGACGGAAATAAGTCCAAACAAACGTATTATAAGACTGTGAAAGCAATAAACCCAGACCGCCTGTTATACAGAACTGCTGTGACAGTTGCTGCGTGAGTGATTAGTCGGTCAATGAACGCATCGGAGGTCTAAAGGTGCAGTTATTATCTTGATTCTCTTTACTTAAGCACGATGCGATCCATGGCAAAGAAACGATGCGAGGAAAATCCCTAGTATGGTAGCTTTCTAATCTTGGATCATATGACGTCAGAGGAATTAAATTGCAAGTGTTGGTGAAGTCATTGGGGCAGAGCAATCCTTTTTGACGAAGCTATTCATTCGTTCCTTCGCGTGTGCTGTAGAGTAGAATGGATGCAAGGATTCGGGCGACTATAACAACTGGCGGGTGTCATGTTCTTCAGTGTACCAGTTCGCAGTAGTACACTCGACGACAACTATGCCGAGTTACCCACAGGACACGTGCATGCGTTGACGATCATATAGATAATGAGGCTGTAAAATCCTGTAGGCTGGTAGAGTTTATGGTAAGCAGCTAAGCGGCTTTGGTGCCGCATTTTCTAGGCGTTATATGCAATCTTCGTTTGTACAACAGATCTTCTCTTACACCTTTGAGGCAGCGATTCAAGATTTGATTGGCAGCCTCAGACCAGTGCTGATCCCCGGATGCACGATTCGTTTACATATGGCATTCCCTGCTCCGAGGAAGAAAAGAACGAGGGTTGCGTGATTCTCACCTAGCTACCACAAATATGGTGTGTTTTACTGTTGCCTAGTTACTTTGCACACACCTTTATTCAGAGCTATTGCCATAGTGTGGCACATCGGGTAACGTAGCTTTGACGTTATAAAGAGACGGCTCAGATGCCCGCGATGTGATCGGTGTAATTGCATTGTGCACTGCAATATTATCATCACAGTTTCCAACTTCTCTCTATTGAATTTCATTGAGTAATGCTTCTTTCTTGTTCTTTTATCAATTTAGCTATCAGTTGAAAGTCCCGAGTGTTGGGCTCCTAATGAATGCGGCCTAGGCGGCGCCAAAGCCAATAATTCCCCATTGAACAAATAAAGTACCCAATCCTATCATACTTCTAGTTGCAAATCCTGCGTGGCGAGGAACTAGGCTACAGTGAAAATGAACTGTCAAAAAGTGAGCCCTCAGTTGATCTCTCCTTGCACAGGTTGTGCTAGCGAGGAGCCGGCTGGCAAAGCCCCATCTTGGCACCCAGCTGAAATTACAGGCATAGGCCAAGAGCGTTGTTGTCGCACCAAAATATACCCAATTAGGCGCTAGGCCAAGTGGAGTTTCATGGATCTTCATTTTGGCACTGCTAGCGCAGTGGTTATTTTGTGACAGTTGTCTTGGTCGATCTCTCAGAAGTTGTACATGTAGACGCCAAGCCCAAATCAGCATGTACATATGCTTCCCAGTCCTCATTTCTTTGGTGGGATTAGTGTGACGTATGAACAACTTACCAAGCCCACATATAATCCAATAGGGTGGGCTTAATTGCATGAGTGACGGTACCTTGGGATATCGTATAATCCAATCAAGGAGAAATTCTTCAATAACGGCATGTATTAATGTAGATCATATGCCATAGAAGAGTGCAACACATTGATAATGCAGATCATTTGATCTTTAGGAGCTGTGGTGTATTCGAAAACTGATCTCGATATAAAAATAGCTCTGAGTGGTTTGGACTGATTATAAAAGGGCAGTTCAATCTCGAGGAAAATGAGCTTGAATCAATAACTAAAGTCATTCCAACTCAGCCCAGCTTCACTACAGCGTCTCTTGCACTTGCCCTAGCTCAATATCACGGTTTTTGCTTCTCAAAACCTCGGCTCTCTCTTTCCAACATGAAGACTTCCTGCGTCATCTTTATCGCTGCTTTCTTGCAGTCTGCGACTGCTCTGCCGTCCGAAGGGGCTGCCAAACTGGAAGCCCGAGCTAAGCCAAAGCTCAACCAATACGCCAGTGTTGAAGATTGGTACGCTGAGCTCTCCGCAAATAGATTCATATGAGATAATACGATTAGCTCGCTAACATTTGGTAGCCAAGCTGACAAAAACATCTTGTATCACGCCGCGCCCGTCACAGGTCGATGCTACGATCTGGACGACAAGACTGGCGCCTTCTTCTCTAACGCTGGAGGTCGATGGTTCCCGACGGGTACGTAGACATCATTCACAATACTGCCTCATACTATGCTCCGCTAATAAGTCATCCTGCCAGTGTACACGGAGAAGGGTTGTGGCGGAGAGAGTTATGTTCTTACAACCATGGGAGAATGCCCCAAGGCAGACCATTGCATGAAAGATGCTACTTGCATCAGCTCGAGCTACTACAGGAACTGGAAGTCTTACAAGGCGGCGTAAGGCAGAGTCACAGTTAAAGGTCTTCAATAATTCCTGGCTGTGACCACATCCATACTCGGATTGATGAATACCGCGCAGTTGAGCGGACTCACGGAGAACCGGCGGTAGGGGTTGGTGGATATTCTGATTTTGGGGGATTTTTCCTATCACGCTCATTATTGCACGCATATTGGCGAGAAATTCTTTGATTTCTTTTTTGGCTTAGTCGTTCGTTCGCTAGATATCTTTCAATTTACCGGATATTTGCAGTAAAAGGTATTGACCAACTTCTGGTCGTTTTCTTGCGTCAGCTTTATCGAAACACCTTTAGGTCGTGGCTGGGTTCAGATGAAGCCACAAGCAGGTGCTCTTGTAGCCTCATGTGGGCGCTCCTGAATGGCTAGCTGTAGTAAGCTCATAAAAGAGCGATCCAACAATCCGCGGCTAACAGTTTGGCTAGCTAAAATAATTTTACTAGCCTGATGATTCTTGCATCTGCTGCAGGTTGCTGCCTATATACAAACATGGCAGCAAATGCAGCTCACCTCACCCACCTCTCCCCCAATTGTTGTGATTGGGAGAAACTAGCTAGAAAGCAGGCTTTCATAGCAATCAAGGTCTGGGTTGCGGCATTGCCATATGCTCATGAAGAAGACTCGAGCGTATCTCTCCCTTAAATCGGGCACCTGACTTTGCCGTTCTGTTCGTACTCGGAGAAGTCGTGTCCACCGCCACTCATCCGCTGCTCTTCACATATCTTCTTCCACAATTCCCAACGAAATTGGTGAGAAGAGGGTTCTGAGCTGGTATTGGATTGTTTGACTCCTTTCTCTACCACATTTTTGACGCTGAGTTGTACTGCATCATTATGGATACCAAAACTTAACCTCTCTTTCACTACGGCCGTGAGAACAAGAACATCCAAGGAGACCAGGTGGCTGGAAGATGAAGGAGTGCGGCGACATTTGCCACTGGACCAGCCGCGAAAGACACTTGGTGAGTGACCACATACTACCAAGCCCCAGAATGTGACTCATGTGTTTCAGCAATTCCCGCAATTCTCAGACGCCGACTATCAGACTCGTAATGATCCCACTATTGAGATTCTGATGAAGTTGTTGCGGTAGCTCGGTGCTGGTGAGATCGCCTCGATCATAACACGTACCACAAGAATGATATGACAGATCTAGTCCTCGAATACGACGTAACAGGCTCGATAAGAGCTCGGGTCATTCAACTCAGGTATCTGTCTTGCAAAAAGAAGGGAAAATAGAAATACCGCGAGATCGAGAAATATGGAAAGAAAACCCAAAGCCAAGATTGAAAAGACTGAGCCATGCATGAGCAGAGAAGTCGAAAACCTACTGATGGCATCCCGAATGGCCAGAGAAGAAGCACCCATAATGCCGAGAACCGCCCCACCACCGAGAGCCCCGAAGGCGAAGACAACAAGGCTAAGTGGTACAAGGAGATGCGGGCAGAATCTAATCGCGAGTTGTGGGTTGGCACGAACCGGAAGGCCCGTGATGAATTACGAGAAGGGGCCTTGAACCAGGGTATTGACTGTCACCTCTGTTGATTCAAATCAAGAAGGAAGACAGAAGTAGATCGCACGACTACTTTTATCAGCACCAAAAAGATGAGGCTACCAACAAGGATCTTTCCACTTACAACACCACCAGCCATGATGTGGTAAATCTTCCCGACAGAGACTCGGAGATTTTGCTCTGCAAGGTCTCCACATTCTTTCAGTTGCTGTTCGGAGATGCCACAGCCACAAATGTCTGCAATGCAATCCGGCGATGGTCGGCAATGCCATCTCTTCCCGTTCCAAAGACGAAGCGCCACATGGTAGACGACTTCACTCGCCAGGAGATGCCGCAGCTTGATCTAGAAAAAGCAAGGTCTCTCAAAGAACTTGAGAAACGGTACCAGTGTGTTGTCCACTATGGAACGTGGGCAATGAAAGGCCATACTCACCCAGATGAAGTATGGCTTACTGAAAATACTGTTCTGGGCAGAGGCCGACCTCGAGCTGTCCATGAAAACTATGTCGGCTTATTGTTCCTTCGATTCAAGCGATACGTGCTGGGATTGGCTCAGAGACGGTACGGCTACTCTTGAGCTCGCTAGCTCCAGTCGAATATCAGGAATTATTGACGTTTTCGATGCGCTGCCTGATGTGCAGAAAGATGGAGATGTCTGAGCCAAACTTTGCCACCCTATTTATACTGGGCTAGAATTCATTCACTGGCCTACAGGGTCAATTTGAGTCTATCACCTCTACACTCTCCATATTTAACATCCACTGATACTGAACAGGACGCTTGCTGTGCTTCCCGGATTTGGCCTCATAGACTTGGTGACTCCTCCAAACAGCTTGAGTAGTGCCTCAGGGATCTGAGCCGATCTCCTATAGTTGGGTTGTTGATTTTGTCTGCGGATTGACCTGACGCAAACAGCTGAAGATATATAGTTCATTGCCTTGAAGTTGCCATATGGTACTTTGATGAGTTACCTATGCGATGCATTCCAGAAGCGGCCAGTATTTGAACGAGTCATTGTTTACTCTATGGGGTATTAAGCAGGATTGTCTAGCCTTGGGCTGTACTACCGAGGTTGAGATTGCTCCGCACCTAAAATTTCAGCGCATGGCAGACCGTTGCTAATTAACATCACCCCTACGGCCATACAGGATATGTGCTAGCTAAGTTTGACTGTGCCATTGAAAACTCTTAGTCACACCGGCGCGCTGCTTCATATTCGCGAGTTGTTGCCGCTGGCAAGGGCTGCTTATACCCGCCGGCTGAATCCAGAGTGGGATCCGCCAGGTACTTACGACGACGGCATCTCAATATACCTTGATAGCTCTCGAAAGTGACTCCAACCCGGCACTTGATATCCTGCTCAGCATAGTCATTAAATACGCAACGTATGCCATGCAACAGCTCAGCTGGAATTCATGCTCCTTATAAGTATTCGTGCTTGGCATGCAACCTTTGAGAACTCTTGGTTACTATTTGCACGAGGGATTCGCAATAACAATGCCCTCCATACTAATTTGGCTGTTTTTGTCAATCTTGTGTTTAGCTTACGCATCCGACATATTTCCAAACCCTGGAAACTTTCGAACCCCAATTGTCCTGGATCGTTCGGGCGGGTTTCAGATTGGCGGAAAGATAATACACAACCCTGTCTTCCCTAGCCAGACTCTCTCCTGCGATCATGGTTATATGGAATACTTCATCCCTCGCACACCGCGTAAGACCTCGCTAGTCATGTGGCACAGCGCCAGTACCCAAATATGGCAGAACCGTTGGGACGGAGGCGAAGGGTTCAAGGACAAATACCTGCGACGGAACTATCCCGTATACCTATGGGATGGACCAAGAGTAGGCCGAGCAAACTGGGCTTGTGAGCCCATGACCTATGTTCCTGAATACCGTGATCAGGGTAATTGGGTGGCGTGGAAGTTCGGACCTAAATTTGGAGTGTGGTACCCGGGGGTCCAGTTCCCGACCTGGAGCCAAGAGGCGTGGCAGCAGGCCACTTCCGCCCGCTACGTGGAAATCGACACTGTAGAGAATGTCGAGTTGCAAAGCGAAGTTGCAGCAATTGCTGCCGATTCGGGCAAGGTTGGGAACAGTATTGTGTACCTCACAAACTCGGCTGGTGGATTAAGAGCAATGATGATGGCTACTAAGGCCAATGGAACTAATATCAAGGGCATAGTGATGTATGAAAGCATCGGATACGTGTATCCCGATAACGCCAACATCACGGCAGGGTCAGGGCCTGGACCGGCTTTCGGCCCATTTGTGGTCCCTCTTGAGCGTTTCAAGAAATTGGCCAAGATACCAGCGATACAGTTCGTCTGGGGCGACAACAGACCGGAAACAGATCCCTGGGTTCAGCAATCGAGACTAACTGCGAAGCTGATCAATCTATATGGAGGCAATGCTCAGGTACTGAATCTCGCCAACGACGCCGGGCTGAAAGGAAGCACCCATAGCGCGTTCGCAGATCTGGATAATGAGAAGGTTGCTGGGGTTCTGGACAGATTTCTAAGGAAAAACAATCTCAATGGCTATCTCTACTCGTCCGGCAATGACTGGGATGATGATGACGACGATGACGACGAGTAGAGAATAAACATTGGGTTGGTCTAGGTACGACAGGTTAGGTATAACAAATTAGTGATCCAGGTAATTCCTATCAACTGATTGTACTTTTATATGAACTACTAAAATTGAGGAATGAACAGACTACTAAAGTCTAATGACAGAAAGCTCTTCCAATTCAACGAAATTAGGGATGAAAATGCTTCATAATAACATACTAATTCGTTTTTATGTGATATGCCCAGACCGTTGATTCTGAGTCCCATTAAGAGCAGTTGATAACATGTTTCAGGCTTGAAGCAAATAAACAAACAACAACGAATGCTCGAATCCCAATCCTCAAGGTAAAAGAGTTAAGGCTGGAGACATTACCCTTGAACATGCTCACTAATGCGATGAACAGAAACGCGTCATTTTGCACCCCGAGGAGTCGCAATAGGGACCACACCAAGAAGAATATCGGACCGAATGTATCTACTAATCTCCACATGAACACGGTATCGTAAGGAGATAACCGAAGGAAGTGGAATGGCCATGAATCTTGGGCGTGCCCCTCTCCCGACACAAGGAGGAAAACGAGCGTTTCCGGAACAGACCGGATAACCCTGGTTGTAATGACTTGACCATTGACTACAATCGCGTCCTTGCCACAACTCCTGGTGGGTTGACGAATACGACCCCCAGGCCAACTCACCGGCCTGGAGTCCGAGGCCAAAGCGAGCTTACATGTCACCTGAGGTGCTTTGGATCCTAACCAATGTAATGATAACATGAGAAGAAATGCATGCCCGTGACCTTTCTCGGAAGATCCAGGACTGCTTTTGACATATATGTAGGCGGACTGTCTGCCAGTCATGGTCATCGTTCGAGGGCCTATGAAGGTAATACTATTTGGCCCCATCGTAAGATCATTTTGCCAACCATCGGAGCCCCCAATGTTCCAGTCAAAGCCTGGTGGGAATGTGATCGACACACTGGGAACCACATGAGGGGTGTTGTGGCGATTAAGGTAGACACCTCGTCTGAAGGACTTGAATTCGATGAAAAGCTTCATATATGCCAAGAGGTTTCGCCGTCCTGGACGATAGCTCGGCAATGGGGTATACTCCTTGATAGAAAACGGATTGGTAATAGCTACGATGGACCGCCCTTGCCGTGACAGAAGACTGCCATCTAAGGGAGGAGAATAGATTGCGAATGGTGTTGATAAGTCCTTTGAGTTGGCGACGCGCAAGTACAGCGACTTCGCGGGATTATTCCTGTCGTAGCACTCGAGCATGGCAAGACCCTTTAAGTTGAAATACAAGTCGATTCGAAGGCCCTTGTTCGTCATCTCGAAGGGGCTGTCTCCGTTTGGGATGATTTCTCGTCGGGGTAATAGAGTGCCTGAGTGAGCGAAGTCTCTTGGAGATCGCGCAAGAATTCCCACACTATCGATATAGGATGGAGCAGGCTCAGTTTCGTCAACAAAGTTGCCCCATGCCAGAATAGTATGGTCGTCATAGTTCTTGATGATTTCCTCTTGCAATCGAGTGAATGCCTTGTCTCCCTCGCCGTAGAGGAGCGCCATATGGACGTCGAAAATCCCAAGCAGACAGTACGCCATATCTTCCTTACGCGTCGTTTCCCTCCAAGCAGCCCACGACATCCTCTGCGAGATGCTCGCATACCTGAGGTCTTGACCATGGAGATATGCACGCGGTATGCCGGTGATAGACGAGATAGTATCAGAGAAAGCAATATCGCTGCCCAGCTTCCCGATAGGCTGCCAGGAAGCATTGAACATTTGCAAATCAGTCGGTGCCAGCAGTTCCTGGAGCGTCCAACCCCTTTGAAACCACCTGCTCTTCCGGAGGCTCTCATTGAAGTTCTCCGAGCCCCCAGGTACTTCGGAAACATCCGTAAGCACAGCATAACATACTGCTGACTGCTTGTACCACTGGAACATGGAGTTAATGGCTTCGGACAGCTCTGCGCTGCTACTTTTGTCGATGCAGCATGTGTCAACCCAAACCCACTCTTGTCCATTTCGCAATGCCTGGTTGCAGCATCTTTCGATCTTCCGGAAACCCGACCGTGATCGGATTGAGTCCGCAGAAGCGTCACCGCTCTCTTTGGGGTGGGCTTGGGTTAGTTGCATATCCCGGAAGCTCACCTCTTCGCCTTCGGTCCATGTGTGCGAGAGTATGGCGTAGACTGGGATTGACGGGCCAGAGAACTCCACCAACTCTTTGGTTTTCGAGTTGATGAGCCGCATTCCGACAGACGAAATACTGCATGCAATTGGTGGGGTGGGAGTCGTCAAACTTGGTAGTAGAAAGATGAAAAGAGCCTGTTGAGGACAGCTGAGATCGAACAGCTGAACTTTGAATCAGGGCTTGCGCTACGCCCCGAATCAACCAATGGAGAATCAAGAATTGAGGGGTCACGGGGACGCTACATAGCACTCGCTGTGGCTTGCACACACGGCACAATCCATTTTGCAATCACTCGTCCATAAGGCGGGCGTCCAAATATAAGGCAAGAAAACTGTCAATTGTGGTATAATCCATCTATATGCAATCAATCACTATGCAACAACTCCTGAAACGCCACCTATGCTTCTTAGCTGCTTCTACTCTGTCTATCTTTCTCCCCTTTTACGCATTGACCTCAGCGAACCAGGATCTCAGCAGTCCTGCCAACGCACCGGGGAGGTCCTCCAGGTTGTGCACGATCAGGTAGTACTGAAAGGGGAAGCTGTCGAGGTAGTACTCCCAGCTGATCTCGCCCGTGGTGTTGCCGAGAGCGTCCTTGACGAATTGCACCGTGCGCAGGTTGAGCACGCTATCGCGCTTCTTGGACGCTGTGTCGTCCATGACGATGAAGACGACCATGATGCGCTCCTCGTGTGCCTCTCTCAGGAGGCGGCGGATGTCCTCGTGCTCCGCAGACGGGGTCAGGCCGTCCGAGAGGACGAGGGCAAGCTGCCAGAGGTCCTCGGAGCCTCGGCCGGGGTTTTGGAGGCGCGCTGTTCGGAAGCGCGAGATCGTGTCACGCACGAGCTGGCGGATGTCGGTGTGGTCCTGGTTGAAGGAGAACTTCTGCAAAACCTTGGCGCCAGCGTCGTGGGAAGCAAATGGCTCGGCGAACTCATGGGCCATGAAAGTGTTGGCACCAAAGCCCAGGACACCGACTTGACCAACCTCAAGCATGGTCAATGCACGCGAGACCATGACAAGGGACTCAAGAGCCAGGGTACCGGACGATGACTCGCCCATGGATTTACTGTCATCGACGCAGAGGAGGATCTGGTAAGATCGCTTTGTGGGGATGGCGCGGCGCATCCAGATCTTGTCGCGTTTGTAGCTCGATGCGATATATGGAATGATGCGCTTGATGTTGAGGCGCTTACCGGTACGGTAAGATCCAGAAAGCTTGGTTGACTGAGACGGAGTGAGGATGAGGCGAAGCTGCGAAGTAAGCGACAGAGACAGCGGGTTCGTCTTGGTCTGGAAGGTGGTCCACTGCTGCATTGACTCGTCAAAGTCTCTCAAGTCCTGCGCAGGACCTGACAAGTGAGTTGACTCAAGCTGGACTGATGCTTCTTCAACGTCTTCTTCGTCGTCATCCTCTTCTAGCTCAACTGCTCCATCCATAGGCGGCGTATCCTCTCGGTCATAAGCACCCTGTCGAGTCGACACTCCCGTCCGAGGTTCATCGGTCTGTGGTTCTTGTTTTGTGCTGGACTCCAACGGTTCAGAAGTGTCCATCTTGTCAGCACTGTCCTCGTCTCGGCCAGCTTGTTCCTCGTCCGGCTGCTGAACTCTACTATCTTGAGCTTGAGTTTCATCGTCAATCGCCATGGTGTCGTCGAAAGGGCGGGACTCCTCTTCGGTAGCAGTCCCGATTGCCTGAGTGTCAGCAGCCGTTTCATCGTCCTGGAGATGTTGGAACTCCCGAGATGCCATCTCTTGTTCGTTCATATCTGGCATAGGCTGCTGCTGTTGTTGTTGCTCAGCCGGATCCTTTCGCGACTCCTTGATATCCCGCTGCTGGCGGTAGAACTTCTCTAACGCGTCACCCAAAGCCTTGAATGGCTGCTCAATAGCCGAGTCCCTGGCATCCTCCATTTCTGACTGGGCTGGTTGTTCCTGGGCTTGGGAGACGCTGCCCTTGTTGCCGCTAGACGTTTCTTGATCCGCAGCACTCTCTCCCATCTCGCCACTCTCGCGCTGAGCGCTATTGTCTTGAGAACCATCCTGATCTTGATCCTCAGTCTGGTTGGCGTCTTGGTCTTGGCCGCCGTTCTGGGCATCGCTTGGCGCCACGTTGTCGGCGTTGCTTTCGTCGTTCATCGGTGCGTTGTCGGCCTTCTCGCGATCCTCAGCCTCGTCATCTTGATCCCGATCCTGGTCCACCTCCTCGTTCTCCTTGATATTGGCGTTCTCCTCGTCCTGCTGTTCTTCTGTCTCCGCATCTTCCTTCTCCTCGTCCGCAGGCACATTCATGTCTGCATCATCGCCATGTTCACTCTCCTTGTCGCTCAGCTCTCCTTGCTCATTCGTATCTTGCTCCTCCACATCAGACAGCTTGTCCAAATCGTCGTCGCTAATTGATGACATATCATCATCGTCATTTCCGTCAATGTCCATATCGTCCGGCAAGGCCAGGGTCTCTTGCTCCTGGACATTCTGGTCCTGATGGTTCATCTCGTCGAACTGCACATCCTCATCCTGCTCGGCGCCGAGATCTTCGTTCTCATCTTCATCACCCTGCTGCTCGCCATCTTCCTCAGGCTGGGCGTCCTTGTCGTCTGGCTTCTGATCGGCAGCCATCTGTTCATCCTTCTTCTGTTGACCCTTGGACTTGTCGCCTTGTTGATCTTTCTCCGCCTCTTCTTCGTTGTCGCCATCCCACATCTTTTCATCAACGGCGTCGGGGTCCAGGTCATCGACATCTCCGGTCTCTTCGTCCATGTCGTTCTCTTCATCCTCTTCGTCACCTGATTTGGACCCCTTTTCGTCGTCGTCTTCACCAGCAACGCTGCCAACTTCGCCCTCAAGGTCCTCGTCGGCCATATCGACGGCATCTTTCTCATCTTCAAGCTCTTCGCCGTCCTTGGACTCCTTGTTCTTCTCCTGAGCTAGTTCAGAAAGGTCTTCGTCAGGTTGGATGTCCTTGCTGATATCGTCTGCGCCTTCTCCTTCGCCGAGGCCTGTGCCGCTTTCTAGCTTGCCGCTGTCACCGGATTCTTCGTCAGACTTTTCTTGAGGCGTGCAGAAGCCTTGGCCGGCGAGTTGAACAAAGCTCTTGCTCAGAGTGTGGGCCATCTTAGAAGTGCTATGATTGAGATGCGCGTAGCTCAAGACGTGAGACCTGCAGATGATATGGTACTGCTCAATGATAGGGCAAGTCACAGCCATGAGCGATGATGCCAGGCTGTTAATTTCAACATCCTCAAGGTTGACTTCGACGAATGAGGACAAGGCATGCTCAAGGGTCTTGATGATCTTATCCATGTGGAGAGCCTTTGTAGCAGTCATCAGAGTTTCATCGTACTTCATCAGCCAACCTGACTCCTCGGACGAAGTGGGTAGGTTCGCCATAGACTTGTTGAATTGCTCGACAGCGACGAGAATGCTGTCACAGAGTTTCTTGATAGCGTTGAGCAGTTTGGTCTGGTTGTCTTTGCCTGAAACAGAGAGCGGAACTTCCTGTTCGTCAAACAAAGTCCACAGTTGTATCTTGTCGAGTATGAAGGCTAGGTCGGGCCTTGATTCGCTCTGAATCTGCAAATCTGCATCCAGGTCCTGAATCAGTCTAGCGAACTCAGTCTCAGCCTTCAAGCGGTCAGCTGAGACGAGCCCACGAGGTAATGTGCCAGATGTCGCAAATCTCCCAGGGATACTCGAGAGTTTGTGACGCCACTCGCTGAGACTACTGAGAATTGAGCTGTTGTCAATCGCTCCAAATTTGCCGTGTATTGCGATCAACTGCGCAGCAACTTCCAGAATGGGCACAATCCAGGCGGATGCCTTCGGGGCATTCGACTTCCTCTTTTCTCTTGCATGGATCTCACCGTGGGTAGCGGCTGCAAGTGTCTGAGCCTGTTGAACCTTGACCGTAAGACTCTCTGTAGTAAGGAGCGTCGCCGAGAGAGTCTGGCGCTGGTTGATGATGATTTGTAGTATGCCCTCGAGAAATCCAATACTTCTGCCAACCTCAGCAGCCGTGAGGTCTTCGTTGTGATCGTGAGCGGCGTTGCGGAATCGTGGGGCCAGGTCGAGGATCTTGTGGAAGTAGTATTCTGAGGCACTGTTGGCGGGAACAAGTTCTGAGATAATTGGGCTCGACCTTGAAAGGACCGCGGCAAGAGAGTCCTGCTTTTCCAGCGCGTCGGTTCCGAGGTTGTAGTTGAATCCCATCTCTCTGACAGCCTTGAATGTCTCGGCATAGAGCTTGCGCTTCCGGGACTTGAGATGCTTCACCAGGTTCTTGTTCTCCTCAGTTAGAGTACCAGGGGTTTCCTTGCGCAATTCGGCTGACAGAGTGTGAAGACTGGTTAAGAAAGACGAAATGCTATCAACAGCGTCGACACCGGAAGCGGGAATGCTGCCCATCTTGACCATAATGTCCACAGTTCGCTGTACGTTGGCAAGTCTCTTGTACTCTGTGGACCAGCCTGAGACATTCTGCTCGCATTGGGCCAGAGCAGCTGCATTTACGGAGACAACATTCTGTGCTTGATTGGGTGGATTATCTGAATGAGTCTCGTCTGGGAGTCCCTGGTCGATAATAGTCTTCATGGGCTGTCCGAGTACATCACGGAACTTCTTGATCAGTCTGAATAGCTTCAGATGGGATTTGCGGGCGCTCTCTCGCAGCGCAGCAATATTGGTGTCCTTCCAGCTCGCAAACAGTAGGACATCTTTCATCTGCTTTTCAATCGGAGTACGACCTCTTTGTAGCGATTCCTGTGCGGCTTTTTCGAAATGAGCGTAGAATCCAATGAAGTTCTGGACTGCGTCGCGGATAACTGATATGGATGGCCAGTCAAGGACCAGAAGCTCAAGTTGCTTGTGCAGTTGTCTCATTAGATCCAAACGAGTGACGAATTGACCGACAGTGGCTGAAGAAAAGTACGTTTCGAGCTCTTTCAACAGGTTCGCAGCATGAGCATGGAGGTCCTCGTCGGATTGGGCCAGGGCCATGGGTCCAGCAACGACTGCTTGATAGGCAACGAACCACCAGGAGTTGGCGTCGTCTTGGGATTTCTTGAACTCCATGTCGAATAGCCGGCCCCAGGTGGATAGCTCCAGTCGGCGCCATGAGACGAGCATGTCTGTCAACCGGTTGTACAATGGCAGGACGGCATAGACCTTGCTTGCCCAGCCTCCAAACTGCCATTCATAGACGAATCCATGTAGTTTCTCGACAACCGTGATAATCTTGGCTAAAGGCTCGGAATGTGGGAGCTCCATGACCTTGTCGCAAGCATTAATGACATCCTGAAGCGGTACCATGTGTCCAATCTCGTCTACTTGTTGCAACTGGCGGAAGCGAATTCGGGTCTCGTTGACAAGCTTGACGAGCTTGCGCACCTCAGGAAGGTTGGAATCCGCGTAGAAGTTATAATTTGGTGAGGTCGTCGTAGCAGTGAGCTCCGCCAACTTTTCATCTAGTACCAAAAGAGTGGCAGGAAGCAGAGTTCCATCTGGTACCCACTCTTTGGTATTCTTTGAAATTTTGCGAATGGCTAGCTTGCAAAAGGCCCTGATACTACCAGAAGCATCGTGAGGCGCCAAGAAGATAGATCGGTGAACTTCAGCCAGTTTGATGGCGAAGGTACGTGCATCCTGTATCTGGGGCTTATGAAAACCGATCGCCTCGGCCTCTTGGTCGTCGTAGCTGGGAAAGAGCTGGTCAAACTCCTCCTTCTCTGCAGCCTCATGTTCGTCGAAGCCACCTCGGTACCGATACATGCTCTTCCTTTGCTCTTCTGCCTTGCGATCGGCTTCGAGTTTCTGGCTCCACTGATCGTAGAAAGAGTGAATCGTCTGGGAGAGCGTGCGGCGCATGGATGCGTTCAGACTTGCGATGCCCTCCACAGAAACAACATTGGAGAAGTAAGACATGAGCTCGAATCCGTCAATATCGATCTGCTTCTTGAGATTGTGACCCGTACCTGCTCCGATGAATGGAACGATATTCAGGAGCGTATTCGAACTGTGGGTATTGACACGTTGAGCTGAAGCAACTTCAGCCAAAGAAAGTCCAACCTCAAGGCAGTGGATGATATTGATCGCAGGAACCCTCAAGTCCTCGTATGCAGAGGGGTCGGAGTATGCTCCCATCCTATAGACGACGAGTGAAATATTCTGACGGATCAGCTGCAGCTGCTGAGTAGCCAGCTCAGAGCCAAAGCAGTGCTGGAAGAAGACTGATGTGATATCAGCGCCAAGAACTGTCTTCAAAAGACTGTTGAAATGTCCCTGTAGATCCTGTAACTTTGTGCTGTGGGTATCTCTGTAAACAGCCACAGGGAATTCAGGGGTAGCGCCGACATGAACGACCTCTTCTTGCACCAAATCGGATCGTAAGCTGGTGGATTGACCTGTGAAGAAGTTCGCAAATTGCTGAAGTGATTTCAGTTGTTCGTTGAGTTGCTGCAGTCGTTCTTCATGGCTTTGTGCCACCATCTGGGGCTTCAGCTGTGGGTCAAACATTTTATCAGGAATATAGAGCTTGACGAGATACAGCCCGAATTGAGTCCATGCGTTGGCTAAGTATGTGCGTCTAGGCTCGATTTCCTTGTTGGCAGCTGATAGGGAGACCATCGCTGGAATAAGATGGTCTGATGTCAGTGTTGTCAGGTGAGGCTGGCCGTGTAGCGCAAAATGTTGCAGAGCGCTCATGCCGTACAAGAGACCACTTTCACTTATGCTGAGTGAAGAGCTTTCGAGGGTCTTCAGAAGCTCAAGCTGAACTTCCCTGAAGGCTGATGCGTACTCGGGGCCCAAAGTCTGAACTACGTCTTGCATCAAAAGTCGCAGCACGTCGGCAAGCTTGTCAAGCGTATCATCAGTGATAGCTTCTGAAGATACTGCCACTTGTCTGGCCAGAATCGGTAGCTCAGCTTCCAGCATATGCAGGGATTTCAGGTCAATTGAGTTCACAGATTCAAGCTTCGACACAATGCTTGCCGAAATGCTCTTGGTCCAAGGGTGATCGACGGGCTTCGAGTGTTCATCCAGGTTATCCGATTGGCGTAGTGCATGGGCGCCCATGAGATATGCGACAGACTGCAAAGGCTGACACGTTGAAGTCGCGGTTTGAAGGCGCAAGTGAGCCTTCATTGGGAGATCCGAGAGAACCACCAAGTCATCGGTTATGATGTCGGCGAGAGACTTCCTAGTTGCGCTGGCCTCAAGAACTATGGCTTGACGGAGAACCTCGAATTCGGCCGACATGTTTGGTCGTGCGCCAGCATCGCGCGCCTCTGCAGTGCTAAGCTTTTCCATCTCTGCACGATAAGTCTGGATGATTTCATCGGCGTTAGGTATGTCGTCTCGCAGGAGGCGGTAGGTCTTAGATAGAGATGCCACGAGATTTCCGATATCAGCAATAGACGCCCCTTTATGCCATTTGACGTTGTCAAACTGGGGTGCGTAGAACTCAAGGGCGTCGGCTCTCTGGCCTATCGAGGCAGTAGTTATTGGCACAGGTCTATAGGCGTGCCACAGCGCTTCCATACTCAACCCTGTAGTGAGTCTGAAACCTGCAATGAAGCTCTCCTCGAGGCCAGTTAGAAGGTACGCTGCGAGTTCGCGAGCAGTGTCATCCTTGGCCCCAGATAAAAATGACATCAAGACTTCGCCTCCTTGGCCAAGATGAGCTTGGAAACGGGCCTCATTGTACTTTCCGAGGGTCTCGTCATTTGTAAGGAGCCTGTACGTCCTCCACCAGAAGTGCATCAAACCGTTTATGAGGAAGCGGCGCTCTTTCCAGTTGCTCGCAGATGTAAGCTGAGCACATATGTAAGTTTCGATTGCATCAAGACTGCCTTCGAGAAACTTGGCAGCTCCGACAGTCGAGTCTTTCGAGACAGCGGGAGCTCTGTTCGCCATGCACGACCGCTGAAGACGGTTGCAGTCTGATGGATTTCTGCCGTTCGAAGAAGTAGCTTGTCCATGTAGAGCAGATCGAGCCTTGGCAACACCCATATAGGTCTCATAGCATGTAGCAACCCAGCCAGGGAGTCCAGTGTTGTACCCTAGTAGCAACGGCAAGATGGTGGTGTTTTGCAAAGGGTGGAAGGGCTGCACATCTCCAAGTCCTGGGAGAGCGGCCGATGTCAATGTACTGCTCATCTCATGTATGGCCGCCAGAATCTTGCCGGGAGTGTTAGAGGTTGTCTGAGTGAACTGAAGTAGTTGATCCAGTGCTGCTTGTCGCGTTTTCTCTGTTCGGTCGAGCGAGTCCCACAGCTTGCGTTTGATCAACTTCCTTCTCGTGTGGCTCGAATACCTCACGAGGTTGGACAAATCGGACCTGCCGAGGTTTTCGGCAGCCAGGTAAGCGAATTGTGTGCTCTTATTAGCATCATCCAATGCAGCAGCACCTAGCATTTCGTATCTTGCCAAGCTCGGTTCGACCTGTGCCATTCTTTGCAGATAAGACGGTCTGCTAGACTCGTGGAAGTCAATGTGAATCTCAATACCACGGTTTCGCATTGCCCTTGAAAGCTCTCCATATCGAGGGTCCATGGTCAGGAAAATCCTGAAGTTGGGATGCGGCGTGATAATTCTAGGCTCGCCATTGGGTCCGCAGTGCTCGTTAATGATTAGGAAGCCATTAGGTTCAAGCAGCGAGTTGAGTCTGTCTAGCACGGAGGCATTGCACAGATTTGCGTTATCGAGGACGAGCCACTGCCCCTTCTGCAGAGCTTGGACGATGATACCATCAAGCCACTCAAAAGTAGGATCGCGAATTCCATTCGACCGAGAAAGCAACGACTGAGACCTATCCAGAAGCTTGGCAAGCTGGGAATCTGAAGAGATTTGGGCTTGAAGTTTCTGAATTTTGCCAAGCAACTGTGATGGCTTGTCAGTCTGGTCACTGATGTTCTCGAGATGGTTGAGCAGGTCAACAGCAGCTTCTGGCGCCGCTTGCGGCAGTAGGCTTAAAACAGAGACTTGTAGAGCCTCTTGGAGTTCCCGCAGGGCAACATTGACTTCCCGAAGGGGGTCACGCTGCTCAAAACCTCCGACGAGATCCATAGTATCGATATCCGCATTCATCGGGAAAGTGATCAGCTCCTTCCCACAGAGTGCCGCTACATGCTGGAGAAGAGCCGACTTGCCACTTCCTGATGGACCTGCCAAGATACAAGGCAGGTTCTGCTTTATGCAAATAAGCAATGATTCGATCTCAGTGAGGCGAACAACCTCACTGATGCAGGGGAACTTTGAAGGCTGAACAAGCTTCTCTCGTTGAATCATGGCAAGTCCCACTTCGGCAACTTGAGAACTTTTGCTGTGAAATAGCTGGTGTTCTTTTGGTGCTGACTGGAAGGCCTCAGCAAAGATACGATCCACATGCTTTCTGTCTCCCGCATTCCGGAATCGTTGACGGATCACGATATCCAGGAAGTCATCAACTTTTCCAGTGCTGAGAAGCGGATCGCCAGACGTGAGCAGTTGCAGCCATCGGAGAGTATCTCGGAGGTTGAACTCCCAAGGTGAGCCCTGGGTACCGAAGGATCTCTCCACAACTACCTGATCATCAAGCTTGGAAATGAAGGAGATCAGATTCTTAACCGTATCGAGGGGAACTGCAGGGAAATTATGCTGAGCAATCAGGAGAAGATCCTCCTCGGTGAACACGTCGGCATAGACCACAATAAAACGATTGACGAAGGAGCTAGGGAGACCCTTTCTGCCGCCACCCTGATGGTGAGGATTTTGTGCGGCAAAGAGACGGAAGTTTGGGTGACGCTTGAAGGTCTGGTCCAGCTCGGAGATGTAAACCTCACCACGATGATCAAGACAAGCATTAAGACCTTCAAGGACCGACTGCGAGGCCAAATTCATCTCATCAAGAAGAACCCACTCTCCGTTCTGCATGGCGCGCAGGAACGGGGCATCTCTCCACGCGAAGTTGCCAGCTCCCGCGCCCTCAACAGGGACATCAGTACCAAAGAGGTCCATCAAATCGGTTTGATCTGACAAGTTGATCCTGGTCAAAGGTTGTCCACAGGCACGAGCGAGCGCGCTGACTAGAGTCGTTTTGCCAACACCGGGACTTCCTTCCAAAAGAATCGGCTTCTGGACTTGAAGAGCACGGATAACGCGCATCGCATTGAGCTTCGTGGTCGGAGCGTGCAACGCAAAACCAGCCTCGAAGTCATCGGTGGCAGCCCGAGCTACTGCGAAATCACCAATTCTCAACTCTTGTAGATTCACGACAAGCTCAAGAGGGGCCCTGTATATGGAGGTAGCATCGGCCTTCAGTAGCTGACTGAGCTTGTCAAGGCACTGTTGGCGTTGCGAGTCCATACTCTTCGGGTCAAGGGCAATGAGTGCAGAAGGGTTGGCGCCGAGAGTATCGATGAAAACCGTTGCTGCACCATGAATGACAGCTGCTGCCGGGCTGATGTGCCTGGTTTCGTTGATAAACTTGACCCAAACCAAGATATCACGGATTGAAAAAGCGCTTGCCGCAGTGGATCTGAACTTCTGCCCAAACCAGAAGGAGAAGTCGACAATGGCTGGTGCACAGGCGTGGAATTCCGACCTCAGTTTGGACCGAATAATTTGGAGGATATCTTCGGTTCCAGATAGCGGCGGGACCCATATCTCGGTGAAACGGTTTCTCAGCGCTGGTGAAAGCTCCTTCTTACCAAAGTCGCCACCGGGGTTCATAGTAGCAAAGAACTTGAAGCTATCGTCAGCCCTGACGAAGGAGTTATCGATACCCTTCTCAGCCAGGAGCAAGGTTCGTGAAGGCTCCAGCACGGAGTTGAGTCGTTCCAGCACGGAATCGTCGGCCAAGGATATCTCGTCGAGAAGGAAGAACTGCCCATTCCGCATGGCATGCACGAGACTTCCATCGGCCCACTCGAACAACGCTTTGCTCTTGACTTCATTCGCGCTGATCCATTGTTGTAAATCGTGAGGCACTAAAGCCAATTGTGAAGAGTCTAGCTGGTGGTATCGTTGCAGCAACTGGTCGGCTTCGCCTTCGATTGCCTGGCCGAGTGAGGCAAATGCCTTGGCAAGATCCTGCTGCAATGTTTCCATGACTGCACCTCTGTTTCGCACAGGGCGTTGGGATCCGATCAAATCACCAGTCTCAGTATTCTGATGTGCATTGACGATATGTAGCTCCTTTCCAAGCGCTTCGGCGAGTAGCTGACACACTGTGGTTTTGCCACAACCAGTCTCACCGACCAGCAGAACAGGCTCGTTATTGGCCATAGCCTGTGCTACTAGGACGTAGAGACGGCGCATGGCACTGTTCCACACCACCCCTTGGGCATTCTCTTGTGACTTCATCTGCGTCAAGTAGGGCGATTTTTGTGCGTCATAGAGCTGGTCGGGATCGATCTTGACTTTGAATACCGTCTCAATAACCTGCTTAACGGCGATACGTTCCTCTTCGTTACGGACTCGTTCGGCAAGAAGCATGAACCCTTGATTGGCAATCTCTTCTCTCGGTGATGCGCCCGGCAACGTGAGAACTCGGGTCTCGGCGCCACGAAGGGCCCATCGAAACAGGTCACGAAGAGTTGCAAAGCTGTCCTTGTTCTCAAATAACCTGCTTGACTGTCGAAGCCGCGCCAGTTCCTTGTACACATCCACGATCCTCTTGCAGTCAGATGGAGCGGTAAACTTGCTGCGATTTTGCAGAATAGTCTGCAGCTCATTTTCCGGGATGTCATCAAAGTGAAGCTCCAAGAAACGATTCCTGAAAGCACGTGATAGTACTTTTCGTCCACCATATAGGCCAGGGGGGTTTTGCGTTGCGAACAGCATAAAGTTCTCATGGGGACGCACAACTTCCTGTGTCTCAGGAATGAGCAATTCTCTATTGTCATCGAGCAAACGGTTGAGGGCTTCAAGAACATCCGTAGGCGCAAGGTTCAGCTCATCAAGTACAATCCAGTGTCCTTCTCGGAGGGCTTGAACCAGAATACCTTCCTGAAAGCGTAGTTTTCCATCGGAACCAGACACGTAAGTACCAAGGTACTCTTGAAGATCGGTGTGTTCGTGGTTGTTGATTCTGACGAACTTGTTGCCGCTGAAGTTTGCAAGATATTCAATCATACTCGTCTTTCCAGCAGATGTCGGACCTTGGATAAGAACAGGGAAGCGCCTCGTGGAAGTAGCCCTCACCAAGTTCAGGAGATTTCTCTCGACTGACTTTGTGATAACGTAATCCTCGTTCTTCCTTGGGGTTTCGACTCCCTGAAGGAGCCAGTAGTGGCGATCCTTATCCTCGTTCTGAAAGCGTACGTACTGCTTGCCATCGCTAGGATGCTTCGGTGGCTGAGATAAGATAGACTTGGCACTGCCACGCTTCTCTAGAAGATGTCGGCGAATCTCAGGTACCAGAATGTCTTCAGAAGCTTTGCTCAATAATGTCAGGAAACCCATGGAGAAGCCTTCATATAGGGATCTGCGTAGACCGTAGAATGGCGAAATATCGTTCACATAGCTGAGCACTCGTGTCAGAGTTCTCAAACTGAAATGTGGCACTTCATTCGCTCCATCGACAAGGCGCTTCTGATCTGCGAGCTCCTTCGTTTTGAGGTATAACCTCGCGATGTCATCCGCCGCCTGCTCGTCTTTGGCGGTATTTCCTTGCAGATATGCCTTGATGATGGTAAGAAGGTCTTTGAGATCTTTGTCCGGGCTGCTGACATATAACTCTGTAAAGCGCGATCGCAGACCAATCGGCAAATCTCGTTTGCCAATATCAGTTGCCGGGTTCATGGCGCCGAAAATTCTGAACTCAGGATGGGCTTTCACTCGCTCGATTTCGCCCGTTTCCGACAAGAGAATCGATGGCTCATCATTTGGACCAGAAGCGAGCAGATCTGCAATGCTCTCCAATGTGTCAGGCGAGGCAAGATTGATCTCATCTAGAAGTACCCAGTCGCCATTTCTGGCGGCCTTGACGATGTTTCCCTCCACGAACGCGAATGCGAAGCTACCAGAGCCTCCTGAGATTTGCACGTCGAACTGGTCAAGGCTTCTATCGAACGCATCCCAACGAGGCCTGAGGTCAAGCAGGGACAGGAGTCTAGACTCTGTTTTCCTCCGTTTCACGGGAGGACGATCTCCAGAATCATCACCATTCGCCGTCCTTGCCTGCCTCTGGAGCTCTTCGACAATCTTGTTGAACATCTTCGGGGCTTCTCGCCATAGCTTAGATACCCTCGTCCACTGGGCCTTCGCAATGCATTTTCCGATAGAGTCGAGATACTTCTGATTCTTTGCGGCGGAGATACCTGTTGAGGCGAAGAGATCCTCGAACTCTTCCTTCAATGGGACGGCGAGAGTGCGTACGTTGACTGGCTTGAACCCTCCAAGAAGATCACTGACCTCGCTCTGCTGGGACAAGTTCACAGCGACAAGCTTGTGGCCCAGCGACTCGGCGAGTTGCTGTACCACCGTCGTTTTACCAATACCAGTCTCACCCACCAGCAAAGTCGGCTCCCGGAGTTTGACTGCTACAGCAATCTGTTCCAGAAGCCGCTTCGCATGGCTAGTGCTTGCAAATGGTTTCTTGGACTTGGTAACCCTATTGCCCCTCATCTTACGACCCAGCACCGTCCGGCCAACTCTGAGACTACTCGGAGCCTCTTCCAGCTGTGGAACATATGCCTGTATATAATGGTCTACCCGTTGTGGGGGCAAATGCATTTGCTGAGCAATGCTACTCACGAGAGCAGCCTTGGCCTCCATATTTGGCACACTACCGCAGAAGCAATCGACTGCCTCCAGGAACATCCAGTCCCTTGTCGTCTCGCTGATGGGCTCATCGCCAGTCTTACATCCGGAAGCAATCAGCAGCTCATGGAGTCGCCTACACCACTTCAGAAGATCTCGAGGCGTGACTGGGCGGTCAGCGATACCTCGTCCTGCCCCAGCTGACCTAGACGGCAGGCTGCACAGTCTGTTGTAAACAGAGATGATGTCGGGTATGAACTTGTGGAGTAGAGGATATGTGCCCAGAATAATTTCCTGGAGTTCGGTGGGCGGGGCCATCCTGGTAGGAACTGAATGCCAGAAACGCTGACCGAGGAGAGTCGGTAGGTTTTCCTGCCCATGCATGCCCCGCGAAGTCCGGACAGTCGCGAACAGGCGGAAACTGCTGGGCGCTACTATCTTCTCTCCTCGGCTGGGAATCAAAAGTTCGCCGCGCTCTACTAGAGGAAGTAGCGTGCTCATGACTTCGTTGGGGGCCCGATCGAGGTCCTCAATCAATACCCATCGCCCTTCTCTCACTGCGGTGGTCAAGACACCGGGCCTCCAGGAGAATGACCCGGGTTTTGAGTCCGTCGAGTAAAGACCAATGAGCATCTTCGCGTCTGTCTGTTCATTCAGGTGGAGAGTCACCATACCGGAGTCCATGCCAAGCTCACGAGCCAGCTCATGCACAACCGAGGTCTTGCCAGACCCAGGTAGACCATGGAGCAAGATCGGTCCAGACATCTGCAGAGACCGAGAGAGCGCTTCTAGATTGACAAGGGTTGTCGATGTGTGAACAAGAGCGGAGGAGGAGGTGGGTGGGCCATGAGGTCGGGGGAGAAGGGTTGTGCCATAACGAATGACACGAGGAGTGAGAAGCTGCAGGGGAAAGCTTGCGGCCGGAACATCAGGAATAGTTCTCAATTCTTGTCGAAGCTCTTCTATCTCCCTGGCCCGCTGCTGCTCAAATAGTGAAAGAAAGGTGAGGTCGAGGGTTTGGCCATCGAAGTCGCCGTCGAGGTTCTTCCCCTTTTCCTCGGCATCGGCTAACGCTTTGCGCTGGGCTTGGTAGTCAAAACCAGGCGCATCTTCGACTGAGACGTGCTCTCGTATCAACTCTTCCAACTTGAGGTCCGACGCCGATAGAAGTAGACAGAAAACTCTGATGGCCACATATCTCACCGGCAGCCGTTCGTGCTTGAACAAAGCCTGCATCTGGGAGGGAAGAACCAACTGGCGATAGGTCCGCCTGTCAAAATTGAGTAAGCGCCACACTGCAATCAGGATTGGCACCAGATCGCCTGCGTGGAGTGAGTCCAAGGAGTTGACCATGAAAATTCGGGAGCCATCTCCATGACATGTCGAGGTTTCTCTCAAGTACTGCTCAAGAAAAACGGAGAGGGAAGGCGCAAATGGGAGGATTCTTGCAAAGGCGGCAATAATTCGGTCCTCCTGGCCTTCGCGGCGAGGCTTGAGAAGCCATCTTGCGCAAATGTCGGCGAAGACGTTCTCAAAGTAGACATAAATCGAGCTGGTCGCCTCGGGGACCAGGGCCGCAGCAGCAACGGCATCAAGAAAGTTCGTGGGGTCGTGACTGCGGATAATCTGCAGTATCTCGGGCGGCAGTTGACTCATGAGATTCTCGTCACTGAGGAGGAACCTCCGGTGCGAGCTCAGGTCGATGGTCGCCATGGCTGCTGTAGGAAACACATGAAAAAAAACTACGTTTTTTTTTCCGTGTGGTGGAATGAGATGTTCAGTCCTGGTGTCGCGCGCGAGTCTTTGCTCTCTGGCGATGGGAAAAGCGACTGGACGGGCTATCGATAAGCAAAAGTTCACGAACTTTTAAGTGGGGCGGCGTCTTTTCTCGGGCCAGCCAATGAGACGCCCCAGGGTGGGACGGCCAATGGGGCCCGGGGGCAGCTTGGGAACTACGGGGCCCCTGCGCTCGCTCCAAAAATCTTTGGAGAGGGCGACCCGAAGATCGCGAGAAGCCTCAACCCCAAGACGTGACCAGTCGCGAACCCTCCACCCGTCTCTCCGCCCGCCGCACACCCGCACACCTGCACACCCGCACCTCTCACCATGTCGTCTCCCTGCAGAATAGCAGCTCGCAGCTGCGCCCGCTCCATCCGCGCCCGCTCCGCCTTCAGACCCTCGACCGCCTTCGTCCAGCGCCGGTGCGAGTCCACGGACGCCGCCGTTAGCACCAACCCCAAGATTGTCGGCATCGTCGACCAGATCAGCCAATTGACCCTGCTCGAGACCGCCGACCTGGTCACAAGCTTGAAGGTAGGTCGCCTATACCAATGTACCGCTCAGCTGCGCCCCGGACGGGCCTCAAGCCTGCTCTGGGCCGGAGCTGTGCCTGGCCCCTGATCAAACCGCCACCCACGGAGAGACCCCTTTTACGACCGCACCATATCGACAAGATACTAACGTCTCCCCCCGTGCAGCAACGTCTCAACATCCCAGACCTGCCCGTCGGCGGATTCGCCGCCGCCGCCCCGGCCGCCGCGCCCGCGGCAGCGGAGGAGGAGGAGGCGGCGCCGGCCGCGCAGGAGAAGACGCTGTTCAGCGTCAAGCTGCAGTCGTTCGAGGCCGGGTCCAAGCCCAAGGTGATCAAGGAGATCAAGAACCTGCTGGGCCTGTCGCTGGTGGACAGCAAGAAGTTCGTCGAGAGCGCGCCCAAGATGATGAAGGAGAGCGTGCCCAAGGACGAGGCCGAGAAGATCATGGCCACCCTGAAGGAGCTCGGCGCCGTCGTCACCATGGAGTAAGACGGACCCGCGGCACGCGAAAGGGGGAGGGAGAGAAGCCGAGCGCCGCTTGCATTGGCCGGCCCCGGAATCGAGAAACACCGTGGACGGCAGGGGACGGCAGCGGCTGGGTTCAGAATCCAGCTTGGCTACTACTGTATCAGACTCGGGCTGGACATGCTAGAGAAAAAGACGCATTTACAGTTCTGAGATGTAAGAACAGGCATTTTAGACAGGACAAGGAAAGGAAGATGGCAAATGTGTATACATGTACCCTACCTTTGTAACAATACACACAAAACTATCAATCATCTCACTCACTCACTCCATTGCGAGGGGGGGCCTTCATCTGGGCCAAAACTAGCCGTGACCATTCACTACTATGTGGTATCTTCAAACCAAACCTATTGTGACCATTCCATCCGTGTCTGTGAGGTATCTCCTGCCTCCTCACGGAGATCACCACCGAAACGGGGTGGTGGTAGGTCAGACTCAAGCTTTTCCCAAGCCATGCTATGCAGAGAACCAACCAGCAAAACGCCCGCAGCTATCCTCAAAGCTGCATGCAGAACAGGCGAATTCATCAGATCCGCAGTATGATGTGCCATGTCGTCCCTCGGCTCGTGCTGCTACCTGCTGAAAGCAGGATTGTCACGCAGCAAGCGCTCCTGCAGCCTGAAGCAGAGCAAACTCTCTATACATCGACCACTTCCGGATCTGACCCATCTCGAAAACGAGAGAGCATGACACTCCCGCAGACGAGAGTCCAAAGGTCGAATACAGCCAGGCTATGCTCGACGACGGCCATGGCTATCTCCACCTATTCCGAGCGCCCGAACTTCTCCGTCGAGGGGGCGGTCCTTTCAGCACTGAGGGGGAAAATCACACCCCTCGACGTGTTGCAAACTTGCAGATCTGGCGAAGGAACCCAAATCCGAGGAAACTCGCAATGTGGCTCGCGCAGCTAGTGCGATAGCGAGTACGGATCATGATGAGAAGAGGAATCCATTCTCTGCTGTCCCTAGCGCGTCGAGTGTCCACGGCGCTCGTACCCGTGGCCGTTCATCCTGAGGTCGCCATCGGGGTCTCTGTCGCGGTCGCGGGCGGTACTGCCACCGCCGTTCCTCTCGGCGTGTTTCTTGCGGTCATCAGTCCGTGCTTCGCGCTCCCGTTCGCGCTCCTCCTGGCCGTCTCCGGTCCCCGTAAGATCCAGATCCTCGCTCTCGTCCTCGTCGCCCTCACGGGTGTCGTCCTCGCCGGCGTCGCTGAGGTCCTCCCAGACCTTGCCGCGGCGGACTTTCAAGGGGCCCTTGGGCATGACCCACATGTTCTCGCGCATCTTCTTGTGTCTCTCTCTGTCCTCCTCGATCCGCTGCTCGATCTGGCGCTTCTCGAGCTTCAGGCGGCCTTTGCTTCCGTCTACAGTGCTCTTGCTTGTTGTCGTAGTTGTAGTGCGGCCGTTCGTACCGCTCGCGGGCGCGGTCGTATCGCCGTTGACAGGGCTCGAGAGCACGTCGGCGTGCGAGGCGGCGGCGCGGTCTCTTAGACATTCCTCGATCTCGGTCGAAGTTTGCTCGAGCAGGAAGCCTTTGGTGACAAGCCCCAGCAAGACTTTGCGCACCACTTTGGTGTTGGCGGCCCCGGAGCCGTCCTCCGGACACACAGCATCTACAACCCTCATAATGTCGCGTTGCATGCGCCTGATGTAGTCGGTACAGCTGCGGTCGCCCTCCTTCTCGGCCATCTCAAGGAAAGGTTCGATGAAGTACATGATGTTGGCGCGTGTGTTCATGGAATTCTGCTCGAGAGGTTGTGTGTCAGCCTCGCATCTCGTCTTCGTTGGTTTTCCTCTGATGGACAGCTTCGCCTGGAATGTAGGGTGCACGACAACCAAAAGTGACAGTACAGGATCCCAGAAGTCCCGTAGCCGATCCCATGGGAATGTCATGAACAAAACTTTGGTACGAAATTAACTTACCCTCTCCAACTGCTCCAGGATACAGCTGTGCAGATCCTCGCTCATGTCGCGATACTTGAGCGCATACTGCGCGGCCTTCTGGGCGCTAACGACGCTGGCGTTGAGGGTCTTCAGCTGGTTGCTAAACCGCATGCGCACCTCGAACGGGTCCGCCATCTTGGCCTCCTCCTGCTCCCTACGCGCCTTGATCTTGCGGTCGCGCCAGACGATGTAAGGGTCCGCGGTCGCCCAGTTGTGCGCGTTCAAGATGCTGTAGAATACCGGTTCCTTGGGTGTGACGAGTGCGAGGAAGTCGAGTAGAGATGACTGGGTTCCACTTGGCTCTGGGAAGTGCGGGCCTCGGTGGCTGATACGGTCGTTGCGGCTGCTGTGGCCGGGGTTGGTGCCGGGTCGAGGTGAATCGGGACGCGGGTCTCGAGCTGTTCGGTGGTTGTCCGCTTTTCTCGCTGCGACCGAAGCTATGTGAACCCTTTTGGTCGTGTGGACTCGGTCCGGACTACGGCGGTCTCGGCGGTCGTGCTCGTCGTAGGTTCTATACCGGTATCTATCGCGGCTGTAGCTGCGACGGCGGCGCGGCGGGCTTCTGTCACGCTGCGATGGCCTCGGACGTGAACGGCGGGATCCTCGTCGAGGCGAGTGGAGCCGAGCCGGCGCCCGTTCTTCACGGCGCGGTCGGTGATGCATTGGTTGGTGGGGGCGGCCGTTGCTCTCATGTAATGGACTAGGCCAAATTAGGGCAGCGGGTGCCCAGAACAGGTTTAGCGACCTCCGGTTTACCTGTGTCGTGGGGGGATCGTCGCAATGCGATCTCGGAAATGCAGAATGTGAAAATGTACTGATGTGACGAGAACAAATCACGAGACCGATAGCGACGTGACAGTCTTGGGCTTCTCCTTTGTCCAGACGTGTATTTACAATTACTGTCCTGTGATTAGAGCCGAATTTCAGCCTTACAAGGCATCGAGTGCTGGCCTATCTTCACTCCTGTCCAAATCCGATACTCTGCCCACCTCCTGATACCCAGCCAACCAGTATAACGTTTAGTACATTGGTATACACTTTCAAGATGCTGGCCCTGCCTTCACGACCCAACGAGGGCGAAGACCTCACCATGGCCGTCCTAGGATGCGGTACGCCTCCATTTCACTCTGCACGCTCACGACGGTTTCAAGACTGCACCTCAGAGAAACGTTATCTTCATGTTCACCGCCACCTAACATGAGATATTTTTCAACGCAGGCAACATGGGCATCGCCATCCTCTCCGGGATTCTCTCCTCAATCAGCGCCCTCAGCGGCCCCAAGCCTCTCCAGACGGACCCGTCTCAACCGGCAGAGGAAATCCCGTCCCGTCTGCCCACCAAGTTCATTGCCTGCGTACGGCGGCCCGAATCTGCCAAGAAGGTGAAGAAGGCCCTCTGGCAGCACACCTCGTTCGTCAAGGTCGTACAGAATGAGAATGTGGCTGCTGTTTCTCGGTACGTATAGGTCGACTCCCATAGGTCTCCTGCCAAATGATGCTCGTTGCTACTGTCACTCCTGGAAGAAAATCCGGTCTCATCCACCTATAAGACCTACGTCGATAAGGATGCCCCCTTCTCCCCCTTTCCCAATAACAGCTTCTCACAGTCCCACAATACCGCATATCATCTTGGACGACTCACTGACACCCATGACAGCTCGGACGTGGTACTGCTGAGCTGCAAGCCCTCGCACATCCAGAGCATCCTGGCGCAGCCGGGCATGGCCGAGGCCATGGAGGGCAAGCTCCTGATCTCGATCGCGGCGGGCGTGACGGTGGAGCACATCCGGGCGACGCTGCATGAGGCGGCCGTGGCCGCAGCCAAGGGCGATGTCAACGGCGCCGGCGGCGACTGCGACTGCCGCATCGTGCGCGCCCTGCCCAACACGGCCAGTCTGATCCGCGAGGGCATGACCGTCATCGCCGACTCGGAGCCCGCCCTGCCGCCCCAGACCAACGCCCTGGTGACGTGGATCTTCCGCCGCATCGGCGACGTCGTTGTGAGTCTCGCCCTTGGGTCGCTCCTTATTGCGGCTTGGAAATCGTACCGGACCCCCCTGGCTTACAGAATGACGCAGTACCTCCCCACCCACCAGATGGATGCTAGCACCGCGCTCATCGGCAGCGGTCCGGCCTTCTTCTCCCTGGTTCTCGAAGCCGCCATCGACGGCGCCGTAGCCATGGGACTTCCCCGCGCACATGCAACACGCATGGCCGCCCAGAGGTAAGTCTAGCCAGCCCAGCCCGGGGCCACCTTGCTCCCCAAAGAGCGACCCCCTCTCCCCTCTATCCTCCCATTGCCTCCATTCAACTCGCATCAAGTGGAGATGAGCTCACGGACCATCGAAAACAGCATGCACGGCACCGCCAGTCTAGTCCTCGACGGCGAGCACCCGGCCCTGCTGCGCGACAAGGTCAGCACCCCCGGCGGCTGCACCATCGGCGGGCTGCTGGTGTTGGAGGAGGGTGGCGTGCGCGGCACCGTCAGCCGTGCCGTCCGCGAGGCCGCCTGTGTCGCTGCCGAGCTGGGCCGCGGCAAGGGCGCCGGCGTCAACGGGACGCGGTTTGTCGGGCGCCCGTAGAGCGCCCGCCCTTTGTCCTTTGATAGCGGGAGAGGAGAGTCGTGAGTTTTGAGAGCCCAGATGGGAAGTGGAAATCTTGCATACAGAAGCTGTCTATTAGTCATAGAGTCGTACAAAGCTTGAAGCTTTTGGTGGAGGAACACGAAGGCTCGTATGCCAAGTGTCACTCAAAAAGAAAGTCTTTTCTCGCTCCTACACCAGATGGCTGCCCACGTCACTGATCAATTGGATGATCAAACCATATTGAAGTGTCTTTTGATGCAGTTCACCTGAAATCCTGCCGGGCTTGCTGAAGATATGTATCCATGGCTGATCCAACACATTCACGAACAACCTTATGGGCCTGGGTTTTGCCCGTGGAATCTCCACACCCCTCCCACTCTCTCTAGCCAAATCTCGTCGTGGTGCCCCTATCTTCTCGCTCATATGGAAGTTCAGCGGACTTGCTAACCGGAAAGAAGGCGCCAATAATGAACAATTACAACAACTCGAATCGCCAACCCTGAACTGGAAATTCACGAGGCCAACTGAGCCCAACGTGGGTCTGAACATCAACATGGAGATCAACATACATCACCGGTCCAATTTCCCTCGTCAGACGTTGGGGACCACTTGGGTTCCGGCCTGAGCTTTCTTATCAGAGACTATTACGATACCGCTCCGTGGCTATGGCCTTGCATGGTTCAGTCCTATCTCACGCTCTTTGCTCTGGTTGGCGTGTGTTTCGCGTACACAAATGCACAAATGTAGGGCTTTTTGTCACAATGGTCGAGTTCTGAATATCCAAATTCCATATATTGTCGTATCTATTGCTGGGCTTTCCCGCGGGCTGCGCAGTTACAATGATAGCCGATCTCAAACAAGACCATTGGTATAACCATTCATCCGGCTGGAAATGGAATCTGTTATTTTGGAGTGGTCTTTGAATCCATGGTGGTTATTTCCTGTCATTTTTTTTTATCTGAGCACTGTATTCCCGCAAGGATCCATGGCGCGATACATAATCCTGCCCTTCTTACTGTATGCTTTCTATGTTCTCTGTGGCTGTTTCGTTCTCCTTGAGGAACGAAATTAGGAGCTATTTGCTTATTCATGGAAGGCGCTAATAGAACACTTTTATGATCATATTCACAAGTGACGCCACTTTGTTAATTTGTATGGGTCATTACTGGTGAATACATGTTTCGAAATGATCTTGTGGCAGTTTCAACTCGCTGAGTCACCTCACCGAATCTAAATGACTACTTGGTTTCTGTAAAGATTCTTTCCAGCTCAATAGTAACGATTAGGATGAGTCAAAACCACCTGAAATACCCCATTATAAAAATATGAGTCTGAAGATTATGTTTCTCGGGCGACAACCATTTTCGTTAATAATTTGTTCGTATAGATGCGATTCCTAGGGTGAGAGTTACAGCGTAATCTCATCTGGCACGAGGTTTTATTATAGATTGCCAACCACTTTCTAAAGGGGGTTTCGCTGCCTTCGAATGGATTCTCACCATATTGCATCCCTCGTACCAGATTCGCCCCTTCAAGTTCGGCGCTACCCACAGCTTGGGACGAAGTAGCTACAGGTTGCTTTGTTTGGTCATCGATTCGGCCAGCGAGCTTTCATGAGCACATAAGTCTCATCTCGGCCACTCGGTTCCAAAAAATGACGCCACGGACAAAGCCCTGCAGGACAAGCGAGACTGTGCACGTTGTCTAGATTTACCGTACGGCCCCGGCCACGAACATCATTAGATGATTGCCAATTCTGTTCGGAGCTTTCGAAACTGGCTTAGTGAGATTCACCCTCAAAATGCAAGGCTTCGCACTTGATGAACCAACGCTGCCTTACCAGCCCACTCAACCGCTCAGCCATAGCACTGCCGAGTGATTCAATAATTTGCCATCAATTACAACATATCATGCAAAAACACGGCCAGCACTATCACAGCGTCCAACGCGGTTCCATTGCAAATTCCCTATAACTATACACTCGATTTTTTGGCGACCCAGCCAACAAAAACGACTCTGGTATCAAATCTCCCTCGGTCCATAAGCATGCAGTACGCCGCGACTGCCCCTCACATGTCATGTACAATAGAAGAGATCAGCGCGTGTCTCTCCTAGCCCCTTTTGATCAAAGCTCCCAGTCCAGATTAGATAGCCTGGAGTTTCGACGAAATCAATGTGGATATCAAAATATCATCCGGCTACCCTCGTGCGTAGCTCAGGCATCCTCCACTCTCGCCTTCTTGCTGCTGCCGCCCGCGCCATTGGTCTCGTCCTCCAGTTTTCTCTTCCCGCTTGCCACGGCGTCGCCGTTCTCCAGGGCGCCGGGTCGAGGCGCATCCAGCCGCTCCAGGATACGGGCGTACTCCCACTCGACGTTCTCCAGGGTCTCGTTGAGCTTGATGATGCGCTCTGTCACCTCGAACTCACCTAGGATGGTGGCGTTGCGGCGGTAAAGCCGTTGCTTCAAAATCAAGCGCCACAGGGTGTACATGGTCTGGTCGGCCGCCGAGGGCTTTCCTTTCGGCGGGCCCATATCCGAGGTGTCAGGTAGGGGGCGCACGGAGAGGGGCAGTTTAGACATGAGATGCATCTCCACCAGACGGGAGAACTGGCGCGGCGCGATCTTGGTGCGTACTCGGAGGGCTTCGAGAGCATCGATATCGAGGATACTCTTGGCCGAAGTGGCACTGTTGGCGTGTGTAATCTGGAGGTTGTGGTGTAGAATTCCGCCCTTCTGCGGGACGGAAATATCCGGGGTGATGGAAAGCTCGGCAAACTCGGGGACGTTCTTGCGCAAGTACTTCATGTCACAAAGGTCACGCAGGAGGTCAAAGGCCTCGTTGGGATCTTCGACTGTGACTTCTTTTGTAGCTGCATCTTTGGACTGGAGTTGGAAGATGGTGTTGTACAGCATGGCACCAGCACCCCTGCCCTGGAAGGGAGGAAGGATGACGAACTGTGATATCCTCGAGCGGTGGGACATCTGCTTGTAGGGCAAGTCCTCTTGGGGGAGCTCCCAGGTGTCGTCCACCTTGGGCTCGATGGGTTTGTTGGTGGGCGACGCAGGGGGCGTCAGAGGCTCAAACAGCCAGAAGTGGTAGACTGTCGAGTAGCCTTGGAAGATGTACTGGGATTGACCCTCTGCCGCAGACTGCTTCTTGTAGAGGAAGTAGACGGACCACCTGGCCAGCGAATAGTCCGGCTCGTCCTGGCCTTCGGGGTCCTGCCCGACGTACGAGCCTCCCTCGATGAAGAAGAGGACGAGGATCTGAATGCGATTCACCAGCTGCTTGACGGCAGCATCCGCCAGGCTGCCCTTCCAGACTTCGTATGTGTCGCCATCGCGTTGTATGGTCTCAATGAGCTCGCCCGGCGGGGTCCAGTCCTTGGGTGTCTGCTTGAGGGCGAGATCGTAGTCGGACTTCTTCTGGAAGGCGACTGGGACCAAGTCAGCGCTGAACGTGGGGGGTCAGGGAGCTTATGCGCCAAACCTTCGGGGAGGAACTCCTTCAGAGTGCCGACGACATCGTCAGCCTGCACCTCGCTGACAGTCTGGAATTTCCTGGCCGACGACACGGCCAGGTTCGGGCGCATGTCACTGGCATTGTAGGAGAGGTTGACCCGGAGACCCTTGTATCCGAAAATGCGCTCCTCCTCGCCGAAGATGGCGTAGGTGAACTTGGGGTTGAAGGACTCGATCTTCTTGGGGCCGGACTCGGTGGGCTGCACCAAGGAGATGGTGACTGCGTCGTTGGCGTCGGCGGTCCCTGGTTTTCTAGAGTTAGCATGCGGCGGGCAATGCGACTAGAGATGGATGGGATGGGTTGCATACACTCTTCGCCGGTCGACATGGTGATGACGGGTGGCGCGCGACCGAGATGGGAAGCAACAGGCAGGTGTATCTCGGGGCGAGGCGGGCGGAAGCAGGCAGACGTCGCCGGTTCTGTGGAAGTGTTGATGCTGCAGAGGCTGACGACTTCGCTCCAGCGGGTCCGAGGTGATGACGAGTCCGGGATGAAGGCTGGGATTGGGAATTGGGGTTGGAATCACATCAATTAACGCGCTGAGGCAGCTTCAAGCGCGTCGCAGTGGTCGACCCGTTGGCGATGCGCGTTTGTGCACTTTGGGACCTTGGACCCAGCGGGCTAGGCCCAGTCGGTACCTGAGGTAAGGGAAAAAAAGCTATGGGGGCCCAGCCAAGGTGAGCAGGACTCCAGCCCCACTGAGGACGACCCCTGCTCCTCCCCTGCAGGTGGCCTGGGTCGCTAGCTACCTACCTAGGTACCTAGGTAAGGCACTGGGCTACTGCTGGCAAGCTGGAATGGGTGCTGGGTTGGAAAAAGCGGCTGACTGTGACGTGAATCGGCAGAGGTACCGGACAGTAGCAGGGGCAGGGATGGCGGTTCCAGGCGGGCAGGCCGCCTGCAAGCCTGGATGCTCGATGCTCGATGCTCGATGCTCGATGCTCAGTGGCCCAGGCGCCGCTCTGGCGCTACTCCGTACTTGGCCAGCTAGACAACTAAACTGACGTTGGAATCGGGGAGGCGCAAGAGTCGACCGTCGAAAGAGTTTTGATCTCTCAGCTTCACGACTTTGACGGCGACGACGACGACGACGACGACGACGACCTCTCCTTACTGCCCTCCTTCCTCTCCTACTCCTGCCGACCCTCGCGACCGTGATTGGACCCGTTGCTGGCCTCGCCCTCGCCCCCGCCCCCCTCGCCCTGCAGTTGTGCCAGATGTATTCGTGACGGAACCGTGTCCTCCCCAAGCTACCGAACCACCGCTTCCCCCCCAAAAAGCCACCATGGCAGGAGTCCTGCTCCTGCTGGCCTTGACGGTACGATCGCAATGACCCTTGCTACACAAAGACCGAATGCTTGCTAATGCTCTGTACAGGCTGTCATGGCGCTGGCGTATGCGATCCCGCCCCGTCTCGAACTGACCACCTCCGACTGACACCCACATATAGCTCCTTCCTGGCCGGCGCCCTCCCGCTGTCCATGGCCCTGTCGCAGTCACAGCTGCGATTAATATCCAGTATCGGTATCGGCATACTCGTCGGCACCTCGCTCATAGTCATCATACCCGAAGGAATCTCGGCCGTGGCAGAGGCCTCTCTGGCGTCGGGCAGCGCACCTGGAGTGGGAGCCGTGAGGAGACATCTGTCTTCCCGAGGCGCCGCCGCCGTGCGTTGGGAACGGGGCACGAGGGACCTCCACACGGCACAGGTCGCCGCGGGGGATGCGCAGGGTGAGTCCCTCGAGCAGACGCTCCCCGTCATCCTCCCCGACCTGGACGCCCTCACCAGCGACGTCGCCCGCGTGGCCTCGCCCGTCGAGGACCCGCCGACCAAGACGCCCTCGGAGCACGCCCCCCACCCCCCGGAGCCCGTGCCCACCTTCTACGTCGGCCTGTCGCTGATCCTCGGCTTCGTGCTCATGTTCCTGATCGACCGCCTGCCGCGCCACGCCTCGGAGAACTTCCAGCCCCCGCCCGCCCCGCGCCACATCAGCCTGAGCAACCTGGGCGGCTCCGCCCTGCCCGGCGACGACCTCGAGGAGCAGGAGGGCTTCCTCGGCGGCCTGGCCCCGACCCCGCGCCAGACCCGCAGCCTGGCCACCACCACGGGGCTCGTCATCCACGCCGCCGCCGACGGCATCGCCATGGGCGCCAGCGCCTCGGGCAGCGACATGAAGCTCGGCTTCATCATCTTCATCGCCATCATGGTCCACAAGGCCCCCGCCGCCTTCGGGCTGACGTCGGTCTTGCTGAAGCAGGGCCTGTCGAAACGCGCGGCTAGGGGCCACCTGATCGTCTTCAGTCTTGCGTCGCCAACCGGCGCCTGGGCCACATTCATTCTCGTGAACCTTCTCGGGGGAGGCGGAGGCGGTGAGGGCGCAGACGGCGAGTGGAATCAGTGGTGGACGGGCATGTTGCTCCTGTTCTCGGCAGGCACCTTTCTGTGAGTATTCTCCTGCATTCACACGTTCGCAGGCTGTTCCTTCTGAGGGCTCTTGGGGCTAACATGAAATAGATACGTTGCCATGCACGCTATGCAAGAGGGCGACTCGGCGGCGCCACACGAGACGGCGCCCACCACCTCCAACGGCTACGCCGACAGCCCGACTCTCGGCCCGCGGAAACAGGCCAGGCCGCAGATGCGGGATACTATCGCCACGGTGGCCGGCATGCTGGTGCCTCTGCTTACGCAGTTTGGACATCACCACTAGAAGATTTGCAGGGCAATATGGGTCATGATGATTTTGTGGTTATTATGTTTTGCTTGTGTGGGCTCAATATATAGATAGGCAGGATGGGGAATGGGGGTAATCTCGAGCGTCTCTACGCCGGACGGGCTTTGCCTTTGCTTTGGGCCCCGCCCAGATCTATACTCAGATGTTCTATATGGATGATGGCGCACGACCTCGGGGGGCCAATCAGCTGGCGCTTGTATTCTTAACGCTGTATGAAACGACAACCACGAATGTCGGGACGAACTTGATCCAGGAATCGACACGACAAAGCGCAGGTTGGGGTGAAGTGCTGTGAAGTGAGCTGAGATAAGATGGGGGTTTGTGTATACATAGTACCATTATACCCCTTAATTGATTTTGACTGAATTTCAAGATGCCGTGCCGGTGCTTACTGTTCAAGCTCGCGCCCCTTTTTGGTTTCGTCCTACGGATGTGGGTGCTGGCACATGAAACTTGTCTTAGACATGACTTCGGTTACGCTGCATTTGCGTATACACATATACGGTAGTCATTGTCACATACTTTCCCGCTTTGGCTCTTGGACTTGAAGTCAAATTGTGAACTTCCTGCATTATATACGACTATATATAAAATAAATGTTACATGTGTAAATGCATATGCATGTTGTACGTCTGCATGTACGACCAGTGAGTTAACTCATGAATAATTGCATTTACATCGCCACGGGGTATCTATCATGCAACGCTGCCTATATCCTCGGTCCCCATGAACTCTATTTCCACTTTTCCCTCGCGTCTATACGGAGCCACCAATCCATCGCCCCACCTGTTATTATTCATCCTATACACATCCACACATACACACGTCTAGGCCAGCACGGCAGCACCGCCGACCACCAGTCCCGCGACCGCCATCCACGAGCCGCGCGGGACGCCACCCGCTGCCGCGTTGGCCGTCGGCGAGGGGGTGGAGCTGGCGTTGGCGCCGGATCCAGAACTAGAGCCCGAGCCCGAGCTGGAGCTGGCCGCGCCGTCGCTGCCGCTGCCGCTGCTGCTGCTCCCGATGGGCCGGCTGGTCGAGCCCTCGGGCGTGGGCGCCTGCGTGATGCCGGTGCCGGTGGTGCTGGTAGTGCCGGTGGTCCCTGTGGTGCTGGTGGTGCCCGTAGTCCCCGTGGTGCTGGTGGTCCCCGTGGTGGCCGTGGTGCTGGTTGTGCCCGTGGTCGACGGGGTCCCCGCGGTGGCGACCGTGGTGGGGGAGGTGGTGGTGGGCGCCGCCGTCGCCGTCGTGAAGCACGGCATGTAGGACGGGGCCGGGTTGGGGTCGCACGTCGCCGTGCCCTTGTACGCGCCGCAGCACGGGTTGGTGGTCTTGGGGGGCGCGCGGCCGCCGCCGCAGTCGAGCGGGTCTGTGAGAAGAGGGTCAGTCTCAGGGGCGGGCTTGGGAGTATGGTATTGTGTGGTATGGTATGGTATATATGAGATGAGATGTGTTGCAGATGTGGTGTATAGAGAGCATATTGCAAGATATACTAGTGAACGAAGAATGTCGGAGGGTTTCTCGTAGGAGTATGAGATATCTGAATAACTTACCACAGATCTGACCATCATCGGGATCGTACCAGTGCGTTATGCCATCCTCACAGTGGCCAAACGTGTGCGTCGCGCAACCCACGGCGTGGGCGCCCTTGGCTGCCGCGAGCAGGAGGATTGGGATGGTGGACACGAGCATGCTTTCTTGTTTTCCACGTCCTATTTTACTTCAAGAATGGTTTGGATGAAAACCCGTTGAACAACTGAAGTACCCGGACGAGCTGCTGAGGGGATCCCCAGTCTTCTTATGGCCGTTGAAATGAGTCTATCATCCTGCGAAGCACCGAGGAAGCTAGACCGACTTATATACGTGCTAATATAGACGCCAAGCTGGCCGGCCGCTCTGGGCTGCTGCCGGGTCCAAATTGCTGGTATGCGAACTGCGCCGCTAAGCTGCCTAAACGACATTGGCCATCCTGCGTAGCTTAATTTTCCCCGGACCGTCAATCCTTAAGCTATTCGTTCGTTCCACTGCCTAGCCTCGACTAAGCCCCCTTCGTGTTAAAGGTCGAAGGGGAAAAGTTGGCATTATACGAAACCAAAAGGGCCACCCAGAAATAGCATCGCCCGACTTGGTTCCATACTGGCCTTGTATATTGCCCTGTCGAGGCAAGCATCACACAGCCCCAAGAGTCGGGTTCCAAGAGCTTTAGCCCTTTTTGGACGGGATGTCGACTCACAACGTATACTGTGCTAGACCACGACTTCCTTAATTCGAGCGTCGCACAGCCGCCAAAACCCCAAGACCTATTCGTAGGTAAACGAATAAAAAATGCTCTAGGGGTCACGGCTCATGTATGAACATCAGTGTAGGATCAAATATATATTCCTCATATAGACACCTTGCTCCATCCTCTTTTGACGCCGCCCATTAACAATCAATACGCTCTCACCCGTCCCGTGTTCCACGCCAGCATATACACGTAATCATGTGCTTTGGTCTGGTACCCGTGCCCATGCCATTCTCGCAACCGTGCGGCAAAGTTCAGACCGCATCCAGATAGCCAAAAAAAGAAATAAAGAAGTCTAGCAATGAAGGGCAACCCAACCCCCTTCATCATGCAGTTCCCCGAGGTAGAAGAAAAATGCCAGTCTCGTAGGTATGTAGATGTTCGCCGACGCCAAGCCCATGCAGTTTGTGTAGTTAGATGCCCTTGTACCCCGCGCGTCAGGGAATAGTTGAATCGATAAACGCAGTTAGTCCGATGATGGTGAGAGTTGTGGCAATGCCATATCATAGCCCCGGCTTGAGCTCCATGGTCACTAAAACTATCTCATCAATGCTCTTCATCGTCGTCGAAGAATGTCGAGTTATTGGGAGGCGCCGTTGAGGGTGCATCTCTCATATCTACGTCCTGGTCTTCGACGGGAGTTGCCGCTGTCGGTATGCCCAACGTGGATCTTCGATAATCGACAGCCAAGAGCCGTCCGGCAGAAGATTTGTCCGTTGGCTGCGGTAGCGAGGCTGGCCTTTCCGGGTACGCATCTTCTTCTGGTGGTGAGAATGACCAAACCTGAATGACCGCATTAGACATAGTTCCCGATGGCTTGTAGACGCACTCACCTCCATCATCACACGGTTACCCCGGTTGGCGACGGCAACACATTTTTCATCCTCAAAGACCACGCGCCAGACAGACTCCGCTGGATATACAATTAGCACAACGCAAGTCAAACTGAGGGAGCCTAGCTTCACTGGACATGCCCCAGGGGGCAAGGATGTACAGTGCTACAGTGCAAGAACGGCAACTCACCTGTAATAAGTTCACGGACCAGGTGTCCGGTCTTGACGTCCCAGACTTTGACGCGGCCATCACTGCCTCCGCTCACGACTCTGGTGTCGTCGAATTGCAAACTCGTGACGCTGTTATCGTGCGCTGCAAGTCGGTGGATGGGACACATCTTCTCCAGGGACCAGACCCTGACGGAGCCATCTGAGCCTCCAGTGACGAGCGTGTTTCCGCGCAGCTGCAATTGACCGACTAACGAGGTGTGACCCTGTAGGACGGCGATGGCTTCACCAGTATGGGCATTCCAAACACGGACGCTGGTATCCAGACTTCCTGTGACCACCCTCTGACCGTCGAATGCGATGGCGTAAATCTGACTGAAGTGGCCGCTCAACGTATGAAGACAGCGGCCTTCCGATATGCTCCAGATCTTGGCCGTGGCGTCATAGCTGCCAGACACCACGATATCCCCCTTGATCTCGAGACACCTGACACTAGCCTGGTGTCCAACTAGCACATTACGGCACACGCCTTGTCTGATATCCCACACCCGCAGTGTGGTGTCTCGCGATCCCGATATTGCCGTGTTGGCATCAGACATCTTCAAGCACCTCACAGTCGACGTGTGGCCTCGGAGGGTGTGGAGGCAGTTTCCGGTCTTCATATCCCAAACGCGAACGTCACGATCGCAACCACCGCTGACTAGGATGTCCTCCCAGGGGACCATGGCCCAGACACCCATTACGTGGCCTTGTAGAGTTTTCAGCGCATTCCCCTCCCGGTCGAAGATGTGTATCCTGGCGTTATCAAGTGCCACAACGATGTACTGGGGGGTCAGGTGCAGACTGGTCACAACGCGACCATCCTGGGTGATCGTTCTCGTCGAGTGTGCGCCGCCAGTTCGCCATGCCGATTCCACCAGGTACCGTTGCTTGAAGTGAGATTTATAGGACCTGAGCTTCGGCCGGGAGCTTGACCAGTCGAAACTTCTCGAGGTCTGCAGGGTCGGTGGCGCGGTGGGCAACGCTCCGGGGAAGCTGTGGTTGGCATGGTCGGGATCCGTCAAGGGATATGCGCTCGGCCTGCTGGTCGCATACGCCGGCACCCCGTAGTAGACTTCGGACAGCCTGCGGCCGTAGTCGTGCTTGACGCACAGGTTCTTCCACGTAACATCGTCGCTGAGTAGATCGCGCCACCGCCTCGAGACCTGCGAAGACCGTGCTAGCACTTGGGGGTCGTCGATGAAGGACAGGATGCGTAGACACAGTTCGTCCGGCAAACTGGTGAAAGGGTCCTTCTTCAGGAGCGGACTGACGAACTGGTGCACAAAGCTGAGTTGCTGGGTGGTGCACATGTTCAGCAGGTCGGCGAGTAGGCGATTCCTCTGGGGCCTTGAGCACCGCTGGAAGTGCTGGCGGACGTGGGCCAAGAAGTAGTCCTCATCTTCAGCGGCCTCGCTCCAGTCGGCCTGGGGATGGGATGGGCCCGGCGAGGCAGCGGGCGTAGGGGGTGGTGGAGGGGAGCCGGTCAACGTCTGGTCGAAGTCGGGTGCGGGTGTGCTCATGCTGGGAGTAGGGGGGCCTCTCGGCCGGGGTTGTGCCATCTTCTCCATCCTGTGGTTCGTAGGACCGCCGTTGGTGTTCAGGCTCAGCTCCTCGCTGATGATGCTCCCCCTCCTTTCCGAGAAGCTGAGAGGGCGGCTGTATCCAGCCATGCCTCAGCTGGTGGACTGCGGCCTATGCGGTGAGTCGAAGTGGGAGTGCGGTGCGCTGCAGTGCGCAGGCGCTGGGTTTTGGACAAGAGGAGGCTCGTCTCATAAATCGGTTCGAGGCGACTGTCGGCGTTCCCCCGAGCAGCCCGGGCACTTGTGGTTGAGGGTGACCTGTGTACTCGCATCAGTAACCGCTGGAGATCAGACGAAATTGCACAGTCCGCCAAAGAACATCGACCACGAGGACATTCCAAGGACGTTTCCCCTCACTACGCGCTTGCGCCACTTGGGAGGAGAGAATAGACGGGTTCAGAGAGTCAAGACTCGCCGTAATGGCGATCGGGAGATGGTGTTGCAGGGCAGCAGGCGTCATGCCATACCTCGAGGTGGGTGCCAGCGGGAGCGGGAAGGGCGTCACGACGTGAGGTTGAGTGGCGGCCGCAGATGGGCTCGAGACATGGACGCTGGCCGGTCGGAAGGGGAGAGGCCGGGTCGTCGAGAGTACTTGGGGTACTATGTCTCTCCAGCGCTGGGTAGAAGGGAGTTGGGAGTCGGACGTTCAAAGGCGAGTCTGGCTCGTTGTCTGCCTCGAGGGTGGTGCCGAGCCCAATCGCATATGGAGGGCCGTCAGGATTGGCTACGAGAACGGAGGTCGAGAAAGAAGTGCAGGCGGGATTGAATGGAGACAAGACACCGGGACACAGACACAGACACCAACACGGACGCTGAGCAATGCGACTGGTGTGGTTTTGTCGAGCAGCGAATGAGACGGGATGGGGGCGAGAAGCGCAGGCAAAGCAGTAAGCGTCGCCGACGACTGACATGGAGGAGGACTAGTGGTAGGAGGAGGAGGAACCACACCTGGGCGACTGGGAGTCCGGGATTGGGGGGGCGCTGGGCAACTCGGGGCCTGCAGACTCGAGCTGGCACCACTCGGCGCCCGCTGGGCACCACTGGGAGCACCCGACTGGGGCCGCTGGGCCACTGGGCCGCCTGCACTTGGGGCACTGGCCTGACTGGGTCCAGCGGGCAGCAGTGGTGCGAACAGCGCACTGATCCGGTGGGGCGACACCCGAAACGTGCTAAACTCACTTGGACGGGGGGCACTTGGTTGGCTGGCTGGCTTTGGCTGGCTTTGACTGGCTTTGACCGGCTTGGGCAGGGTCAAGGTCAAGAACAACCTACAACCGTATCGTCTCGTCTGTCGTTCGTCAGATGTGCAGTCAATAAACGAGACAAGACATAATGTCGTGTGGTATAGAGGTGCCTTTCGTTCGTGCACTCATGGTACACAACTGCCTAGCCTAGAGTCCCGTTATATCCAGGAGGAGGAATTTCCCCCGTCATTTTTCCTCTCCGGTCAGATCTTAGTGCAGCGTCTGGCGTTGGATTGCATTCGCAGAACTCTATGCACGTCATCTCCATCTATGTATCCATCCAGCAAAAGGCCTTGAGCAAGTCTCGACTCGCCGTGCTTATTAGGCGCATGCGTTAGTGCGAGCTTCCAAGGTATACCCGCCCCAGGCCAGGCATTGCCAGGAAGGTTCCGTCAAAGGAGCATCCACAAAGTCTACGACCGCCCCCGGCGACTCTCCCCAACAGCAGACACACTATTCTCGTCGACTGCGCGCAACAAACGTGTCGATCGTGCCCTGCGTGCCTATGCGTCGTTGCTGCACGTGCTGCGCCGTCCTCTTAATTAAAGGAGGCCCCGTAGTGTAAAACCTCTGGGCTGTCTCAGAAGCAGAGATCAAGCGGCTCTCTTTCTTCAATCCTTGAAGGAACGCCGAAACCTTGTTTCCATGCCCTCAGGAACCCGCAGGCCATCAACGGCGGCCCCACGGAGAGGGGCCTCTCTCTCGTTGATGGCATCAGATCAGTGCATCCCAGTGCTTCCCGGTTTATTAAGTACCGTACCTACTTCACCTGTTGGAGCCTGTTTTTCATTTGGTTGCTGACGAGCGAAGCGCTGCTCAAATTGCTCAAATTGGCACGCTGGCGACGATTACATAAAACGTCCCGCAGGCTAGTCATGCCCCGGCGTCTCCCATTGCGCATCCGGCACCCTTTTTTCTAATCCCGTGCATTCCCACAAATGCCTGCCTCTAGCCATGCATGTCTTGGCGTTTAGACCCGTCACCTGCACCCGAATTTGCAGAGCCGCTCCTCATCACGCCGCCGCCTGCCACATCCGTGCGGACACGGAGTACCACCAGCAGAAACCCCCGTGGGCAGGCAATGTTGTAGACAGACAATCTATTTAGGCTGTCGGCTGACGAGAAGGATCGCCAACTCGTCTGCAGCACCATACAGAGACGGCCTTGGGCGCTTCATCCGAACCATTGATTGTCACTGCCAAAAGGGCGGCGCAGATCCCATCATGCATGCAGTGCAGACCGTGTGTAACGGGCCCTTTTTTCTCTTCATCAGCTTGCAACCTTAGCACAGTCAGCACCACGACTTGCTTGCAGTCCCCCTTGGACGCTGACACCTGCACACGCAGCATTGACGCACGCGGGAAAGCAAAGCTAAACCCAGCTTGCTTTGTCCGTCTCAGGAACCCGAGGGACAGCCACACCAGAAGAAACAACCTTAGTCCATGTGCAGCCAGCCTGGTCTGCCGCCCCCTTTCCACGTCAATTCATGGCCCGTGACTGCAAACTATAGTATGTAACGAGCAGAGACTCTCTCAATCGCCGTCACGAGATCAAGTCACCACCCAATCTGTCTGTCCAAACTCCAAACCCCGCGAAACCACTCGTCCATGTCGCCTCAGGTGTGCCCCGGATTGACTGCAGATCGGGCAGGGGGTCAGCTCGGGCCTGCTGCGTCCCATTCGCTACGTGAATTCGCACCTTGGTTCGTCAGAGGGCCCCCCTCCCAGCCTTACCACCATGCACAATGCTGCATATTAAGCGCTGCGAATCTACAGGAGGGTGTCCGGCCTCAACATACAGGCTCGCCTGGAGTATATGTCGCCTGCTAGGGCATTCGTGGTTTCCAAACGCGCATGCTGATTGGCTCAGCATCCTGGAGGGCCCAAGGCCGAGATGGATGTGAAGATGAGATGGCCATAGCCCTCGCCCACCTTCACCGGTGACTGACCTGGCGTTCACGGCAGCTCCCGTGCGTCGCCTGATTTCCAAGTCCAGACGGGACGAGCCTATCTAGCGGAATCCATGCTCGCTAGCAGATGCGCAAGGGTGGAACTGCAGTGACCGTTCCCAGTTCTTCCCGTGCGGGAAATGATCGAAGGTCCTCCAAAGTGAACCAGTAGAGATGTACCCACGTGACCACCTCCCGCATGCCGTCGTAGATCAACGACCTGAATGATCAGATTGGGGTGCACGGTTTACAATATGCACACGAAATTCTAAATAGGTCCATTCTCATCAGTTCCCCGACGCAGATGTGATGCGTACTGGCCCACGTGGTGAAATGTGGGAAGCTTGGGGTTCTCTGCGGAGGCCAGGGGTACGTGTTTGCACCAGGAAACAAGCACACAACCCACGTGCGAAGTCTCAATCGACTTGAGCACGGCCTTCGCAGATCCAGGCGAGTGCACAATACAGTGTACCTAACGCACGAACTGTCAGCTTGGTGCAATATATCAATTATGTATGTTGGCGTCTAGCGAAAAAGCCCATTGCCTGATCCAGTTCCTGACATGCTGCTCTGAGATACCCGCCAAGGATGCCAGTGATGGAGATACTGTGGCAGCAACGCTTGTGTCCAGTACTGCGAGGTCTCCAGTACTATCGATCAGGCTCTCAAAGAATTCCAACAGCTTCACAGCTAGGTTCTGCGATGTCGTTGTGATATCGTATACGTAGGAACAACAGTGACTTTGCTCAACAGAGTCCGATATATATGTCTGCGGGTCAAGATCAAATCTATGTTTTGACAGGTCCGCGTCGAGCAGTTCAATGTTTCTCAAGATAGCCCGAAACTTCTTTGCTGATCGGGATTCTTCCTGGCGTCTGCTACTGTCTCAGTCCTTGTTTGGTATAGTACAGAGCATCGATCTCGCCCTTGTACAGCTGCACTGTTGACTGACGCTGTATAGTGCCCTTACCCACTCTGAGCATCGGCTTACCAGGTACCACAAAGGTGATCATATTCCAATGGATGTGCGCGTGGGACGGGGCTTCCTTTGCCGCTTCCACAGCTAGGCTTCAACTAGAAGACTTGACTGGAAGCGTCCGACACCCGTAATTAAGGTGGTGCAGATAGAAGGGTTCGCGGAGATAATGCTTCCATGTCGATTGGGTTTAGCTTCTCGCCGGTTGAGAAGACGATGGTGTCGTCGGTCCTTCCCTGGTAGAACCATATACAATCCTTGGTTGGGTGTTTGGGATACAAATTCTTTATTGGCCATTTTTCCAGGTCGGGAAATGCCCCGAAAGCGCCCTGGTACATGTCATACTCAGGCTTGCGCACAACGAATTTCTCATGCAAGCCGCCAGAAATCTCACGGAACTTACTCCCAAGCGTAGGGCTGTAGTTATGATACTCCTGTCCTCGGGATCGAAAGACAAGGAGGGAAGAACTCCGCACTCCGTCGAACTAAGACAGTTCAGCAGTCGTGTCTTGGAGATGATTCTTCTCCCACCGCCCGCGGAAGAGACCCCCACCATATGTGACTTGCTTCAGCCTGGCGAGATCTTTTAGGTACTCGGGGTTCTTGACGGGGTCAACCAAGCTCGCCGGAATGAGGCAGCTGTGCTAGACATTGCCGTAGACACGGACTGCGTTGATCACCTCGGGCGAGGGCGGGAACAGCCCTAATACTGCGGTGAATCCTGTAAAGATGGAAGCCAGGAACATTAAGAGTCCAGCGCAGTGGAACAGCGGGAACGTAAGGTATACTCATGAACCTGCACACATTGCTGGATACCCCGGCTCTAAGCTTACTGGACAGGCCCGTGAGAGCATCTAGTGCTGCCACTGTGGCATGAGTCTGGATGATGGACTTTGGCATCCCTGTGGATCCAGCGGCGTGCAAGACCACGAACGGATCCAACTTGGCAGTTGCAAGATCCTTCGAATACGAAAACAGGTCGACGTTTCCGTCATGGATCCAGTATCGTATACCAGGAACATCCACCTAACGAATTTCCCCGGTCGCCAAAATTTATTTGATCACCAGCGAGGTTAAAGCCAGGAGGAAGCAGAGACGTGTCACATTGGGTCTTCTCACATAGAGATATCTGCCTCTAGTGTGTTGTGAGCCGAGTTCAGCAGCATCTTGTACCCACTCTTGATGCTTGCCAAGACCAAGATTGCATAATTGACATCTTGAGGTCTCAGGTATGTCAATGTGGGATGGCCTCGTCCACAACCGAGAATCCCCTATAGATACCACGTACAGCGATTGAGTATGCGGGCAAAAGTCTCCGCGGGGATATCTTGGAAGCCATCTTTGGGATCCTTGGTCTGCGGCACGGAAGAGGACACCCGTTTCGGATCTGCTGCCGCAAGCTCGTCTACAAGACAGGGTAACAGGCAATGTCCGAGAGTCTCCATATCGACGGACAACTGCCATGTGCTTAAAGAAGATGGCAAATCGACAACATCGAACGTCAATAAGATAGAAGCTGGGAAAGAAGTGGTATGATAAATGGTTTAAATGGTTCATAACAACCCCTGGAGACTGCTGATACTGTGAGGTGCCTCGACATGCTGCGGGTTTCTCTGAATCAAACGGGTGCCTTCTTTATGAATTGCCGGCAAGGGCTGACTGCCAGAGGGGAAGTGTGAGGTCAGGTATAATCAGAAGTCCAAGGTAGGGTTCAATTCATCGAGAGACTAAATCGTGTCCACTTTTAAGGAAGAGGGAAAAGATGGGTATTATATTGCGGACACTGTAGGGTGTCTCACCGGACCTCCTGTAAACCTAATGCATCGCCGTGACACTAACATAAGAAGTTCCAGACGCGTACTTTAATCATAGCTAACCACGTACCTACTCTTACATGATCAGTTCCATTAGAGATTTTCTCTCGGACTAACACCTTCGTACAGTTAGCAGCACGCGAATTCTTGTGTGTATGGAAGATCGCAACTAGTCTAATCCTGTGTGAGAGTGGGGACCCAGGGGGACAGCCTGGGAAGAACCATTTGGTACAAAAACGTGTTTCTCATCTGACATTGCCGAGATCATGCAATTGGCTTGCTATGCAATGTCCTTATCGTTCGGATCTGCACACGGGGATCTACACATGTGGATTGGAGCTAGCGGCCGATGTACGTTGACGATGGCCTTGTCGGTTTACACACGTCGCGGCCACGGCCGATATTTGTTTGGTACCCCTGATGAATTTGGGCATGCGATTTCTGATGCAGTGCAATTTTGATTAGTTCGCGTAAGTACGTGAGAGCAATCTTCATTAGACTTATAGTCTGAATATATGTAAATATGGACTATATGCCGCTGTGCGGTATTCACTGTTAGGTGTGAGTAGCGTTGCAAAGTTTCTCCGCAATAACGTCACGGGCCCGTTCCCCAAGACGTTGATTATAAACATCCTGACAAGGACCATTACTAATGCGGGAGAACTTATAATCGCTTTCAGACAAATCATCGGCTTGGAAACCTTTTGGCAAGTGGATTTAGTGGATCTGTTGCTCTTGGCTCCGGAAGCTAGTCCGAGCTATCCGGAGTTTGGGTAAAGCGCCCAGTCTGGGGTAAAGACTCAATATCCTTTAGTCAAACTCTAGCCCCCCGCAGCACACTCGATATATATATTCAAGCAATAGCTCCTCTTCCTGGGCGCAAGCCTCACCCGGCTCCATCCCCTATTCAGCCTCGCACTCTGTTAGCGCTCCCGCACAACCTTTTACCGAACCAATATATCGTCTCCACTGGTGTATACGTTGGTATATACCAGTGCAAACTCTCACAAGTGAATAAGGACTGCAAAGACGTCAAATTAACACACTACCCATTTCCTGAAAACCCAAATGTCCCCACAACCCCGTGTCCCCGTGGTTGCCGTAGGCGTGACCCGGCGTGTCGCCGTCTCTGTTGGGGCTACTGTCTTCGCTGACACGCCCTACGACATGGTGGCCGTGCTAGACTGGACCGAGTCGCCCAAGGAGCTGCAGTACTCACCCGCCAACCTAGCCGTGGTCCTCAACGCGCTGCAGCCACGCCCGCGGGCGCTGATCGCCGGCAACGCCGTCCCCGAAGAGCTGATGCCCGAGCTCAGCGCAGTCTGGGATGAATACGCGCGGCGGCACGAGATTGAGGGTGCGTTTGTGGGCCTAAGCCGCATCGTGGGCTGGCAGCCAGGCCCGCCACCGCAGGAGGTCTCGGACGAGTTGATGAGGAAATTGAAGGAGATCTTTGGGGTTTGAAGTTTCGTGTGAGGTGTACAAGGACAAGCGTCTATAAGAACGTGGCATGTGGTTAAAGTTACCCGAAAGGTTGCAGCCCAGGGTTACGTTTCAATAAACAGAGATGCTCCAAACTCTGATGGCCGCTGGTGTCTGTGTTTTCGCTTGCGAGTCATCGTCCCAGGTCGAATATTGGGCCACCAGAATCATATCCTTGACAAGGATAGGTAGTACATACTCTGCCAGTGTAGGCCGAGTCTGTCGTATATTGCTCATTTAGTGGACTTAACAAGCCTTTACTTGGTGCTCAGACAATCAGAGAGACTTAGGCTCACGCACATCTGGCTTTGTTTGAAAGCCCGTAGTTCGCGCATATCATTAATGACAACTCACGAGAGTTAGCAAAGAAACTGAAAACGTATCTTGAATCAATCCTTTCTGACACGAGAATTCTTTCTGTGAATGGAGATAATCTACCTCAAGTCGCAGCCCTTGCAGTGCTCCAAAAAAGCTTCAACACGGCGCTCGATTTGAAGACAAAACTCTTGATCTCAGGAAAGCAGTACACTACGATGTTTTTACCACCGGGAGCTGGTATCGACTCGATGTGGATGACCGAGAGTGCAAAATTCCACGAAGACCATGACAGGGGCCCGCGTACACCTCTCGCCAATGCCACGGTTGTGACACTCCAGGGACGCAACAAAATGGCGATTAGGCTGTCTCTTCCAAGCAGTCTGTGAGCACAAACGTGACAATCACGCTGACATGCAACATACGACTGATGTCAGAACGCTCTTGACCAACCATCGTAACTTTCTACGCATCAGGGGCCGACGCAACTGTAGAGACTCCCATTGGTGTGGAAGGATTTGGTACGTGAGTTAAATGCATCGCCACCAAGACAACAGCGTAGGAGATACGTGTCATTGATCTGCAGCGCCATCCTTTCTGGCACATGCGACGAATTGCATACACTTTGCCACACAGACACATCAGGAAAGACTGTATCTAGTGGACAAGTAGAGCAGTCCCGCTGATGCCAATGTCTGTATGCTTAACGAGTTTCTTGCCCCTGGTTGCCTCCGGACTCAGCCTGCCTGGCCTGAAATGCAGGCATCCTAATCCACCCATGCAATCTACTAAATCTGCGGCTGTCCCAGGTTGGTTGGCTGCCTTGTCAGCCAAGATGCGGCCCAATAGGCCGCGTTGCTGGATGTGTGGATTAGCGGCATTGACATGGGCATGGGCAGGGTAGGGCATTCCATGTTGCATGCTTAGCCAATCCGCTGGGGGCTGCAAGTCCGCATCGGGTGTGTAGGGGTGTACTGTGTACACCCCGCCCCATTTCTGTATCCAAGCTGAAATTGACATATGACGGCAAAAAGTAATGGGAAACTCGAATGAATATTTAAGACGCCAACTACTCTCCTGGCCTTTTTCTTCTTTTTTACATTTTTTTCAACAGATGATAAGAGATTCGAATTTCTACGTACAGTTCAAATATTCATCAATAGATCGAGGACTACCAACCCGACACCATATACAATATGAGCTCTTATAAGATCAATAGCGCCTCTGACTATGCTGTTGGTCAGAAGTGTGAACTTCAAGCATACCTCGAAATCTTTGATGGAGTACAACGTTCGAAGACTTCCGTTTCCGATCCTTTCGGTAAATTTTCGTCTCGTACCGATGACAGTCCTTATGCACTTGTTGTCAATAGGGCCGTTGAAAAAGACAGACCGGAGAAGGTTTCTCTACAAGTAAACTCTCCATTCATTTTGCAAACATTTCGGGAGGTTATAAAGTCATATTCTCCTGTTGCCTCCGACTTTACGAGCCCCTTTGAGCTCCAGAATCCGTCTCATATGCTCATTCACTATTGGGAAGAGCTGCAAGCATACCGTTCCTCAGCTGTTGGAGAACTGCGTGACCACGTTGACCTTCTCTTCGAATTCATGGACCATGAGCTTGGTGGGAAGCGCGAAGAGATACTTGCTATGATTCAGAAGAATCAAGTTGACTACCAGAGCGCATGGGCATTGTTTCGTCCCGGCGATGTGTTGTATACCGAGGTTGAGGGGGAACCGTGGCTCCTGATTTGCGACAAGGCTTCTTACGAGAAAGATGTACAATCCGGGCCATATTTTGAGGTCCGTTGTAAATATGCAAGTCATGATGGGAAAAAGTCCGGTGAAGCAGCCCACACGATTATCATGTGGCAAAAGGAACACTTCCCAGCTCAAAGCCTTGCGTCTATCACCAGCCTGCCAATATTTCCTCGACAATTCTTCAACATGGGCGAGGAGCTTGAGCACAGTTTGAGGCTGAGAGGACAGAGATTCCTGTCTTTCAGAGATTTCTCTGTCATGGCCTACGATGGCAAGGCGCAGTATCTCAAAGAACCCCCTTTTGGATTTTACTCCGAATCTAAGTGTAAGTGGGGCGGGGTTTGGCTGTCATACACCGAGTCAGGAAGGGTGATTCTTGATCGGAAGACGTTTGGCGAGGAACAGCCTCTTGGGCAGCCCAAAGTCAGAGTTTGTGATGTCGACCCTACTCTATGCCCCCCACACACGCTAGGGTATTCCCTAGGCAAGAAGCTGTGGTGCCAATTCTTTGTCGACCATATCCAAGACGTGCAGTGGGATCAGGATGCCTGGAATTCTCTCGTCACTGGTGAGAAAGAGAAGTTGGTTCTTCAGTCTCTAGTAACTTCACATCAGTTTTCTGCGAAAGCTCGGGACCAGACTCAACAGAAAGGAAAAGGCCTGGTCGTGTTGCTCCATGGAACCCCAGGGTCGGGCAAGACTCTCACCGCTGAGACCGCCGCCGAGGGCACACATAGAGCGCTGATTACTACTTCTGTTGGAGAGCTCAACAAGAACAATTAGTAAGCTCTTCCTCACGCTGGGAGCCAATGGCCTGATACTGATTTCTTCATAAGCCCAGCATCCTTTGAGTTGGATCTCAAAAAGATCCTTCGCTATGCAACAATCTGGAAGGCAATTGTTTTGCTTGACGAAGCGGATGTGTTCCTCGAAGCCCGTAATGAGGACTCAAGATCAGATCGAAATGCACTAGTAGCTGGTAAGCACTTACAATATACTGGTTGAGCCCCACGAAATAATCACTAACATAACTACGAAGTGTTCCTCAAAGAGCTGGAGTACTTCGGGGGTATCGTGTTCCTGACGACCAACCGAGTTGAGACCTTTGATCCAGCTATGAAATCCCGCATCCATCTTTCTTTAACCTACAGTCCTCCAGAGGTTGAAACTCGCCGTCAGATCTGGCTGCAATACTTGCATGCTATTCCTAAGGGAAAAAGCAATGTGGACCCCGAGCAGTCAATTCAGGATCTAGTGGCCAGTAAGTTGAACGGTCGGGAGATCGCAAATGCTATCACTACAGCCCAGACAATTGCAAGGTTTCAAAACAAGCCACTTGATATCTTCCATATTCACACTGTTCTTGATGTGGGAAGAAAGTTCGATGAGAGCTTGACAAATGGAGGAGCTATCTAGGCAGGCAATCTCATGGTTTTGATGGTGCACCATGTGAATATCGAGCCGATATGGGTTGCGAAAAGGCGTGATGTCTCCATTGAATCATTTTTCGCCAATAGTCTCCATTAATAGTCTTGAATTATCACCTCAAAACACTGAATCAAACACTGCACATGGCAGAAAGAAAGTATCCACCGTTGGAAGGGCTAGATAGTAACGATCGGCGGGGCAATAGTTGAACACATCCGTTCAGCCATGCTTATATCACACTTGGGTATACTTTGAATCACAGATGAATCTCCACTACACATCATGTAGGGCTTTGGATCCTAGCTGGCGCCTCATACCCCTGCCAACCCCCATAGAGTTCTGCTCTTGTGTTACTGTAATCTGCCTCCAATGGAACATCGGTAGCTGGCGCTTCTGCGAGAGCTAGGTGCCCTTGGTATAAGCTGGCATGATACTGAGCCAAATTTGTATCGTGGGCGGCGTCTTTGGCAGGTTCCAAGCTTGTGGATTGTGACTGCTGTTGGTCGCTATGGTCACTCCGCTTGGCGATACGGTAGTGTCTCCTAAACCACCAGATGACACCAACAATTGCAAAGACGCCAACGGTGGCGCCAACACCAATACCAGCTGCTGAAGCAGTGCTAATTCCGGAACCGGACGATGGTATCGGTGCTGCCGTGTCGGTACTTGAGGGCGAGCTGGAAGTAACTGAGGTGGTCCCGGTTGCAGACAGGGAGCTTGAGGTCGTTGTGCTATCGGGTGGGAACGTGATACCTTGGCTTCGCAAAGCTAGGATTGGAGCAGACGCGGGCGAAAAAAGTGAAAGATCACTTTGCTGCCACGCGACTGAAATCGGATTTGCAAAGGCAGTGGTGCCCGCAAGCGTTGTCTTCAGATCGTTGGAGAAGCTCAAATCGGAGACACTGCTGGTGAGGACCTGATAACAAGACCACCCAGTCAACGGGGCATTATGGACCCCCCTACAGAAACATGTCAGATATTCCTACTGGGAACGACGTGAATAGGACTTGGTGAGATTACGGTGGACAGCATATCGCAAGTGTGGTGGCCGGTCCAGATGTGGGTCGAATGATCGAGGTCGCGACGTAGTTGTAAGACAGAGGGCATACCCCGGGCGAATACCATAGGCCGGACTTATACTGATACGCGCTGTAAGAAGAAGGATAACAGGTTGCTTTGCTGATGCCGCTGTCGAGTTGATATGCCCATTGATTACCAGCCCAGGTCGTCGACGCATATGCTGATGCAGCTGTGCAGTCGCTCTTTGGCGTGAAGACAGTCGTCAACGCACTTGCACCTGTCTGAGTAAACGACGCTCCGTTCCCGGACTTCGAGATTTCAGTGACCGACATTCTCCCATAATCGCGTGTGGTTGGGGCATTAGCAGGATGGAAAGAAAGCGAAGATGAAGAGGCTCGAGCAAGAAAAGCTGAGAGTACCCCAAAAGCAAGCCGTATCTAGCCCCCAATCTAGTGATCAGGCTGGCGGCACGTAGTGGGCTATTTAATTGGCCTTGGACTATCTGCATGCGCTCCTTTGTTGATCCATTGAGTTAGTGTTGAGGGCTGAATTGGTGGTGTCGACAAGGGTCAGGGGTAGAAGGTCAAATCACATTCTTCATAACGTGCGTCATCTAATAATTTTACCCTACAGCAAAATGCAGTTTACCCTCCAAAGAAACCGCTTATGTCTTTCAGTATTGCGGAGGCTTAGAGGCCATCGAAATGCCACTGCCATTATGCAGTATTTCCCCGCATTGGTATTGAGACCAGATGCCATGGTCCGCCTCGCTAAGACTGCATTGCTTACTGCAAGTTAAATGTGCAGGTTAACAGTTATAGTGTGTATCTATAATTGGGATTGCACTGCCACCTTTCCCCTAAAGACAACGCCCGCGTGCCAATAGAGACCCCTTCAATCCGGGCATCTTGGTCAGACGCTTTCTGCAGCTGTCGATTCCGCCATTGTAAGTAATAGCGCAATATAGTTGCAATAATGATGCACATAGCTGAGAACGCAACATTTGCTACATTCGCTTGCCAGTATCTGGGACCTTGGCTGGAGGGATAAAAGTAGGAAGCGTATATGGCGGCGAAGTTAGATCCCGCGTTGACCACGGCATAGGAAATGGCACGCTTGGTGGAGGGCCTCGGAAGCGTAGTAGAGACCCAGGACAGAATGCACCCGAATGAGCCGTACACTGACATCATCATAAAGGTCGCGATGTAGCGCGCAACCGTGTTGAGGGTGACCGCTGAGATGACGAATCCGATGCTGCAGAAGACCTGCGGCCAGACAACATGGACCCATCGCTCGCGGACTTGATCACTGTGCCAGGAGTTGCATATTCCGAGAATAGCTGCAAATACGTAGGGCGGTGCTGAGAGAAGCAGAGTTTCACGTTGTGGATACCCAAGTGTTGCCACTATAGTCGGGAAGAAATTGATAAATGCTGCCGAGGTGTTGAGGCCCAGCTGCATAAACCAGATCATATATAAGGCTGGGTCGGTCAAAGCCATTTTTAGACCAAGGAGAGCAGGTGTCTCAGCGCGATCATCTTCTTCGTTGGCTTCCTCTGCGATCCGTAGGACAGCAATCTGACGTTCCTCCTCCGAGAGCCATTTGGTAGTGGCTGGGTAATCAGGGATAATCCACATGGTGACAAGGGCTACAGGGATTGTGGCGCAACCCTCGATGATGACTGCGTTAAGGGAAATCAGAATCGGCCAGAGGCATAGTATATGGTGTTTCTCTGTTACTCACACAGCCATCGCCAGTCCGCGAGACCAGCCTTTCCGTCCATGCCCCCCATGATGGTACTACCGAGAAGCCCGCCAAAGGCTCCAGCCATCTGGCCCGCGGCATAAAGAATAGAGATACGTGCCGCCAACTCTTTCTTCGTATACCAAGCGCTGAACAAAAAGAGAGCGCCCGCTTAATTTTCCTCATATCAGAGATTACGAATGGAAATTCATGTTGCCGACACTTACGAAAAAATGGGGCTTCAACAAACCCCAAGATAAACCGTAAAGCCACCATGCCGGCGTAGTTTTTAACAGCACCAGTAGCAGCACTGACAACTGCCCAAGCGCACATGACACCAGGCTATGCCGTCCAGTTAGTATTTCCGTCGAGGTTCAAATGTAACAACATTACGTACTAAGAAGATCGAAGGTCGCATTCTGTTGAGGATCATGTTGGTGGGGATCTGGGTCAAGATGTACCCAACGAAAAAGACTGATATAATGGTATTGTACTGTGTCCCCACCAGCCCAATGTCTCTCTCGAAGTTGCCGAGTCTCGCCATGGCGATGTTGTTTCTGTCGAGATAGTTGAGCACATCTGTGAATCAATGTCAGCCACCGGTCTCGTCATTCTCATTTGTGCATTATATCTAACATATGATCATCATTAGGGGCATCATGCGAAGGTCGATCTTCCGAAGTAAAGCACTCTCTTTCCCCGCGCGATTTTCTATATTGGGGATGCCATCGACGGTTTTGAAGTCGGCACGAAGGGTTCCCAGGTGTAGATGGGCGTTATCACCCTTTGCTTGAGGTGCAAATTCCGTATTTGCCATGGTAGTAATAACTTGTTACGATAAATGGGGTTGGAAACAAGAGATTGTGAGACTTCGGAAGGGCGCATAGTTCACGAAGCAGGGGCCGGGTCTTTTGTACGTCTCGTGGTGTCCGGTGCCCACTCCGCATTCTTGGGGAATAAGTGGTTCTCCCCGTGGCGACCCCCACAAACATGCAACTCAGGGTCAATGGTCCATATGGTCTGTCAGGCAGATGCAATGGACAGGGCCAGTTTAATCACCGTCCTCCCAACTCTGTCAAGGTTCTAGTTAGTCTTCAGACTGGAACCCAGGCCAGCCGCTTGATCATGCTGGAGTACTGTCTCAAATGCAACTGCTGTACTCGCGAGTTCTCCTCGCATTGCTATCTATGGCCAACTGTCCGAAATTCCAGTAGATCATTGCCTCAATCAGGCGGGCAACATGTAGCTCCTTCTAGCGTGACATATCCTTCATCGTTCAAACCCCTTGGTCAACGTAGCTAACTCTGAAGCTTATAGAGTGATAAGTTTGTTGTACTTCGATATTTCTTGAGCCGTTGCAAACAAAATTTCGGCTTGAGTCAAGGGGCCGTTGCACTCGAAATACCAATATCATCTCACGCACACCTGTTGTGGTGGAGTGTTGTAATGGTTCGGGGTGACTTTGCCGGCAGCCGATCATCTACGCTACAGCACTCGCTGGCATCCCGCTTTTAGAACCCTGCTCAACGGCATTCTCACCGATGTCAAGCTGCGGACTTCGCCCCGGCGATGGCTTTGATAGCACCCTCTCTCACTACGCGTACGATATCTGCCGCCGGGAGGACCTCCTTAATAAGGCCTACGCCCGTGCCACTTCAATCTGTTAGTTCGATGAAACGCGGCGAATTATAGACAGCACAACTTACGACCAGGTTATCATTCTTGAATTATCCCCTGCGTCTTTGGCAGACTTGAAGCGTTCAGTGTTGTCTTCTAGAGGAACTCCAGCTTTATCGTCCTGATACGATGGGTGGAGTATGGCCCTCCCATCATAGATGTCAGGCCATTCTTTATTGCCCTGGACATGGTCATGCAATTGAGACCTGCGCTCATATTTCATTAGCCAAACGTTGTCTTGTTAGAAAAGTACAGAAACTGCAATACTAACTTGACTGTGTTGGCGCCGCCATCCGAGGTCGACGTAATAGCGTTACGTTTGAAGTCCTGGGCTGACGACTCGACGGCGGCCACGAACTACTTTTTGTTAGTGAGACGCCAATCAAAGGGTAGGTTAGTTGGTATACCCGAGTTCCCAGTACAGCCGCTTCAGCTCCAAGGGCTATCGCAGCTGCGACACCACGACCGTCTGCCATTCCGCCGGCCGCCCAAACACTGATCTCTCGGTCAGAGAACTCCTCTGCCACCATGTCCGCGATCTCCGGCACGAGACTGATGAACGAAGCCCCATGCGCCCACTGGTGACCCCCTGCATCAGTGCCTTGAGCCACGATGATATCCGCCCCATCCTGAGCCGCTTCCCGAGCCGCAGCTACTGAGCCTACCTGAACGACGACCCGCAATCCCCATTCGTCTCCGAAGTTGCGGAGGGATTCAATGACACCGGCCACCGTGTTTGGGAGATGTGGAGATGGTGCAAATATCCATACTGCAGCTGGCCGATGGCGTCGAAGAATAGGGACTGCAGTCTCGGCGAACTGCGAAATAGAAGGGGAATATGCAACAAAACCCACGCCGATTGGAAGTGCGAGCTTCCAATCCTGAAAGCCTTCGAGTCCCTCATGTGCTGAAGTCAGTTCGCTATCAAGGTTCTTGAGATCCGCGGATCCCACCGAGAAGTCGCGGCCTCCTTGAATGAAGCCTGGGAGATTGCAGGTTAGCGCAACCTCAAAGGGCTTTAGGGCCAGTCATCATCATGAACTACTCACCCAAGCCGCCAGCCTTGGTGACTTCCGTAGCTAGTTGGACATTGGCTACGAATGCCATGGGAGCGCTAACTATGAGCGGCGACGAGGTCGTTGGGAACCAGCTCTTGGTCCTGGAAAGCGGCATCGTTGCGACTGGACGTGATGCAGATGCGACAGAGATGGTGAAATGTGCAGAAATCAATCTTGAACCATATGTACGAGGCTTCGAGGCTATTCTTGAGGCTCCAACGCGAAGAAAAGAAGGCGCCATGTTGCAGCATGTAGTGGTTGCATGCCAAGTAACCTCGGGTCGTCGCCGGAGAACATGTGGGCTGAGGCGGGGAGCTAAGTGGGATATTTCCGCGGACGCTTAGACATCATCCGTAGGTCCGCTTGACCCTCCGGGCCGGGCCGTCAGCAAATCTCCGATGAACAGCAATCGAGGAGGCGAATCGGGTTTGTCTCGATCTTGCGGCTCTGAGGAGTGAAGCATTGGAATGCGAAGAGAACTTGCCAAGCTAGTCAATGTTTGCGCCCAAAGGACGAATGCTGCCCATGAGGCATGTACAGTAATTAGCGGGGTGAACAAGTTGAATTCGAATGCCACCAATTGGGTATCTTCGATATAATCTATTTTGTCTCATCACATACTACAAGAACAACGAGTGCTCTCAGTCCTCAAAGTTCTTCACCTCTGCCGGAGTTTCGTCAAACCAGTCATCAACTGGTACCGGTCTATCGGGGCCCTTTTCACGCGCTGTGTTCTTGATTGTGTGAATCCACATTGGTGGAAAGCATAAGTGTCCATATCTCTCTTCATTCTGCACACGCACAGTTAGGACGTGTATTGGCAAGAAAGGAATGGAACAAGACTGGTCAGATAGACATTGATGTACTTACCAAGACCCCCTCGTCGTAAAAGTAGCGGCCCTTAGGGTCCTTGAATTTTTCGATCTTCTCATCCGTACGTTGACTCATGTCAGGCGGGTATCCGAGCCAACGCCTGTAAAGATCTTCCGCTGCTTGAGTAATGAACATGTACGAGAGGCGATACATGATATGATCAAGTTTGTGGTCCCAGTTGAAGAAGGAATCCGCCCCTCCGTTGACTGCCTCAGGCTCACCGGGGTTCACAACGCTCATGAGTTCTTTAGCGCTCCACTGCCCGTCTATCCAAATCGGCTGTGGCACATGTACGGCTTTCAATCCATGTAGCATCGCCCACGTGGGGCCAGACATTTCCGAGACCACTGCTGCTCCATCTGTTGTGTGCCGGTGCATTACATTCAATAGTTTCCGCGACAAGCGCCATTGAGCAATAGGCGATGTGCGACGAGGTAGGTCCCTGGAAACTCCCCATAGCTTGTCAGGGTATACCCATTTAGTCTTTCTGACATCGAATATCGGTAAAAATGTGATCAAATCAGCCTCTTCTCCAACTCCCCATTGGTAGCTGTCCTGGCTTGGATCCGCCACTGGGGGCTTTGGGCCCAATGGGTCTATTTCAAGCCCGTCGGTTGCTGCAACCGGACCCCAAATAGTATATTTCCCTTTTAACGAGCTGCCGACCATGTTCATAAAATCTTGCCAAGATCCATGCGCCGCCGGTGCGTAGAAATACGAGTTTCGTTCCCAAAGATACTTGCGCGGTTGGCGCTTTGCAAACGCAGCCGCTTGCTGCAAGAAATGATAAGCGTGTCCAGTCATACGAGTATCCATTTCGATTTGCCAGTAGAAATCGAAATGCGGGTACTGTTGTGCAAAGATTTGTGTGGCTTGTAGATGTTGAAACTTCGCATCGTGTTCTGGGACCTTGGGATACCACGCACGCAAGACCTCATCATTGAACAGGACCGTTATATTATGGAATTCCGGTGGTACGTACTTGTTCAGTAATTTTTGAGCAGACTGCTCGCTTGAAGGCTGAAAGTCACCATCCTTCACCTCAATGAGAAGGAAAATCTCATATTCACCCCTAGAATGGAGCGACAGTTCCATGATGAGCGATCGGAGATACAAATGGTGGTCGGGGGTCCATTTTATACCATACCAGGTGCGTACCAACATCGCCGACCGAGCTTGGAACTGTTGAATTTCCGGAGTTGACGAAGAAAGGCTCGACGAGTACTGAGCGGTCTCATCCCATGGCTGATGGGGTAATGCCTTTGAGGAGAGGCTATGCTTTGCACGTTGGTGCTTTCGTTCATAACGATTGCCATTTCGACGAGCACATTGAGACTGCAACTCTCCCCAGCCAACCTTCTCCCACAAACTGGTATGCGACTGTGTCCATGGCCCGCAGTCTTTGGTGCCTTCTCCATATCCGTATATACCTAGACGAGAACATCGGTCGGTGCAAATACTCGAATCCACTCCTAAGGCTTCGTGAGAACCGAAAATAGGAAACGGAAAGTCTGCAAATGGTGTCAGGCCTTGCCATTGAACGTGAAATGAGAGTCTACATCGGCTCACCTCGCTGGTTTCCCATATAGACAGAGACGGCGTCACGTGAATTAGTTCGGTCCAAGTCGGATCCTCCTGGACCACGGCAGGCTCGGAATTTCCCTTTCCATGCTTGATGCCAGGATGGATTGTTGTAAGATGGGTAGGGATCATAAACAACAGAGCGAAGAGTTGCCGAAGTAGCTTCATTATCTGCTGTTAGTGACAGAAGCCCCCCTTCATAGAATCTCGCATCTCTGTGGTCATGTAAAGATCCAACGCCCTTCAGATCATATAGTGCAGAGGCATCTCCACTGATTTCGGGAAGTTTTCTACGCCGACTGTTGTCAATAAAGTCTCCGGGCCGTAGAATTCTTCTCGTGGAGTGTGGATGCTGCTGCGGCTGCTGCGCAACAGGTATATACTCCTCGGAATTGTATGATGGACGGATGCTAATCGTAAAGAGAATGATGGTAGCCAGCGCAGCGTATATTAGCCACGCCGGAACAAGGCGCGTGAAAGCGCGCCTGATTAACCATGGGGGCATCTCAAGCATGGCTGCAGATTCCTGCGCCTAGCTTCCAAACTGAATTGGTGTGACAGTATGGTAAAGATAGATCATTTGAATCTGAACCCTAGAAAATGGGCCTGCATGGACGTGCGTGTTTCTTGATTATGCTGTAGAAAGAAGTTGAGAGTGAGACTCGACGGTCCGAGATTTGCATTCTACCAGACGGGTAACTGGCCCTTAACGCCACGAAATGAGCAGGCGGGAACGCAACAAGTCCGAACATGGGACAGCCGTGTTCCCTGGTCCTCGTCATGTTCAAACTCTTGTCTAGAGAGGAGCGCTGGAAGCATGGGTTGCAGATCTCTCATTCGTTCATGACTGCCTAACTTATGACGAGCCCCACTCGTAGATGCGGCAGCTGGGGCCGTATGTGGCATCCTTGCTCAAAACTCACTTGATTGGGACGAACCTGCATAGCGGCCCGGTGCCAACACCAGTGGATTATGAAAGAAACCCAGTTTCAAAGCATAGCTGCGTGACACTTGCCGGCAAGATTCAAGCTAACCATTGCCAATATTAGTACGGGAAGAATCAAAAAGTGAGCAAGATTTACCGTGTAGCGCTTTGGCTGTTTCCCTTGTGATTTAGCTGTGTTCTAGGGTTGGAAGTAGGTCAGGCTGTCAAAGGTACCTCCAGTATTTCCGTGGTCTTGTCACCAGCTCGCTAGGGTGCCCAGCTATGGGAAGTCGTTGATGCGTCGAGTCAAGGGAATGATCTGACATGACGGCGGTAAATGACAGGATCCACTCCTGGATAGGTGACCTGAAATATTATTGGTTGAAGACCCGGTTCAAAATGGGATCCGTACTGACCCGAGGAATCGAAACCAGCGCTTGATATAAGGGCTCCCACAACGGTGTGCTAAGTGCGAGGTAGATTTGCATGGTGTTGGGACGTGAACAACCATTTCCAGCGCTAAATCCATTTTCTTTGACCAAAGAGTTCAGGCGCCGAATAGCTGCACGAACAAATGGCGTAGCTTGTTCCCGAAATGTTCGGCTTACCGATCAATCTTCCCAACCGACTCGGGCCGCACTCTGATTTCTGAGTAGCGCTTGTGCCTGCCTCCTCTTCCACTCATGCGATGTTGTAACCGATAGTCCAGTGCCGACCAGATTGCAAGCCTCTGACAACACGTCGAACTGCAGTCCTGCAGCGCGCCAAGTGAAACTCTGATCGAGCTCTATAAGAGTAGTGACTTAGGATAGACTCACTCACTGGTGGAGCATGGATATCGTCGGGGCACTTGCTGAAAACAGAGAATGATAGGTTGCCTCAGGCAACTCTGCTTCCCATTTGCCTAACCAAGACCGGGGTCTCTGCAGTGTCGACCAACACAATTTGAAACCCCGTCAAGCCAATGGTGCCGTCATTGCCTGGCGTCTTCTCGCGCTCTGCATGTCGCTATAGATGGCGTGACAATCTCAAGTCCAACGACACCATGAGTCCTGATACTTCTTAATCAGTAAATAAGCTTCCGAGTTTGCAAGAGCAGTCGCCCTTGTGTTGCTCCATCACCTTTCCTGTTTGACGGATGTACTGCATAAATCACTGACCATGCCAGCATCATTGGTTCTTTCTCTTCGGAGCTTCATCCTCGCATTGTCGCTTTCCAATCTGTTTAGCACAGGCATGGTTCGCGCAGAGAATGCGAAATGCTACTTCCCGAACCGAGACCAAGCGTATGACGACACACCGTGTGGAACAGGAGCTGCCAGTGCTTGTTGTGGACCAGGCCAAATATGTCTGGACAGCAATTACTGCCTAAGCGTCAACCAACCTTTCACGTTATCGCGGGGAACATGTACAGACCAAAGTTGGAAAAGTGTAGCTTGTCCTCGTCAATGTCAAGACGGTCAGTGTTGCCATATTCAACGAGAATATTGCTTCCTGCATAGACTAATGGATTGGCCACTTAGTTCGACCTAATTCTGGTGTCACCATAATCCTTCAGAGTTACGAAAACGGTGTGAGTAAATACCGCTGCAACTCACTGGCCGTTATCCCTGGAAGTTCTATCCCGTTATGCTACAACGACACTCCAACATTCACCCTAGACGACGCCAATGTAATTCCGGGGAAACTGGAGCTAGCAAACTTCACAAACACTGCGGATGGTCAGTCGTCGAGTGCAACCAGCGCTGTCGTAGCAAGCTCTGGTGTACAAGATACGGGAGATACGGGTGATGCGGCACAATGCGCAGGAAAAAGCCATGAAACAGTGATTGGCGTAAGCATTGGGGTGCCTCTCGCAATTATTGCAATAGCTGCTATTACATGGGCCATTTGGGAGAGGCGAAAGAAAAGAGCATTAGAGCAGTCAGCTGCTCCGCCGGTGGACCAATCTGGTAGTTATCAGCACTACTACGCCCAGAGTCCTTACGACCAAAATCGTCAGTTGGACACTCAGAAGATAGCCCACAGCGGAACACCAAGCGAACTGCACAGCAGACAGGTTCCTGAGCTGGGATGATATTCCCTCTCAAGAGGCTATGGCAGCCGTTTCCATGCGAACACATTTTGTTCAGAGACAAGTAATATAAGGGCTTAGCTGGCACAACTTGGCTTCAACTCACTCTAGCATCAGTCGGTCGAAGTTCCTAGCTGAGGTATCCTTGCTTTCCTAGCAGAATACTTGCAGGACCTGCTGCTATAATCACAATAATACTTAATAACCAGGACTATGCCGTGTGTTATTATTATTCATAAAGTTTAATGGAATATCTGTTCCTACTCTGACATCTTGGTTTTTTTCTCTGGCATAGTTTTGTGCAATTCAGAATAGTATTGGCAGTCTGGCTTTGAGAATTGCAACATTCCTTGTGCCTCAACGATTACTACGCTTGCTCGGGCGCCGACGGGCGGAGAAGCTGTATGGTTTTACCTTACTTTGCGTCGGCTCCGGGTTGAAATAGGCTGCCCATATACTCAATGAGGTTGCAATTATGAGTGGAGGCGTTCCTGGCGCCTCGGAAGGGGGGCTAGACATGATTCCGAACAGAGACTTTGGTGGCAGTGGAGTAGCTGGTCATATCAGGACTGTTTGGGCTTATGATGGAGGGACTGGGAATGTAGCAATTCCAGATTCGGTAGAGAAATCCATCAGGTAATCCAATGAAACCTTAGTTTCAGATACAAATTAGATACAGACCATCTGAAGAGTTTTTACGGTAGCTATCTTGACTAAAACGAAAATGATATCTGTACGGGGTTCATCGGTCATATTCCGTCAATGAAACGATCTGCGTATATCAACATTCAATTTCCAGGCTGCCACGTACGCGCTTTTAAGCGAGTCAATGATCGCACACTCGCTGGAGGATCGGGCGAGCCTGCGTCCTTCTGCCTCTGCGACGCCGCACGCTGCTTTAACACATACACCTCATTGGCAAGATTATCAGATCATCTAGAGCACGGAATTGCCAACACGTTCACACGTACTGCAGCCATTCCAAATCCTACGTGTTTACCTGACTAGGCGCATTACGTATGTGGCGTAGCAGACACGTCCGAGACTCTACCACACTGTCGCACAGGTAGCTTCCCGTCTACTACCCCCCCGGTCTTTCAATTTCCGTCCCTCCCAACAATAGATCCCGTTGGCATATTACTGTCGTATTTAAAAAACCCTGAACGTTTCGGGGACACGCCGCATGAATACGGCCGTAGGATCGACCCAAGACCGTAGCACCTGCAGGTGCTGAATGCTGTTGGTCCCGTAGCTCGCAATGGGATACTTGCATGGCGCGGCGTAGTTGAGGTAGAGGTGAGGGTCGTAGGCGTCGAGGCTGCGCGCCATAGGCTAAGGCGGTCACCAGTGCCGCGACGGCTTTATAGACGCGACGCTCTCGTCATTGGCTGTGTCCTGCCAGCTCTCCATCAGCAGCACGACTGCACGCGTACCGTTGCGGCCCACCAGCGCCAGCATGTTCGACCGAGCCCCACGCTCGCATAGTCCTTGTGGCACCATCTCCATTGATTGTGACCATGTCAGCCTGCAGATGTCTTGTACCCCCGCCAAGCTTGAATTCCAGACCTCGAATGCGCCGCGGACTATAGCCTCGGTGGGCAAGATAGTTATCCTCGCGAACATGTACCTCCTTTTCGTCAGGCTTGACGACTTGAGCATATGAGGGTGAGTTACTTACTGGGCCGTTCCAGGACAAGTTAGGCTCTGCCCTTGTATCTCAAGGGTTGGTACGTTAGCTACTGACGTTTCGCTGCAGACGGGCAGTAACTTAAGGAGATCCTGATAGTACTGCGGAACCTGATCCTTAATCGGCTGCGTATATTGAACTGGAGTGGTGCTCCTGGGCCATATTCCCCAAGTAACACCACCTCAGCCAACGCAGTTCTCCTCGTCAGAGCCGACGAATTGAACGTACATTATTCGTGTGGTCAAAATAGACGTATAAATCGACGGTCGCCAAACCGAATAATCGTAAAATAAAGGCAAAAAGTGCGATGGTGTATTAAATTCTACAGAAAAGAAGGAAATTAAATAGATAAAGCGCGAAAAAGCACAGCCACTATTTCTCAGCCACAATTCTATACCACGTCTCACCAGCCCGAGCTCAATATGCAACCTGTCTAGTGAGTACCGAAGTACCTTGAGCCTTCGATTATCTCAACCCGGCCGTAGCCAGTGACCGTGGCAATTTCCGTGGATGTGCGCATAATCAGGATCCTGCTGTGCACGTTGCAGAACTTCAGTATAGAGAGACTGTAACAAGGGCATCTTTGGATAATCTAGAGACTCTAAGCAAGAAGGCCTTTCGATCTCTTCTAGCGGAACTCCTTGATCGCTCAGAACAACCAGGATTAGTACTGAAGCTCCCATGACTTATGATGGCTAGGCCTACAGAGTGGCCAGAAAGCTCGACCACCAGGTCATTGATTAACTGAAGAAACTCCATACTCAGCCCATTGTTTGTTGTACCTCCAAAAAAAGCACCTCCTGCTACAGAATTCCAATCCTCACACATGATTCGGTGAACTGACATCGATATCGTACCGTCTAGACTGAGATGATTTCATCGTAACAATCCTAGCCGTTACGCCAATTCGATCGACTTACCAGCACACTATAGGTGTCATAGAACGCAGTAATGTCACCCATTTCAGGAGGTATTTACACTGGTTTCAAAATAACTGGAATAGAATAAGGATTCCATAGATTTACACTGGTGTTATTAATGTTTGCAGATAGCATACACGTCTAGAGACAGTTTGGTGGGGTTTGTAGATAAATCCAAATTAGCTCATATTATATGCAACAAGAGTGGCTTTTTTTCCTTCTTCGCCCATCTCAATGCCAATATATGGGAGCAAGACTTATCATTAGACCGGTCATTGTGGTTTCACGACGTTGACTATCTTATTCCTGCAGAAGAAGAAAATCCCAAAAGAGCGGTTTCAATAAAAGTGGCAACTAGATTTGGCTCCATCGTTGACATTTCATCCGTGAATGAAATTAACTCTTTTATATCACATACCTCGCCTTTATAACTATTTCAAGCTCATTGCAACACTAGCAAATGGCGATGTTTTCTCTGTTCCTCTCTTCGGCCACGTTTTCACTCACAACTTCGCCCCTTTACTCTGACCATTCGGAAATGTAATGGTACTAAGGTGATGTATCTCGGGAAGTATCGAGCGAGGTTAAGTCTTGCATTAACACCGTTCTATAGTTCATACTCGATCGAAAGGTATGCTACGTGGTGGGCAATGCGTGGATTCACATCATGCTTCAGCGTCCTGCTTTTCAACTGATGTCAATATTGAGCTTGTCTTATTGTAAATATTGTGGGCTCTGCTGGCATCCTCATTGAATTCAAGGGGAGTATTGTAAGGTGAATTCACCTGTCTATCAAAAGGATCTGGAGTGAAATTACACTGCCTAAGCCACAGATTTCTCAATTGTATAAAGTGTTACCATGAGTTCGCTCTTCGTCATTTAGTTATCGTCATCAGCTACCAGCATCCATTGCACGATTGTGTTTGAGAATAACCGCCTTTTGACAGCGCAGCTCCATCGCCAAGTCAGAAACAACAAAGCCGGTCATGATGTTTTCATACGTTCTCGCTCTCATTGCCATGCTGGCATTCGGGCCTTTTGCTTCAGCTCGATGGGTTCCCCGAGCCGGTCTTACAGCTCTCAATCACTCAGGCGTCGACATTGGCCTGTCTAGTGAACTTCCGACCCCGGCCATTGCAAGGGATCAAACCAAAACACTCTCAACTTGCACCCCTTCCCAGTCGTTCGAGCTATTTCTCTGTGATTCTACCTTCCCCAACAGTTTCTGCTCCTTTCAACATAGCGGAGTTTCGGGCAAAGCGGCTGCGAACGATGCCGCACCCGACAGAGTATCCCAGCCTGCGAAAGGACACTGGGCAGAACCAAGCAACTATGAGGATGGCAGCAAAACGAAGTTCATGCGTGGGGAGGTTGCCTTGGCCGTTAAGCAGGGCAGATTTGTCGAGCTGCGCCACCCGGACTTCAACGCCGATAATGAGGCGATCAGTACATCTTCCTACGCAATCAAGTTCGAGAGTGAACCAATCGACATGGCCGTGACAGGCTTGCATGGTTGCACATCGGTCGTCATTGTCTCTCGGCGCGGTGCCTTAGCATTTCACATCTGGGAAATCCCTTCCATGAGAGGAAGGAGATTCAGCATCGATCCTCCCATCTATGAGCATCAAACAGAGGCAGATAACCGGTTCGAAAGAGATGTCCTAGATGGAATTCATGCTGGAGAAGGTTGGAACTCTCCCCACAAGGGTGGTATTGACAACATGCGCAACGACGAGAGCCCTGATTCTAGCCTCGAAAAATTCAGGAACATATTCAACGACGACGCAAACCCGAAGGCAATCATTCTCACGCCCGTCAGTTACAACAAGGATAGTTCTGACGTCTTCGAGTACCAAGCAAGAATCAACCAACTGACAGATGAAATCACTCAAATATTTCAAGGTTATGCCTTGAAGCTCGAAGTCCTTGGGTATAGAAAGGCAACACACAAACAGCTGCATGACGGGGCAACCTTGGCAGATCCAAGTTTTGCCAGCCATATGGGGAAGATTCTTGTGCAGTACCAGGCACCTCACCCCGCAGAGAGTAGTAAGAATGCGAAATACCGAATCTGGGTCGAGGGCGAGGCACTTGAGGGAGATTGGGCCACTGAATGGACTCCTCAGTAATCGACCAGTCGGGTCTTATCGTATGAGCTAGACGTATCGCTTTAGCTTGAGATAATGACACTGATGATCACATGAATTTCGCGTTTCGTACATATGCAAATGAATGAGCCTGTCCAGCACAAGGAACTGGTGGATCGTGAGTCATGGCTGTTGTGCCATGAACTTATTTTGATGCTGGGAGCATATAAGTTATAACTTCAAACCGCGAGACACGTACTAAACAAATAGCTTTATACCATTGTGTATTAGGTAGGGATATCAATGCTTGCTTTATGTGTCGACAATTACATCGCTTGCCGTATGCGTGTGCGTAGCAGGTGCACAAAGGAACAAGTGAGCATAAAATGACAGGAATCCCGGTTATCTTTGAAAGCCTAAAAACAAAGACGTACCTGCACTCCAAAAAGACTAGTAATATCTGACAGCCAGCCATCGAGCAAAGCCAGCGTGAATGATGGTTCGTAAAACTCATCCACAAAAGGAATGTCTTCATTCAACAGAGGATTCTGACTTACACAGACTATCCTTGTAAGAAACGTGCAGGTAGCCGGCTCACATCACTTAATATTATCACTGCATGTATGTGACACTGGTTGAGTACTGAAATGTTGTATTTCTAATGACACATTCTAGTGTAATTACGCATTCTCATTGACTATCCCTACACATCGTTAGCATTAGCATATCAGGAGTCAATAATGAATTTCAGCGACATCCGTCCACGCGTCACGGCACCGCTATCGTCGTCCATGGTCAAGTCGATGCTGTCTTGGCGCCGCGCCTCGACCTCGCTGTGTACAGAAGGCCTCGTCGGCGCCTCCCCGCCGTTTGACCGGCCTGACTGCTCCCGAATCTCATCCTGGGCCCCCTTGAAGTGGGGGACACAGAATGAGATATCTGGTCCATGTGGATCGCCACAGCTGGGGATGATGCACAAGCCAGCATCGTACTTTATTTTCTGCCGGCGGTGCTCCACGGTCTCCAAGGTGTCAGGGAGACCTAGAGGCTTCAGTGCGCCTTTACTGACCGTCTCTGCGCGTGATGTCTCTGCACGGTCGACGGATCCAGCTTTGTCAGCTTGCTTCAGGTTCTCATGGACGCGCGGGCGCTTGGCGAGGACGAAGTCTCGCCAGTCGCTTGGTTTCATTTGCGGCGTGTCGCTCTCTTCACGGATAGCCGCGGTCTTGTCACAGTCTTCTTGTTCGTTGAGGACCTCAAGCCTGCGCTTTCCGTTTGCCGATTCAACTTCCTGAAATCCTGCATCGTAGGCAAAATCAATTGCAGCCCTAGCGGCGGCATAGCGAACAGTGGTTAAGCAGTTCTGACACTTCCGGGTGCCAGGAGGGAGAACCCGCTCACAGTTTTTCCCCTACAGACGTTTTGATGCGATGCGCAGTAATGCTGTCTCCGTCTCTTAACCTTCTCGTCACATCCTGTTTTCCTACATGTCCACGGCGGTCCAAAGTGCGGTTCACAGAAGCTGCTTCCTTCTGTCTTGGGCAGAGCGCACCCTTCTTTTATGCAGCAGCCCTGGTGGCTTTGGCAATTCACACCTCCACCGGGCATGGGAACCGTCTGGTTACAGCCACTCACGCGGCACGTTGCCAGGGGCCTTTTTGTCAAGTAAGTTGCCGTATCTTGGGCATCTGGGACTGAAGAAGACCCACCTGCAGAATCAGGAACAGGTTCGGGAGAAACTGCGCCATCAACAGTATCCTGGCCCGCCGGGGCCGAACTAGCCGCAGGGTCGTCGAGCTTACTGGATGAAAACATTGAAGGATCTGCTGCCATGGTTCTTGCTAGACCTGGCACACAGTGAAGGATGGAAGCCCCTCTGTCGATGCGGAGACAAAACTATATAGAACAGCGCCGGCCGGGACAACTCGGAACATTAGCCATCTTCCACTTACATGTATAATGTACAGGAGGAGAATACATGTGATTGTGCCAATCTTACCCCTGCACAAGTATATGGCTGTATATCTAGACACCCATACATACCCTTAGTAGACAGGAAATAATAATCCCCAGCATCGCCACAAGGCTATTGTTTGACCACTCAAGGCTTAGTCATGTGGCTCCAGAACAAACAAGTCCTCTTTCTCACTACGTCATCCGCTCAAAGAGCTAACCTGCAGCGATCGGCATCAAGGAACTGGAAACTACCTGACCAAGACTCTCTAAGGGTGGCCATGATACCTCATGACGGCCGTGGGTGAAGCTTTGGAGTGCAGACGTTGCAAGTATATACATGTGGCACGGTGTAGTGAGTAAGATGATATCTCTGTTCACCTCGTACTACTCAGGCTCAAACGCACAAATATAGTATCTATGGGGAGCGCGGCTATGTTGGTGGGGTATATTGTACATTTATCGCATTTATACAAGGTTCTCTCCTTTACACATATCTTATCATCACATCACATTACACACTGCCACTTTCCTCGGTGAGCCAGCCTAGAGTTCCTGGCCCCGAGCATCTGCATCCAGGCCGTCGACCTCAGCTCCTAGGGGAGCCAGCTCGTCCCGTCCACCCATGGCCTCCTTGAACCGCTCGCTGCGGGTGACGAAGCTGAGAAGCCTGACGCAGCCCGAGGGCGTGACGCCTTCGATCCGCCTCGCCTGGCCGATGCTCTCAGGTCGCGTCGCGTTGAGGATAGCCTTCTCGTGGAACGACAGCCCGAACACGCTGTCATAGTCCAGGTCGGTAGGCAGCGTCAGGGACTCGTCCTTAGCGAAGAGCGCCTGCTCGGCTCGCTGCATGGCCACGTACGGCGCATAGACTGCTTCGATACCGACGCGGCCCTGGACATGGTCAGAATAGGAACGGACCTCGGGGATGCGCTCGTGCAAGTCGGCGAGCTTGACGCCGGCGAGGCGCAGGATCTCGAGCGCCGAGCGATGCTTGGCGTCAACACGTGCCTTGAAGCCCGCGGCGACCCAGTTCGGCGCTGTGAGGGTGAAGCGCTCCAGATGTCCCGTCAGCTCTTCCATTTGGGCCTTAGTGTCTGTGAAGTGGCTCCAGCGTTTGTCGCCCACGACGCCCCATGCGCGGCCTAGCTCCGTCAGGCGCATGTCTGCGTTATCGGCGCGATGTGACATGCGGTATTCAGATCGGCTAGTGAACATACGGTATGGCTCCGACACGCCCTTTGTGATGAGATCATCAATCATGATTCCAATGTAGCCGTCAGCCCGCGTCACGGAGACCTGGGGCTTGCCTTGAGCCGCGCGACCAGCGTTGATACCGGCAATGATACCTTGACCGGCAGCTTCTTCGTATCCCGTGGTGCCGTTGATTTGTCCGGCGAGGAACAGCCCGGAGATAGCCTTTGTCTCAAGGGTAGATTTCAAGCTGCGAGGGTCAACGTAGTCATACTCAACACCATAGCCGGGTTGTAGCATTTCTACATTCTCTAGACCCCGGATAGTCCGTAGAAGCTGTTCTTGCGCTTCTGCGGGAACGGTCATAGAGAGACCATTCGGGTAAATAACGTCGTTGTCGAACCCTTCGGGCTCAAGCCACACGATATGCCGTTCCTTTTCTGAGAAACGTATTATCTTTGATTCGAGCGATGGGCAATAGCGTGGGCCCTTAACGCTTTCACGGATATGTATCGTTTTGTCTAGATTGGCGCGCACCACGTCGTGTGTGGCGTGATTGGTATATGTTGCCCAGCATAGGAGCTGGTCTTGCACCGAAACCTTTTCGTTCAAGTAGCTGAATGGATGTGGCGGATCATCTCCCATCTGCTCTTCTAAGATGCCGAAGTCGATGCTCTTCTTCGACAGACGGGGTGGCGTTCCAGTCTTTAACCTGCCGAGTTGGAATCCCGCCTCTTTTAATGACTTGCTCAACCCGAAGGTGGCCTTCTCGCCGATTCGACCCGCTGGATACTTCTCAAGCCCGATGTGTATTTCTCCACCCAGGAAGGTTCCGGTTGTGATGATGATCTGTGTCGTCGGCAGTACCTCCCCAGATTCCAACCTGACGCCAGTTATCTTGCTCTTGGCCTTACCCCCAGCGTCACCCTCTTCCGCTGCACCAACGACAATATCGCTCACACTGCCCTCAATGATGCTCAAATTTTCATATCCCTGGAGCTCCTCGCGCATGTATCTGTTGTACAACGCCCGGTCGATCTGGGCGCGTGGTCCCCAAACGGCGGGGCCCTTCCGGCGGTTGAGAACTTTGAACTGAACACCCGCCTTGTCGATGATTCTACCAGCAACGCCATCGAGCGCATCGATCTCTCGTATTATAGTGCCCTTCCCGATGCCGCCAAAAGAGGGATTGCAGCTGCACACGCCGAGGTTGTCGAGTTTCGGGGTAATGAGGGCGGTACGGGCGCCCGAACGCGCTGCTGCGGCGCAAGCTTCGGTTCCGGCATGTCCGCCGCCTACGACGACGACATCAAAGGGCCTGCGGTTGTAACAATGTCAGCATGCGCAAGTGCGATCGCGAGGCGCTGCAGGTTGTCGAACCTGGTATCTTGCGTCACGGTGGCGAACGTCCTCCGCCTGTAGCACGGATTGGGGAAGCGCCGCCGTGCGATCACGATCGGCCTGCCGAGCCCTCGCGGGGTCCAGACCTTCTGCATCTCGTCGGGTCGATAGCAACTGTTGTGGCGAGTTACTTGAGCCTGTCCCTGTGCTAGGACCAGGAGATTGCACGTCCAAATTTCTCGACAAGGTTGAGTTAATGCCGGCATTTTGTATCATCCAAAACAGCAGGCGGTGAAGAGCCTCATGGGCCGCACTAGGCAAGCGGTAAGGGTCTGCTTTGTCTCTCAGAGGATGCATCCTACACAGACAGAGGAAATGAAGTGCAGCTCAGAATTATGCTTGGTATTGGATGCAATACTCATATCACCTTAACGCTCATTTTGGTAATAATCAGATCATCACATGGTCATTGGGCAGATCCCCATCAGTCTCCCCACGGATTGTACCAGTCCGCGATGCAACATTGTAGAATATTATATTTCAATGGTAAGTGCTAATCATCTCCTGCCTACTTCCTTCCGCAGTCTTCCGGCCACTGTAGTTGGCGGGGGCTCTGGCCACGATGATACAGCATCATCCACTTCCTCCAAAAATGTGGCAGCATTATGTATTGCAGTCCCCCCCAGAACCACTCTGACACCAGGTGATGACGCGTTGATACCGGCTACCATCTTCGACTCTTCGTAGGTCGCGCCTCCGATGATGAAGACTATGATGTCTTGAGGCTTATCTCTCGTTGTGCCTCCTCCTTCGACGAACGGGTACTGCTGCTCGCGGAGCCTGCCCTTGATCATGTTCTGTAGTGTAGTCTCGAGGTGCGGTGAATGTTGAGTGTACACGTTCTCTACACCCTTCAGCCCCTTTATACCTCTAGCGCCTGAGAATATGCCACCCGGCTCGAAGATATCGGTGATGCCTCCGGCAGCTTGGGATTGTTGGAGGGAGTTGTGATATATTAATAGTTTTGCGATCAGATCTGCTTGTCGAGGTGGCACGCCGCCTGCTGCCGTGAGCAGATCTACCAGCATAGGCAGCGAGTTTGAAGGGTGCTTTTCATAGCGCAGAGCATATAGCGCCACTAATCCAACCTTTGCGTCACCCGTGACCGATGGGTTTTGTATCAACCTTTGTACGTTCTGGGAGAGATTAGTCGCAGCTCAGCTATGGAATTCTCGGAAGCGCCTACCTTGAGATCTGTGGCATGGTTGTCATTACATGCTAAGCTTTGTTCTACTTCGCTGACCTCGAGTAGATTCTCCGATCCGACTCGGCGACTGAGCTCGGACACCAACGTGACGTGCTTGCTAACATTCCCGGAGAGTTTCCGGAACTCGGGGTATTCTTCGATGAATCGTTTCATGTCCGTGATGGATTCGATGTTTGCATTGTTCTTTGTCTTGGACTGGTACTGCTCCACGTAGTCTTTGATGTTCCCTCCAAGGTCGCCAAAGTTGAGGTACATGTTCTTCTTAAAGAAGGGGTCCTGGTCCTGTGACAAGACAATCTCTCTCAACTCGGGCCGGATCTCGGGGACATCGCCCAGATCGACTCTTCCGTTGTTGATGCCGAGCAGGTGATGCACCATTGCTTGATACGTCCATTGGTTCAACAGTGGTGTGGCTGGATCTTCCCTGCGGTCTAGAATAAGTAGTATGGGCGGGGTATCCACTCTGCGGAAGTCGAACAGTTGCTCCTCCTGAGTGATGTTATACCGGACCTCGGTAGCCAGCTTCTTGGCCAATAAGCTGTTCTTCTCATATCTGATAAGAGGCTTCTTTTTGAGCGACAGCAGTACTGCCATGAGGCCTTCTGTAGATCGCTGGAGGGCGTCTGTGTTCCACATGTCTGGGTTGCCGCTCCATATCCGCTGTTGGGGAAGCGTCAGGTTGAGGGAAAATAAGTCAGGGTTTATAACAAGGAAGTCTGCAAAGTGCTCCTGGACCAGCTTGACGATTTCGTGGTCATCTGCCTCGGCCAGTCTCTCCAGTGCCGACTTCTTGACGACATTGCTGAAGTATAGGTAGTACTCGCCGTACTTGGGATCCCTCAGCTCGTCTATCAAGAACTGAATAGAATCCGAGGAGGGGCGCACGAAACACAAGCACCGCAGGTGGCGCATCTTCTCACGGCTCTGGTTGTCGAGGCGATCGATGAGATAGACCTCGTGGTTGAGGAGCGATGACTGAGTGATGGCCGTGGACACGATAGACACGGTATCTTTGTCCAGCAAAAGTATCTTCATCTTGGCGGACGGACCGCCGGTTGCGCTGTCTCCGGCCGACACCATCTTGGAGATGTAGCCGGAGACTGCCTGGACGACATCCATGTTGACGGTGGGTGAGATGCGGCGTCCAGTGTTGACTTGCTTTTCGGTGCTGCGACCTCTAGAAACACGCCATAATCTATCCTCTGCCGGATACTATGAGTGGCCGATGAGAGAAACCTCAAATTGGGCGTGCGAGGCGCGGGTTATGAGTTGTCGCTCTGGTGTTGTTGACAGGTTGATCAGACGCCGGGCATTGGCATTGCGGCTCACCGAGTGCAGTAGTAGCGTAACTAGCGGCGTGAATGGTCTGTGCTTGCCGCCAACTGTGGCAGAACAGAGGGTACCTAGACGGTACGAGCGCCCAAGTGCGTGAACTTGCGACTTGCTATCTGTTTTGGGGGCCTCCTATTAGCATGATGAGCAGCGATAGATATCCCCCATAAAATCTACATAAATGTGAATTTGTACCGAGCGCATTTGCGCCACGGAAAAATGGCTGAATTCCATCATGTATCCCGACCGGCCTGCAGTACCAGGACCTGGTACACGCACACATATGCAAGGCGATAAGATAAGGCTCCCAAAGATCGTGGAGCTTCAAGTTTCGTCATTGGCAGTCCTGCCTCTCATAGCCCATCGCGCCCCATCTCCTACATGATGCTCTTCGTATACACCGGGACCGGATCCTAACCTCCTAATTTGCTCGGCTCTGATGCCAGCACCCCCTTCTGCACAATGGCCGCCTCGGACATGTGCCCCACGAAGCCAGAGCCAACGTGAGACGCCGCAATGCCATGCCATGCCCCGCCAACGCGCCCTCAGCTACTGACGTCCAGACAGCCTGTCCTTTACGCAGGGCCTCATAGTCGGCCAGATCTCCGTCGTGCTTCTCATAGCAGCCTTCATCAAGTTCTTCATATTCGGCGACCCGCCATCCCCCGAAGTCACCGCCTCGATACGAGCGACAGAGCGTCGGTCCCGGACCTTGGCCCACAAACACTCCCTCCTCACCCTCCGAACCGACAACCCCCGGCAGACCCAACCGACCCTCAACAAGAAGAAGTCGAGCATCCTACGGAATCCCCCCAGCCTCACGATCGGCTCGCTTCTGAACAAGACATACTACAATGTCGACAGCCACCAGCCCGAGTCTTTGGACTGGTTCAATGTCCTGATTGCCCAGGCGGTCGCGCAGTTCCGCAGCGATGCGCAGCATGACGATGCCATCCTGACGTCGCTGACGAAAGCCCTGAATGGCACGAGCCGCCCGGAGTTTCTGGATGAGATCAAGGTCACGGAGCTGACCCTGGGCGAGGACTTCCCCATCCTCAGCAACTGTCGGATCATCCCGGTGGACGAGGATGGGCTGAGCATGGAGGCAGGCCCTGGCGCGGGACAGCGTTTCAACCCCAACAGCTCAAGGGCTACAAGAGAAGGCGCGCGGCTACAGGCGCGTATGGACGTCGATCTGAGCGACATGATCACGCTCGCCCTGGAGACGAAGCTCTTGCTCAATTATCCCAAGCGGCTCACGGCCGTCCTGCCAGTCGCACTGGCTGTTAGTGTCGTCCGGTTCAGTGGGACACTGTGCATATCATTCATCCCCAGTAACCCGTCGCAATCTACTCCTACCATGATGGCCTTCAACTTCCTGGACGACTACCGGCTGGACCTGTCGATCCGCAGTCTGGTCGGCAGCCGCTCCCGGCTCCAAGATGTGCCCAAAATCGCACAGCTCATCGAGGCCAGGCTACACAAGTGGTTTGATGACAGATGCGTTGAGCCCAGGTTTCAGGAGATAGCACTGCCCAGCATGTGGCCACGCAAGAAGAACACGCGCGGTGGCGATGATGGTCTAGATAGTAACATGGCCAGCATAAGCAAGGGCAAAGGCCGCGAAGTAGCTCGAGACCTGCGGGAGGAGGCCAGAAAGGAGGTCCAGTCTGAGACCATCGGCATCAGAACAGAACGGAGCCCCGAGCCGGGGAGTCTGAGGTACAGGCGGAGAAGCAGGCTCAACAGCGCTGGCCAGATGAGCATGCCAGGCGGGTTGCCCGGCATGACCATGGATATGCCACATTAGCATGTTGTAAATCAATTCACCACTCAAATGAACACGTGAGCGTGAGCTCATTGTCCGGTTGTGTTGTCCCCGAGTTTGGCGCTCTTTGTTTGCTCGACCGAGTCCCTGCATTTAGCGAACCTGATCCCAACTTAGCTTGGTTGGTATCAAGTTTCGTGAGTCGTTGGTCATTCGCACATTCAATTCATTGTCACAATCAGACCAGATGACCAGCGATGCTATTCATGTTTGATGCGGATTTGGTGCCTGTCTTTTTGTTTTTGCTACCAGGCAGTTCTATAAGATACTGCCTGTGTCACGGATAGTCTTCCACTTATCTTGACTATCTTGTCATTCGCACTGCAATCTGACTTACCGCCTGATATCAAGCTTCAGCCTGTGCCGCGATACACTGTCCACATTCACCCTACTTCTGAAATGGCGGCCACCCAACCCACTCAACGGGGACAGCCGGTCGATGCGAAAGCAGCGGAGGCAGTCATGGAACAACTTCTTGAGCGAGACGATGTGCTAACAAGAGTTCAAGAACTCACACCCGAAAAGATGAAAGCTGCTATTCAGGATTGGTTTGATGGCAAGGCAGAGGGGGGACATATTTCGATCAAGTCGGGGATCAAGGCCAGGATCGAGGTTCAGGGGAAGGATGAGGCGGTGATAATCTTCAGCTCGCCGCTGAATACAGAATATCAAGAACCTCATGACACCGAGTGGCATGACTCATACTGTGCACGAGATTTCCTTGTGTTTGAATGTCGACCTCTTGGGGAGAACAAAGTAGTAGAGCGCCATTTTTCTACGAAGCCTTTCCAGGATTGGGTGAATGCGATTGCTGAAAAGAACGAATTTAATTCGTGGCAGCAAAACCAAAACCTCGAGTTCCGCTTTATAATAAGTAGGCATTCCTATTACCGACTTGCTCATCACTTGCTAATCATGCTTACAACTGATAGGAGATCGAAACAAGGATGGGGATGGGCCAAAGATGTATTCTTCTGGCTCTGATGATAATGGCTCTGAGGGAAATGGCTCTGGTAGTAGTGGCTCGGGGTGATGCATTAGAGCGTTTAGCGCCTTCTCTTCCTCATTCATTTCTCATCAAATCTCCTCTCCCTATAACTTTCGGGCTTTGGTGGCGTTTTCAACTTCCTACTCGGATCCAGTTCCTCTTTCGAACTCCTTTGCCGGCACAGGTTTCTGCCAGTAGAATCTATTCTATACCAGAAGCCCTAGTAGGCGCGAGGTCCGTGGTCATCTTCTATTCTGGTGCAGTCATACCCAATTGAAGGATTTTCTCTTCGTCGACAACCCTCTTGTGCATTCTCTTGAAGTGTAAGATGCCGACACCACCGATCTCGACATCAAGCCTAACTGCTTTAATCAGAAACCGTTGTCCCTAGTAGTTTTCCAAATGATGACGATCAACCAACACCGTTTCTCTCAACAATCCTGCTTCAGATGATGGCCTTTCCCGTCGATCCTAAAATGGATTCTTAGTCTATCCAGAGAACCCACAAAATCAGAAATGTCCGGCGCAACGGGGAAGCTACAAGTTTTGTAATTTCAGTGGTCCTTGGTGATTCCGGATCTCCGTATGGCTTTCTGCGTAGAAGAACTTTTAGGCTCGAGCTCATGCTAGTTGACCTCTTGAGGCCTCGATATACGATAAGCACACATACCCTTTCCTGTTCAATGTCTCAATTCCATCGATGCAGATGACTGCAACAGGCCGCGCAATATCTGCAGTGATCTGCCTTACAGGAGCGTTGACGAATGGCGAGAAGACAACCGACTCATCGTCCAGTTCTGCGAATCCCCCCGCGCCATACGTTCCTACGACTTCAAATAACCCGGTGTCGTGTAGAATCGACTCTGTCTCACCCACGTAAGCGGGATCTTGGGTTAGCAGTCTCACTCCCGGTCCTTTCGAGTCAGATCGGGATATGGCACGAGCCACATCGGTAATCGTTAATGCAATGGCATGGTGAATGAAGGCGCCCTCCAAGATGCTAGTTTCCGTTTCTCGCTCATTCTCGGGCCGTTCATCATTCTGTGCTGTCCACCAGAAGGGAGGTTTGCGGTTCATATCGCCTAGTCCGAAGCAGACAATTTTGGTAACCTTTGTGGATTTCCCATCGCTGGAGAGTAGCTGGCAAAGTTGTGATCTGAAAGCGTCACAGGTGGCACTAGCATCCCACTTCTCCCGCACCGCATTGAAAAGACATCGAGAATTAGGGACTGACCCTGATAGTTGCGCAAAGCCAGGTTGTCCCACTTGATGATGTACGAACAGTTATATGTCTCCGGTGGGCTATCGGGTTTGACCCGGACAAGATGCCAATATTCTTGAAAGTCAACGTATGGCTCCCTAGGGCGCGGTGTCTAGGTCAGCTTTGGTAGCCGGATCTGAGGGACAAGTAGCATAGGGAGAATGAGCAGTGGATTTTGTCCAGACGGACGCCATATACACCAAATCGGCCTCTGCAGCCCGCACATTGGGTTCTTGATCTGGACTACAGAGCCATCAATGCGGCGAATGGTGAATCTATCCAAAGTTTGCCATTGTGCGAGTTGTTGCTCAATGTCGTGAAGATCTTCTTTTTGCCATAGCCTGGCACCTGAGTCATACAAATCTGCTGCGCGCTGGCTGCTGGTAACCCACTGCGAGCAGGCGTAGTCAAGAAAATAGTCACTCAGGTGAGTTCTATCATAATGAGCTCTATCATAATGAGCGTATGAATCCAGGAGGAGCTGAAATCAAGAGAGGCAGATCTGGGTGTTGCCTGACTGACCCGGCAGCCTGGTCACTCAGGTGGTATTGGTCCAGTGAATTACCCCGCGAGGCTCTGGGTATCCAGCTCGTCCATTCCATGGGTTCGTGACAAAAAAAGGTGTTTGGACATGTCCAGCATTGAACAAGGCATATGTTGGATTCAACACCTCAAACTCCATATCAGCATAAATTAGTAACGAGAGGTGCTGGTAGAAGTTGCTCGTTGCTCTCGACCCCCATTATGCAGGTGATTTTCTCAGTAGCTTGTCATGTTGTCGAACCTCAATCTCCAGTTTCGGCTTCATGAAGCCTCAACACGTGGAGTTCGATACAGTTGAACCTGTTCTCAGAGAAAGCTCGTATAGGCGATGATAGTCAATGCTTACGACGCTTCGTTGAGAGCCTCAAAGGTTTGCGCGTTCCTTAAACACCAATGGCAAATACTGTATTTAGCAGACAAATCAAACGCGACGACTACTGCAGAAGAGCGGGCAAGTTGGCTGCATGCCAAGATGGAACTCCTCAATTGACAGCCAGTAGGTCTCTCCACGCTTTCAGATTTGAAACAAAACGGTTTGCCGTATTACCGTGGAGTCTAACCCCCCCTACTGCAAGCTGTGTCATCGATTGTGGCAGTGCAACTGGGCACAGCGACTGGGCGATGGTTTATGCCCGATCTAATTAGAATCGCCAAGGGACGAAAAACAACTCTCCAAGATGCTAGTTAGACATAAAGTTAAGGCTAAAAAACTTGGCTAAGGCAAGGTACAGCTCATCGCAAGGCTATGCATCTGTTTCCCCAGGGGAATACTTCTGGCCATCCAGCCGGGCCACGCGACCGAATTAAGTGGATCCGTGCCCTGCGATGATCAACTATCCATGCATGCCGTGGTACTATAATCCGATCAGCCATCGGCAGTTCTAGCGTCGCGACAACTCTTGGAGTCCCCACATCGAGGCTTTCCTAAGGCTCTTGTGACGACACATGCCTTGTCTCGTTGTCATACAAGCTTGGCTTCAGCTTACCTGCCAGGGCGGTGCATACATTTTCCTGCAACCGATGGGCAATGGGTGCCTCAAGAAGCTACGGGACGCTTTCGTCAGCCATGCATTCGGTCGTAAGGGACCTGTGGGAGCATCGAAGGGTGATTACGCGTTCGGCTTGGTAGTGAAGTTGATGACAAACTCGGATGAAGAGTATTGTCTAGGTGAAGGGCAACCACTGCCAAGCAGGCCAAGCACGATGGCCTTGCTATGGAGGCAAATCTAAACATATATATAACATCTAATAGATCCTTCCTAGAAAGAAGGTTTCAGAAGACACATTCGCTCCAGAGTCAACCGTTTACAAAAAGTTTACAAAGACACCAATTCACGACAACGACCCCCCTAAACTATCAAAGCAAAGATGCAGATTCAAAACCTCCTTACTGTGCTCAGCCTGTGCGCTGTCGCCTTCGCCGAGAACAAGGTCGAACCCGATGACGTGCCCCAGGCTTGCCGTACTACGGACAGCTGCCGTCAAGTCATTGACGTTTCGAGATCCTGTGATCAGACGACCGACAATGACAACACCTACCGCAGCTGTGTTTGCGGGACTACAAACATACAGACGTTGCTGAACGACTGTGCTACCTGTTCGTTTCAGAATGATGGTGACGATGATGACAATGATAATGGTATGCCGGTCTTTCGAACTTAAACCTTCTGACCTTTCGAAATGGATTGACTGACCTGTATCTTGCAGATGTCACTGATCTGATGCGCGACTGCGGCTGGGCTTATAACACTACCGCCACCACCACAAGCCTCAGTGGAACCGTGAGACCAACAGTCCTTCCCAGCCCAACTACGATTACAAGTGGAGGAACCACCATCACCACTACTCCCACTCCTACTCTGGGAACAGTGGCCTCAACCACTTCGACCCCTGCTGGAGCCCCCGCTGTCACCGCTGGTCTGGGAATGCTTGCCGGAGTCGCCCTTGCAATCCCGGCCCTCATCTGATCTCCAGATCAGAGTTATAATTCACGAGACATGAAGTAATATATGGACGTGGCCTGGCCGGGTGGCATACTCACCAGATAGTCACAGTCATTTTCGCGTATTGGGTTGGTTGGTAGCACTGGCTTGTAATTAGTTTGGAAATACTATGCCCACAACTTAGACCAGGCCTTAGGCACTCAATAGATCAAGGTCCTAACATAACTTCTCAAGGAATGGTGTCAAGTTTTCCACGATTCCGTGTACGTCCAATTCTGGCGAATATGCAGCCCCCTTTATTTCAATCATGGGAATATCATCCCTGATTCGTCTGATTTGCTGGAAATAGGGCCACACCACGTCATCTTTGGCGCAGAGAGCAATGACCGGGCACTTGATCGCTTGGAAGCACTTCTCTTTGTCCTGGTCCCAGATGGCCCCATACATCTGGTTCCGTCCCTTCCACGCTCGTATATGATCCAAAGCGGCCTGATGGTGCACCTCCAGGTCTCCGTCGGCGCCGAGCTTGGCCACGTAGTCCCACGTTTTCTGCAGATGGGAGCCGTCTGCGACGGGCTTGTTGAATGGGGCAAAGTATCGCGCTTTCATCTCGGCTCGTTCCGCAGCTGTCATGACCGACGTGCCAATGAGACACATTGACTTGACGACCTCCGGCTTGATGGCGGCCATTTCAGTGGCGAGTGAGGCGCCGGTATGATGACCAATGATATGAAACTTCTTGAGGCCCAGCTTCTCAAACACCCACAGGTACAAATCAACGTACCACCGTGTGCCCCGATTGCTGATCTCCTTGATTGCCTCTTCTGGTGGGTCGAAGCTGCCACCGAACCCGGGCATATCAGGCGCATAACACTCGTACCCTAAGGTTGAGTACTGGTCTATAAGTCGCGTCATAGAGGCACTCGAAGTTGCAGATTGATGCAGGAAGATGAGGACATCTTTGGATGCAGGCGGTTTCACGTAGCGATAGTGCAATTGCCCATACTGAGTGTCAATATACGCTTTTTTGATTGGCAGGGGCGCCATGGTGAGTTTTACGGGTGCAGGCTCTCAAAGGTACATTTGCAGCTAACGTTTTAGCAAGATACGGTGCGCAGTGACACTGGTTGAAGGAACAAGCCATTTATCTATCGCTCGGGAGTGGAGATAAATATAGTGGGTCACGACCGAGCACAAGTGCCGAAACCTACGAAATTGCCCTCGAAACCGATACCAGGCCAGGTCGGGAAGAAAACAGTATGCTATAGCCGGTTGAGCCAGACGCTAGTATGGTATCAAACTTTAATAATCATTCAGTAGCATGAATATGACCTACCGTAAAGCCGTATACAATGATCTCTCGAACTCCGTAGGCAATGGAATCCCTTCATAGAAACATTCAATTGAGAATAACCACAGACGTTACATATAGACTTGTGGAGCTCCATTTTAGGCACAGTCATGGTAACAATGTGTATGCACGCCTGTATAGGTCAGGTACTTCTGGAATGTGCTAGTCAAGTTGCGCATAGCACCATGCTTCGACATACCTCAAAGGGGTCGGAGCCTAGTGGATCTTCCGGGGCTCATCCCACCTCCGAAAGCCGAAATCAAAATCGTCCTGTCAGCGGCTGCCTAGGCCACTCTCCGTTCGCTGTATCCGCTCAAAACTCCAAAAAAGCACATCAAGCATGACGAAAACGAAGAGGCAATGGCTAAGGGGCCTTCCTAAAGCAGAGCTTCATCTTCATCTCGAAGGCACTGTCACCCCGGAGACGTTGGTCGTTTTGTCGCAACGCCATGACTCAACGCCGCTGACGCTCGAGGAGGCTCGGGCGCTGTACGAGTACAAGGACTTTGTGCACTTCCTGGACACCTTCAAGCTGGTTCTTGATCGCCTGCTGACGCCCAAGGACTATGCACTGATCACGCGGGAGATGATGCGCCATCTGCACGCGCAGGGTGTCGTCCACGCTGAGGTCTACATGTCGTGGGGCAACATCCTGCACTGGAAGGCCCCGCTGCAGGTCGAGGATGTCATGGCCGCGGTAGAGGACGCGAGGATTGAGGTCGAACGGGAACTCGGCGGCCCATCTGTGTATTGGATCGCTGATGCGAGCCGTCAGTGGGGCGCCGAAGAGGCCGGTAGGGTATTCCAGCTGGCCGGCAGCCTCAGACATCGGTTCCCCAATATCGTCGGCATTGGGATCGGAGGCGATGAAGTAGGTGGGCCCATTGAGTGGTTTCGTGATCTCTACCTAGAGGCCAAGAAGGCAGGTCTGCGACTCACGGCACATGCTGGAGAAGCCACCGGCTCCGTGCAAGGTCCCCTGGAGATGCGAAGCGCGCTGTCGATGGGAGTGGAACGCATCGGCCACGGGCTTGCAGCGCAGTATGATGATGACCTCATGGACATACTGGCGAAGCAACAAGTTCCATTGGAGATCAATGTGACTTCAAATATCAGGACTGGTTGTTGTCCGTCTGTGGAGGCTCACCCATTACCCAAATTCTTGGAGAAAGGAATGCTATGCACGGTGAACTCGGATGATCCTACCATGTTCGGTGCCGACTGCCTAGACGACTACGTCCTGATTAGTGACGCCTTCGGTCTCAGTCTTGACAAAATGAGAGAACTGGCTCGCAACTCGTTTAGTGCCAGCTTCCTTCCCGAGGATAAAGCGAAACGCTGGATTTCCGCGCTAGATGCGTATAGGTGATACAAATGCAAGCGTCCATCGAATTCAACAACACGGTTAGATTTATTCAGCCTCGTTTAACACGAGGTTTCAGGTTAGGAAAGTCAAATGTAGAGCAAGGGGATATTTAAATATTAAAGAATCCTATACATTCTCAAATTCATCATAGCTTAAAAAAATGGAGCTCTGTAGCAGTTCAGTAGCTATCGCTCGTTCTAGGCGCTGATGGTGTTGTCAAGTAGTTTTGTTTGACTTTCATCCTTCAAGACTGGTATAATGTGACAAGTCATCAGATTATACAGATTAAAATCAAGCGTTTATTTCAACATTACGGATTTGACGTTGTTGCGTAGTTGTTGATTTTTAAGCCACACGGAAGGGCAACGGCTTTTTGCATGTCTGTTTAACGGTCCTTTTTCTCCTCATTTCGATCCTAACGGTAAAGCAACGTTTCATCACCCAATACCAAACTTTACGTCTATCATCCCCTTGTATCGACGCAAGGGAGACTTTTAGTCAAGACGTGTTCGCCGCAGTAACAAAAACCGGTCCTTACGGAATGCAATTAGCCGACTCCCGCATGGTAGCGAGGATCCAACTACATTTGTGTGCGTTCCACCTTACATGAGTGACCACGGCGACCAGCAGCTTCTTGCCCCACACGTATGTACCTGGGCTATTGTTTTCCAAAAGATTCCAAGCACTGAATATCCTGCGCGTAATTGCGGAAGCGAGTCTTATTACCTTCAACACGCATAGATTTCGTGCCTCAAGCGGTCAGCGCCAAAACGCGACCAACGATCCTGCTATACGGTCCGCGATCGCCATTGTGGTGATCATAGGATTGACACCACTCGCGCTGGGAAAGACACTCGCATCGGCGACGTACACGTTGGTGGTCCCCCATACCTTACCACAATCGTCCACCACGCCATCTGTAGGACTAGTGCTCATTCGACACGAGCCCATTTGATGAGCGCAGGTGAATGTGTCCTTCGCTGGATTCAGATCCTCGCGTTCGAGACGTGCGAGCCACTGTACAAACTCCTGGTCTTCTAGAGTCCGTTCCTCTCTTGCCTTACGGCACTTGAAGGATGGTACATTCATGACACATGGGAAAAGCTCAGTGGCGCCTTGGACATAACAGATCTTGGCAATAGCCACGAGGCCAGAGACAATATGTATGCGGTCAAATCGTGATGGTGTGTACTTGATAATCGAACGGCCATCGGGGTCAGCAGACACGCTGCCGGTGTCACGGTCTCGAGCGATGGCACAGAAGGAGTTTATGTGGCGGTATTTGATGGCATCGGTCTTGTACTGAAGTGCGCTGTGCCACGGTAAGGTAAATGTTGTCATATGTGGCTACAATGTATAGCTTAGATTCATATTCGACTTTCAGAGATTTTATACCACTTACCAGGCCCGCGGACGCCACGATCTTAACTCCATGGCCTGTTCCATCAAGGTTCTCGAATTCAGATACGACGCTAGTTAGAATACTCCCTAAATAAATGCATCAGAATCTTTCACACAGTTGGTTCTGGGCAATGGCGAGATCATACCTTCCCAACTCCCTATAACGTCATCGAAAACGGCACCGAAGTTCCCTGTTGGATGCATGTAGAGGTTTTTTCCGATGTGAGGATTCTTCGAGGGAAGAAAAACGTCAGCAAGATTGGGGAAGATAACATTTGGGAGAAAACTGCCCACCTTGAGCCCACTCCGCATCAAGAGAAGTGGGCTGTGAAGTGCACCGCAGGCGATGATAATTTTCTTGGCCTTGATCTGGATCTGACGCCGGACTCTCTCGCCTGAAGTTGAGCCGACCATTCCTGAAGTCCAAGTACCCTTGACCCCGGTAGCAGTTTTCGTATGCTCATTCTCGAACAGTATCTGGGAGATATCAAGACCTTCGATAAACCGTGCTCCCGCCTTCTGAGCGGCTGGTAACCAGCTTACTGCCGGCCCTTGCTTCTCGGCCGAGCGACAGCCAAATGTACAATGTCCACATGAATGTTCAGTATTACCGCTGTTTTGAGGACACGGTTTCGCCTGCCACCCTAGCTTTTGGGCGCCATCCAAAAGGATTTTGTTACGATGATTATGTTGTATATATGCTGTGTTGACGCCCATGAAATCGCAGACGCGATTCAACCTCTCTTGATAATCAGCTGTAGTGAAGAAATGCAGTCCTTTATTCGCCCACTCTTGACGAACAAAACCTTGTGTTTCCAACGACGCGCTCCAGTTCACCGTACCTCCTCCTCCCCAGCAACTCCCTGCCAATATGGTGGTGGCACCATCATCGCTTTGAAGGCCAGCTTCGTACAGAACAGATGAGCGATCTACCGGGACAGGTAGAAGAGACGGTGGTGTGTAATAGCCCTTGTCGACCACAAGAACCTGTCGCCCAGCCTCAGCGATGATTTTGGCGCATACACTGCCACCGCACCCGGAGCCGATGATAACTACGTCAGTCTCCAGTAGGCAGGGCTCTTCCTGTGAATCAAACTCAAGGAAATCAAAATTCATCGTTTGGCCAGCAGGACCGTTCATGATATTACCAATGTCGTAGTTACCGAGTTTGGCGAAAAGCTGATCTGACTGGGACCAGCCGATTTTGGCCATAGCGAGAAACGATCTGCTCAAAGCAGGCCACAATGGAAGCCAGGCATTCTGCCATGACTGGAGTATATCATGTCGCCTTTGAAGAGACGTCTGATCCAGAGGCGTAAGGCTGTAGCCGCAGATGACACTGCCGATTCTTGTGCTGCAAAACTATTAGCATGACGCGATCAGACTAGGAAGCAGATACCAACGTCATAAAGTCTAGAATACCAGCCAGCTGTCGCTGGAGGCGAGGTGGTATCTGGCCTATAGTTTCCTTGATGATGGCCACAAACTTGGGATCATCGAGAGGCCTGGAGGCTAAATATTGATGGTAAGAAGCCATACTTGGAGAATCGTGTACCGTAGCCTGGATATTTTGGTGAGCCAAGAGCAACTCCTCCTGAGATATGGTAAGTTGATCTCCAACACTGCCTTGCGTCGGGGCATTGTCGAGGCTGATTGAGGGAATGGCAGCATCGAGCAACGCAAACAGCATACGCCAATGAGACTCGTTGAATACGCCCTTGGCCACCGATTGAGAGGATGTCACCTGTCCAGGCATGTTGGGCTAAAGAATAAGAGCGACAAAGAATGATGCTGTTAACGGACGGCAAATTCACGCGAAAAGTGGTAAATTGAAGTGCTGGTAAGGATCATTAAGCGTGGTAGTTGGCTGTGACAAGTCACATTGCCAGGTTTTATCCCGACAACCCATGGTGTAACGTAGCCAACAATCTGACAGCTCGACGTGCTGCCCGCCTGTTGGTTTCACACAAGCCATGCATTGTCCGCCAACTGCGGAACATCCTGGTTCATGGGACCACGTAATGTACACAAAGTTCTACAGAGAATCAACTCCATCAACGCTACCGTAAACAAACGGCAGGCATGGGGAAGATTGAGACAGAAGAGTTACCAGCTTTTTTTTTTTCGGTCTATATTGTGATCCCGAGAAGGACCTATTATCAACAACCAAGAGCCAGTTGCTAATGGGTGCCATTACCGGAGCAGATCTCGCCGCACTGGACCTACCTCTGAGTTCAGTTACCGACAGTGTAGCGCTCTCGCGATTCGCTCACAAGAAAGGTTGAAACTCGTTGGCTGTGGGGGAGAAGGATGTCCCAAACGCAGCCGAACTGTTTACACAGTCCAACAACTTGACGCAGCGTGCTAAGATTATGGCTCAAGCCTTAGCAGGTAAGCTGATCCGCGCTTTGTTGATAAGTCTCGAATTCATGGAGCTCAGCAACTGTCTTTGATATTGTGAGCAGTGCTTCTTCTATTAGAGATGTCCTGAGTATGGTCGCTGAGAAAAGTACAGTTGAGAACAGGCTATGCAAGGGCGGTGCATACTTATCTGATCCCAGCTAGAGGGCTACCCACTTTTATCGAAGATTTGTTATATAACGTTTCGTGTCTTTGACTGGCTGATGCAAGTCGTTGCTGTGGTGGGGGGCACCCATCCTGAGAAGCACCATCTCAACCACCCATAGTATGACGCCGCAGGCTGGTCAGTAGACTGACCCTTACGTCATGCGATCCCTTAACTGACTCTTGCTAAACCAGATTCATCCACTTCTATTCCGAGAAGGTCCCAACAGCGATCGATCGTTACACCAAGCAAGTGACACGTGTCCTCGGCGTTCTGAAGGGCTGTTCCGATGTCAAAGACTGGCTGGTGGGCGACAAGACGGCGCATGACAATATGGCCTGGGTCCCGTGGAACGACCGCGCCGACACGTCGTCGTGGGTGCCTGAGCCCGACAAGTTCCAACGGCTCCTCAATGTGAAGGTCTGGCATGAACGCTTGACGTCGCGGCCCTCGTGGAAGCGGGCAATGCAGATCAGGGCAGGGCTAATGGACGAGCAGGACCCCATGTGGAATGGTATACCCAAGGGTATCGAGTCTTTCAGCGAGTATGAGGCCAAGATCAAGGCCAGTGACGACGCAGCTACGAATGAATTTGGCGCCTGTAGTTTGTGAGTGATGAGCAACGGATTTCACGAAGAGTTGTATGATCTTAAATCTAAACTGGTGACACTGATCTATCCATTTTGGCCGGTCAGGGAAATTTTGATTACCCGGTGATGAATTGGAACGCCAGCCGGGCTTGTTGTATCTAAAGAATTCCCCTGAGTCTACTTCACACGCTTTTTACTCTCATTCACGAAGCATACGCGAAATTCGATCCTCTACATGCCAGCCAGAACTCCCGGACCACCTGGTTCGTTGCCCTGCTTCCCCGCAAGCTGTGATTACCAATCAATTAGCTGCTTTGATTCTTTGCCGGAGCACATCATAGACGGTTGAATGCTTACCTCACGATCTTCTTCAAGAACAGCGCCTTGTCATCATGGGACACCTTATCGCTGGGAAAGGAGGCGTCGTTCAGCGCGGCCTCCAGCCACTGCTTGGCGTGGACGTGCTGGACGACGAGCTTCTTGAGCGGGTCGCTCAGCTTGTCCAACTCACTGCGGGAGGCCTTGCCTCCGATGTTCTGCACGAGGGAGTGAGCCACCATAGGGCCCAGGTGGCCCATGGCGCTATCGATTGCGGATTGCGTATCCTGGTCCGAGGTCTTGAGTGTGATGAAGCTGGTCTGGAAGTTGTCAGCGCTGCTCTGGTTTAGATTTCACGGCGAACTTACCCAGAAGTCCGCTGCTGCCGCTTTCGGAAGTGGTTCACGGCCATTCAGCATCTTGATGGCGAACATGAATAGGTACTCCAACAGGGTAGTTGGCTGAAGTTGGATAAAGGTCCCAGGGGCCTTGATCATCGCCTTCTGGGTGAACTCAACACCATATTGTGCTAATTCGGGATCGTTTACAGGGTCTTTACAGATTAGCAAGGAATGGGCAGATGTAGTGTCAAATGCAGGGTCAACTCACCTTGAAGCTGGTGGAGCAGGCCCACAACCCATGGAAGTAGCTGGTGGATGATTCCCGGCAATTGGCGCTTGTTACTTCCGTTATAAATAGAGGTGACGAAGACACAGGCTGTGCTAATCGCTGAGGCAACACGGTTATGCCACGAACTCGTAAGAAACTCCGTTATGACCTGAGGTGAGAAGACAAATGGGCCCGGTTCGGTTTCCGAGAAGCCTGCCTTCAGTATTGAGCAGATGACGTCCTACATAGTTGGTTGTCAGTAAACCTCAATGGCTGTCAACAGTAGCATGATCGTAGAAACATTATACTAACCAAGGCCTCTGTGCTCTCACCAAAGACATCCTTCATGCGCGCTAATATGCCAATAATGTCTCGCTGCATTTGCTCAAGCTCTGGATTGGCGGTGAGCGAAGAGGTGCTTTCTTCGGCGTCGAGGTCGACAAATGACTCCGAGGGTGCTTGTAATCCCTTGGCGCAGCCCAAGAGACAGCGAAGTGCACGAATCGCCGTCAGAAGGGCGACTTCGCTTGAAGCTACAGGTGCGGATGGCCGCTGAGCCAAATCGTAAGCCCGGGCGATGACTGGATCGTTCGGGTCCACGTTGGAGTTGTAGTCCTTCAGCTGCAGTGATCTCTCCACATCTGTTCCAAGCGACACCATCAATCGTCGGAACGCGTGTAGTCTAGTGGCCTCATCCGGTACGGCTTGCACTATAGAAGCGATGGCACCAACTACTCTCTCCTCAGCTAAGGAATCAAGATTCGGTGCACTCCTGAGTGATTCGTATTGACTTAAGAAGGCATCCACTTCGGATGTCAGCAGTGCGCGACAAGAAGAGCAGAGCCGGTAGATTGATTTGGAAGAAGGGCCCGCCAGTGGATGATCACCAACGGCGCTGAAGAGAAGATTGAGTGCAGCTGGTAGGTATTCTGCGTGTCGGGTGAAGTAGTCTGAGTATCGTTCAATGAGAGAAAGGCAGGTCTGTCTTGCTCGAACAGGAACGACAGATTGACCTTGACGTAGGAGATCAAAGAGTTGCGATCCAAATACCTTGCTCAGGATATCATCGCAGCTTGTGCTGTCTGAGACGCAGTCCGATAGGGACCCCAGGCAGAAGGCAGCAGCTTCGAGTTCGGCCCATGCTGAATTAGAAACGCCCTGCAATGTCAAGTCCACGAAGAGGGAGATGAGAGGCTGGCCGGAGATCGTGAACACAGACTGAAGTAGATCGGAGACATCTTTGCGCGCATCACCGAACCCAACTCTTTCTGTGGAGTCCCAAGAGTTATAAACATCCAACGAGGGGTATTGGATCTTCTTCCAACAATGCGAAACCACTTGGGTAAGATAAGATAGGGGAGGGGTGTCCCAGCTCACACTCTCTTGTGGTTCAGAATACATGTTGTCCACTAAGTTTTCAACAAACTGAGACCAGAACTCAAGTGCTGGAACGAAGATCTTGTCCTCGGCGACAGGATGTCCCTCTGCGGTAAGTAGCCCGACGAGTCCGGCGAGGAAGCGCTGAGCCCGCTCGTTAGAAGCGTCCATCAGTTCAGTGATTTGGGCATCGCCAAAAGCGACCATGAGAAGACCAAACTGGACAGAGTCGAATTCAAAATCTCCCGACTGTAGATTTTGGTACTTCTCCTGAGACCAATTGCTGTCGAAAAGATTGTACAACAGGTCGTAGTCACCTCGAGTGAAGAAGTTCTGCCAGTTGCTGAGGGTATCGGTGAGGAGATCTATGGCGTTATCATAGAGCTCATCGATAACGAGACACTTGATCGTGGGCTGCAAGAGAGGGCGCAAAGCCGACTTCAGCTGCTCATTAGGCGCACGTTGTGCATACAGAAGCCATGCCTGTAGGCAGCGGATCGCTTCCTGCTGACCCTGCACCTCAGTGTCTCTGGACAACGAGTGCGCCAACAGCAACGCAATATCTTGAACGTTATTTACCAGGCGCTCGTGGAGGCTGATGTACTTGGTGGAACTTGGATCCGTCTTCTCAGCCTCTTCGGCGAGAGCTGCCGCAAACCACAACGCAGTCACAGACTTCTGTGGTGTCAGGCCCCGCAGAGCATTCTCGGGAGAAGGAGCGCTGGTACCATCGATGTCGGTACTATTTGTCTGCAAGCAATGTAGCATCCGGCGAACGCAAGAGGGCCAGAGGTGTGAGAAATGGATGAAATGTGTCGTCAGAGCAGAGCAGAGTTTCCGGATGACAATGACACCAGCTCCGCTCTCTAGGCTCTTCAGGAGCCAGCTGATCAGGTTCCGTAACACGGATCGTGCGTCACCGTCCTCGATAGAATCGGTATTCAACTTGACGATAAACGTCAAGGCGCCAAAGAACTTGACGTTGTCACTGGACCGGGAGAGCAGGCCTTCGGCTATCTGCCATCCCTCGGGTGACTTTTGGAGCCTCTGCAGTACCTCTTGGATATGAGATATTGCCGAGGCTGAGTTTGGCTCATAGAGCTTGATCACCAGCTGCCAGGTATGTCAGTCGATTTCCTCGGTTTGCTATGCCTTGTTGAACGCACCTGCTCAACCTCGTCGAGGCTACTTGGTATAGGTATCCGGTCCATTTTGATGTGTTGGTTGGAGGAAATCATCCATCATAACTCAGGCAGGTAGGCGGAATGCTGTCGTTATTGAGCTATATGCAGCTGAAGTCCCGACCACGCAAGCGGCTCTTCGATAGCAACCTGAGGACTGGCTAGGCTGGGCAGGGACGGGATGAAATGCCCTGAAGACCTGTGTCAAACCGCTGCAAAATGGACTTGAGGCTCATGCACCCGTAATAGGCCCCCGTGTCCAGGCTTCGTTAATATGCCGTGGGAGATGGAAGGCTCTCCAAAGTCCAAACTGGTTCAGCTTCACTAGGCACCGCTGCATGCGATGAGGCTCTTCGGTGCAGAGGGAGCCGCGATGTTGATAATTTGGAAGCTCTAGCCGTCCCGCTGTGGGGCTTCTGCCATGGAGGGGTAACAGACCCTCCAGGTACCTGGGTACTGCCAGGGTAACTGGCAGTCTGGCTTTGGGCACCCAAGAGCCCCCGTTTTGGGGACGGTGCGTTAGTGCCCCGTGTACCCGGCAGCCTGGAGCTTCCTGATCCAGCGGAGTGGGTAACTAAGGTAGCACCAGGATCCAGCTCGTCCGCCCTCTTGAAAGACCCCATACTCGCAGCTCACCCGTCTACGAAACATCTCGCCAGCTCAGTATTATTACAGCCATAGGCAGAGCCACAGTGGACGCTCGCTAGCAGAACAAGGCACTTCCAAGGACAGAGGGTCGGTTTAAAGACAGGACGACATCCACCCGAATAGAGCAGCGCATTGCTTCGGGAGCGCCTATTAGGAGCCGTCGCGTGTCACCTTCCTCTTTGCCTCAAGGCCGTCGCCGCTGGAACTAGAGGAGGACCTATTGCTGGCTTCAGCTCTCGGCGAGACATCCTGAAAGCCTGAAAACTTTCTCATGCGACACCTTCGGCCACTGTCGGCCTTGTCTACGAAAGCCCTTCGATTCGCCTTTCCTGCCCCGGTTCCGAAACCTCGACTTCTGTGTCGCGCGACGCAAGCCCAACGTTTGCTGCACCTCACGCCCCGACCGGTTCGTCGATTGTACACCACAAAGCCTACCGACATGGAGACGGTCAACACGTCGGCCCGGCTGGCCGAGCTTCGGAAGCTCATGAAGGAGAACAGTGTAGATGTGTACAGTAAGAAGGCCAATATACCTCATTTAGAGCACCTGTAGGCGGGGGGACTGATCCGTACATGTGAAGTTGTGCCGTCCGAGGATAGCCACTCGTCCGAATACATTGCGCCGTGTGATGCGCGGCGAGAGTTCATCTCCGGTTTCTCGGGCTCGGCAGGAATGGCCGTCATCACACACGAGAAGGCTGCGCTGGCGACAGACGGCCGCTACTTCAACCAGGCTGCGAGACAGCTTGATGATAACTGGCTGTTGCTCAAACAAGGAATCCAGGACGTGCCGACGTGGCAGGAGTGGACTGCCGAGCAGTCGGCCGGTGGGAAGGTTGTCGCTGTGGACCCTACCCTCTTTACGGCCGGTGCTGCGAAGAAACTGGCCGAGAAGATCAAGAAAAGTGGTGGTAAGGACCTGGTTGCTGTCGACGCCAACCTGGTGGACGGCGTATGGGCACAAGGGAAGCCTAGCCGACCCAACGAGCCAGCTATCGTGCTCGACGAGAAGTTTTCCGGCAAGGATGTGAAGGCCAAGTTGACTGACCTGCGCAAGGAGCTCGAGAAGAAGAAGTCGCTTGGTTTTGTGGTGTCTATGCTCGACGAGATCGCTTGGTTGTTCAACCTCCGCGGCAACGATATCCCGTATAACCCGGTCTTCTTTTCCTACGCCATAGTGACAGCCGACAAGGCCACGCTCTACATTGACTCATCCAAGCTGAGCGGGGAGTGCAAATCCTTCTTGACCGGCAATAACGTTGACATCAAGCCCTACGAGGCCATTTTCAATGATGCTACTGCTCTTGGTCAGTCCGCCAAGGCGAGCAGCACTGGATCTGCCGAGGAGGCCAAAAAGTTCTTGATCTCAAACCGGGCCTCTTGGGCGCTCAAGCGTGCGCTCGGTGGAGATGATCTAGTCGAGGAGGTACGAAGCCCTGTTGGAGACTCCAAGGCAGTGAAGAATGCGACGGAGCTGGAAGGTATGAGACAGTGCCACATTCGCGACGGTGCTGCTTTGATCGAGTACTTCGCTTGGCTCGAGGATCAGTTGATCACCAAGAAGGTGACTCTTGATGAGGTTCAGGCCGCAGACCAGCTAGAGGCTTTCCGTGCTAAGAAGGATCGTTTCGTTGGCCTGTCGTTTGACACCATCTCATCTACAGGGGCCAAGTAAGTGGCGGCCAAACCCTTTCGTACCTTTTATACTGACAAGGAAATCCCCAGTGCTGCTGTAATCCATTACAAGCCTGAACCAGGCAATTGCTCGACCATTGATCCCAATGCAATCTATTTGTGCGACTCTGGGGCGCAGTATTTGGACGGTACCACTGACACTACCCGCACTTTGCACTTTGGAACGCCCACAGCAGCTGAAATTGAGGCATATACATTGGTCCTGAAAGGCAACATTGCGCTGGATGTCGCCATCTTTCCCAAGGGCACTACTGGGTTCGCGATTGACTGCTTGGCTCGTCAGCATCTTTGGGTACGCATATGATCCATCTCCAATCTTTGACCCGTGAGACTAATAGACTTTCTAGCAACAAGGACTTGACTACCGTCATGGCACAGGCCATGGTGTTGGTTCCTACTTGAATGTGCATGAAGGCCCGATCGGTATTGGCACTAGAATACAGTACTCGGAGGTCGCGCTCGCTGAGGGCAACGTGATCTCCAATGAGCCTGGCTTCTACGAGGATGGCAAGTTTGGCATTCGTATTGAGAATATCATCATGATCAAGAAGGCCGAGACAAAGCACTCGTTTGGCGACAAGCCGTGGTTTGGCTTCGAGCACGTCACCATGGTGCCCTACTGCCGCAAGCTCATCGACACCAACCTCTTGTCGGAAGTGGAGAAGAAGTGGCTCAACGATTACAACGATGAGATATTCAAGAAGGTCAGCCCCCTGATTGAGGACCAACTCACCAAGGCATGGTTAGAAAGGGAGACACGGCACTTCTAAGCGCGGTTCATCTCTCCGGCAAGCGGCAAGCAGGAATCGGGTGGCTTGATGTCTTGAACTATGCATTATTAGATACCTGTATGCAGCTGTCCTCCAACTTAAAGGTCCTGGAACCTCATGAATGCCGACATGGCAAAGAAGAAGCCGAATGACAGCTTGAAGGCCGGGTCCCGCTCCAGAGCCGCCAAGACCCGCGAGTTCCCAATGCGCTCCTCGATCTTAAGCTGCTTCGTTACGTCTATACCGTACCTGGCAGCGATCTGTTCTCCGATGAGCACTCCGTCCGAGGTTCTACGTGTATTCCTTTGCTTACCTGGATCACCACAACCGAAACACCCAGCAGCAAGACCAGCGTCTTGGAGAAGATGCTGATGACCATCCCGGTGAGGAACCCTGAGTGCAGGCATCGTTAGCTTATGAAATCTCCCATTGACCCCTTCTCTTGGCCCTTTGGGGTGAACCCACCTGTGATGCTTCCACCAGACAGCTGCTTGATGATCTCCGGGTTCAGCCTCTCCTTGGTCGCGACCACAGGCTCCTCCCGAGTGGACGGCCGCGGCACCGCCCTGGCGTCCATGCGGATCCGCGGCTGCCGGAGCACCAGCATCGAGCCGATGGACAGCCCGATGCCCGCGCCCATGGCCTGGCGGCGGAGGGCGGTTCGTGAGAGGAGGAACGCTGACATCTTTGGATTCTGCCGAGCTGATGTTTTGGCCGTGATTTGGCGGACAAGGTGCTGCTCACGATGGGTGAGCTGGTATGGTATGCCGAGCTAAGGAGTGTAGACGGGTTGGTGCAGGTGTAATTGGCTGCTGGCCTTGACGTCACGGCGGCAGCGGCAGCGGCTAGCGTACCTGAAGGGGGCGCTAGCCGGTACGCTATCCCCGGATTCTGCAGTCTAGCGACTATCACAACTACCTTCATATGAGCGAAGTGCAGTAGACTCATCAGTGTGTACTGAGTCGCCACAAGCTCATTCCGTTATCCCTCTGCGATGAAAGCCAAGCGAAATCGCCAAGGCATGGACTACTTATGGAGCGCAAAACGGGGGTTTGGCGCCTCCCTAATCACATTTTGTCGACGCCTATGGGCAGATGTTCAGGCCGAATGGTCTCCAGAAACCTCTGCCACTGCATTTGACCAACTGAAAGTCCCCAACACTCTTAGACTTTGGAAACCCCTGGGTCTCGCCACCTGGTGTTGGCCTGCATCCCGTCCGTCTCAAGTGACCACTGCGAAAGCAAGGCGCATCTGAGTGACCTAGCCGGACGGTGGGCCTGTATGGGCAAAATATGCAGAACGACGCTGTGGGATGCCCATGTTGGACATCGATCTGAGTCACTGGCTTAATATTATCTTAGTTTCAAGTGTCATTAGCATAGTAGCGCTTATGCACCGCGATGCCTACAGCTGGTAGTCTGTGATCGTCATATTTCCAGGGGAACAGGTGCCGATATATATAGGTTTGAAACTTTGAATTATGCGCGGTGTGAATCACATCACAAACATCATGAGATCTCCCATGGAATACTATAAATAGGTACGTATCCACTTAAACGATCTCGTGCACTGGAGGCAGATGAGCCTCCGGGCTCGGGCGATCCAATTCTCTTCCTTCAGCTATTATTCCCCTCTACAGTCAGGCCCTGTTTATGCAGTGCTGGCGCTGAAGGTCAGAGCGGTCGACGGGTTGCCGGCCTCATCCTGGTCCTGCTTGATGTTGTTGTTCAACTTCTTCTGCTCCGCGGCGATCTTGTCCGCCACGTCGTCTCCCTGAGCCTGCTGGATCTTGAGTGCGAGCACTGCAATGAAGTTTAGCGATCAAATGGTCAAGATAGCTCGAATCATCGGGTGAGCTTACTGGTCGCCTCGAGCTTGAGGACCTTGTTCTTTATCTTGCCGCGCTGGAGGGCATCGGCCTCTTCGCCGCTGGCAGCCTCGATGGCCGGGTTGAACGCATCAGTCTCGGCATCGTTGGCGATGCTGTTGACCGACTTGAGGAAGTCGACGTCCGCCGGGTCGGCGTTGGCCAGGTCGCTCTGGTCGAGCGCCGAGAAGACAGCCAGCGCCTCCTCCTCGGCGTTGCCGGCTGTTCCGCCGGAGATGGAGATGTCATCGTACTGCTGCGTGGTGAAGACCGGTGCGGCAGTGGCATAAGCCGCAAACGCGACGACGGCGGCGAGGGAGTAACGCATTGTGATTGGGTTTGGGTATCAATAGAATGAATAATAAACTTGGAAACCAAAATTTGACCTGCCAAACGATTGGTTGGAATTGAATCGCTATAGAAGAGAATGGACAGCACAGCTGCGGGAGGGTGATCCGGGAGAGTAGAAAACCTGGCTAAATGATTGAATGGAATGCAGATCAAAAAATGCGAATCAATGCGCCCGCGCCGTTGTTTATATAGACTCACAGTTACGCGATGTCGTTGACGAACTCCCCTGCGGCTCTCAATCATGATACCAGAGATCATGAGGGTTCATCACAACTTGCCACAACTTGAGACGGCTTGGTGCTTGATGTGTGCCGCTTGGCACCTTGGCTTTCTTGGCTGGAGCCTCATCCACCCGAACACAGTGGCCTGCAACGGTTTCAAGACATCAAGACACAGAAGGGGGAACTTGGCAGTTACCTGTTTCAGAAATGGCAACATGGACGAGAAAAATACCACCAACCACATTGCAGCATAAATGCGTATAGCGATTGCAACGGCTAACCGGCCGTGTGTCGCAGTTGCATTCTAAGAACTTCCTAAGCCCTACCATTGCCCACTGTCCGAACTAAACTCAATCGAGATGATATACCCTGAACTGATAGATGCAGTACTCGTGAGGCTGAATGACAGTGCGTACTATTGCAGTGCTGGTGAATGGCGCTGCAGACCCGTCTGGTGGCATATGTAGCAATGTTGACTGTTGAGGCGATTCCACCAACAGAGATTTGCTATGTTGTGCCTTCAACGCGTTCTTATAGCGAATGAAGCACAATCCAGAAGCTCCGAGGCTTATGAATTGTATATTGACCGTCATTGCTACGGCATGCTGAGATTTGTTGGATGTGATCCGGAAGATCATCAGCGCTAAGTGACTTGGGAAGCCTGTGGGTACAGCGGTTTGGGAAGTGGGCCCTTTGCCTGCGCAGCTCAGACGCGTTGTTTCAAGGGAGCTCTGTAAGCGCGGTCCGCGACTTTGACCAATGGACAGTAGTTAATCTAGAGATGATGCACGTACTACGAATACTCCAGAGGGATAGCGATTGTGGTTCCACGTTTAGCAAAGGGAAAACTAAATCCGAATCGCCGCTTTGTCTGTAGCAACTGCAGAGCCTCGTCGATGCAGTCGGCCTCGGTCCTTCGGCAGGGATCTCTATTTGGCTCAAGTTTCAACTCTCAGCTGAACATGATATAAGGCGGCTAGTCTGGAAACCTTTTCACGCATTGTCTGGGTGGTTGGCAAGATGCCTTTGGGTTGAAAAAAAAAACCCCCCACAAATAGTACCACCGACAGCGCGGACATTGACACACTGCGTGAAGATGAGCACCGGTAGTCCAGTTGACAACTCAAGCGCAGCTAATAGTTCATTGCCCCCTGTATATGCGAAGCCGTCACTGAGTCCCTACGAGTTAACACATAGCAAGAAGTCTGCTGCATATCTTAATAGAAGCTCTAGTCTTTGGAGCTCGGCATATTCTACTCTGTCAAGCAATGAACAAGAGTACCACCTGTCGTTACAGTTGCTTGATCTCGATCCCCATTAGCAAGGGATTAGTATTCGAAACCTCAACCATGCCTTAAACGGATGTACTCACTACGGCTTATATGTGAACTTTCTACAAGTACCGCATCAGGCTACTCCAATCATCTATAAAACCACTAGTAAAAACATGTGGGAAGACGTACCGCGAGAAAGAAATTTTGATAAGTGTCTACCAAGATTGGGCGCTCGAATGAGTGTATACGACAGTCCTTGCAGATTTCTTTTGCATAGTTTGAGCTAGTGGCTGATTTCACGTCTTAGACCTAACTGTAGTAAGTAGAATAGTATACTGTGCGATCAGAGTAGTCAGCTGGGCAATAGCCAACACTTTAAACACCCTTCACCAAGAAAGGCCGTGCTTTGGCCATGGATCAACAGATTCTGACAATATTACCCTGCTGCTTTTCCAAGCTGGAGCTGACGATCTGTCTATCAAATGGATTCGTGGTATGATATGAAGGTCTTGGGCTCCGATACCAGTATGGTCGATATTCCAAGACACCCGTGGTAGTATATGTGATTTTGATTCAATAGTACCGTACTACAGCGAACTTTGAAAACATCGTATCGTACCTAGTAAGCTAGTGCCAAGCAAGGCCATTGCCAGATGTACTTTAGTTCCCAGAACATTAGCGGCAGCGGCACGAGCGCCGGAAAACGACTCGAAGCCCGGTTACTTGGCATTTATGGATCCAGGGACGACTTCTTACATGCTCGGGGCTTCCGAGCCGATATCTTTGCCCAATACCTTAGCAAAGTTGCAATCGAATTGTCGCCACAGGGACATGAGTCCAGGTCAGATCAGAAGGCAAATAGATTGCCCAGCGGTGGTGGTCAGTGGCCAAGCCATTACCCACTTCCCTGCGTTTGATGAATGGAGGTATACGTGTCAACCGATCCCGGGCATCGGCTCAACTGGCAATTGTGTTTCTCAATTTTGGCCGGCCAATTCTGAGCGAGTTCAGTCGGCTTTTTGACCGAATCCCGATCGTCATACCTCTCTCAACCTGCTACTAATTATCACCGCTATTCCGGGGGCACTGGTCCGCCAGAGCTAAGGCCAGACAGCAATCGGCCTTGGAGCCTCGCAGCCTTGTGGGTTCAATTACCAGAATTTATCATTCCAGACACGATGCTCTTTGGATACCATCGTTCTCGTGGCTTACAAAGTCCTTGAATTTCTTGAATCATTACTTTCAGAACAGCAGTGCTTAAATGCAGTCTCAACCTTCTACATCTACATACCACCTAGGCAAGTCCAGACTAGTGACCTATCCGTTTTCAACTCGTTCTGCCCTGGTCATTGACTTGTCCATCTATGTTCTGAAGTTCTGTCTCTGAGGCTGTTGAGATGGAGGATATAGATTTGACGTCTTGCGGTGCTGCATCCCCAATGCAGATCAAACCAGTAATGATGCAACCAGCACCAGCAAGTGACCAGACCGAGAATTTGGTTTTCCAGATCACAAGATCTGCACACAATGCCAGAACCGCTTGAAAATAAAGCATGTTGACTGCCCTAGGAGACGAGTCTATGGCAAACCCAGTGGTTTGCAGTATTTCCTTCAATATATCAGCGAGTCGGAGCTAGATACGCTGCCATTTGCGGAGTTGCGAGCATTGGGGAACCTACCATCAAAAAGGCGAACAGGCCAACACCAGCAAGTGTTATCCACTGTTCTGGCACCAGATCCCAAGAGTAACTTATGCTTTCTGAGGGAACCACGTACAAAATTACTGAAAGAAAGAGCATGGAGTATGCGAGGTAGTTCATTGTTATCAATGGGTGCGCTCTTGAGCCGATTCGGCGCACACATATGATTGTAATCTAGCGAGAACACAATTCAGTCACGATCTCAAACAAGGTGGAAAGTATATCAGCAGAGGTGGAAGAAAACGGAGGGTATAGCTTACTGAGCTTCCTACGACACCAGTGAGTGCAATCAGCACACCAAGCACTAGGCTTGAATTCCGGCGAGCTTCTTTGTTAGGGTCATCATAGTATCCATCGGCAGAGTCGAAAAGCTTGGATAAAGTGATGCAGAGGACGCCGATAAAGCAAACACAAGAAGCGCACAATTGACGCATGGACAGATTGGATCCAGTAAGCTTGCTCGTCAGAATCGTGGCGAGTAATGGGGAGATGAAGCTAATAACCGTCGCTTCAACAAGCGGAAGATAAATCATGGACGCTTTTCATCTCCGAGTATTATCAGTTGTCAGTTTTCCCAAGTTAAGGTGCAGTTCCTATACCGTAGAATGCGCCGACCCCTATAATACCGGCAACAGCCCGAACGAAGAGCAATCGTCGTACTTCTCGGTCCCCGAGAATGAAATCCGGTACGGACTTGAGATACAGGTAGATAATCCCCGGCGTCAGAGTAAGGATCATGCGGCATGTGATGATTTGTAGCGTCGGCACTGGGTGCTGTCCATTGCCTCCCGTCTGCAGCATCTTGGCTAGGCTATGGACAATGAGGGCTGGTATTTGAGCTAATAGCACGTAAAGGCACCCTTTAGGGTCGTAGGGTGCTTTTTCAATATCCATTGCGTATACTCGTCAGCCTGTGTCGGAAGGACAAATTGGGTATGGTGTAATACCAGAGACAGAGCGCAGAAAATGATTCCCAGGCAGAAGTTTCCGCTTAGAGGCGACGGCCAAAAGAGGGTGTTTTATTAATTGGAAGGCCGAACTGCGTGCGGGTCGAGTCATCCTGATTATATCCACAATTGGAACTGGAACGGCCCGATGTCCAAGGCTTGGCCTGTGGAGCTTTTGTATGCATCCTACTCGTAACCAGTAAATAAAAAGTCTTAATCATCTAACGGAAGTACGCTTCGGCAATTCAAATCTTAGATAAATATCCCTTAAACAAGACATACAAATGGGACATCATCGAAGGCTTGAAACTGAACGTTAAAACACCAAAGAGTGTTTCTGAACAGCAAAAGCAGTCATGAAGCTCCTGAAACTCCTGTTCGTCTATGCATTTCCCTTCAAAAATAACATTTTCGTACAAACACCCCACGGTGTAGAATTCGAAGAAAATCAGGTAACAACTGGCTCTCTGGATGTCATCAATGGATTCGAGCGACTTCAAATCCAGACATGGGGCCAGAATGCGATCCGTGTCAGATCTTCCGTGTTTCAACATGCTATGGGGAACGAGCCTGGAGCCTTGCTGGATGCACCAGTTGCACAAGACATCGGAAGGCATAGCGAAAGCCCGCAGCTGGTAACTTATTTTGACAATGCCACTTTGCGGAGTGGGCTTCTGGAAGTTACTGTGTCCAGAAACCGACTCAACTTCTGGCGCATAACAGACCGCGGTGACGAAAAGCTCTTTGGGGAGTTATGGCCGCAGGTACCGGAAAGACTTGCCGGTGGATTAGGTCTGGTATGCTGACCTCATTGGCAGCACGGCAGGATCGCCCGGGACTGGTCCTACGATCGGGCTGGGGTTTCCTCTCGTCCTTCAGCAACCTTTTCCTTCACTTCAGATGACGACGAACAAATTTTTGGTCTGGGGCAACACCAATACGATAATTTGGACAATAAAGGCCGGTATATGATTCCGACGCCACGAAATATGCAAAGCTGATAGTAGCAGGACTTTTGAATTCAGGCACTACCAGTCAGAAACAACAATTCCCTCCTATATTTCATCAAAAACATACGGCTTCTTGTGGAATGTCCCAAGTATGGGCCATGTCAGCATAGACCGTACGGCGATTCAATGGGTTTCTGAAGCTACAACGGTGGTTGATTATGGTATGTACCAACCTATGTAAGGTAGATGAAGATTAATTATGGAGTCTTAGTCGTCTCTGTCGCGGAACCTGGAGATTTTAACGCCTTGATTCAAACTCATACGTCTATCACCGGACGATCTCCTCGCTTTCCTGCACATGGTCGTGGATACATTCAGTCTAAAGCCCGTTATGCGAACCAAAGCGAACTGTTACGAGTGGCTCGAGGGTTCAATGTGCACGATGTCCCAGTTTCTATGATTCAGATCGGTATGAAATTCTCGTCAAATATCACTTTAGAGGCTTACATTCACAGATGCACCGCACTGGACCTCTTTTGGCGACTTCGCGTTCGATTCGGTCAAGTTTCCCAGCCCTGGCGAATTAGTGAAGGCTGTTGGTGCTTTGACTAAAGGAGCTCGAATCATTGTCAACCTCTGGCCTCTTATGGATTCATCATCTAGCAATTGGCTCGAATACTTTTCCTTGGGTTTTCTTGTCGGGTCTCCACATGGACTCGGAGTAGTAGAGTATTTTAACAGCTCATTTATGCACCTCATTGACTATACTAACCCTCTAGCGCGATTGTACACCTGGAAGCAGATCTACGATAATTACTACAGCATTGGAATCAAAGATTTTCTTCTGGATTGCACAGAAGGTGGTGGCGTTGGTGAAGTGGGTTTAACTGATGTCGACGCTTGTTGCATTGCTAACTGTCTTAGGGGTTTTCATACAAGTCCAGTTCAGTTTATGCTTTACAAGGCGTCCCGTTTCCTCGCCCAAATCTCATTTATTCCATTGGCACCCAGGCTGAAACCGGAGCTCTTTATCCGTTTTATGCTCAAAAAATGATAGCGGATGGCGTAGCTAGCGTGGATAATGATAATTCTCCTAGCTTGTCCTTCTCTAGAAGTGCATGGCTTGGATCCCAAAGGCTTCCCAGTGTCCTATGGGGTGGAGACGTCAACGGAAGTTGGGAAGCATTTCGTTCGACAATAGTCTCGGGTCTTAATATTCAGGTAAGCGAGTCATTTCTGTTCATCTGCACTGAGTCTGAGCTTTGTGTAGTTGTCTGGAATATCCTGGTGGGCGTCAGATATCGGCGGCTACTATGCCAATTTAGAATACCATGGAAATATATCTGACCCGGCATATCGAGAGCTATATACCCGCTGGTTTCAGTATGGCACGTATGTTAATCAAGGGAGAGATTTCATTAAAAAAAAACGCTGAGATGATTCACAGGTTAAGCCCCGTGATGCGAGCACACGGCCGTCGCAAATGTCTCCCAGAGGATTTGGACGGGTTTGAATCTTGTCCCAATGAGCCGTGGGCCTTCGGCAATACAACATTCACGTATCTGAGAAAGTTTATCCAGCTACGATACGCTTTGGATTCTTATCTCGAATTTATATTCGACACTGCTGCTCAATATGGTACTCCACTGCAGCGGCCCCTCTTGGTCGACTTTGGCAAAGTTGATCCATACACAATTCTTCACGCTGAAGATTTGAAATATCAATTCATGTTCGGGCCGAACCTACTAGTTGCCCCAGTAGTGATTCCAGGTACTACTGAGTGGACGGTGTATCTACCAAGTGATGAACAAGAAACTGACCCAGCCGGGAGTGTTCTTGACAATGCCACGGCTTGGAGGGATTGGTGGACAGACAAGGTTTTTGCTGGGGGAACCCATGTGGTTGTTGAGGCTTCCCTGGATATAATCCCACTTTTCTACAGAGGAACGAAGGATGATATCCTAAGTGGAAAGATGACCTATCGCAAGTAGTCAGCAAAAGAATTGGTCACTGCGTACTTCTCTGCTTTAAGAGTAACATGCTTCAACTACTTAGGCAACACTTTACATACGAATTCTACTCTCTTCACTTCAATTCAGAGAAGAAACACGTTTCACTCGCAGGATCCCTCAGTTAGCACCACATCCTCCACTTCTCAATCATTCGTATCCAGCGGATAATATCACCCAAACCCCAAGCAATTAGTAGCTTGCCATCGGCCGCTATACCTGGAGTCTTTAACGAACTTGGTTTGTTTGGTTACTCGGCGTTTACTCTGACTGGATAAGGTAGCCGGAGTAGTCGTATTACCTGCACTAGCGGCTAGAATAGCGACTCGGTCATTTTCCGCCACCAAGCGCTTGGGTCGCATTTCATTGGCGTTACACCAGATGCCTGTGATACCTTTGTCCGTGACCTCGATCCTTGAGGCCACCTTATCTGACTCTCGAAACCCCAGGCTGGAGCTGGACTGCGTCAACATCCTGCAGATCGTTTAATAAACCTTGGATGAGTGTGAACGTTGTCTCTTAGGTAGTATTGAAGATTGTTATCGTCCATGCGAACGAATGCATCTGGTGCGTTGATGCTGCTTCCAGGCGACTGTTCAGCTGGATCAGCAGTCTTTTGACGCGTGCCGCCCGCTCCGACTCCATCCGCAAATATTAAGTAGCAATTTTTGAATAGCATCAAGCGCGATTCTTATTTCCAGCCGTTACCTGCTCCGAACTAGCTAACGTTTCGACACGTTGTACCAGAGATTTACTTCGCTCACTTCTAGAAATGAGCGGAATCAGCCCTCGAAGAATGCAGCTAGAATGACGCCAGAGCCGTTTTTGAAAATTCGGCTATACCTCTTCCAGACTTATGATAATGCATTGATCTTTAAACCATTCGTATAATGACCAAGCTACGAGAAAAGTGGCCTCCGGTGCTTGAGAGTCCTTGCTTCCGTATATTTGCCAACAGCACGCAGGACAGAGCAGTTCTTGTTCCAAAACGGTCCCTATGAAGCCCATGATTGCAGTGCTGAAAGGTTCAGTCACACTGGACTTTGCCGCGGCTGGGCGTGGGTTTGCTGAAAGATACCGACCATTCGCATGATGGTGTTTTCTGAGTTGTTCATCGTGGGCAACACATCTCCGCTTGCTGTGCACCGAGACTTCAGCAGAGCAGACTCGCTGAGTTTGTAGTAAGGGTGCATCTTGGGCTCGGAAGACTCAAATGTTCGTGGGGGTGCAGGAGGATCGCTCGGGAAGGTTGAGGCGTCCTGTCTTTTGTTACTGAACCGAGGCAACAAGGCCTGGACGCTATCAGACTGCGCCACATGCAGTTTGAGGAAGGTGGAGAAGAAGGGCATAGAGCCGACGATGATGGGGACGTCAGTCTCGAAGATGCTTTACGATATGGTCAGGACTCTGCAATGTCGAAAGGTCAAAATATAGGGGCGGTACATACGTCGTAATGGAAACGCAAGCCTCTCTCCAGGTTCCGTCTTCCAAGTCCAAAAGCTCGACACAGTAGACGAGGTCCACAATACTAGCAACGACACCCCTGGAGCTATAAGCAATCTGTCCACTATATAGCGGGTGTAAAGTAATCTACTTACGCGATCGCTGTCGCAAATACAGCGATAAGTTGCAGTCTCTTTGAAACGACCAAGTGAAGCTTGAACAGGATTGGAAGAGGAAGAACGATAATGTACAAGTTCATTATGACAGACATGGCTACCTTCACCGTAGACATGTAGAGAGCACGCTGAGGACTCATCGATACGGCCAGCTCGCCCCAGGGGAGTCCCCCTCGTAGGGTGGAGCGCTTGCGACCAACGGGACATACGTGAAGAAATTGAAAACGAGGCCGAAACACACGGCAAACCGGACCCATCTCTTCGCTGCAAACAGCTGGAGATAGAGGACAAGAATGGCGGCCTTTGGGAAGAAAGATCCCACTGGGACAATCACCTGAATCGCGAAAAGGATCTGTCATAGTTATTTGCACACGTTCTCCACCATGTATCATTTGGGGACTTGTTCACTTTTGACTTCCTTACAAGGCAACAAATCTATGAAACGAGTAGGCTCAAATTAAGCGATTGAGTCTTTACCAAGATCAGTATTACTATAGGCGAAAGGAACAGTTGAGACGAGAAACAAACCAAGCGCTGATGAAACCCAAATTCGTGGCCTTTTTCATTGGGTGTCGCTGTCATCCGGCTATAGCTCGCAGGCCGTTCGTTTTCTTCAGATGCTGGTTACAGCCCAAAGCACTGCAGGTCAATTGACTCAAGATCTATGAGAACGATTACTACATCGTATGATCAAGTTGTAGCATGAGGAACTCTCTCATAATTGCACAACTGGGAATCATTCTGCTCCAATGGCCCGGCTCGTCTCTAATTCTGGCACTTTACTACCACTGCTCAGGTGCCCAGTGCCGCTTGAAATTTTCCCATGAAGCTGATCATACCCTGGCTGTCCAAGTAGGAGTCAAACTGCTTGACCTTCTTGCCGTCTTCCGTCAGAGTCAGCTTGTGGATGTACTCGTTCTTGTACTCCACCCCCGCCGCTTCGCCGTCCGACTTGAGATAGTAGACGACCTTGCGCTGGGTCTCATCCACGATAATGTCGAGCTCCGTTGTCTTGTAAGAGGAGAACATCTGGAAGGCCCCATTTTGGAATTGGGCGTATTCCTCGGCATTGCGATCTGGCGCGTGAAGCGAAGACGGGAAGGAGTGAGCGACGAAGCCGGGAGCTGCGAGAGCAGTCAGGCCGTCTTCGCCAAAGGCGTTTTTATCACTGTGGGCCTTGAACCACTTCTTGGCAGTCTCGATGTACTGCTCGCGAGGAGACATGGCGGTGACAGGCGTTTGGTGGTTGTAATTGGAGCTCGATGGACTGTTTCGTGTGGGATTGAAATTGAAGTCGCTGTTGGGTTCGAAGGGTTGGCTGGAAAGCACGTCGGACCAGGGAGGAAGGGGAACTGCGCCGCGGGATTCTATGAAAGAACAAGATTGACCCCTCATTACCCTGCCGCTATACCAAGAAAGTAAGGGAAACTGTCGATGTGTCAGATCATCGATGCGTTAGATCTAAGATAAGTCAGATCATAGTCAGCCTGCTAGGAACCGGTCCAAATGTATGTTCCAATTTGGTAGTATTACCTACAAGAACCTTTAACTAATGACAGGCAGCTAATCTTGACTTCAACCCTAATATGAGCTTACGGCACACGATCTTCCATGCTCCATAGATTACCTTTGGCTCCATACTAGGGGAGAATGTTCAGGATGCAGCATCTGCAACAAGAGTACTGGGGCAGAATCCGACTCAATCTGGTTAGACACCCTTTGCCGGGCTGCATCTGGTGTCTCGCCCTTCCTCGGCACTGGATCCACACGCCAGTCTCGGAACAGCGAGGCTATAGTAGCAACAGATTCAACTTGCGAAAACTTTCTACCAACACAATCCCGGGCACCTCCAGACCACGCGAGATACGTGCCCCGGGCTGGAGTCAGGAACTCCTCAGCGTCTAACAGGGGTCCTATACCCTTGCCCGTGCCTAAGCTAGGGGATCTGATAAAGCGTGACGGTCGCCATTCGAGAGAGTCATCACCCCAATACTTTGGGTCTGTCTGCAAGGATGCATAACTCGGCACGATAATAACCTTTGGCGGAAGGATCAGTGACTGAGCTCCGACCTTCAAAATTTGGGGCGTTTGCGTATCGACTATTTTTGACGTTGGCACTGGTGTATAGAGACGTAAAGTTTCGTATATAACAGCCAGACAACGTTTCAGACGACGGAAGTCGGAATAAAGCCACTCATCCGGTTTTCGGTTACCCATAACGTGACGAATTTCCTCGGAAATCCAATCTTGGGTAGCTGGGTTTGCGGCCAAGAAATATAGCGCAAATGTGAAGGTGTGCGCAGTTGTATCATGACCGGCAAAATTGAAAGTGAAGATATTGCCATAGATTTCGCTTTCAGTAAGGCCTCCTCCGAGCGTGGAATCTGCCTCCTGATCCTGAGATGCGCGGACTAGCGAGTTGATAAAGTTGCGATCGTAGGAATCTCCTTGAGCTAGGGAGGCCTGCTCGTCGTTATAGACTTGTGTCAAGTGCGTCTGAAATGAAGCGCAGGCAGCATGGACCTGCCGGAGTTTTCGGGGAAGCCAAGGATTCGCAAGAAACTTCCTGCCTAGAGATGAATCAGCATATCAATTTCCTATGTTTTTAGTCTCCTACCTAAAGCAAAAATGAGAATACAATTCTCGAGGATAATCTTCAATGAATCCTTGTAGTTCAATGGCAGTCCGTCCGGCGGGGAGGTTTCTCGTTCGTCGTGGCCTTGGAACTTGAATGATTTACCGAAACCAGCCCGAGACATGACGTGGAGGGACAAGGTGCGAAGATCATCGGCAGCAGTCTGTACAGAGCCTTTCGAGCACCAATAGCGGAGCATATCATTGGCCACGGTTATGCTCTCCGACCAAACTATTTGATTGGTGTGGTCGTTAAATGACGACGCCGTAATTCGACGATGCTTCTGCCATTGTGCACCCTGGGCCTGACAGTTGAATTGTTAAATTAGAAAGGAAATTGTTCTCTCAAACGAAAAGTGTGACCTCCTTACTGTAGATATATTTGGGCCAAAAATGTCGAGTACCGCTATCAATTATCAGCTATGAATGCACACAATGAAATACTTAGGGGTTAGGCAGAGAGAAATGCGATCCTGATCTCGGTTACGTACCTGTGACAGACGTATCACGGGGAAACTCCTTCCCTCGACGCCAGAGATCCATTACGGCATCCGGGTCAGCAATATATAGCCAGATATTGCGAGGTGAAACCAGGATATACGCGTCTCCCATCTCAAAATGTGAGTAATATCTGTCCGGAACCTCCCAGCCCCGATAGTTGTACCGGGTAAAGCTGTTGTTGCCGAGTCCAAAGGGGAGAAGCTTTACCATTGACAGGACTCGGCGATCGAGCACCAACCATAGTGGATTCACATGGTCGAATGGAATGATGCGAACTGGGACGCCGATCTTGCGAGCAACCAGATAATTGCGGAACAAGGAGAACACAGACTGCAAGACTGTGCCAACAATAAGAACCAGGACGCCTGCCAGCGGTACTAGTAGCGTCACCATCTTGTCGCCTGTGTGAGAGGGTGAGCAACGCTAGACCGCTTCTAAAGGAGGAAAGCGGGATTACAGGTCCAGACAATAGTTGCATGCCCAACCTGACTAGATTGCAGAGGGCGAGTCATAGGAGAGGGCGCGAAGTGACAGAAGAAGGGAGGAAGCTCGGTTGCTCGTGTTGGAAATTCGGCCACAGCGCTCATCCATGAGCCCTAAGCCAATCGTGTCGATTGGGTTGGTATTTGGGACCAATGGCATGGATGCAGAGCGTGGGGCAGGCAAACCGTGGAACGGCAGTCTAACCCGCTCGGCTCTATGCGACAAGATATATTTGCTTGTTTAACTATATCAATGCAAGGCTCGCTTCTTATCCGACGGTGTCGATTTACTTCACTTCAGTACAACCTACATCAAACAAGCCTAAGGCCTATCATTTTTAAGCGCACCAGGCCATGCTAATCATAGTCACTCAGACCTGATGGTTTCCCAAGGGATGCCTGGTTCTCACGGGATATCTTCTGACAGGTATCTATCTAGACGACGATTCCCCTCGATGGGCTGGTTAAGAGAAACCGCACTCCATTTTTTATCAACTACCCGCAGCTAGTTGCTGTAGAAGACCTTTGGAAAGCGTGGTGTTCACCTGTGCGGCACATTCCGAATTTCGTCTACCGAATGTTGAGTGAGTCCACCGCTTGACCGCTAGCTTTCCCAGAGCTCCCGATATTTCCCATCAGGCCTCTTCAACAGTTCTCCGGGCTCTCCTGTCTCGACTATCTCACCCTTTGCCATGACCACGACACGATCGAAGCGTTGGAGCGTGTCTAGGTGGTGCGCGACGCTCACGACGGTGTGCTCACTAAACTTCGTCTGGATGAGCTGCATCATCAGTTCTTCGGTGCTTCTGTCCACGGCACTTGTCGCTTCATCCAGTAGTAGGATCCGCGACTGACCACGCCGTAGCAGAGCGCGTGCAAAGCACATGAGTTGCTTTTGTCCCTGGGAGAGCGGTAGCTCGCTCACCTCGGCGTCCAGACCGTGGCCGGCAGTGCCCCGATGTGTGCTGACCAGACTCCAGAGACCGACTTTGGTCAACGCATCAACCAGTGCCTGGTCGTCGTGTATATACTTCTTGGCCTCCATTGTTGCGTCTTCGCTGCTTGATATCTGGTTGAGATACGACCTTACGCTTTCCGGGAATACTACGGACTGTTGAGGTACCGAAACCAGACCATTGCGCAGCGTAGCAAGATCCAAGGTTGAGATGTCAACTCCGTCTATCAAAATGCGTCCCTCGTCTAGCTCCAGCAGCCTCGGCAGTGTTGAGATCAATGAGGATTTGCCGCTTCCAGTTCGTCCACAGATACCAATCTTTTCACCAGGCTTGATGTCGAGTGTAATTTCCTTCAGGGCTGGTGCTGTTGCTGATGGCGACTCTTGAGCCTGGTTCATCCTTGGATACGAGGCACTGATATTGGTTATCGATATGGCGCCCGATCCTGGCCAGCCGTTGGGAATGCTACTACCCGGTGCCGGAACACATTCCGCTGGCGTAGTTTCTTCAAAGGTTCTCAGTCGCGAGATAGCCCCTAATGATGTCTCCAGCGAAGTCCAGGACGAGATGAGCTGCGCTAATGTTGAGTTGAAGCTCATGATGTTGTACAACGCAATAGCCACGTATGCTGGAGTCGTGGACTCAGTGAAAAGCACGGAAAATGTCACCAGGAGAAAGGCAGCGACCGCAACAAAAAGGTCTAGGACGACATTGAGCCAACGCTGGATGAGGAAAAGTAGGTAATAGGGGCCCAGCGATGCATCCAGGAGCTTTTTGCCAGCATCGCGCACATTCATTTGCCATCCAAAGGCGCGGATGGTCGCTAGCCCGTCAACGGTCTCAAGGAGGTGCGTGTAGAGCGGTGCTTTGGCCTGGAGGTCAAGAAACCGCACCTGGCGTGACGTTCGCAAGTAGAAGACACCAAGTACGTAGAGAGCGATAATAACAACTGGAATGATGGCAGCAAGGTATTTGGCACCGAGGAATACCAGGACTGCCTCAGCGATAGCCATGAAGCTGACTGAATGCGATGTGAGATATTGTGACGGTAGATTTTGATGATATCACTCACGTCTCACGGCCATGAAAAGCGCCGTCGGCAGGGCCTTGTCAATAAGGGACATGTCCTGACTGAACCTGTTGATAATGTCGCCAAGGTCCGTAGTGACGAAGAATGCCAACGGAGCTCTGGAAATATCAGCATGGCGTCCTAGGGATAAGGAAATAGGGCGTGAATTACTTCATCACAGCCTTTAGCAGTGCCCAATGCAGGTTGTTTGCTGATCGTGGGACAGCATTGACAAAGTAAGCCCTAAATAACTCCCGTAAGTTGATATTTTAGGCATCACGGGCCTTGGGGGTTGAATGGATACATACCAGATTGCAACCCCCTCAGTCACCAGCCCAAGGATGCAGATCATGACGAAGATCCCGAAATACCACCCATTATTGGTGCCTTGGTCCCTACTGTTTGCCTCGCTCCATGCTTTCAGCCATAGCTCTGCTCTAGATATTAGTTTGCACTCGCCTAACGTAGCAGTCCAGTGAGAATATCACTCACGTGGAGATATCACCCCAATTGTTGCCAGCATGTTACTACCAATGAATATAATGCTTGACGACCAACCAATGGACTTAAAATAGTAGCCATAAAGTGATATGTCTCCAGCTTTACGGAGCAGGTCTTGCTCCTCGTGATCGTCCTTTGGCATGTTAACAACTTTGTTGGGTAGTTTTTGTGCCCCGATCTCTGCTGAACGGTGTGTCTTGTCAAGATTCTCATCTTCTCTATTTGTGCGTAGAAGATGTTGAAGATAAGGTTCATGTTTAAGGTTAGAATACTTATCCTGCTTAAGGAATCGGATATCGTCATGAAAGTCAATCAGGATGATACTGTCAACTTCATGGAGATGCCTCACTGGCATACGTTAGTACCTTCATTGCTTGAGTAGGCCGTGGCTCTCACATGAGTGTGTAGCGAGCACGACGGTGGCCTGTTGCTGTCTAAGTATGCCCTTTGGACCAAAGGTTCTCGCCCATACTTCAGCTTTAGTAGTGCTATCTAGGCCACTGAGCACATCATCAAGTATCAATACCTGTTGCCTGGAGTACAGTGCTCGTGCTAGTGACTGCGTCGGGTTAGCTGGTCGATAAATACTGTCAGAAGGGCAGCCTTCTAAGGGTGCAACTTACAATACGCTGCTGCTGGCCACCGCTGAGTGATATGCCTTTGCTCCCAATAATTGTCTGATCTCCAGAAGACAGCTGATCCAGATCATTGTCAAGAGCTGACGCGTGAAGTACGATGCGATACCACGCCTCGTCAAATTCATTGTAAGACACAATATTGCGCCGAATGCTGGCATTGGTAAGCCATGGATTTTGGGCGCAGTATGCAGCTCTGATGGGCGACTGGTCAGAAGAACCAGCCACTGGGAAGTCTCCAAGCAGGGCTTTTAAGAGGGTGGTCTTTCCAGAGCCTACGGGGCCTGTGACTAAGGTGATTGTAGATTTCTGTATCGACACATTGACGTCTTGGAGCAGAGGACTACCTGTGGTTGATGAAGGGCCAAAGGAGGCATTCTTAAAGGTAATAATGGGATTTTCAGGTGGTCTGTCGCGGTCTGAGACTTGCGATCTCTTTTCTGTCTGACGGGAATCCAAATTCCGCAGCCCCTGTTGAACAGACATTTTGCCAACTTGACTGTCCACCTCATCCAGGAACTTTTGAATCCTCTCAAAAGACCCGAACGACGAGGCGAAATTCGGAATGGCCGAGAGAAGAGAAGCCAAAGGCGAGACAATCATACTAATAATTGAGATTGAAGTGAAAACATTGGCGACAGTCAGCAGTTGTGCATCAGCAGTCGAGATGGCAATGGCCAGGCCGAAGGTTAGCAGAGGCGCGAGAAAAGGAGGCATATTAGCTGCAGATCATCAGCGTTCGAGGCCCAAGGGACCTGGGACCATCGAACTGCATACTCACCCACAACATTCATGACAACAATCCATCCTCGAAATCTTTTTGACTGTTCAAGCTCGGTCTTGCGAAGCCCCTGGATGATGTTGGACCACTTCGCAGTCGCGCCGAGCAACTTGACCTCCTTTATGGCCCCTACAATGTCCGATGTGACGGAAACACGTTTCTGTATCGCAGCATTCCATAACTTCATTGCAGGCCCCATTCTTTTGGCTACCGGAGGCATGAGTATGAATGTGCACACTGATAGTGATGTCAGCACATGAGCCAATTCGAATGGTACTCGACGTCAAAACGCAGCATACCAAGAAAGGGGACGGCAGGGCCAATAGCCCCAACACCAAGAATCCTAGCCAGCAGCCAGATGGCTACTGCTATCTCTATCGGATTGGCCCAGATCTCGTGGAAGTCCTCGAACGACTGAACAATTTGCTCCGCGTCGCTGCTCATGAGACTCAGGGTTCCTGAACCCAGATCTTGGGACGGATTGTTCAGATCCACAGCCCGATCCAGGATCATGATGACGAGACAGGCTCTGATCATGGTCATGGAGCGGAAAGCCCTGTATTTATACAGACTCCTAGAAAACTGTGGCAGTCAATGTTAGATTTCCGCAGAGCTTGTGTCAGGACGAACGGATAACCCACAGCCAAGCCGAGGTACGCGAGGGCAGTGGCGCCCATGAGCCCGTATGCGTAGCTTCGTGGATCGGGCCCTTTATCCCCTTCCACATACTTGATCACGCGGTTGATCAGAAATGGCTGGGCGAATGTAAACCCCATCAGACAGAGGCGAGGAATTACGGCCAGCAAGAGTGCCGTCTTGTGGCAGCCAAGGACAAGAACCAGAAGGCGATACTTGTGACGATCTCGAAAGGTTGGTCTTTGTTGAAAATCCCGAGTCTTATCCAGAGCGGCCTTCGCCTGCAACTCCTCGTCGAGCTGGTGGAGCGACGCCATGGACAGCGTTGCCTGGAACCCCCTGATCATCAGCTCGTTGAGCCACCAAAACAGGGCCCGGCTGACGATCCCAGCAGTGGCCTCCGGGCCCAGATTCTTCCACGCGCCGATCAGATGGTTGCGCTTATCCTGTAGTTCCACGGCGAGCACGGCCACCTCGGCGGCCAGAGTCCCGGTGGAAACGGACGCCAGGACGCGTGCGTCGGGGAGCAGCCACAGGGTTCGGCAGATGGTGGCGTCGAACCCGATGGACAGCATCAGGTAGACACATATCAGCGTCGATGGCCTGTGTGATCGCACGTGCTCGGCTTGGCTCGCCAAGGCCATGAACAGAGTGACGAGGACGCTGAGGCTGGAGGCTGCGATGGGAGCACCCCGGGTTGGGGTTCTGTTGGCCCACAAGGCCAGCACCGTGAGGTGCATGGCTGCAAATACGAAACATATTATCTTCAAAGCTGTCAGAGAACTTGCACTTGATGTACCGGTAGATGAGAGTGCGACTTACAAGCTTGGCTCGGCCAAGAGCCCTGCCGAGAACTCTCGGCCTCCGCCGGCGGAGATAGAACAGGCGCAGGGGAACGAGAAGCAGCAGTAGGACGGAGAGGACAACACGCAGAAAGGCCTGCTCGAAGAGTAACGTGAAGTCGAACCTCTCCGTGGATGCAGGGCCGAAGGAATCCTCACCCGGCCAAGCGGCGGTGCTGTTGGCTGCCATGGTGTTACGAGACTTCACGGCGCCAACAGCGGCAATACCACGTTGAGAGGCAGATTCACAACTAGTGAAAGTTTGGATTAGGAGACGATGTTTGGTTTAGAGGTTGAAAACCCATCATCTTCGCGGTCGTCAAGAAGCCATTGATCCGGGGCACCTTCCCCATTCGGGGTTTACGCACTCCCTCGAGGTGGCCAGCAACTCGAAGTCATGTTATATATATTCCAAGACAGCCATTGCAATACCACGTTCTCATTCCGTCGTGGGTTTCGGACGTCACAGTACACGAAACTCTACGTGAATTCACCAACGTCTGCGATAGTGTAGCCAGGTCATCTCACACAGCGAACAATTGCATTGCCTATGCAGTTGATGTACGAGAGAGCTCCGATAGCCACTGTGCTCCGATGGACTGCCTCTCGCGCCCCCCCTCTTCCCCTTCCAAGGTTGTCCTGGGAATCCAATCATGGATGCGCAGCATATACAATTACATATCCCAAGGGGATCCAACTGCATACTTGGCATGCTTGGCGCCTCTGTTCCGCCCCTCCCCCAAACTCCCTTGACCGAAGGATAGGCAAGCCGGTGACGAGAGCTCAAACTCATATCGAATCTCACGCCGCGCCATTGAGTAGGTAGGGTAGGCGCATGTAGGCTTGCTCCAACTGAGCGTCGCCTGACTCGGCGAAGACGCTTGCTATACTCGCTGTGGGTCCGTTGCGTATAGCCGGCGAACGGCGGATACGAGGAACTACATGTATCTAGGATTTGGCATCCGAACTCCGAAATGGCACACCGAATCTAAAGTATCTAAATCGTACTCCGGGGACTGGATATCGGAGACCTGGAAATATCTCATTATTACACACATACAGCCCATCTACAAGTGTCACCGTGTAACACCACATATACCCATGATATTGAGATATTCAAAGACACATTCATACCAGCACAATCCAAGCTAATTATAATGTGGTATATCTCCAGCACGCGTAGACAAAAACTTCTCACGAGCAATCCGACGCCAGGCTATGTATGTATGTAAACAGGTATGCAATAATCCTCCTTCTCCTTCTCCCGCCACGTCTCATTCATTCCGTCTACTTTGGTTTTCACCTGCAGCACGCCCCACGAACTTCTAGAACAATGGCGAATGCATCCCCGGAAACCGGGGCGCCTTAGGCGTTCTTTCGCGCCTCGATGACCTGCTGCTTAGCCTTCTCGACAATCTCGCCGATGTTGGCGCTGGCACTGCCCGCGCGCCTCCGTGGGCCTTCGCGCTTGACGCGCTCGACCTCGGCGCGGATCTCGTCGACCATCTCGTTGACGTCGCGGATGGGGTCCTGGCTGAGGCCGAGGATGGGCGGGCGGCTGGTGCCCGACGCGACCAGGCTCTCGGTGCTCAGGTTGCGGACCAGCTTGACGCCGGCGTCCTTGGTGCGCTGCTCCTGGCGGGCGCGGAGCCACTGCTTGCCGGGGGACGAGAAGAAGGCGAGCGAGGCGCCCGTCGCGACGATGGCGTAGAAGTAGACGCGCGACCACACGGTGAAGGAGTCGGCAAAGTCGAGGATCACAAAGGGTGCCACCACGAAGGAGAAGATGGCCTGGGTGGCGAACCACGAGGCGATGTCGTAGTAGCGCTTGGACGGGAGGGGGTTCTGGGTGACGGGGTCGAGGAAGAAGGGGCGGATGTTGCGACGGTAGTCTGGAAAACGTGTGTTAGTCATTAGATTAGGGCTGAATAGGGGGTAGACTCAGAAGGTCCACTCACGCTTAGCAGCAGTCTGGACGAAACTCGCCAGCACAAAGGTTAGATAGTAGCCCGGGTAGAAACCGTGCCAGAAGGCACTGGTGGTAAAAGTGGCCAGGCTGGCGCGGAAGCCGGGCTTCTTGTTGCGCGGGGTGACGCGGAGGTAGATGTAGTAGCGCAGCCACTTGTTGGTGTTCATGTTCCAGTTCTCGAGGTAGGCGCGGCTGTTCTGGGCCGTCTCGACGCCCCAGGGGTTGATGTTCTGCAGGCGGTCCCAGCTGACCTTGCCGGTGACGGGGTCGATGCCCTTGTAGCCCAGGCCGGCGAGGATGCAGGCGCCCTCGGTCAGGGTCCAGACGCCGTAGTACTTGAGGCGGGCGGTGAAGCCGACCATGTGGACGTAGAAGACGCGGCGCAGGAACGAGTAGGCCAGGAACCTGTCGTCGAGCATGAAGGCCCAGTCAAACCAGCGGCTGAAGTTGAGGAAGGCCAAGATCCAGACGAGGCCGCCGCCCAGCTTCCACATGGCGGGGGTGCCGCTGCGGGGGATCTTGCGCTTCTTGCGGGTCGGGGGCTTCTTGGAGGGGTCGACGGTGGTCGGGACGTCGAACATGGTGCAGTCGATCCAGCCCTTGTACTCGTTGTAGTCGAACGAGGGCCCGGCCATGAGTGAGGGGAAGAAGAGCACGTAGCCGGCGTAGTCGAGCAGGCCGGGCAGCCTGACGATGCGGCGCGTCTTCTGGAAGTCGGACAGGTGGTCCTCGGGCAGGGTGCCGTCGGCGACGTTCCAGCAGAAGGCCGACAGCTTCATGACCAGGACCATCTGGGCGCCGGTGATGTCGACGGCGGCGGGGTTGTTGGCGAACTGGCGGGCCAGCTGGTTGACGGCCATGTGGCCCATGAGGAAGACGAAGCCGAGCCAGGGCATGTAGGGGCTGCCGCGCAGGTAGTAGGCGAGGCCGTAGGTGCCGCCGGCGGCGATGACGAGGGTGCGCAGGCCGTCCCACAGGTCGAACAGGCCGACGAGGTAGAAGAGCGAGCAGGCGATGATGAAGGCATTCTTGTACTCGGGGCGGGCGTCGGGCACGCGCTTGAGGAGGCCGGCCAGGGGGTAGGAGAGCAGGAAGGAGAAGATCAGCTTCAGCTCGTCGGGCGAGGCGCCGATGGTGCCCGCGAGCAGCTCAAAGGGCTTGTGTATGAAGGGTATCATGCTGGCCGTGGTGTCTGCCGATTCTACCGATTCATGAGGGAGGGAGAGGGGTTCAAGTCAAGGTGTAAGGGAGGAGGGCCGGTCGTCCCAAGTCTCCAAGCTAAGATGAAGTGCCGGGAAAGGGGTCCAGGAAAGAATGCTGCACAACAGGCTTCGTCAGGTCAATACATAATCGTCGGCAAGATATATCCTGGGCCAGTCGGGGGGAGGCCTGAGAAGCAAAAGGGAATGGCCCGAGGCAGGCTCACGGCGATTTTGTTGAGGAGTTGATACACCAGACAAGACGCCTTCTTTTTTTCTACTTCTTTTTGTCCGGCGGTGATGTCACCTGCCAGCCGGGAGCCGCATGGGCATGGGGTTACTGTCGGTGGATTGGGCCGGGGGGCCAGGGCGCCAGGGGTCCAGTGTGGATGGCATTTGTGAGAAATGATGCACTACCTGGGCAACTAATAACTTCACCACACCACCCACCCACCCACTCAATCCAACTGTACCTATGCCAGGCATTCCATGCCGTACCGTACCATGCGCGCGCGCATATGCCCACATGTGCCCAGGCCCTGGCCGCCGGTTGGCGTACCGCCTTCTAGCGCTCCTCTCCCCAGCCCTGCCAGCTTACTGGCCAAGGTTCCTAGGTAGCCTGGCAGCCTGGAAGAAACCCCCCCCCCGCCCTTGTCAGCCGGACAATTGATCGATGGCATTTCCAAGGTGTCGGCTGACAGAACGCTCGCATCCGCCTGACGACGTGCCCGTTCCTGTACCTCGGGTTTGCAAGGAGCTGGTCTCCGACTATGGCAGGTTGCCCACCTCATACTTTGCCTAGTACCTGATCTGTTCCTGAAAGTATATGCGTGTAGGGTCTCCATTTGCGCTGCACCGAGTGCTGTAGCGTGCTTTGTGAACTCAGATTGTAACTTACTTACCACCAAGTCGTGAATCTTATCCACAGCCGTCACCAGGAACCAGGTACTGCTTCTTGTTCGTTGCTAATTTCATCGCTCAGAACTATGCAGACGAACATCCTCTCGTCACGTTGGGGATAGTACATGGACGGATGATGATGATCATTATGATGTTCTATTGTAACTCCCTGTCCGCGGGAGACCGCGCGTGCCAACGTAGCACGGCCACGGCCTCCATCGCTCCGTAATCAATCAAAGATGTGTGTCGCCGTTCTTGAGGGCCGACTTTTTTCTTCGTCATGCCTCATTAGGTGACCTATTCGTACTGTGCTTCTTTCCAGTGCTCATTTTGCGCCGTCCCATGTATCGATGACAATGAGTATGACCTCGCCTCCGAGAAGGCCTCCCCCCATCCGTACACAAACAGACAAAAACAGAAAACCACGAACAATAAAATATGTCTATACCAGAATGGCGCCGAGACGCAAGCCCCCGTCTCTTCGGCCGTGAGAATTTTTGGAAGAGATCAAGCATTATACAGATATTGGTAAATCTAGAGGGCGCAAAATAAAATGGGGAAGGCCCTGCAGACGGGGTCGACTGTCTGGCAGTCTATCCCGCACCCTGGTCGCTCCTCGTCGTCCCGAGCCGCAGGGGGCTCGATACGCGAGGCCTGGGTTGTGGTGATGATGGCGGTGGCTGCTCGACGCCTACAGAACCGCTGGCCGATACGCTCTATGAGTTGGCAGCATCGCGGCTGCTCTTGGCGCTGGCGCTCTGGATCGGCTGCGACGTGGGCAGCACCATCTTGCCAATCTGGCTCTGTCGCACCTTGGCCCACGCGTAGACGATGCCCGATACGAATCCGATGAAAATGGCCGAGACGCTGCCCAGCGTGACGGGGGCCGAGAAGAAGACCAGACCGCTGACGGCGATGGGCAGCTTGTTGAGCGCACCAACCATGGAGTACGTGGTCGACGACGTGACACGGATGCACCAGGCCGAGCAGTACGAGATGAAGATGGCGGCCATGCCCGAGTAGATCATGCCAATCATCAGCGAGTTTCGCGATTCGACCGGGAAGTTCTTCTGGAAGTTGAGGGTCGACCAGTCCTCGACGAGCAGGGAGCCGACCAGGAGGACGGGGATGGTCAGGAGGTTGTTGTAGAACATGGCTGTCCCGGCGTTAGCACAATGTGATGACGGCACTGATGGGCCAAACGGAATGCAAAAACTCACTGTCCCAGTCCTTGAAGTTCATGTTCTTGATGACCTTGCGCATGCCCAGCACGTACGAGGCGGTGCAGAAGACGTTGAGACCCATCCAGGCGTAGCCGGCGTTGAGGGTAGCCAAGGCGGCAGCGGCCTCGGCGGTCTGGCTGGCGTGGCCCAGGTCGGCCCAAGCGGCGACGACGGAGCTCAGAACCATGAGACCGAACGAGAGCAGGGCGAGCGGGGTGACGCTGCCGCCGAACCATAGAACCTCACCGTAGGCAATGACGATGATGGTCAAGTTCTTGAAGATGGTGTAGACGGGGACGGACAGGAACTGCAGCGCCTTGGTGCTGGTGTAGATCATGCCGACGAGCAGCAGCGAGACGGGGAACCACCGCTTGCCCTTGTTCATGTCGAAGGGGGCGAGGTTCTTGATCATGCCCATCTGCTTGCAGGCCTCGATGGTAGCAATGCAGACGATCGACTGTCACGGCCGTTAGTAAGAAGAAGGACGCGCGCGCGTGTGTGTGTGCCACTGTGGCATCTGGGGCCTGGTGCTTCTTACCTGAACCGCGAGGTAGAACAGGTTCAAGTTCCACTCGGTACCGGAGACGACATACTTGTTGACCACGGTCATGGAGATGGACGAGAGACAGTACGCCAGGATGGACAGCGGCGGGCTGTTCTCGACCTTGTTCAACGGGGACGCCATGTTGTGCTGCGACGGGGCTCGGGACGGGTGCGCTGGGATGAAGGGGTCCTTTTCCTCGCGATACGGGGACGACGGGCTGCGCAGGCTCTGTTCGGGCACGCGGACGCTGAAGTCTTCGTACTTCTTGTCAGACATTGTCGCTCTCCTGAAAGATTGAGGTGTGGTATTGAAGGGGGGGATAGGAGGGAAATGGGGGAAGTAAGTACTTGTTGGCGGACTCGTCGAGATGTCGAGAGAGAGAGAGAGAGGCTGTGTCGTTGTACCGGGTCTTCGTTCTATTCGTGAAGGGGCACGCCGACGCTTTTTTTTTTTTCCTCTCGTCTGTCAGAAAGGAGAGAGAGAAGAGGCCAGGCCGTTGGGGATCGATCGACAAAGCGCAGTGGAGTTCCTGGCTGGGTTGGGAAGGGGACACACGACCCTGGATTCAGCCTTGAGGCGCACGCGCAAAAGGAGACCAGCGAGATGCAAGAAGGGGATCTGTTCCTTGTCGCGAGGGAGGTAAGTCCGGGCCCGGGAGGTGTTAACTTATGGTTCAGCGGAGAGAAAAGCACAAGAGTCCAACGGATGCAGCCAAGCACGAGACCGAGTGTCGATAAGATGGGGCGGAGGAGAGGGAAGAACACACGACGACGAAAAGCGAGCGTTTGGTCGGACGGAGTAGAGGGAGAGGGAGAGCAGCAGATAAGATTGGGCCCAGGAGACCGAGAAAAACGCGTGTCCAAGTCGGACGGGCTTTTTTTCTTTTTTTCCCCTTTCCCCAGACCCAGGATCCAACTCAGAACCAGAACCAAAGGGAGGAAGGGGGGAGGATTCAGTAAACGGGGCGGCGACGGGGAGCCAGGCCCTGGCCCTGCCCCGGGACCTGCCTGGAGCCCCCTGCACCTGGCGATGCGTTGTCTGGTCTAGTGGCACTACGCTACGCCTCTGCGGCACGGTAAAATTAGAAACATACGCCCCCGTAGTATAGTTATGCTCAACTCGGGGCTTTCCCAAAGCGGTCTACAAGCATACTAGTCAGCCATCCCGCCTCCGACGACGGGGACTAACTGATGGGTGATCGCTGCGGACCGCTTGTGGAGCGAGGAAGCGCATTGGACGGACTTGGCTCCATGGCTGTGAGGTGAGGCTCTCCAAGTTAGGCATTATGTAACTTATGTAGCTAGATACCAGGTAGTGCCACGCTCTCCAGCTCTTCCCCCCCGACGAGCCTCGCCGATATACAGATGCGCCTCGTACGCTTAGATTCAAAGTGGCCAGCTAAGACCCGCCCAGGGTCCAGGCTGGGAATCCTTCGATGGGCCCTATCTGTCCGTTCTTAACTTTGTCTCAAACGCGCGAGGCGACCCCTATCTTGGTGGCTGCCTATCTGCTTGATTAGTGCCAAGCCGAGCAGCAAAAAGATAGCTGAGACGGACACTAAAGCTAAACAGTTGCACTTTCTGCTCCTTTGAAATGGCGTTTGGGTCAGCTGAGAGTTGCAATCGATGGATGCATGAGGGCTGTCATTTCTAAGCGCCAAGCAATATACCAGTGGGACTTTCTTAGCATGGGAACTCGCGCGTGTCATTTTGTCAGATAATCATATACGACAAGTAGACAATGCCCACAGACGAAGGTATACCTAGATCGAGAAGATTCGCAATTCTGCTTCCATCAAGTGCATTTCCGTTTGCTCTCAGTGGTCCATGCAAAGTGTAATCCAGCAGCCAGACCCCTTAAATCCAGATCAGTATGAACATCTCGTGTCTATGATATGATGCCCGGACGTCGGGGTCCTGACTGGACATTCATGATTGCGTATAGCTGATCCATTCAGCCGACTTGCAGCTCATGTGCCTCACCGCACCTACCACCTTGATGATGCTCCTTATTCGTATACAAAACCTGCAGTATTCACATAAAATATCAGCCCGCATAAACCTCATCGTCACCCCATCGCCGTATCCCCATCATCGCCCTCGCCCTCCCCGTCGCCAGCCCCCTCATCCTCGCCCCTCTCGGACACCGCGGCGCCTCCCGCTCCCCCTCCTCCCGCGGCCGCCGTGGTCGCGACGTTGATGCTGCTCATCTCGGCGGCCGGGGGCGCGTCGGACGCCGCGGGGAAGTTGAGGTGCTTCCAGTCCTCGAGCTCCTCGGTGACGCTGCGCAGGCGGTCGCGGATGCTCTCGATGGCGTAGCTGCCCAGCACCAGGCGCAGCGGCGGGTAGCTGCAGTGGCCCAGCTGCCAGACCAGCTCGGCGCACTTGACGGCGCTCGTCGGCTGCCGGTCCCCGAGCCACTGCACCATGCGCTTGGCGTGCAGCGCCGGGCTGGCCGCGTGCGCGTACGCCTCGGACGCCGGCTTGATCAGGAAGTGGCCCCAGGTCGGCAGCGGGCTGACGACCGCCGCGCCCCCGCCCCCGGCGCCGCCCAGGGCCGGCTCGTCCGGCTCGTCGCGCCGCACAAGGCCCGGCTCGACCAGCGTCGCCTTGATGCCGAAGCCGTCGATCTCGTACAGCATGGCCTCGATGAGGCCCTCGACGGCGTACTTGGTGGCGCAGTAGGGGCCGAGGCCCGGAACGCCGAGGGCGCCGCTGGTGGAGCTGAAGATGAGGTAGCGGCCGGCCTGCTGGCGGCGGAAGTAGGGGAGGGCGGCCTGGATGATGTGCAGGGTGCCCATGAAGTTGGTCTCGAACTGGTTGCGGATCTCGTGCTCGTCCTGGTCCTCGCACGCCCCGATGACGCCGTACCCGCTGCAGTTGGCCACCACGTCCAGCCGCCCGAAGTGCGCCAGCGTCCGCTCCACCGCCCGCGCCACGCTGTCGCGCGCCCGCACGTCGCAGAGCAGCCCCAGCGAGTTGGGTCCCGCGTGCTGCTCCGTCATGGCCTCGGGCGTCGTCTCAAAGGTCCGGCCTACGGCGCAGACGAGGTCGCCTCGGCTGAGGGCGCACTTGACGAGCGACCGACCCATGTGGCCGGTGCCGCCGAATACCTAGAATTAGGGTGTGAGCCATTGAGTCTCTTTTCATCAGGCGAGACGGATGTGCCAGTCGGAAGGGGGAAGATGAGAGGTAGCCATGCGGCTTTGGGGTGACTTACAATCCATACGAGCTGTCGCCGCGGTGCATTGGGCATGGGCGGATCGCAACTCGCCGGCAAGAGGAGTCTGGGTCTGGGAATGTCTCTCGTGCTTCCGGGCGAGGTTTGCCCTACCTCGGAAGAGCTCCTTGCGTCCATAGTCGCATCTCAACTAAGAACCCCTGGTGAATATCACAACTGTATAGCATGTGGCATGTTCCCAGGTAAAGAGGATTGTCACATAGTGAGTGGTCCGGGTGCAAGTTTGTGAGGTGTTGCTCAATTGCGGATTGTCGTTACGATTGGGATGCAATAGCCCCGCTTATTGGGCCTTGAACCTTGCAGCCACCCGCGGTTGGACCCCTGTAGTATGTCCGGCACTTGGGTATATGTGTTTCGTAAATGCGATGACTTACAACACATGGAAAAGACAAAGTAGTGAGAATATGGCGCACGGTCTGAGACGTGGCAGAGCGAACTCGTGAGTGAGCGATCCTTCTCCTCTACTTTGAACAGCGCTCGGAGCAAGATTGTAGATTGTAAATCACATGATTGCGAAGAAGAAAAGTCGAGACTTCACATGATAAAGTGCAGTAGATCAAGGCTCATGCACCTTCAGTGATCAAGTTTACTTCAGTTTCATTTTGCTTGCTATGTTGTCAAAAACAAATTCGTGTTGTCCCTTTTGGTCGGCTCGCTTGGGTGTCAAGTCAACCGCATCTATGTCTTCCAAGTCCGCAGGTCCCAAGCCCAGCTACTTCAGGAATTGAGAAACGTAAACCTGGCGGTGCTCGTTGGAGTCAAGCTCGGGTGCCCTGTTCAGAGGCGTCCACTTGGGCTCGTCCTTGAAAAGGCGCATGGCCTGGATATACTTCACGGTATGTCAGCGAGAAAGGGAAAACTCCAACTGCATAGGAGGGGGAACCTACGTTGTCTGCATCCGTGGTGAAGCGGTGGTAAATGCCCGCGGGCAGGATAATCAGGTCGTCCTAGAAGTTCGTCAACATCTGTCTCCCATCCCTATCGTTACGCCCGCCATTTCCGTCCCCGTTCCACGCACCATCCCCTGTGTTTCCCTCATGGCCAAGGACCGGGGTCGAACATCGTAAACAGCAGCAGGAAAAAGAAGAATGCAAACCCACCTTCTCGAGCTGGATGCGCACCCAGTCGTCGCCCTTGCTGCGGACATCGAAGTAGCCGCGGCCGTCGCGGATGTAGCGGATCTCCTCGTCCTCGTGCAGGTGCTCGTGGAAGAAGGACTTGACCTTGTCCTCGTAGACAGCGCCCATCTTCTCGGGGCTGACGGTGATCTCGTCGCGGTTGCGGTAGCCGCGCTGCGACGCCAGCTCGTCGACCCCGGACACGTCCGGCAGCCGGTAGTACAGCACGCCCAGCTTCTCGAGGTCGGCCGCGGCCAGGTCGCGGCCCGAGTCGTGTGGGAGGCGCTGGTCGCCCTAGAGGGGTCGGGAAGACCCTGTGTCAGTGTCTCGTGGTCGAAGGGGGTATGAGGTGGTTCGATGACGATGCTAGCGGTGGCTTTCGAGGGTGTTGGGATTGCTACTACGTCTGCCGCTGCCGCTGCTCGTCCGCGATGCCTTTGCACGGAGGGAGCGACATTTGCTGTGGTGGATTGCGTGATAGCGGGGGGAGTCTGGCTCACCTCGACGTTGTCGTAGTAGTATGCCCTCATTTTCGATTGATGAATACGTCTGTTTTTCGGGCCGGTTCTATGCTGAGGTAGATATGAATATGACTTAAAATGAATGTAGTGCTAAAGTCGTGCTCAAACTCTCTCAGATCGTCAACGGGAAAGAAGCGGGCGTTGGAATTGTATTCCTGTCGGGTAGCTGTCGCATGGAAACTGAGCAAACTGCCCCACCAAAAAGTTGCGACTTTAGCGCTGACGACTTCAGCAGCCCACCATGACGAGTGACGTCGGGTCGCACTGGACGCACAGGGGGGGCCGCTGCAGGGCCGAAGGTGGGGGGGGGGACTGGACTACTGCCAGAACACTGCGTCGGGCGTGCTCAGATCAGTGGCTCTGAGCGGCCCGGAGGCCAGTGATAGGCTGGAGTTAGGTCAGCAGCTTGCAGCACCTTTCAGTCTTCAATTAGATTCCCGGTCTGCAACTTCAAATCACTGGCAGGCCTTCTTGAGTGTGGGCACATGTGTTGAGCATAGCAGCCTGGCCATTCTCTACGGTTTCGGGGCGTGTTAACATCATACTCTTCATGACTTCAGGTGGCAATCTCTCGCAAGCTACAGTACATGTAGCAAGCACTCGAGTCCCGCTGAGGAGGCGCTGCTGTTCTTAGTACCAAAACTAGGATGGCTAGTGGTCAGCTATGATGATTGAAGAATTCCTAGTCTTGGGACTACACGGCGTTGGAAATCATTTGCAGCGTTGATGTGCTTCAGAAGAGTGAAGACGACCGAGCAAAGTGTAAGTAAGGTTTAAGCATGACCCGTCAAGTAGACTATAAGCCGATGACAACACACGTCGAATGCTGGTTGTGAGCTAATACCGCTCATCGAGGCAGTCGATTACACGAGTGTACCGGATTTGGATCCTTTTGTTTGTCACAAGTTCTCTGTCTTGCAAAGGGCTAATTGTAAAGTCATGTATTCACGATGGTCGAATGCTGTCTAGCTTCCCATGACTTGGATAAGGGCACGCATGCCTGCCCGGATTTCTAGAATCCTCGGTCCATTGTAACGCCGTGTGTAGTCGTGAATTCCCTGTCCTAATAATACTACGCAATGACCTTAACGCCTCTAAGAGCTCATGACGGGGAAGAATAACAAAGCATCGATATGGGAGCACGCTCAAGCTCCAAAAGCACAGCTTCGCTCATCGAACATCGGCGGCCGCCAATTCGGGGCCCCCGCCGACAGCGAACTCGTTCTCAATCGCCGTGGCATCCTCCTCTCTTCTCCTCCCCTCAAACAGCCTGCGCCACCAGTTGGGGGGGTCAAAGGGCCGCGATCCATAGTGCATCGGCGGGTAGACGTCGGTGAAGAAATACCAGACGTGGCCGATGACGACGCCCATGATCTCGTCCTTGGGGACGGTCCCGTGCATAACGAGGCTGAAGCCCATCAGGACCCAGGGCAGGTAGGGCGCCGTGAAGACCAGAAGCCCGAGGAAGCTCAGGCGGGTCTCGGGGTTGCGCCGCGACCAGATGTAGACCAGGATGGACGACAGCGGGTGGCCCAGGAAGGGCATGGACACGAGCGGCGACAGGCAGAGCAGCGACACCATGGCGTAGAGGAGCAGCCACGAAAAGTGGGCGGGGGAGCGGCCGGACGACTCCTCGAGGAGGCGGGCATAGCGCTGCAGGAAGTAGACGTGGAACAGGAGGTCGATCGAGAAGGGGCCGAAGTAGAGGAAGGTCGTAATCATGCGCCAATACTATACACGGGAGACAGAGTCGGTTAGCCGGTGAAGGTAGATTATAAGTGCAATCGTAGGTGTGTGCTTACCTCTCCCTTGCCGAACACGGTGCGCACGCTGTAGAAGAGTTGGAAGGCTGTGACAACCTGGCACTGGACCAGCGCGCTGACCAGGACGGTCGCCGTAGTCCACCATCTGGTGCATATGGGCATCTCCCAAAACCAGGCCTCCAGCGGGTTTCGGCCGCCATCGCCGGGCATCAGTTGATCCATGGTGGCGGCACTTGGCTGTCGTGGGTTGCGGGCGACGGCGCGGCTGAGGGCGGAACGGGCACGTGTGCGATGGAGGCGGGAGGTTGATCAAGACAACCGGCTGGATAAAGCTGCTGGAGAAGTCGGCAGGGTACAAGTTGTCGCAGCCCGGGGTAAAGGTGTATTTAATTCAATGCGCAGGACAATGAATACAGCGAAGCCTTGGGAACCACGTCTGGGGCAGCGGTCGTGAACGTGGACGGTGGATCGCAGCCTCGTGCCAAGTGGTTATCTGGCTTCAAGGTGGATGACGAGAGTATGGCCCGTATGGGTATGGAGAGGCGAGGTGACGCCAGTTCAGGGTCGCCCCATCCCACCAAGCCGACCGGCCCGCCGCGGCTCCAGGCCAGCATCAATCTCCAAGGGCCACTACAGTCGCAAACCCCTCGCTAGATGCATCTGGCCATCATGGGCGAATCCGCACTCGGGAAATTCCAGGAGCCACTGCTATTGGCGGTAAATGTATGCCACGACGCTGGACAAATAGCCAGCCAATCATCAAGACGGTGGACACGAACGACACGAACGACAAGGAGGGCCACTGATTGGAGCAGTGTGTGGAGTGGGCGCGCGGTGTGCCACGGCTTCCAGGAGCGGGTAAGCAGGTTGTGGCTGGAAATCAATTAAACAATTTTTCCAATTCGGCATAACGGTGGCTGGGGCCCCTTGAGTCTTACGCGCTTTCGTGACCCGTTGGTTTCGCGTTGTCGCGATGCCAGCCAGCCCCTCGAATTTCGAGCGGCTCTCTGCCTAGTGCCTGCTACCCATTTCCCTCCCTTTGCTTAATTCTTCACGCAACCGGGGCTTGGAATGCATCGCAACCCTTTTCGCAAACTCTAATCCCAATTGCCAATTGATTCCCGTCGTCTCATATACCTTCATCTCCGCCGCCGCTGCTGCTGCTGCTGCTGCTGCTATATAATATTCCGAGGCACACACGGTTTGGCGCTACCAACCTTCGCGCAACAGACGAAAGCTACACGGAACTCCTGTCGCATCGATCGCAGCGCAAAGCGGCGCACACGTCGCATCGAGACTTCGACACATACTATTGCCGAGCTGTCAGAAGCCGATCACTTTTTTGGCTGCAGACAACCAGAGCGTTTGGCAATTTCGCCTCACACCACACAGAGCCCTCAGTGGCATAGCTCCTGAGAGGCTACATACAGCTCGATGAGGCGGTCGTCAGCCGGCACCGCCGGCAGCGGCCGAGGCCGTGGCCGCGGTGGTGCTCGAGGTGGCCGTGGGGGAGGCAGAGGAGGCAGAGGCGGAGCCGTCTTAGCAGCACTACGTAAGCACATCCCCATCACGTCCCTCTTCATCGTGTCGGAGCGCCAAGTACGCCGGACTACGATTACCTGGTGAGCGCCCCCCCAAGCTGACGTGGGCCAAAACAGCCGGAGACCCAGTACCGGCGGGCCGCAAGCGGCGGTACCGGCCGGGGACGCTGGCGCTGCGCGAGATCCGGCGGCTGCAGAACGGCACGGACCTGCTGATCCGCAAGCTGCCGTTCGCGCGGCTGGTGCGCGAGATCGCCATGGGCTTCCGCCCGCGCGACGACGGCCTGCGCTGGCAGTCCCAGGCCATCCAGGCCATCCAGGAGGCCGCCGAGGCCTTCCTCGTCCACCTGTTCGAGGACACCAACCTGTGCGCCATCCACGCCAAGCGCGTCACCATCATGCAGAAGGACATCCAGCTCGCGCGGCGCATCCGCGGCATCTGGGGCGGCATCGGCTAAGCGGGAGATGGGCGAGAGAGAGAGAGAGGGAAAAAAAACATCAGGGGTAGCACCAGCAGGATGGATGCCAGGGAGCTTCACGGTAATTCTTACTACCACTGCAAAAAGGGGGGGTCTATAGGGCTGTGTTTTCCCCCGGGAGCCAGCACGGGCGGCTGTCTGCATTTCAAGGGAAGGGGTTTTCCTGAGCCGGCGTTAAAGGGAAAGGGACTGATTGCACCGCGTCGCATGGCGGCGGTCTACGGATGGGTCTCGGCACATGTCTTCGTACCGCCCACACTTTTTTGATACCATTATTTGTTCTTTGTTTTTTTTTTTTCACACGCTGTGTAGTTATTTATTGTACACATAGCCAGAGTCAGAATCAGAGCCGAGTCTGCGGAGTGGAAACAGCTGAAGGGGCAATTAAGCATAATTGACATACGGTTTTTTGAAACTTGCCATTCGTCTTCGCTGCTTTCTCTGGAGCTTAGTTAGGATTGTGACGCTACACTACATATTATCCCGGGATATAGCAGAGCCCTACTTGCTTACCGGGCGGCTCGGATGCCGCATGCGAGACCCTCGTTCTCGGTGAACTGTAGGGGCGTGCACAGGGCGTCCAAGGATGGCATTGGAAGACGACTGCCAGATCCGAATCTCTCAGCGCGATAAGTTAAGTAGGCAGGGAACCGTGCGGCTGAACCTGATCGGTTGGGCTGTGGTGCGCTCAGGGGCAACGAATGATAGGTGTGATGTTTTCTGCAAACTTTGACAGACAAGTTGGATATATTCGCCATGTGGCATCACAGCCTACGAGCATCAATTCCTCACTGCGGGATGTTTCAGTTGGCTGAGCATTCATGGTCATTAATGGACTATATTTGGGTTCCTGGATTTCCACTGCCCGTTGAACTGTGTTATGTAAGAAGACTGCAATCGTAGCGGTTGCATGCCCAGAAAGCCGTGCAGCCAGCTCCCTTCCCCGTCGCTCTCTCCTTCTTCCAACCGGGGGCGTCGCGGGGTCGGTCTGCGGAATCGAGACCAGTCCTTCATTAGCTATTGAACCCAGTGTCTCGTCTTCCTCTCGGCCTCCACTGTGTCTTCTGGGTCTTTCTCCCAACTCCATTCTATACAACACCCAAGCTGCTCCCAAAAAGTAAAACCCCGGGTATCTATTTTGCGCAATTGGGTTCTGGGTTGGCAAAACGGCGGAAGTCAAGGGCGGAAAAAACGAGTAATATGACGATAAATATGAGGAAAATTCGTAAGTGCGTATGCGTGTCTCCTCTTCAGTGCAGCTGCGGGAGAGATCCGTCTGGGGAAAAACATCTTTCTTTCCTGCGCCAGGTCCTGTGGGCTTCCCTCCCAGTATGATGATGATATAAGAAGATTGCAAAAAATGTCACAAAGATTGCTGTGATGGATGTCTCATCTATGTCGGTCGAGATAAACGTGTCGATGTGGTGGTGCGGTGCTGAGGCCCGGATAGGATTCAATAATAAAGGCGTATGGGGAAAGATAATGTACATTCTTCGAAGGCAATGTGTGGGCAGCGCCCCGGGTGGTGGATGGGCGCGAGTGATTTCGGTGTGGGGGGAGGAAAAGGCTCACCGCCAGCGTGCAGGTAGTTGAAGGTACGTGCGTGAGTTCGCTGGCATTGTGAGCGTGATGCGTAAAGCGTAAAGAAGCCTGCGGCGTCGCCCTGCGCTGTCTCCGTCGGCCACCGTGAGATCGGGTCTGGTCCGTCGTCTCTATATATAAAAAGGTCTTGCCGTGTGTGCCTCGTCATGTCGTGCATCATGGTATGTGATAACCAAGGAAAGTGCGGCTCTCGTCCATTAGAGCTGCAATCGGATGTTGTGTATGTATGAAGGCTTTCTTCAGCCATCGAAACGCTCATTGCTTCTTCATTCCCTGCCAAAATCCAACAATGGCAAGCGCAACAATGGCACCAACGACAAGCAATCCAATGATGCTCATGGCCCGGTTCACGTTGCGCCACCATTTAGCGCTCTGGTACTTGAAGTCGTCCACGGGGCGAAGCTGTCGCGCAAACGGCTCGGGCTTCTCGGGGATCCTGAACTGGGTCGTGCTGTGGTCGCGCTCCGGGAAGCCAAGCGCGGGCTTTGGCGGCAACGGCAGGAACGCCGCGATCATCCACGCAAAGGGGAAGACGAAGCCGACGGCAAAGAACAGGATCTGCACGTTGCGCCGCCCAAAGGCACCCTTGTCTGCTGACCAGGTCATCGACGGTGGCTGCCAGATGGACAGGCGGCTTGCCCGGCGATCGGGTGCCAAATGCGGCGACCAGATGCTTGAGGTCATCTTACGCACGCCGAGTCGCACTCCGGACAGGCGCGATGTCGAAACCTCGTGCGAAACGGGCCGATCGTCCGGGTGAACTTCCCGGGGCCGGCGACGGGGGCTAAAGATGTTGGGTGGGAACTGCTCGGTGGTTGGCGAGCCCGAGTGCCCAAAGGAGCTCTCGGGTCGGCTGTCGTCCGTGTACGACCTTATCGAGGGCGCCGCAAGCCATTTTCGCTCACCGCTTCCATAGTATATCCTGGGTCTGTTAGCATCGCAGGACAAACGGATGGCTTTTAGTCCAAAGGTTAAACTTACTTTGCCCATACCGGAAGCGTAGTCGACGAAAAGCTTCCGGCCCGCGAGCTAGCCGAGGAGTGCAAGTCTCTATCCGACGACTTGTGTGTGAGCAGGTGGGCAAGGCGCGGCCGTGAGCCCTTGTGGTGCAATTCATGCAGGTCAGCCAGTCCGTCACCATGTTCATCGACATCGCGGACCGTGCGGGCTGGGGGCTGAGGAAGCTCCCGAGCACTACGCATCATAAAGTTGCCCGAGTCTCCCCGCGAGTTGGATCTCGAATGAGAGCGCGGCGATTCGATCGACAACTCCTCTGCACCAGCCAAAGATGACGATATACTCAGCATCTGCCTGCTGTGCCTGCTGCCGGACCGCATGCTGCGGTAGTCCGGCCCCGAACCCGAGGACATGGACAATTGGCGGGAGTTCCTGTCGCTCCCTTCATCTTCAGACATGACCGTCGAAAGCTGGGAACTCCATACGTGGGAGTTGGGGTCCATCAGCCGCCTCGGAGCAATGGGGTTGAGCGGCGGTGCCCATGAAGGTTGTTGCTGCTGTTGCTGCTGCTGCAGAGACGAAGCCGAGGGGGTCCTCGCCAGAAGAACAATGTTCGGGGTGCTGCCGTTGAATATCGATCCGGTGTCCTGGCTAATTACACTCGATATCGACGAGAAGGAATGCGCCCGCCGGAGTGATTCCCGAGATCTCTGCTTGAAATAACCGAAACGTTCGTCCGAAGACTTCCTCCGAACCGGGTTGAGTGGTGGGACCACCAGGCTCTCTTGCGAATACTTCCCCCTCAGGAAAAGACTATCATCGGAAAATTGTGGTCTCGGTCTTCGGACGGTAGTCGGCACTGATGATGTGGCAGGTGAAGTGCCTGCGTGGACGATGAAATTCCTGCTTCCAGGTGTGTCTAGCACGGCCTGCTGCTGTGATGGGCTGGAAGGCTCAGGTGGTGACGACTGGCCAATTACCCTATAGTTGGCCTCGCTGCCGGATGAAGCCTCAGGATTGCTGTCGGAATCGGTCGCCGGCGGAGAACTGCGGTCGATGACTTTGTAGTTGGCGGTGTCTTCGATCGTGGACTCGGTCTGTTCGGAGGAATCTGTCTGTTCAGAGGTTTCTGAGCTGAAGGAAGCCTTCTTTATTCCCAATGGCGAGGTGGGTTCCGGCTGTGGTGGTGACGAAGGTACCTCCTGCAACGTGGGCAGCGCTGAAGACGGGCCAGAGTGGTCAACCACTGCTCGGTCTTTTCCCTTGTCACGCGGATCAGGTGTCTTTGCAACCTTGCGCAGACCACCCACCATGCGGTAATTCCAGGGTGATGAGGTGAACGGATCTTCGACAGCTTCCGTCGAGGCGACCGAACCAGGTGTTGCCGTACCGGGTGTGTAGGGGGACACGCTGCGGTCGGGCTGGGAGCTTAATGCAGAGCTGGGCCGATCGTCGTCGGTTGCGTCAAATGAGACGGCTTCATGCGAGCTGACGGTCGAGTAATTTGAGACCGGAGGGGACCTAATGCTCGATTCTGTGTCGGATATTCGCTTCGAAGTCGGCTTTAGTACAACTGAGAAGGTCTTGTCGGGATGCACCGAAATGACGTTTTGACGCCTCGACTTGGGTGTCTTTTTGGAGAGTGGTGAGGTTGGCCCATCATTGAACAGATTCGCGGATGCATTAGAACCGCTCATATTGCTCCCATACGACGACCTAGTATGAGCAGGGGTGGTAGTGGAGGGTCCTGCACCAGACAAGTCTGCGCCGAGTTTCGTGCCTGAAACGCCTCTGCTGTGACCCCTTGCCAATGAAGATGTCGAAGAAGAAAAAGAGGTGGGCGAAGACAGCGGCGAGCTGGGATAACCAGTATGATGGCCATCGTGGGCCAGAGAGGCTTTTTTCCTCGTCGGACTGGAGATCGCTGGGTCCTCGCTAGTCGCATGGCCGTCACCGTGCCCGTGTTCCGCAAAAGTTCCATGGGAGCTCCCTGCAGATTCCCTTTCCGGCCGAGGAGGAGAGTACGGGACTACTCGGATGGCCGCCAACTTGTTCTTCTCCGAGTTTGATCTCTCGTGCAGCGGCGCCCTCCTCGAGCCGGACGATGAGGACGAAGATGTCGTGGAGGACATCCTCCCTCGGCGGGCCGGGCCCGGGGGTTAGCTAATGTGTCGCACTTTTTCCTGTCCTTTAGATCGATGTCATACGTCTTTCCATGCCGGTCAAATCGGAAAACGCCGTGATCCAGAGACGCCCAATTCATGGATTGGCCGTAAGATTGCTCTAGCCCGCTTGTTGCTTCTTGCCGCTGTGGTCCAGGAGGATCTCGTGCGCTCTCGTCCAGTCCCGTCAGCCGTGTCGTGAATCCCGTTAATCCCGGTGCCGTCGAGTATTAAGATATAGGTGTAATCTAAGAAAGAGGAAGAAGCAAAAAGAGAGGAAAGGATTCCAGCAGGGTAGGCGAGCTGGGGGAGGTTGGAATTATTATAGCTAAGTATAGCAGAGAGAGCGATGACAAGGTTTGCCGGTCAAGTCCGCATAACCAGATATAGGCGTTGCGGAATTAAAAGGTCAGAGGGCAATTGGAACGAGTGTGAGGCAATAGAAGGCCTAGTAAAGGATTGGATGAAAGCGAACGGCAAACCCCCTTTGTCATGTACTACACTCCTCACACAAGGCCGGCGAAGGGGGGGAAGGAGGTCGACCAGAACAAGGCCAGAACGAGGCCCAGAGAAGAGATGGGAGGATACTGGTTCTTGAATTACCCTGAGCAACGGCCCATGAACGATTGGCTGGGAACCAGAGCGACGGCGCCTGTTGAGCTATGCGACCTAACGGAGGAGCAGGGTTCGATCGAGCAGGCCCAGAGATGAGCTAAATTGATCAAGGAGCTCTGGGGTACCAACCACGAGAGAGGAATGGTACTACCGTGGCTTGCGTGGAACCTGGCAAGACGACCCCAGCGGGCGCGCGACTGGACTGACAGGGCAAACCATCCGGCCCAGTTTGGTCGTTTGTTAGTCGTTTCTGCGATGTATTCGTGCCTCACTGTTTTGATGAGAGGGTGTTAGGTACTGCCACCGTCTGCCAACCTGCTAGTGCCGCTCTGAAGAATCGCGCTGCATGCAGCACCTCAATAATGATGGACGGCCGGCCCACCGAGGTCTCTGTTGTTCGACGCTGAGAGGCTCACCAGCGCCCGAAGCCCACTGAGGATGCAAGCCGCCTGCAGCTCCTCCTGCAGGCCTGCTGTACGCTGAAATGAGCGTGCCAGACAAGCCGACGGCGAAGAATCTGGTACGCGTTGCAGGTGCAGACTTTGTTGTGACCTGTGAGATCGCAGGCCAGGCCGGCCAAAGCTATTCGTCCCTAATGGCTGTTAGCCAGAGCTTCTTTTTGTCTCGCAAAGCGCCACTCGACGGCTTCACTACCCCTAGAAGACAGCTGCTAGACAAGTACCATAATACCGTGGTACTACGCGTAGCTGTAGGCAGGCCCCCCGAACCGTTGTCCCGTGGAATGCCTGCGCCATATCGCCGTGACCTTGGGGCTATGTACGTATCAAAGGGGGAGGCTCCATGAGATCGTACAATAGACTCCATATGATCGTCTATTCCCCTGCCTGCAACCACTTTACTGGGGGGAAACTCTGGCCATCTGGAGTTTCGCAGCCCCAGCGGTGAAGGCCTGTCGACTGGAAGCGAGGGATAGAATAGGAGCAGTACTGCACGCATCCGTCCAGGCCAGTCCGAGAGGGAAAGGTGCGGTCCGGCAGCGGTTCCCAGGGCGCCCTGCGCGTCCAGGGCCCCCCCTCGCTAGTGCCTGGCTAGCAGGTCGACAGGGGTTGATTGGCTGATTGGCTCGGCTGGGAGCGACGCTGACGATTTTTTGCTCACTTTTTAATTTCCAGGCCAGCTTGGTTCGCGAGGGGATTCGATGGCGGTGCAGTCCCCGCGTAAATTTCGTGTTTATGCACTATTTTAGCTATTTATGCAGGATAAAAGCTCCCAATCCATGTCGTTGATCCGCAAGATGCCCGCGGGTTGTGAATCTGGAAGGCATCCCAAGGTTGATCTGAGGCCTCTGGACACATGCTTCTGCCATATGCTTTGGCAATTGATTCATCCAATGTGCACAGTTTAGACTTTGACGAGGACGTCGCCGGAATTCACGACAATTTGCACTTTCAGACCGTGGTTTCAGTTGTCTCAACGGAGGGCATTGGCCAGTCAACTGTGGTTTTGACTTGGAGCTGGGGCCAGGCCACGGACCAGCCAGTCCAGCTAGTTGTTGCTGGAAGACCCGCAAGCCCACAAGCCCGCAAGCCCGGCACGGACATGAACTTGAAGCTCACGACATGACGCAGCTGGAACAAGTTGCTTCAATGGGCATTGCTTTTCGACCGAGCTGACGTCCTCATTCGCCCACTACTTCCAGACGGCGTCTGTTTTGTTCTGGAGCTGTGAAACCTGACAGCGGCTCGCGCTTAAGCAGGCGCCTCCTGTCCACGCCTCGCCTGTCAATCACATCGTCAGATCAGGCGCTGAGGTCACGTCACCCACTACGGCGGTTGGCCCTAAAGAGCTTCAGAGCCAACCCGTCAGAGGGTTGCAAGCTCCCTTGACTTAGCATTCTCCATTATCGAACGGGCTGCCTGTCGACCACGTTGCCGGACGGCCTTGACATCCCATGATTGCCGTCATCTTAGCCCAAGAATTAATAATAACAGCACCGTTAATATCCCGGCAGAAAGTCGATCTCGGACGCTAGAATCTGGCAGCCACCCTTCTCCACTCTTCACACGCGGGCATCCCGGAGCTCGCCCAGACTGCCGGGCCCTGATTCCTGGGACTGGGACGTGAACAACCAACTCCAGCTTCGACACGAGGCTATCTCGCCTTCTCATCTCGTTTTTGGATCATAACACCCGCCTCCGCACCCCTCACGGACCAGTCCGTGAAATTGCACCGTCTCTCACGATGCCCTCCATCACGGGCTACCTGTCCCGCTATTTCAGCCACGAGAAGCGTCAGTCCCCGTCGCACGCGTTTCTTGTTTATGTCCTGACCCGTTCCAGCCAAGCCCCCTCCAATCACGACCGGTACGGCCTCGGCCTTGCTTGTAAGTGATCCACGAGGCCGTCTCGCCGGCCAAGACATGTGCTCTTGATTGACTTTTTCCGAGGTGATCTACACGCTGGTCTACGTCCTGCCGTTTTACCTGTCGTCCACCACCAGGCCGTCCAGGACCCTCTCCCGGGATGCGCCCTCTGTCATCCGGGCCCGCATAACCTCTGTGACCCTCACATGCGTCTTCTGCTCCGTGTCGACCTTTGTGATCCTCACTTCCCAAGGTCATGCAACCAGGCCGGATGCGCTCCGCTCCATGGGCTACTGGCCCGTGGGCCTGGCCGAGGCGGCCAGGTCGCTCCTGCTGACGGCCATCCTGTTCGTGGGGCCCTTGTATGAGACCTTCATTGTCCATGGCGCCTGGCGTGACTGGCTGAGCTTGCAGCCGGTCTCTGAGCTGTTCAACGAATGGACTACGTGGCGTAACATTGTCGCTGTAAGTATCATGCACTTGCACATCTCGTATTGGTGGCCGTCTGACCTGCAGCTATAGGGCCCGTTCACGGAGGAGGTGCTCTTCCGGTCAGCATCGGTGCCTTTGATGCTCTTGGCCCAAACCTCAGTGACCAAGACTATCTTCCTGTCGCCAGTCATATTCGGTCTGGCACACTTGCACCATTTCTACGAGTTCAGGCTCTCGCATCCCCAGGTTCCAGTCTCGGTATCAGTGCTGCGCTCGTTGGTCCAGCTAACGTACACTTCCTTGTTCGGCGCATATGCCACCTTCCTGTTTCTCCGTACCGGTAGCCTGCTAGCCATTTTTGTCGTGCATGCGTTCTGCAACTGTATGGGCTTCCCTCGCTTCTGGGGACGCGTCGAGCCACTCAACGAGAACGAGGATTCCAAGTCCAAGCCGTCGATCATGTGGTCGGTGATCTACTACGTCCTGTTGTTCGTTGGGGCCGGCCTGTGGTGGAAGAACCTAGGACCGTTGACCCAGAGCGCCAATGAGTTAGTGCCGGTCAAGATCTGATTTGGGAACAGAGCCAATTTCTCACCACTGAAATTGGCACATGACGATCATGAGGAGTTGACAAAAGGAAATGGGTCAGGTAATATAATTATTATTGGATTGACGTTTCTCGAATCTCACATCGCCCACGTCCACGGGCCCTGGGTTGGTCTATGTTTTCGGCGCCATCGTTACGCTAGTATAGAATCCAGACTAGGCACCGGCCCTCTAGTTAATGAGAGATTGTTCGGCCATTCCGCCTTCAATGCAGTGGGCTTTCTCGGTCATGTTCCCTCTGAAACCCGGTTCTGCATGTTGGAGCGGCCCGCGCTTGCATGGCCCGCCGGGGCATCCTGTCGGTTCGTCACTGACAATCAACGGCCCTACGTGCGGCACTCGATGCTTATTTCTAGTGCATAGACTGCAATAAATCTCGATACGACAGCGCCCAACCCGTGTTCCGCCGCGGCGTCCGTGTACCGTTGGTTTGTCATGAATATGTTGCTCATTGGGATCCTTCATCATGTGTCTCGTGTTTCTCTCCGTGCGCCTCCAGACATGGCACTAGATAGACGAGAGACTATCTTGTGTATTAACCGGCGTAAATCGATAGTCGACTCAAGTTAAGCTCCCTACACCAGCGGCTGTGCGACTACCGGATCTATGCCGCACCTACTTGTATATTCGTTCCGTGAACGCAAGCTGCGCGGAATCCTAGTTGAATATATATAACCAAGCACAGTCAATGGAAGTCCTCCTTGAGACTGCCACCATAAATGATAGACGCTACCAGCGTGCCTCTGTGATAATGTGACTGCGGTGATAGAGGTTCCCTGAAAAGATTGCCGATCATTCTTCATTCTGAGTTGGCGTTGACATAATGTCGCTTCGACGAATCGGACGTAGCCTATACGGACAATTCGGCCCAATTGATCTCAAGATATCTACCATCCGCCTACTTCTCCTACGTTACCGCATGTAAGCGTCGAATACCCGGTCCGAGGTAGGAGGAACGGGATGTACATATCGCGAGGAACAGCTCCGAAGGCGCCCCGGCTATTGTACGTTTTCCACATACGAAGCATTTTGTTCAATCCCACGATCATCTATGTTCGCGGCGGCAGTTTGAGAATGACCTATTGTTTTCTCCAGGGATCATGCCATGGGCATGCAGTAAATGGAATAGTTAAACATGCAATACTTGCGTTATTCCGTTGAATTACTGAAGGGGCTTGATTATACTTAAGGTGTCGTCGGTCCACTCGTGAAACCTCTTGAAAAGATCCTCGTCCTTTGCGTGAGAGGATAGCTTTCCAGGGACTCCCAAAGGCTCGTAGTACGTGCCAGTGACTACATCCGTACTCGTGGCGGCCCACAAGTGGTTCCTGACCCCAACGGTTACAGGGACGCAGAACAATGGTGCAATAGGAAAAGTCAGACGAGTCAAGAGACTCTCATTCCGCAGCGACTCAGCCATGCCCGTCAATATCCTCCCAGGATGAACCGCAGCGACTCTGACTTGGGGACACTCGCGAGAAAGCTCCTTCGTCAAGCCGATCAGGGCCACCTTACTCTGTCCGTACCGTTTTGCGTAGTGCTAGATGAGGACCCACAGTCAGCCATCTGGTGTCGTAATATAGAAGCAATGCCAGCAGAAGCTTACCATGTTGGCACCATCACTCTTGAGAGAATCAAAGTCAATGCCATTCGTCGGTGCCATCAGCTGTCCCTCGCTTAAGACAACCACCACACGCACGTCGGCGCCGTGCTACTCGGCAGTACGTCGAAGCAACGGTGTTAGCAGCCTAGCAAGAAGCGCGTGGCCGAGATAGTTAATACCAAAATGAGCCTCGTAGCCTTCCTTAGTGGTCGCAGCCGAGACGCGGATAATACCTGCATTCAAAAACAGAATGTCTAGCCGCTTTTCTCGGGTAACGAAGTTGGCCGCGCATTCGCGGACGGCATCCAACGACGAGAGGTCCAAGTCCACAAAACAAATCTCGGTGCGAGGCTTGGCAGCTTCGCCGTGATCTCCGTAGGCCTCCTGGACTATCTGCTGGGCCAAGGCTTCCTTGGCCTTTTCGTCACAAGGCAGGTCCGCGATGTAGATGCGCGCGGGCCAGCCCAACTGCTGTCTGGCGGCCGAGGAAACCCGCCGCCCCCGTGATCAGGACGACCTTGCCGGCCAATGATTGAATATCACGGGCAGGGTCATAGCCCGCGGCGCTACTCGACGCGCCGTTGCCCGACCCAAACAGGACCACGCGGAACAGGCCCCGAACATCAGTCATGGCGGCGGCGAGCAGCGCGATGACTGCAAGGCCGAGGATGATGGTGAAGAGCATAGTCTGCAATTGCGTCTAGAGTCCGAGGTCGACGTAAAGAAAGAAAGAGCTCTTATGTACGGGTTATCCACCGATACACCCACCAGCCAACAGGCACGACGGCACTTTTAACAGGCCTCTATACGATATCAGCAGCGCACTACCGAATCAGGGCCCCACTCAGCAGTATACTGCGCCTCCGCTGCTATCACATCGCGGGCCCGTCCAGACTACTGACTTACCATTTGCGGGGCCGCAAGGCCAAAAATGCGTTGCAACCCTGACAGCCCTTGCGCCTCTGTCGATCTCGTATGTATCTGAGGAGTTATGGTAGATACTCTCTAACGCGCGCAGCCATGACTGCGGTCTATGCCATCACCGCTTGGGGGGGGGGGGGTGCTACTGACTTCATGCAATCCACCGGCGTTAGCTATGTATGTATTCTTCCCTTCACGATACTCGACGTGAACGATAACTGGCTAATTATGCGACTCTCTCCGCCCTTCGAACTGTGAAGATGGGAATCTTGGGAGTGTTTCGGGAAGCAGAGGATGTAGTTGCCTTGTCGTATCTGCGACGAAACTTGTAAATTGGAAGATATCGCTCGTATACTGCTCCTGGGTCTCACGCATCTAGGAGTCGCTTGATCGGCCCGGAAAAGGGGAAACGGGACGCAATCACCCTCAAACCGGCGACGTGCATATGATCATGTGATACTTTTCGAAGAATCGCTATATTGTATCCCCGCTCTTGCGGACCTTGTGTGAACCATTGACGTGCGCAATATCTTGTTCGAAATCCATTGCCATCTGTGTCCACGGTGGCATTTCATAAACATATACTTCATTGGAAGAACCAGTTGCTGGACTGTTGTCTTGCTCCTATTTCAGAATGCCTCTGCCCGTTTTTGAATACACTCCCTTGTCACCAGGGGTAGATACTCGCGTCCTGGAGCTCCAGCCTTCACTGGATATAGACGCCCCTTTGCGCTGCAATCTGCGGGATCTTACGCTCGGGTTTGAGGCCGACAGTGCACAAGGATCCTATGAGTGCATATCATACACATGGGGAGAACCACTGCTCGCCAAGCCTTTAGTCATGAACGATACTGCTGTGTCCATGGCCACTGAAAGTCTTCACAAAGCTTTGTCAAGATTCCGGCTGCCGACAAAAATTCGCAGACTTTGGGCAGATGCTGTGTGTATCGACCAGAATGACCCCGAGGACAAGGCTAGGCAGATCTCTCGCATGGCAGATGTCTTTCGATCTGCTTCCTCTGTCTTGATATGGCTTGGTGATTCCGAAGAAGGGTCCATGGCGCTTGAAATCATTGATCGGCATGCACGGTACAAGAATCATCGCACTCACGATGGTTCTGCTGAAGTCTCAAAAGCCTCGGATATTTTGTTCTCCCTGCCCTGGTGGAGCCGACGTTGGGTGATACAAGAGGCGCTCCTTAATGCAAACGTTTTCTTGGTCTGTCGGTCGGTAGAAATGCCTTGGGTTCGAATGGTTCCCCTCTTTGCCAGAGACAGAGGCTGCTTTGATTATTTACATCAACGCGTGGTCACTCATGGGCGGATTGCCCCTCGACCTATGGTAACAATCATGTTTACTCTTTGGAAGACCCATGGCCTTGGTTTAGATGATATCAACAGACCTACCCTCATGGGTCTTCTGAACGCATTTTCCGGATCTGAATGCTCAAATGGCCATGATCGAATTTATGCACTGGCAGGCTTTGCCGAAGATATGATCCTATACGCACCAGGAGGGAAACCCGTGCGGGACCTTCCACAACAGATATATTACAGGGGAAAGATTGAGGTGGACTATATGCAGTCCACCGAAGAGCTTTACATGAAGTTCGCTTGGGAGTATCTTCACGAATTGAAAGGTTCTTCCTGGATGGGATGTTTAGTCGACCACGCTCTGCGAAGATCCGACGGGGTTGATAGAAATGGACTTCCATCGTGGGTACCGGATTGGAGGCTTCCAGTAACACGAATACCTTTGTTCTTACAAGGACAATGTCGAGTGCGAAGTGTTGAGGCTCATTCCGGTCATAAACGAGCCACACTGCATGGCATGGTCCAGGGCACGGTAGACGCTATTATCGGGGTATTTCCGTCTAAAAACGACTTAGACCTGGATTCATGGGTTCCAGAAATGTGGGAAAAGCTCGTCCAATGGAGCAATGAAAAACACCTAGAGCTCTCTCAAATGCTCGGGCCAGATGCCGACCTCACAATCTGGCACATTCTTGGGTCGGTGTTGTTAGCCGAGCCCCATGGACAGCATAGGAATGAATGTTGCCTTGTTAAATTGACAAACTATCTAGATCTTAGGCCTATTCATAGCCTGCCTGGCTATACGAGGCAGGTGGACCTGCGCATGTTACAGACACCGGAGAGCAGGGAAAAGATCTGCTCAAATATGACTGGGCGTTTGCTTTTCACCTCGGTCGGCCAAACGGATCTTAGGATGCCAGGTGAAAGTAGACTGATTGTCGGCATCGGGCCTGGCCACACCCAGTGTGGCGACATTGTTGTCAGCCCGGGCTATAGCAACCATAGACATACCTTGTCTGACAGTAGGGATGTGTATTTCGGAGGTCCTTGGACGACTGAAGACCCTTACTGGGTGGCTTCGTATCTCCTTCGATATGGCGAGCCTTTAGGGAGCGAAACGAGCTTCAAACTGGTGGGTGAATGCTTTTGGCAGCTTCACCTTACGAAGGAGGACTGCGAAGATGAGCAATATGAAGAAGGCTCCAGATCCCATCGTGTGACGGTGAGCCACCCTCATGAGGACAACTTTCGAATGTTGCTTCCAAAGAGAGATTTCAATATATCATAGGATCACTTTGAGTTTTGATTGAGGAGTCTCTCGTAGAAGAGATCACGGATGTTATGAATGGCCCACCTTAATTACTATCATGTCTACCACGGCCACAAATAAATTGAAGCGACATGAAAATACCTGTGATCACATACAGACTATAACCACGCTGGTCTGTATTTGTTTTGTGCACGCCCGAAGGTATAAGATAATTTTCGTAGCAGTTGACGGAGCGCGCCCAATAGCGTCCTTCCGAATCACCATCCGTGACAGCTGAGTTATCGTGTTCTTGGAAACATAATATGATACGTCGGTCATAGGCCTATACGGAATATTCTAAAATAATGGTATGCTCCACATGTTCATAGGCTGAGATGACGCTTCGTATATCTGATACAAGGATAATGATCTGCACGATCTTATTGGCTAATTGACTGATGCACAATGCAAACATGTACCGGTAGACCTGCAGGCCCCTCGTTGCAACTGTGCTGCACCGCCACAAATGTCTGCCTTAACTTGGAGGACAGGAGCTGCTTCGCACATACCCGGCCCAAACAAAACACTATTTTCTCTACCAGGCTGCGAAAATCAACTTTTCAGATAACTATCCAAACGCCACAATGGACGTAATAACAGGTGAGACGGGCAGCACAGCAGCATCTCGCTTAGGCCAAGAAATAGTGCGCTTGAAGCGCGAACTGGTGCGCGAAGACCTGCAGGGCCATTCTTGTGAACAATGCAAGCATCTTACACTCAAACCTATCCCCGAAACTGTTACGCACTATAAAGATCGGATGTTGAATCGACTCCCTTCGTTCCAAATCGACACGACAGCAACAGAAGTACGTGGTCACGCGGCGTCTGGGCCATGATTCGAAACAAGCTAGCACTCATCGACTTGGAGGAGATGATAGAACAAGAAAGCAATAAACTGCCGTACGACCCGGATAAATATGGGCAGCGGCGGTCGTCGTGGCCAGATATCCTTTACAAAAGAGACCTTGCCAAGTCTCTTGGAAGAGAGCCGGAGAAGGAATTCTTGCGTCTCAGTCAAAGTCCCATCCAGTGGCGAGTCTCCGAGAAAGAAAATCACACCACGAAGTCCCCTGAACCGAAGGAGCTTGTTCGAGTCATCTTACTGTACACGACGTTTAATTTCGTTGAGGAATGGTGCGTGTGCATAGACGTGGTTCTGGCTCTGCCTGGAGGACCAGCCAGTTCCTTAATTTATCGAGAGCCTAGAGAAGCGAAGCTGCCGATGATAAGTTGGTTGACTACGTTGTGGGCGTTGGCAAGTCCAGGTGAAAAGTCTATCTCAAACCGGCCGCAGCGAAACTTGGCTAAGATGTGTTCCAGGTGATCTTGCGCACTCAAAACGAACTTACGTGGGAGCACCGAAAAACTTGAATCCGGGAAATTCTGCATCGATGGAGCTGTACCGAAACTGGTTGAAAAAATGCGATACAGTGCACAGCTGTGGAATTAACGATCTGCCAGATTCGATGCCGTCCTTGGTCCTCGACGTATCCGATAGAAGCAGAATCAGATTACTCGATGTTGCTGAGCCTATGAAACAGCGTTATGTCGCGCTTTCCTACTGCTGGGGGGAGCGCCGTGCAAAATACTATGTTGACACAGGACAGTAAAACATGCCTGTTCTCCGGCATCGACCCGCAAGATCTAGATCCTACCATCAGGGACAGTGTGAAGGTAACGCAAGAGCTGGGATTTCGGTTTCTCTGGGTCGATGCCCTCTGTATCTTTCAAGACGACGATACGTGGAAAACGAGAGAGCTGGAAATCATGGGGCAAATCTATCGGAACGCGACATTCACGATTGTGGCATCCTGGGCCGAAGATGTCAAAAACGGTTTTTGCATAGCCGCATATCAACACAAGACTTGGTTGGTCGTTGCTACAGACAACCCGAACCCGCCTTCAGGTTCCGAGTGGAAGAGAGTGGTGAGAAGTGCGAGAAACCGGTACTACTCAGGCCGGTGCTGCCGAATCCCGTAGAGCCCTGGTATGAGAGGGCCTGGACACTGCAAGAGATGATCTTCTGTGGACGTAGGCTCCAGTTTGCACACGACCAGACGACTTGGATATGCTATTGTAGCGAGCCACCAGCGCAAGAATGTGATGGCTGGCTGGCTGGTACGTGGTACGGCCACGATATCTACTCTGACGATTATTTCGAAGATATCATGACAATGGTACGAAGCAAGAAGGACTCTTTTCAGACCAAAAAGGTTCTATGGAATTGGTATGCCCTCGTGAAGGTATACTCCAACCGGAAGCTACGATACTGCGATGACAGACTGCCTGCTATATCTGCACTAGCGAGGGAATTTGCATCGATCCTAGGGGATCGATACATATGTGGCTTGTGGAAGTCTGACTTGCCATTCGGTTTGATGTGGCTCCCAAGGAAGCTACACTACTCTGTTTCTGGCGGGACGTCGGGACCGTCGTGGAGCTGGGCATCTTACGATGGCGAAACACGTTGGTGGGTTCGGAAGCACCAAGGGTGGCGACCGGATCAGGACTTCGAAATTCTTGGCAGTGTAATCGAGCTAACGTCGCCTGGAAACCCGTTTGGCAAGGTCAAAGCGGCTGAGCTCCATGTTCGCGGCTTGCTCTTGCCGCCAATCCAGTATATTGAGATCGACCCGAACGAATTCGACGGCAGGGACGCAGGAGAAGCTCTGCAAACATTCGTGTCATTTGACTACAATGACGATCCCAGAGTGCAGCCAGATTCTGGATTCAGTCTGAGCTTTCTGGTGGTTGGAAATAGGGAATGGTCGAGAATAGATGGCCTTGTAGTTTTGGAAGAAGCGGAGAACCGGTACTCTCGGGTGGGATGCTTTCGTATCATGGACCTATCACCAATGACCCCAGAGAATATATCGCCGGAGGTGGGTGGCAGACTGGCGAAGTCGCACGAGGAGCTTCGAGCCTGCTTGCGCATTCTCTGGGGGGTTGAACACAACGTTCGCCAGTTTGTATTGATTTGAAACCCCGCGTTGATTTTTGGGCTCAGAAAGCAGTCATATCACTCACTTTGCGTGATATCGCATATCAGCAAAGACCCGGTGCAATCAGACCGTCAACAGGGAATCAAGCCGTGTATAGGAAGCAGACACGCGGGTTTGACCTCTTTGCACTCGGTGATGAATGCTGAAGAACTCATTATGAAGCGGCCGATGGCACATTGAGACCACCTCGAATATGGAGAATCTGCCACTTATACCATGGAGTGTCATAACTTCACTTGCTGAGCTTCCTTACGCGACAATGGCCCGAATTGAGCAGATTCAGTTCCCAACATAGTCCCAAGGAGTCACTCATTTGCCGCCAGATACTCGATAGCGTTTCACTCCAGGGCCTGACCAAGAAGCTGTTCAACCCCCCTTTCTTTATCAACTTCGAAAAGCCTACCAGTCCAGTAGTGATAAGTCAGCCCGCCACTACGTAAAGGTTGAGCTCATCATTCGTGTGGGACAGGGGATTGTTCTGGAATCGCCGCCGCACTCCTGCGACTAATAGAAGCGCACTGCTTGTTATATCGACCAAGGCTTCACGGGTGAAATATAACGATTGGGCTGTGCACGGGCCACATATATATATATATATATATATACCCCGAATTTAGCTTGACCATCTTGGTTCGACGTAGCCCACTCTGCAGACTTGTGTCCTGAGTAGCTACTGTAGGTACAGCAGCTTATCCGGCGAAGAGACGCATTGATTAGCTCTAGCAGCACGATTGGCTGATTATAAGGTGAGAGGACCGTGCAGCTGTATCACTAGTGCTAGCGCGGGGATACCAATAGGAGTTAGTTGATTTCCAGACAAAGTGGGGCGAGACGTAATCGCTTAAAGTAGGAAACGACATACCTGCAGCATGACAGGCGGCGTTCAGCCACTGCAGAAGTTCAATTTCGGCTACTGTCAGAACGAGGCATATTGCCGAAATCTCAGACAAGGTCCAGAGATGAAGCTGTGCAGGAATAGGTGAGCCCGACGAACAAGCAGCGGGATCCCAATGTCGGCGATTCTGATCACGTGCGGTTTTGTTGCCCGTTCCTGGCCTGGAACAGCGGCCCGGTAAGGTCTTTCTTTGCCCGAGCAGTACGTAGGTGTGGGGTGCTATACCCCGTACCCGGCAAGCGGGAAGATTGCCACACCCAGTCGCGAATCTTCGCGCTTGCGACTCCCACTCTCCAAATCTTAAAAAATCTCAACTTCCTGCGCCCCCGTTCCCAAGCTGCAGAAAGGCCGCACCCCCGTCGCCATCATGCTACGGAGACCGGGCCTTCTCGCGTTTATCGCGACTGTAGGCGTCTTCTATCTGATTGTCTGGCACCTTCTTCTCCGGGAGGAGCATGCAGACGTTTCTGCTTGTGGCACTTCGCGTCATCCGTGGTCGAAAGGGGGTCTGAAGGGTATCCTTGGCATAGGGACGAAAAAGCGACCAGATCATGATGATCATCCCATCTCCGAATTGATCGATGGGGCATTTACAAGTCTGTCGCATCTTCTCTGCGAGCGCTCGTTCAGTCTTGAGCAGGCAGCCGACAGATACCGCAAACGTCGTGGCCGACATCCGCCTCCGGGGTTCGATAAGTGGTTCGAAGCAGCTAAAGCGGCCGACGCTATTGTCGTTGAGGAGTTTTTCGACCGTATTCACCATGATATCAATCCATTCTGGGCGGTTGATCCGCTTGAACTGCGGCGACAGGCTCACTCTCAACCGCAATTAATTCGGGTCCGCCACGGAGAGGCTTTCTTCGAGACGGACACACTCAATCGCCCCGAGTTTATACAGCTGTGGACCAAGCTTGTGCAGGAGATAATGCCACACCTTCCGGATCTAGACATGGTCGTTAATGTGATGGATGAAACTCGAGTTCTGGTACCGTGGGAAGACATGACACGCCATTTCGCAGCCGAGCAGGAGTCCCGGAATCTTTTCCCCATTTCCGAAGCCGTGAACGAATATACTGACTACGCAGAGTTCGACAAGCCAGGATATTCCGGAGCATCTGAACCGCATTGGATTGGCGGCAGGCAGCATGAATACTGGGACTTCCTGGCTGCAGCATGCCCGCCAGATAGCCCAGCTCGGAAATTCACGCGCCTATCCAATTTCTCTTCACCCATTGACGAAATATTTCCCACAGATACTCAGCCCTATACATACAAAGGCTTCGTAAATAACGTCACGGCGGCCAGCGACCCGTGCCAGCAGCCTCATCTGCGTGGAATGCACGGGACGTTCGTGGAAAGCATTAGCATGTCAACAACGACCACCTTGTTTCCTATGTTCGGCGGCTCGAAGCTGCCGCAGAATAACGAGATCCTGATCCCGGGTGGTATGTACTTGACTGATAGAGAGTTCTATTCCGGCGGCGACACACATGGTCCGCCGTGGAGGCAAAAGATGGACAAGGTTGTATGGCGCGGCGTGGCCAGCGGCGGTAGAAACAAGGAGGATAACTGGTGGCACTACCAGCGACATCGCTTTGTGCAGATGATGAACGGTACAACAGTGGGGCGAGTCGAAAATGGGGAGCCAGAAGCAGCACCGTCTTTCATCCTCCCACCTCCCACCTATTCCTCTGGTTTACAGCAACCGAAGGGCACTCTTGGGCCCTGGCTGTCTACATTCACCAATGTCAGCTTCGTCCATATGGAGTGCTTTCCGCCTATATACGACGCCGAAGGGCGATACCTCCCAGACTGCCAGCACACGGACCCTTACATGAGGGTCAATGCACCGGTACCTATGAAAGAGCAGTACAAGTTCAAGTTCTTGCCAGATGTTGACGGAAACTCCTATTCTGCACGTTGGCGCGGGTTTCTGCTGAGCACAAGCTGCCCACTCAAGGCAACGATATACGCTGAATGGCATGATGACCGCTTATTCCCATGGCTCCACTACGTGCCGTTCGATAACACATTTACGGACATTTACGCAATTATGGACTACTTTTTGAACGGGCATGACGCCGAAGCTAGATTCATTGCTGAGGAAGGTAAGAAGTGGGCTGAAAAGGTGTTACGGAGGGAAGATATGAGGCTTTACGTCTGGAGATTATTATTAGAATATGCAAGAGTGGTTGATCCTCAAAGAGACAGACTGGGCTTTGTTACGGACATGGTAGGTAGATCATAGCCATCGCTATTATAAGCGCATTAGGTGTGACAGCTAGTTTATATTAATTACTGCAATAATGTTTCTGTTATCTCCTGCGCCGCCCGGTCATGAATTGTCCCCGTAGTATGTTGAACTCATACCCGTCGTTTGAAAACAGCAGAGCAGCTCCTGCATTCGTAAGATGGAGCTTAGGGTCCTCGGGAACGAAGATGGTGCGCTACCTCACTAGCTGTCAAACAGCTAGGTGGAAGGTCATGCACAGCTAACTCGCAGCTAAGTAGTTGATTGGGTCGCGCAAATCCTGTATGTATTGTTTCTGCTTGTGTGCGTGTGTGTATCTCCGTGACCTGTTCTTGTGTTCTGCGTCGCTCCACTCCCAGGTATGCAGCATATCCCGCAGTGCATGTGGAAGATTCATAACCTACGTTACCAACCACCTTCCACCAGATCCACCAGCTTGACCTTGATTGACAAAAAATACTGGCGCTAGGAACGTGGACCTCACCGGGACGGGTCACTCAATTCATGACGGGGAACTAGGTAGCTGGAACTTTGCCGGCACTTTGAGGTAGTTCACGGTATGGCTAGACTACTCTTAACTCCTGCCACAAAGAAGTTTTTATACCATACACGACTATGTTGCCACAGAAGGTGTACGTATTCCATGATAAGCAACTGCCGTTTTGTGAAAATGCTATAACCACTACTAGTATCTATTGTGGCGACATTGGAGATGCGATAAGAACCATTGCATATGGATATTTGCTTTGCCCGCCAACCTGTAAGTAAGCTGCGTCAACTCTATTGAACCAACTGGAAGACCTGCTTCTGACCCGGCCCCTAGTCATACCATGGCTGAAAGTATGTATTAATCCCCTAGATTCTGCAGCGGGCCGAATCGGGTGATGAACAATCTCGGGTCAAGTTGACGGTTGAGCAGTGCCCAGACTACGTTTATACTGTGCCTTTCAGTTCGACCCACTCGCCGGTTACTAACATATCCTTGTCTAACAATTGTAGACGCCACTTCCTCAATAGACGATATGTTTTTCGTAAGAAGAAACGCTTGGGGAACGGACCATCAGAAAGGATCCATTTCCAAAGTGGTAGCACTTTCTCTGTTTCCTGTTTCCTGTGACCCGAACCCACCCCAGCCTTGCGAAAGAGCAGAGAGATTATGTATCCTTTGTTCTTATTATTCAATGCACTCAGGTTGTATCAGACAGTTCAACTAATGTTGTCCTTCGCAAAACCCCCGCCATGGTTGATACGGTTCCGTCCCAGCTCGCTAGCTATATGTCTGGAGGCTTGTTCTAGAATTTGTAAGGGTATGCGATGAGAATCGACACCAGATGGGCTTCGTGGACGATCTTTTATGATGAGAGTCTAGCTCTATCTTAGGAGTTGAAGGGTCTCATAGAGCAACGCAATCGATATTTTGTTCTTGCTTATACAGTGGAAAGGTGGAACTCGGTGGTATCATTGAGTCGATTGAGGATAGAGTATGTCCGTATAGTTGCAGCAGCCACGCCAAGGTTCGAGTTTGTGACGACGTACAACCGCGACGCAACCTGACATATCCGCAGTAGATATCCCACGTTGCTGGTAGTCCACTTATTGGATTTTGATTGTCTGCACCATCGTCTTGCGCCTACTTGTCACATTTCGGCAGCTTATATTCAACCTATAGAGTAACATCGCAGGTTTCATCTCAATAACCAGGGTGAGTGGGCTCCTCCTAAACTGTGGAGCGACCCAGCTGTGGCTAGTCACTTTATAGAACCTGTACTAGATTGACATAAGATATAGTAAAGATGCTCTCCCTAACACCATGCCAATTGACCGTTACATAACCCCCTCACGAACCCGACATCAAGGACCCTCCTCAACTGGAAGAACGCTGCCAATGGTGCTCAGCTCATCAACGCCTGCGCGCCTCAGACCAATGCAGTCTTCAGCCTCGGTAGTTTCCACAGCGAAGAATGGGTTTTCGGGGTTGCGCTCTGCCTCTGAGACATAATGTTCATCGCCTTCATTGGAAAGTAGGAGGGCCCCCAATTGTAATCGTTACTGTTTCCTGTGAGTGCGTAGTACTTCTCCTCAACTTCTTTTTATATGGACCCGAGGGCTTCCATATCTGACTTCGAGAGGACCCAGCCAAACGAGCCCGGATTCTACAGCGTCTGCACCATCTTTATACCCCACCCATAATTATGAAACACCATCTGTCAGGCAGACGCAGCCCTCACTGCGTCAATCAGCGACCGCTGACTAGCCTTGATCTAAGAAGAGGAACTCTCGACTTTCTTCTTCAGATCTGCATTGAATTGATTCCAGTTGCTCAAGGTGGAGCCGCTGAGACCGAGTTGTGGTGCCATAAGGAACGCAAAGACGCCTCGAAACTCCTCCTTCTGAAGGAACGTGGTCCCGCCCGCATGCTTCGTGCTCGGGTTGAACATGAATTCATGCTTTCCCGCGAGGAGGCCGTAGAAGTTCCCGTCCCATGAAAAGGAGTCGGCAGGTGATTTCTAAAAGGTCAGATACGACTTCAAGGAGAGTGCAGCCAGCTCGAGGATACACACCACAATGGATGCTTCAAACTTCATAGCACCGAGGTCGATCTTCATACGGTCGCCTTCCTGCAATTCCGTGGGGCTCTTGGTGGCTTCGACAGGCTCAAAGTACCACTGGCTCCATTCTTTGTATCGGCCAAAGTCCATGAACTAGAATGTATTAGTAAACTTGAATGACAAGGACAGCGTCGAAAAGTACCACTGATCGAACTGCATCAGGCGATGCCTGGATTTCGATTTCCGCGGTGATGCTTGGAGATTGACCCATGATGGAACTTCTGTAAACCACGATCAGGGCCAAACTTTCGAACTACTCATTGCAGCATCCTCTTCTGGGTGACGTCTACCCGGGCCCTTTTATACATTCTGCAAGACGTGCTATAACCTGGTCATGCCGGCTCAGCCAGTACCAGCGTAGTCTGTGCCCCAGCCACGCCGCCGTAACCCATTGGCGCTGACGGGTAATCACGCTACTGTGTTAGCTCGACCAACCCGCCGGAAACCGTGCTGCTGTGCCGCAGGTCTGGCCAATACCTATACAGAGCTAGAACAGAAAAGGTATTTGTAGGTCTTGGCGCCGAACACCCACCTGCCGGAGTTCTGATGACTCCGTATTCTGCAACAGTCCCCCTCCCTGCATACGACACCGTCCTTGGTGGATAGCATTCATACATGTAAGCCTCCCATAGAACATGTCACCGCGAGGATCCAACCGCAACAAATCAGCACCGGGAAACTGGGGGTTTGTCCAGATCGGCAATCCGTCCGATAAGTCCTGGCGAAGCGAGGTCCGCTCCCACGTGGCAAGTACTCGGCACGCAACGGCACGACAAAGGCAGGTCCTCAGCCATCAGAGGAAGGATAATGAAGGGCAGCAGGCAGAAAATGGCGGTACACAAGTGTGCATGGTGCCAATCGCTAGTATTTGCTGTTCGACATGGATCCTGGATCCCTTCGATAGCTTAGCACGGCCGACATCACGCTTCGAAAACTTCCTCCTTGATCACTGTAGGGCCCCCATTCCAAACTGACGAAGCTATGCAACGCGTCTCGTTTCGTTCCTCACAGACCCATGGCAGATCTTAAATACGTCGTGGTAAACGCTGGCATATGCAACAATGCCGCAGCCAAGACGCTGGCCCACACTGGAGTCCCACTGCATTGGGCCCAACATAGCTTGACGTATACACTGGGTGGCGTGTTCCTGTCGACCTGCAGGCACCTTGCCAGGCTACAGGCTGCCGGGAACTTTCGCCAGAGAGCTTTGGCATACAGGGGGGAATGCATCCGAGCGATCAACGGCGCCATCTCCCGAGAAGGATCCTCGCCCAGTAGCAACACCATTTATACAACTTTGGCCCTGGGCCTAGACGCTGTGAGTTCACCCTGCCCTTCTTCTGATCGGCGGGGACTTATCCCATGGGACAGTTCTTGACCGGGGACATCTACGCGGCTCAAGAACACTGTAAAGCTGTGCATCTCATGCTGCGTATGATGGATGACGCGGGCGTGCACGACGAGTCAACAAGAGCATTCGCATCATACGTGGGATTTATGACTGAGCATATAGAGACGAGGTTGGCTCACCGGGACAATCACGGGGGACTTGAAATCATAAAATGAAAGGGAGGAATAACACTTCTACCATCAAACTCTGAGTTCTCAGAACTTGAACCCGCTCGCAACTGGCCGCTCTTACCACTCTCATGCACCCGGCTGCCAATATGCAACTTTATACTGAGCCTGCGGGTAGGTCATCCCAATGGGACACGCATAAGAGATACGGCTTCTAGTGTCCCTGAGGGGAGTCTAGCTGGCTATTGTTAAATAGAAGGCGTCTCATGTCGAAGAAGTAGGCCTGTTAGTAGGGCGCTAAAGGAGATGAGGAACACAATTTGCTGGGTTAATCCATGGTCTCTTCAACGATGATGGTAACTTTTCATCTGGAGGTGGGGAGTAATGTCTTTGGCACTGCATGGGAACATTCTGACGAACCTGGTCGGTATCGATTCAGACGGATAATATGGGCGATGAAGCTTTCTTGTATACCCTATTAGCACAGATGCTGGATAGTATAGTACACGGGGCCCAACAACCCCCTTGGCCATGGCGATCTATCTATCTACTACTACAACGTAAAGATTATTCTTACATATCCGCAGCAAGCATCATGCCGCATACACTATCTCTAGCAACCTGCCAACCCGACGCCATTCCCGCACGATCCGCGTTCTCACTTGACCTGCGTCATCGGCCCACGCCTGCGGTATGACAACCCAACGACATCGCGCACCATGAGCATGGTCCGGCGGGCGCTTTGGCGGGCGCGGAACGCGCCCTCGTGGGCGACCTCGTCGAGCCACTTGCCGCCCTTGCGCTGCAGGGCCTCGCGGTAGCGGTCGCGCACGCCGTCGAGCTCGGCGATGATGGCTTCGGCGGCCTGGCGCTTGAGCGCGCCCAGGGTGGCGCCGTGCAGGTCCTCGGCCAGCGCGGCCGGCGACCGCCGCGCCGGGTCGCACTGCGCCCACAGCTCGAGCAGGTTGGCGACCCCCGGGCGCCGCGCCGGGTCGTACGTCACCCAGTTGTCCGAGTCGGTCACGGCGCAGCGCAGGCGCGCCCGGATCTCGGCCGGCTCCGACGTGATCTCGATCCGCGACTTGTGGCTCGGCGACGACTTGGACATCTTGCTTAGCGGGTTCTGCAGCGACATGACGCGTGGGGTCTCGGCTGTGGGGTGGTGGATGGTGTTAGTGAGTAGCGAAACCTGGAGGGCAGGAAGGCGGGATGGACGGATGGATGGAAAAAAGAAACTCACTCGTGATGGTCTCCGGGGCCAAGAGGCGCCCATTTTTGAACGCGGCGTTGAAGTTGGTGGCGCACTCGCGGGCGAACTCGAGGTGCTGCCGCTGGTCGTCACCGACGGGCACGTGGGTTGCGCGGTGCACCAGGATATCGGCCGCCTGCAGCACCGGGTACGAGAACAAGCCCAGCTTGAGCTTGGACGCGAGGGCGTCATCATCGAGCGACATGCGGTTGTTGTTTTCCGTTAGCTTGCTCTGTTTGGGTGCGCCTATGGTCAGCTTTTCTTTCTTCTACCCTGTCTTTCCCCCTTCTGGGCTGGCTGCCCGTCTCTGAGGAATACATATGTCTTCGCAAGCGCCCATGAACCAAGATCTGAGAGATGAGCGACAAACCTTCCACTGGGTCATGCGCCCGAGGTAGCCCATGCTGGAGGTGCAGCTGAGGATCCACAGGAGCTCGGAGTGGGCGGGCACGGCGCTCTGGTAGAAGAGGGTGCAGCGTTTCGGGTCGAGGCCGATGGCGATGAGGGCGGCCAGCATCTCACGACTGCGCTGGCGCAGCTGCCGCGCGTCCTGCGGCATCGTGATGGCGTGCAGGTCGACGATGGAGAACAGCAGCCGGTCCTCCGGGTGCGCCTCCGCCTGCAGCTCCCGCCACTGCCGCATCGCGCCCAGGTAGTTGCCCAGGTGCGGCACGCCTGTCGGCTGGATCCCCGAGAAGATGGTCCGTGGTTCGCGCTCGGGTTGATCTGTTGTGGTGCTAGCTTCCGTGGCACTGGCGTCTGTCGCGCTGGCTTCCGATGGTGACGACGATGACGACTGAGACCTCCTTTGCCATGGGCTCAACGAAGACCTAGGACCGCGCAGCAGGCGGCGTAGATGCCCCGACGCCGCCGAGGGCCGGCAGCGCGCGCAGGGCGGGACGCTCATCGAAACTGCTGGAACGATGTCCAAGAGCCACTGGCGCAGGTATAGGTGCGCAAGATGTGTATCACTCGGCTCCCAATTGCTGATGGCCTCGCGTGAGATTTTCAGCGCAACGTGTATTTATCTACTTCTGTTTCCTATTAGCGCGTGTATGACAACTTCGCATTGAGACCGATAGAGTTTGCTTACGAGTCTTGTCCTTCTTTTCATTTGTACGACTTTGACGCCCATCCCCTATTCCAACTGCATGACTTCTCTCACTGTTGAGAAGAAAAGCCTTGGCGGTCGTCGAATTTGAGATGAGAGCACGGGCCACTCAGACGCATCGCGCGCGCGGCCACATCACAGGAGCAACAGGGGCAACGGGTCAGGCCACGCTCAAGTTTCCAATTTACGATTCTTGCATAAGGAGGGTTTTTATTTTTTATTTTTTTTATTTTTGTAAATCAGGTCTCAATCCATGATTCCTTTACGTGCAGGTTGACGGTGCATTCAGCGAATGTTTCATGAAGAAACCAGCATGCAGGATATGTGATGTCTACTCCACGCTGCAATACAACGGGTCAAGAGATTATGGTGGTACACATGTGATATATAGTACATCTAAGTACAGGCCTTTGTACATCGTAGCCATGGCCGAGAGCTCTATTGGTATGCTCTGGGCCTATGCCACCTAGGTCCCTTCCTCCAACCTACTCATTGGTGTCGGAATCTCTCGCTCTCCAGCAGCTCCTGAACCTTCTGAACCGTGCCTGCCGTCTTGTCACGCCCCAAGTGCTGCATCATCTTGGCCTCGACAATCTCCTGCATGGACTTGGCATTGCCATCCAACTGACCGGCCACGTCTGTTTGTTCTCTGTTAGCCAACTGCCCCGCCTGCGTCTTGCTCTCCACGACGAGGTGACTTACCGAGCTTGCTGTACTCCCAGACGTTGGCCTTCATACCGATGCCGTAGTAGGCGTGCTTCTGCAGGAAGGCCAGCCAGATCTGGACCGTCTCCGGGTGGCCGTCGCGGATCTGGATGAGGCGGCGGCGGGTGATGCGCTCCCAGTTCTCCTGGCTCTTCTTGAAGATGAAGTGGGACTTGGGGACGGTCCAGCGCTCGGTGATCTTGGGCAGGGGCACGGGGCCGAAGGCGGGCAGGTTGAGGTAGTAGGCGGCGCGCAGGGCAAAGTCGCAGAAGAACTCGAGGTTGGGCACGCTGTAGGAGCGCAGCTGCAGGTCGCACGTCGGCACGCCGTACGTCTGCTCGCGACGCAGCGGCTGCAGGTAGAGAGACTGTACGGCGCGGGGGAGGCGGACGGCGCCCTCGTCGGTCTTGCCGGTGAGATGGTTGAACTCGGGCCTGTGAAGGTTTGTGTGAGCCATTGGGATTGGGAGCCAAGGGGTGGCATGTTGGTTCGGGGGGCTGCGCTTACTGGAGAAGCAGTGCTGCGGGCGGCGGAATCTCCTCGGGCTTGGCTGCCTCTGACGGAGCCGAGTCGTCTCTGTGCGGGCTGTTGTCAGAAAACTGTGCGGTTGATCTCGTAGACTGGACTGCGGGCGGAACTCACACCGAAGCCATGGACCGGCGGGCAACTACGGAGCCAGAGAAGGCATTTCGGGACGGCTGGGCCTAGCAGCGAATGGTTAGAACTGGGGGGATGCGGGTGGGCAGACAAGCTGGCTGGCTCACCAGAGGCCTTGCTATCGATTGCCGCAGGGGCTGTAATATCCGTGATCTCGTCATGGTGGCTGCGATTGAAGCTCTTCAACACGCCCCCTGTAGCGAAGGTCGCGATGCTCTCAACTCGCTGGGTACGTACGGCGGATGGAAACTTTGAGAGGCCCGGCTCGGGTAGATGCATATCTCTTATCGATAGACATAAGTTGGAGGTGAGCCGACCAGGGCGTCAATTGTGCGCTGCATAAGTGCGCCAAGCCCACGCCATGTACTATGTACGAGGTAGGCCTGCTAGGCCTGCCTGGGGGCCTGCAGCGCCTGGAATTACACTGGACAGGGGACCGGAGTTAGTGGGCGGCAGGCGGCAGCCTGGGATAGCTCCAGCTCCCCACCTCCACCAACGGCGCCAGCTCACATCGTCCCGCTCCAGCCAACGAGTCGAGTTACATCGACGCCAACCGCCTTCAGGAAACATCCCTCCGTCTGTGAAGTCTCAGCTCCAGGAGCACACAGGTCAAGATGGATGTGGCAATGAAGTCATGGGGTAAGTGATACTCCCCTCCCAACTCTCGAGGTTCCTCATAGACGAATCGAGCCACCAAGAGCTGCCTACCTCGTCTGCCCCTCCACGTCTCGTGCCGCGTACTTTCTTCTGTTATATGTTGTACACGTATATATATACACACATGTATTGTGTGTATGTACGGACATACAGGCCACTTTCGGATCGTATGAATGCCTGGCTGACTCTCTTCTGTTCGTCCCAGAGCTCGACAACGACGTCAAGCTCGTCGACCCCACCCGCGATGCCCTCTTCAAGCTCGACAAGGAGAAGCAGAAGGACATTGACAACCGCAAGCCCTGGCGCGAGAACCCCAACCACTTCCAGCACGTGCGCATCAGCGCCGTCGCCCTCATCAAGATGGTCATGCACGCCCGCTCCGGCGGCGAGATCGAGGTCATGGGCCTGATGCAGGGCTACGTCGCCGAGGACACCTTCATCGTCACCGACGCCTTCGGCCTGCCCGTCGAGGGCACCGAGACCCGCGTCAACGCCCAGGACGACGCCAACGAGTACATGATCGAGTACCTGCGCCTCAGCCGCGAGCAGGGCGCCCGCCAGGAGAACGTCGTCGGCTGGTACCACAGCCACCCCGGCTACGGCTGCTGGCTGTCCGGCATCGACGTCGGCACCCAGGAGCTGCAGCAGAAATTCCAGGAGCCCTTCTGCGCCGTCGTCATCGACCCGGACCGCACCATCAGCGCCGGCCGCGTCGAGATCGGCGCCTTCAGGACCTACCCCGAGAACTACAAGCCCGAGTCGTCCTCTTCTGCGGGCAACAAGGACGGATCGAGCACGGGCGGCAGATCGGTGCCTCTGGCCAAGGCCGAGGACTTTGGCGCCCACGCCAGCCGCTACTACAGCCTCGAGGTGTCGCACTACAAGTCCACCCTGGACACGAGCCTGCTCGAGCTGCTGTGGAACAAGTACTGGGTGCAGACGCTGTCGCAGAGCCCGCTGTTCACGAACCGCGACTACGGCAACAAGCAGATCCTCGACCTGGGCTCCAAGATCCGGGAGGCCACGACGGCGCTGCAGCGGCACTCAAAGGGGGGCGGCCAGATGTTCGTCTCGGGCAAGACGGTCGACACGGAGCTGCAGAAGGTCGCCAGGGACAGCCAGGCCGTAGCCGGCAAGGAGGTCCAGGGCCTCGTGGCCACCGAGGTCAAGGCCAAGATCTTCAACGGACTTGGTAGTGCTGCTGCGCCGCCCGCGAGCACGTAGGCACGGGCTTGTACAATGCACCGATGTGACGCATTCCGGTAGAGGACGGTAGAGATGTACATAAGCCTCGGCACTTGTCGCTGAGCGATTGGGGTTGTCCCATCATCCACCCAGCCTACGCACGACAGTCTCGCGGTGACACCCATCGAAGCTCATGAAGAGCGGGTGTGGAGAGGGTTTAGGGAATGCCCGATACGAGCATCCTGGGCTACACGTGAGTCCTGATTGACCGGAGGCTCGACCCATGAAAGATCATGAGACACGAAGCATTAGATGGCGTTTTGTTTGAGGGATGAGGCTGAGTTTTCGCCCGAGAGTCTAAGGGGGCTTGTCTATGCTACAATACAGGGAGCTAGAATTACACAATTGATACAGGACCATTTCCCCCACCAACTCGATGTTCCGCAACCTTTCCCTTCCATATGATACAAAGCACGCCTTGGTGACATATACTCGTCCTCCTGCCTGCCTGCCTGCCGGCCGGCCGGCCTGCTTGCTTCACTGCGCATCTCCCCCCTCATCCGTCTCCCGCGCAACGTCCACCGCCAGATCCACCCGCCGCAGCACCTCCTCGCGCCCCAGCACCACCAGGCTCGGCACCAGCGCGGGGCCCGGCTCCCCCGCGAACAGGATCCAGCGCAGCACGTGGTACCCCCAGACCTCGGTCCGGCCCGCCCCCGCCTCTACGTCCCCCTCCGCGGGGACCGCGATGCTCCGGCACAGCGCCGTCACGGGGCCCTCGAGCGCGTCGAGCGTCCAGCGGTCCGCGGGCAGCTCGTCCCGCAGCAGGGCCCGGAACCGCGCGGCCGACTCGGCGGTGCGCAGCGCCGGGTGCCGCACCGACGGCGAGGCGGCGGCGGCGGCCAGGACGCCGCGCGAAGGCGAACACAGCAGGTAGCGTGCGCGCCGCACCAGCTTGGCCATGTCGCCGTCGTAGGCCTTCTTGTCCAGGGCGAAGACGGCGTGCAGGTAGGCCGGGTCGCGGGCGCGGGGCGGCAGGGTGGGTGTCCGGGGGATCGGTGTTGGAGAGGGAGGCAGAGATGGGGACGTTGAGGATTCCTCGGTTAGCATGGCCGCGATCTCGCGCTGCATGGTCGGCAGGAACATGGTCGTGAAGGTTTCGGGCGTCAGCGAGGCCAGCAGGCGAGCCGTGTGCTTGGACTGCAGGAACGGCAGCTTGGACGAGATCTTGATGTTGCCCCTTGTGAACCGTAGGTGGAACTGCCAGGTAGGAGATGTTAGATTTGGTCAAACGGTGGATTTATCTCTTCGCCGGTTTTGGCGCGTGTTTTGGTGGTTATATTGGGAGAAGATAGGGGGTGGAATAAAAATAAAAAGGCAGTGGGGGTATAGATAGCCTGTGTACATGAACACAGAACAACAGCTACAACAAGCATAAAGAAAGCACATACCTTCTCGACCATCTCATCCAGGTCCATGATCTCGCTGGTGCCCTTCTGACCGCGGCCGGGGCTCCAACCCAGCAGCACGGCGTAGTTGAGCAGTGCGGCGGGTAGGACGCCGCGGCCGCGGTACGACGAAATGTCGATGTCGCCGGACCGCTTGCTGAGCTTCTGGCCCTGGCTGTTGCACAGCAGGCCGACGTGCGCGAACGTCGGCGCCCGCCACTGGAAGGCGTCGTACAGCAGCATGTGCCGGGGCGTCGAGGTCAGCCATTCCTGGGAGGAGATTTGATGTCAGCTTTGTCTGGGTTTGCATAGCCGATGGAAACTCGGTCTCCCTTTAGAGCTCCATGTGTTGATGAGGATTTTGCTCTTCTCTGTGCTTCTACAGAAAAAAAGGGAAAAGGCAGGACCACAAGGCAGCTAGCATAGAAACTTACAGCACCTCGGACAACATGTGTCACCTCCATCAGGTGGTCGTCGACGACGTTGGCAAAGTGGTAGGTCGGGAAGCCGTCGCGCTTGACAAGGATGAAGTCGTCCTCGCGCTCGGGGCGGCGGTAGCGGCCGTAGACCAGGTCCAGCACGGGGGCGGTGCCGGCGGGCGAGTCGTTGCGGAAGCGCACGACGTGCGGCTCGCCGGCGGCGGCGCGGCGCTCCGCCTCGGGCACGGGCACGTGCCGGCACCGCCCGCTGTAGTGGTGTACCGACGCCGGATCTGACGCGCTGTGGTGCTCCATGTTGTGCAGCTTCAGCGCATCCAGCTCCTCGGCGCTGCAGAAGCACCGGTACGCCTGCCCCGTCGACAGCAGCTGGTTGGCGTGCTGGTTGTAGATCTCCAGTCTGGCGGACTACGAGAAGTGATGGCGGGTTAGTACATGATCTGTCATATCTAAACGTTTGGCGGGAGTTGGGATCACTGGGCTGGCTGGCTATACCTGCTTGTATGGCCCGAATGGCCCCCCTATATCCGGTCCTATCACCAGTCTCAGTCTCACAGCTTCACGCATGCACAGAATGTGAACCAACCCTCATCCCAACTGAGCCCGGCCCATTTCAGATCCTCGTACAATCTCGACTCGGCATCCTTCACAAGTCGTGACTGTCTTTGGTTAGTACCTAGGTCATTCAACCTCTGATTTTCATCTCATCTCATCTCATCTCACCTGATCCGTATCCTCAAGCCTGAGGAGAAACTGGCCGCCCGTGGCCTTGGCAAGCAGGTAATTATACAGCGCCGTCCTCAACGAGCCCAGGTGCAGGTAGCCCGTGGGCGAGGGGGCAAATCGCGTCCGCGCCGGCGTCGCGGGCAGAAGCGTCTCCTTCGGCGCTGCCCCTTCGCCGGCCCCTGACTTGCCTATGTGCTCCGGCCTGCCCTTGAAGGCGAAGCGGCGCTTGCAGATGAGAACCTGCTGACGAGCCGCCAGTGCGCGCCGCAGCGGCCCCTCTCGGATGTACAGGCTCCTCATGATCCGCGGCTTTTCATTGCCTCATTTCGGTGCTTTTTACGCGTAGTGTTTGGTTGTGAGATCCAATGCTATGAGCAATGCACTGTCTGTCGTTCTCAATGAGATAGCAGTTCAAGACGTGAATTGAAGATTCGCCAATCGAGGCTTATGCGTCTATCAGGTATTTATGCGGCGCTTTGGCCCAAGCAAATTTTAGCGCTTCTTGATTGGACAGCCCTATGGACTCGTTTCTCTGTACTAAGTTATGGTACACACCCAAACGACGGGAAAAGTCTGATAGTGACAAAGATAGACTTTTGCCGTTCTGTTGTTGCTGTCAGTTGATGCCGGGACGCTGCGAATCAGTTCCTGGGGTCTGACTCGCCCGTAATAGTCACTGTACATTCCGTAGCGACTCGATTCTGGAAACCCGCATCGTTGAATGAGCCACTACTATTCAAATTGCACGTGCAGAATGAATCAACCCCGCCAAAGGCCGTGTCTTCTACATGCAGAGGTAGCCTAGGGCGGCTGCAATCTCTGACCTCACAGGTTGCTGCATTGCATAGATGAACGGCGGCGCTCGGTGGGAAATTCTGGTATATTCGCGCGTCTTCTGGTGGTGTAGAGGCTGCATGGGGACCCTGGTGCCTTGACACGCACCGCCCCGTCACCGCTGCGGCGAGCCCAGGACAACCCCCGGAAGCGCTGGGTAAGCAGGTAGTTAGACACGGGCGGACGTCACTGGGCTAACTACCTACTTAGAGGTACCCGACCTACCTAGGTGCCGGTTGCCCCGCTAAATATTTTCTTGACCCCAAACCCGACAAACCGCCTCTTCACTGCCAGTCCGCTGCATACTAGAATTTCTGCGTGCCGATCCAGAGCGCAGCACCTGTGCATCGCAACATTACCGCCTGAAGATTTGTTGTCTTTTCGTTGCCAAGTTCTACGAGTCCCTTCCACGATAGAACACCAGACCCGTCAAGATGGACGGCGCCGGTCAAGAAGATATTGATTTGTATGGTGAGTCTGCCCCCGGACTTATCGATACCGGCCCTCTCTCTCTTCCTTCCCCCGTCTCTCACCAGGCCGCTGACAATGTCTCCCCAGAGCTGCTCGGTGTAGACAAGAGCGCCACCCCGGACCAGATCAAGAAGGCTTACCGCAAGGTGCGTATTTTCCACTGCGGCTACACGCTCTGCACCACCTCCGCCCGGTCAGGACGCTGACTATTCGCTATAGCTTGCTCTGCAACACCACCCCGACAAGGTGCCCGAGGACCGCCGAGAAGAGTCCGAAGCCAAGTTCAAGTCCGTAACACAAGCCTACGAGATCCTGCGCGATGAGGACAAGCGGGAGATGTACGACCGCCACGGCATGGCCGCCTTCGACCCCAGCCGGGGCGGCGGCATGGGCCAGGAGGCCGATATCAACGACATCCTGGCACAGATGTTCGGCATGGGCATGGGCGGCGGCGGCATGCCCGGCATGCCCGGCGGCGGCCGACGCGGGCCCATGAAGGGCCCCGACGAGCAGACGACGTACAGCGTCTCGCTGGAGGATCTGTACAAGGGCAAGACGGTCAAGTTCGCCGCCGACAAGCAGGTCGTCTGCGGCACCTGCAAGGGCTCCGGCGCCAAGGAGAAGGTCCACGTCAACACGTGCGACCGCTGCAAGGGCCGCGGCCGCGTCGAGGCCTTCCGCCAGGTCGGCCCCGGCATGGTGACCCGCGAGGCCGCCGTGTGTGACCGCTGCGAGGGCTCCGGCAAGTCCATCAAGGAGAAGGACCGGTGCAAGAAGTGCAAGGGCAAGCGCGTCGTCAAGGAGAGGAAGCCGCTCGAGATCTACATCCCCCGCGGCTCCATGCAGGGCGAGCGCATCGTCCTGGAGGGCGAGGCCGACCAGGAGCCCGACATGAAGCCCGGCGACTTTGTCTTTGTGCTGGAGGAGGAGCCGCACGACGTCTTCCACCGCATCGGCGCCGACCTGTCGGCGGACCTCGAGGTCACCCTCGCCGAGGCCCTCGGCGGCTTCTCGCGCGTCGTCCTGACCCACCTCGACGGCCGCGGCATCCAGATCACCCACCCCCGCGGCAAGATCCTGCGGCCCGGCCAGGTGCTCAAGGTCGAGGGCGAGGGCATGCCGCAGAAGCGCGGCGAGGACAAGGGCGACCTGTACCTGATGGTCAAGGTCAACTTCCCCGAGGACGGGTGGCTGAAGGGCGACAGCCAGTACGACAGCCTGCTCAAGATCCTGCCCGGCCCCGCCGAGCCGATCAAGGCGGACGAGGTTGACGACGTGGAATACGACGATGATGCGGACATTGAAGAGGTGAGTTACAAGACAAAACCCCAGAGCGGCCTGGGAAGTTTCCCCTCGAGAAAGGACTCTTCTTACTGACTTGCAACCCCGCAGATGGGCGCTCAATCGGGAGACCCGCGATACCAGAACGAGTGGGCGGACGACGACGACGAGCCTGGCCAGGCCCAGTGTGCGCAGCAGTAATGAATGAGACATGAGATAATGAAGCATCCATCACGTCATTGGGTTTTCAAGGGTGGTGGGAAATAGACGAGCGTCGTTGGGGGAAAACATGCTGGTTGTGGCATTTGTTTTTTTTTTTTTACCATCGTCTCATGAACTTTTTTTTGAGTTGATGCACATAGACGGACGACGATGGCGACGAGGCGAGACTTTTGCTGATCATGTGTGAGAAGGAGGAACATGAAGTCCTGTTTCCCCCGTGTTTTTGGGTCCCTTGAGGGGCGCCGTGATAGAGAGAGGAAACATGGCCCTGTGGATACCCTGCTTTGACATAAAGAATCTCAATTCCCCCTCCCGACGACTGACTGATGGTCGTTCCCCTTGACTGAGGCCCGAGTGAACGAATACTGTCTTTCTTTGACACTTGTCTTGAGCTCAGATAATGCCTTTCTCATACCTGTAGTGTTGGAAGTGTTGAAGCGCATCCAGTGGAGCCAGCCAGATCCTGGTTGTGGTTGGTATTGTATCTAACATATCAGTCTTGGGGAAACGGTCGGAGCAATGATGGCATTTGGTTAGAGAGGAGAGACGAGACAGTTGGCTCAAATAACGGCCACCGAGTATTGACTTGTTTCTTGGGACAAAACGCACAAGAGCTATGCTATGCAAAGCGGATGCAAGACGTGATTGGTTGTCTTGGGGTTCGAATACTTCTGACCCATCAAAGTCCCTCCCGTCCTGTTTGCCTATGACCAAGGTGCGCCCCACCAACTCAGCCTCAGATCCCTCCCGCTAGTTAGCCCCCAGCAGCACCAGCCACACCCCGCCAAGGGGGGCCCCCCTCCCTCCCAAAAGACCAATCCGAGATTTCGAGGCCCCACGTGACCTGGGCAGCCCTAAGCGAAAATGCGGTCCGCCCACCAAAATTTTTAGCGAGTCTCGCAACTTCGGCGAAAGGAAATTTCGCTGCGTGTAGCGACCGCTCCCTCACGACAACCCACGCCCAACGACCACCGACCACTCCACCAACGGTAAGGATAAAATCAGTCAAGGTAAATAACAGACCAGCCTCCCCCCCTCTGAAGAGATTGCTGCTTCCCGTCTTCTCTCTCTGTCCCGGCCGACGCAAAGCATCGCAGTTACTGACTTGAGTCCTCCTCGTCAAGATGGTCTCCGCCAAGAAGCACGTTCCCATCGTCAAGAAGCGTACGTTTTGAACCTCTCCCCCCGATTCCGCGATCTATCTATCTATCCCCATCTCCTCTCCCGTGGTGTACGGCGCGCGAAGGATGGAAAGAGGAAGGACAAATCGATTGATGAATGCATGGATGGATGGACGGACGGATGGACGGGCGACTGGACGGGCGAACGAATGATGGGAAGCACACCACGATGGACGCCTTGACGGGAGGGGCGGGGATGGATGGATGGCGATCGCGAGCACCTTTGTTTTGACCAGGAGAACGCATCTGTTGACACGTTCTGCTTCCCACAGGCACCAAGGCCTTCAACCGCCACCAGAGCGACCGCTTCAAGTGCCTCGACTCAGCATGGCGCAAGCCCAAGGGTATCGACAACCGTGTCCGCAGACGGTTCAGAGGTAGCATGGTCATGCCCTCGGTACGTTTAAACCCCCCAACCACGAAAGACAAATGGAGGAGGAAATGCTCATGCGCAATTGTTCTGTCCAGATCGGCTTCGGTTCCAACAAGAAGACCCGCCACATGATGCCCTCCGGCCACAAGGCTTTCCTCGTCAGCAACGCCAAGGACGTCGAGCTTTTGATGATGCACAACCGAACCTACGCCGCAGAGTACGTCGCACTCCACCGCACCCACCCACCCACGCGCCGCGCGCCGTCTGGTGCCTGGATTCTCCCGTCTCGAGGGAGAAATTGGGCACACCACCCCTCTTGTTGTTTTTCCCCCTCTACTGACACTTGGCCGACAGGATCGCCCACAACGTCTCGTCGAGAAAGCGAGTCGACATCATTGCCCGCGCAAAGCAACTCGGCGTCAAGGTCACGAACCCGAAGGCGAAGGTCACTACCGAGATCTAAGGAACGGATCACTGATGAACACGGCGACTTTGGGGTGTACGGTTTCTCGATTTTCGGCAATCATTGCATTGATGCATGGGAATGGATTTGCTCTCTGGTCAAGGATGGTCACGAGCCTAGCATGTATTTCGTGCTAGAAAAATGAAATACATCTACGATGACACAACACCACCACCACCCTCTTGTCTTGTTTCTTGCGTGACGATGGCTTCTGGCGGGAATTGGTGTGGCAGCTGACAGAAGAAAGGACTGACGGATGCAGGAACCCGATATGGTCACGTTGGTTCTGGTTCTGGTTCTGGGCATCGCGTTACGACTCGACTTCAGGGCACAAAATCCGGCGTGGCAGTCGGCTGAGCTAGCAAAATGTGCATCATTCGACGACCACACCAGGAACACCAGGTGGCAGCGTGTGTGCGAGCGATTTGAGTAGTCCCATGCCGACTGTCTCGTTCGCCATCCCCATTTCCTCAACGTGTACCTCTACGCACGCTCGACACGTGATTGCCCCGACGGCAGGCAAGCAACTTGCGAATGCCGATCGATCATTTTTTTTTCTCCGCGCCGCCTGCTGATTGTTACAAAACGCCCACACGCCGGTTAGCAAAACCCGCGCGCTGATGAGCGCCCTGGCAAATGGCTCCAGGCTGCGGGCTTATCCATGGGCGACCAGCAAGCGACCGAGTTGTCATGGTAAGAGCCCGCTCTCAAGTGATATCTAAATTCCGATTCTCTCTGGCCCGTGTCCTGCGTTCACTCGTGTAACTTGGGCTTTTTGTGTCTGCTCCTTCGTTGCCCGACTTTGGACTCGACTCTCGTCTCGTGTGCGGGCTGGTGTCGGACCAGAGCAGAGCAGAGCCAAGACCTAGGCTTGATTCGCGCATTTGTCCACGCCGTAGCGCTGTAGTTTCGTTGTAGTACCTCTTACACACCGTCTGAATGCCATGTATGGCGTAGATATCCTGTTTACAAGTCTCTCGCTCTCTCTCTCTCGCGGTTGGACCTGAACTGGGGCTGCCCGATTATCAGGAGTCATGAGATATACATGATCTAGAACATCCATGTATATCATTTTCTATCATGATTGATTGATCATGTTTCAACGTCGCGGTAAACATCTGTTTCGTGCAGGCGCAGCGCGCGTACACGGACAGCCGTAGTATATAGGGGGACTCAGCAAGCTCTATATCTAGGATAAATATAACATGCCGAATATTTTGCCTCGAGGACTAGCTACATACATGTATTGGCCACGTCTGCTTCCTTTGGTGTGTCGATTTGGCGGCGATGGCTAATCAATACACTATGTAGCCACTCCTAGAGTTGGCCAATACAGGTTTCCCTCCCCATTGCCAGATTGTGCCTCTGCGGATGAGTGTATCACGAGCACATGAGTCATCTCTTGCGTTGTAGATACTTTATAGGTAATCGGTAAGTTGGACTGCGGGGGATCATATGTGTGGGAAACATACTCTTGAACAAAAGTTTAAAGTCTAAACTCGGAGAACGCTCCGCCCATCATGGGATCCCAAGAGCTTGACGCGCCTACAGGACCTCGAGACCGGTCCGGGTTGTTTGGTCGCAACTGTGGCCAGAATCTGACTGTTCGTTGAAGTATCTGGAAAGATAGGGCGGGAGAAGGCAAGAGGCTGTAGTGACCGAAGTCGTCTCCAGGCATTGTGATTATCCATTGGCATACAATTTACTTCGTATGGTACAGACCTCTCTCTTAAAATAGCTGCTCGGGCATAGCTTACAGTTACTCGGGACTTGTGTCCCAACTGAAGAGACTCGATTTGCAGGGAGGGCCATGGCAGGTTAGAAATCACTACCTGAACTGACAGAAGCCCGAATCTGCTCATGTTGAGTTTACATGCTTTCCAGATAGAGTTCAGTGACCCATATACAAGACTCAAGTAGCATGACCTGAATGGCTGAAAAGCCCGAAAGCCCTCAGTTGCGGCGGCCACGTTGGTCTGATAGAGTTTACAGATGCCAGTACACCTATCTCCGACGTCTAGATTCGACATGCCAGAGGCCCGAACTTTGTTGTATAGTGCTTTTGCTCCAAAATGTCCGCAAGAAAGCAACAGAGTTTTCAAGACCTCATAGAGTCTGAGAACATTTCTTGCTCCCAATGAGAGAGCCCGGGTACTTATTTCAGTCCTGGCTGCCTTCCTCCTGCATTTCTTTCCTTTCCCTCAAACCACCGCCCCAAATTTCCTGGTCTCAAAGTAGCCCATTGCAATCGTATGACCATTCGCTTACTTACCGGCAGGCCCTATACCCTCTGCGCCTCAAGAAAATGACTCCTGTTGTTTCACTTGCAGGCCAACCCAACCCACAACACAACTCAACCACTCATACCACCTTTGAGTCATCCATCAACCCCTTCACCATGACTTGCCTAAACAACATGGCCGGGTGTCCTGGTGTCCCCCACGCACCTGTCTCAATCGTGGACGCCACTCTAACTCGCGACAACAACGGTCCCTTCACTGCAGTCTACCTTAGCGACACCAAGCTGGCTGCCACCATTGACTTCCCAGAGGAGGGTATCTACATCATCTACAACAACCGCGCCATCCAGATAGCCGGCGCGCCCTGTGAGCACAGAGCCTGTGAGCGTTCTGTCCTCTGCCAGTGCAAGGACAACAACCCAGATGACGACGCCGCCAAGGCCCCCTTCTTCGCCAACGACTGGGACCAGATGGAGGACTTCAGGCCCTGTACCGGCTGTCTGCTCATCTGGTTCCGCCTGGCCAACATCAAGTACCAGGTCCAGGCCCGTAGCCTCAAGTTCTACGCGAGGCCCAGGACGCTCACCTGTGTCCCCTATCTCGGAAGCCTCGTCCTCTCCTACGAGGGGGACTCAGAACTCGACCCCTCGCTGGACCTTGCTCCTCAGGAGGGAACCAAAAACGACGACAACAATGCTCCTCCCTACCTCCTGCCCTGGATGCTCGAGGCTTGGGATACCTTCATCCAGGATGGCGGCGCCGTGGCCTCCTTGTCCGGCAACGATTTCGCTCCCCTCACCAGCGCCCACCGCAGCAACCCCAGCGACTCGGACTGGGACTGGCACGATGCCAATGATAGGAACACCACCGAATCAAGCAACGGAACCAGACGTTCCATCGCTACCGCTGGCGAGCATATCAACGGCTCCCAAGATTCAGTCGACAACAACATCAATGGCAACAACGATGGTGCCATGACTGGCGTCGTCCACTATGGCAACGGGGACATCATCCAAGCCCCCAGCCAGGATCCGCACAGCTACGACGCCTCCTCCCACGTCAACGCGCAAGGCGCCTCTGTCGAAGACTTCGACATGGCCGTCGACGACGAGGGAGAGGAAACCGACGAGGAAGACGAGTTCGAGGATGATGCCGACTACCTCGCCGTACTAATGGACCCCATCGACCCCAAGCCTGGCGACCCCGTCGGCCACGCCATCAAGAAGACCAAGTACTACAACCACATGGCCGTCATCAAGCGCGCCTTGGTGGGCCGGGCTCCCACCGGCGCCTACTACGTCCCGGACTTTGCCGACTTTGAGGACTTCGTGACGATTTACTCCGACGAGGAGGAGGAGGAGGTCCAGCAAGTCCCACAAGAGGTCCCACAAGAGGTCCCGGAGGAGGAAGACGGCGACGCTGATGAATGTGTTGCTAACTACGACATCATCGACAACGAAGACACCCCCGGCCTGCCCTTCAGCATCCAGCGCTTCCTCTCTGAGCCCGCGACGCGCCGATCTCGCAGGCTGCTGCGTCTTCACGCTCACTAAGCTACGACTATGCTGACACTACTCGTCGGCCGTCTGCTGTCCGGAAAAGGAGACCTCGTGGGAAATGGGAGGTTAGGCGGAACTAGCGCAGACCGGGACGAACAGGATGGAAGGATGGAAGGGTGGGTAATCGGGTCATCTCCTCGTGTTGGGATGGTCTAGAGCGTAGTGGAATCTCCCCGTGTTGAGATAATTGTTGGACACCTTCAGAATGTGTGGCCCGGGTTGGCCGCTGTTGCTGTTGTGGCACGTGAAGTTGGTCATTGAAAGACTCGATTGGCTACCTGGTCGGTTGGGCACAGCGGTTTTGGTTTTGATTTGGCGCTGGAGCATTACTATACCCCTGGATTTGCTGTTGGTGAGAGAATACAATAGATGGAAACCCCCCTGTTCCATCGCTTCAGCTCGTTCCCGTGATATGTCGTACTTGACTTGCCTAGCCCAAAAATTCCGGTTCATGACTTCACCAAGGAATTGGCTTGAAGGACTACTAGTAATACTAGAGTAGTGTTGAGAGCCTGTTGCCAAAGTCTCCGACTCACTCTTTAAACTTTGTAACACAAGTCTCAGCAGACTAAGTTCGCGAATGCAATCACTGATCTGATCTGCTATCAAGAATATCATGACAAAAGTCCTTCGAGACAATGTGATTAGTCTATTTCTAAGACTGCCTCCATTTTCTTGACATGATCCAAGATCTCAACCGCTTAGTCTAAGTGTATGCCACCGGTAAAGATGCCGACTATCGAGCTACGGAAGAGGGTAGATCGAGAACTGGGCAGTCGCCCAAATTTGATCCATGTCTTGACCTCCATCGCAATATACATGCCACAGCCTTCGCCCAGCTTGACAAAGGAGGACATGTTATGCATGACCTGCGCTAAGGCCCTAAGTGGGTAATCCCCCCTTCGCAAAATTGGACTCAGGGGTAAGCCCCCACTTCCACAATTTGCAGGTGGTCCAGAGAGCTTATTTCGACTTCAACTAGGTGCCAAAATCCACCAACCAGAACACACTGCTCGGGCATGCCCCAAGACCTTTGGCATTGGGGTCCAACGCATGTGAGATCTTCAAGTGTCGCCCACGCGAAAGGCGACATGCCGACGTACCGGGGCCCTCGCAACGCTCTTGATGGCGGAGCGTTGTCAGTCTGTGAGAACATTCTGGTGACCGCTTCGCCTCGCAACAAGTGACCATACCTTGTTGTGTGAAGTCGAAATTCCTCGCTAAGAACGTGCTACTGGCTCAGCCGATCACAGCGGCATTTCCATAGACGAGTAGGTGTAGCAGAGAGGGCCGGATTGAATGTCCATGTAGTCCTTAACAATTGGCTTGGTATCACCAAGCTCTAGGATAGGCATGGTGTCGGTGATCGAGGCCGGGATAGTCTTGCCGGTGTTTTGGAATCCGGTATAATCAGCCAGGCGGGTAGCGTTGCGGCCTTGCCACTGTGGTGTGCGTCAGTAATGATCCACTTCCATCAGTCAAGAACGACGAAAGGAGGAGGCGTACCCTGGCCCAGGCACGATCAACGTTGGCGTGGTGCAAGAAAAAGAGAGGCTCGTTGGGCGACGTGGCCGGGCCCATATCGCCAAAGATGATGCTATGGACTGCAGGGCATGTCAGTATATTTCGTAAGAAGGGTGAAGGAAGACATACTCTGCGCGTGTGGCAATCCCTCGAGCATGTCGGACATATCGGCATAGGTGTCGAAGGAGTTGACGGCCTTCATGACCTTGGAGTTGTACGCGCTTGCCTGCATGTCGCCAATAATGGGCTCGCCGTTCCCATCATTGCCCAAACCGCCGTTAAACTCGCGCGTGAAACAGTGCAGGCGGTTGCCGGCGTCGTTCATGTTAGGCCAGCCCTTAGCCAGGGTCAGGTTTGTGTTAGCGAAGGGCCCATCAACCACACAACGCTGGAAGCCAGGCTCGTTGCTCCCGGTGTGCTTGCCGTCGCCACCGAAGCCGGTGACGGGGTCAAAGATAGGAGAGTTGGGCGTGTTCTTGGCGTCCGCGTCAATGCTCCAGTCCCAGTACGGCTGGGTACCGGTGAAACCACATTCGGTGCGCAGCAGGTCCTCGTGCAGCTGCACGAACCAACGGTGCCACGGGAGGAAGTTGGCCACGAAGTGGATGTCTGAGTTGAGAGTAAAGTGGGTGAAGACCAAGTCGTCCATGCGCGTGGTGACGGCCCCCATGTCAGCGTATTTCTCTTTGGGCAGCCCGCGCAGACACACTGCGGCACGAATGTACTCAGCCTTTTCGGCGTCGTCAAGTTCGCGCCACTCCTTGCGGACGGCCGGGTTGGTGCAGCTGGCATCTGCACGCGGAATGGCAGTCGCAGCAGCCTCTGCCGCGAGGGCGAATATGGCAAGAAACGAGCGTGAAAGCATTGCGAAAACAGTTGATGCTGAACGAGCGACGAATGGGCAAGTCTATAGCGAAGGACAACTTAGGTAATGAGCTACACTCAAATGAAAGACTCCGTGGTAAAATGGCGACGACCAAGACTTTATAAGTGTAGTCATGTAAGGCATCCTGGTCTAAGGTGCCTCGGCTGCGTACGGCATCGCCTAATCTAATTAAGGGACAACTCGCAGTTGCACTCACCAGCGTTGGTATATTAGACAATGCAACTAACTCAATGCCGTGAAAAGTGGAATACGGAAAATACCCGATTTGTCTGGCGTCTCCGTCAGGAGTGGAGAGTGCCCGCACGCATTACGGCAATGTTACCGTACTACCTAAAAAAAGCTCTGATCAAAACTCACGGACCAGTCTCTGGGCTCGTATCCAATCAGCTTTCCAGTTTCACGAAACCACAACGGCCACTTTTGGACCTGTTGCTATTTCAGATGAGATCTTACCAAGTTCAAGGACTTAAAGTGTGGTCTGTGTGCAATGACCTGTGAGGCTTGGTTCAGAATTTTCTTAGGTAATTCGGATCGCCGACTCGCCAATGCTTCTAGAAGACAGGTGTGGATCCACTCTGCTCTTTTGGCGCGTTCGTATCCGAGAGGCCTTGGTTTCCCCCCTGCGAAACCGACGGGATCCATTCTGTTCTCTTGGCACGTTCGTATTCAGGACCCGTATGCTTTAAAAAGTCCCCTCCCTCCCCCCTTACAAGTTACCAGATGACGGCATACATTTCACTCGTTCCAAATCATAGAAGTGGGTGGCGGAGGCACACTCAAACGCCATAGCTAACCTATAACAGTTTGCTAAGCCAATCAAATATAAATGTACATTGAGTCTCGTTTGGAACTCTTGCATGATTCCGCTCTTCGCTGTGGTGGTAATCGGAGTGGTATATTCTAGCGTATAATTTTGTTCAGGCTTTATACCGTTACGCCGCGCCAAGAACGCGGAGGGCTTGACCCATGATTGGCCATGAAACATACGAAGCCGTCATACTATAAAGATAATTTCCGAGTTAGTCCTGTGTTGAGCATTGGGATCGAACACCATTTTTGGGGAACTTGTCTTCGGACGTGATCACCTCGCTCGCATCCTCCACTGCGACTTCACCGTGATTACCTTTCCAGTCAAGGCCGTAGTCTAGAATCTCCGCATACCTGCGGATGCAGTAACGCATTCCAAGCATTAGAACTATGCTCCCGACAGAGAATGCAGCAGCCATGGGAAAGCCGATGGGATATCTGGGAGAGTCACTGGTCTTCCAAGCACTCAGCGGTATCGTAGCGTGACCAACATAGACCAAAGTCACCGTGAAAGCAACGAGTATAGATCGTGCTTCTGGTTCCTTTCGCAGAATTATGGCAAGCCACGCTATCAGCGCATAGCCCCACGCCGATGTTGCGTAAGTGAGGAAGTAGAATGCCAATATCGTAGGATGAGAATCTGGCCACGCTGATAGAACCGCTGTCGCAACCAACTGCAAGCCGGCCGCTCCACACGCTACTTGCCAGCGCCACTCCTTCCAGTCGCTCAAGGCATTGAGTCCGATGTTGCAAACAATTGAAATGGAATAGCCGCCCAAGGGGATCAGGTTGACGGTGTATGTTGAGTACATTGGCTCCCCAGAAGCATCTTTGACACCCTTGAGATACAACAGAATGTACGAGTTTGCGCGTTGTGACCAGGCGAACTGAAGGTATGCCCCAAGGAATAGATAGGCGATTGGGCTTGCAATGAGAAGTCGGATTTTCTTGTAGACAAGTCTCCATGAGACAAGATCTGCGGTTTTGGCGCCATTGTGAGACATCCTGTCGTGAGCGAGTATACGTTCTTCTTTCGATAGATAGAGGGCCCGTGTATAGCCTGGAGCGTCCGGAATCGCGAAGAGTCCAACAAATCCCCAAGCGACTGTGATGATGCCAGAAACGATGAACAACCACTGCCAGCCTTCAAGCCCATTTACGCCATTAAGGTTTTTATATAACGCAGCTTGCAGGATACCCAAAAACATATTCCCAGCCACTCCGCTGACGCCGAAGATGGCAACCCGCTTTCCCAGTTCCCGAGGCGTGTACCAATTGAAAATCAAGCTGACTATTCCCGGCCAAGAGCTCGACTCGAAGACACCCAGAAAGAATCTCAAAGCGTAGATTGTCTGAGCGTTACGAGCCCTGTAGGTAACCAGGGTCAGGACTCCCCAGATGATCTCACAGAGGGGCAGGAACAGCGACGGGCGAACCCGTGTCTGCACCATTTGTGCTGGCACGAGAAAGATAGCATAGCCAATTGAGAAATATGTGGTGAACTCGACCAGCTCATTGCCATAGAGTGATAGTGCCTCTTTCATACCGGATACGTATGCCTGCGTGGTTCCCGACTGGTCCATGTCTTTAAGCAATCCCGCGACTAACACATGTCAGCAATTAGTTTAGGTTGTCATTGTTTATTTCCCCGGGAGAAATGGGTAGTTTGACAAGACGAAACTCACTAACACTATATTAGCGCAAGAACTTTTGACAGTGGAATGATCAAACTCCAAATGCGGGATTAGCCATACGTACCTAAAGGCCCATACTAGTAATAAAACGTCTAGTTTAAGTACTAGTACATGTTCCGGGTCCTTGAAGTAAGGATGAATCTTTCCCAACCACGATTGAGATGGTCGAGACAGGTGCGCCTCTTGAGATGACATTATGCCGTCCGACAGTCTCACCAGTTGGAAAAAAACACGCTTAACAAGGCCTGTTGGGCACACTGAGAGAAAGGTGACCGACCTATGGACCTCTGTGAAGAGCTAGGTAGCAAGCGAGTTGTCATGTTAAGATCCAAATAAGCATTTTGATCTATTGTTTACCTCCTTCCCGACGAGAAGGTTTCAACGTCGGGCAGTCCCCGACATGTCACAATCGCTAAAGAAGATGTCGTGATGATAGTTGAACAGGATTGTACTGGACCAAAACATCGGAAAAAACCGCCTTCAAATGTAACATTGTCTGAGTCATGCCTTCCCACATAAATCGCGCCGATTGCACCACGGGTTTGTAGGTTCAAAAAGACAAAGGGGACGTTTATACTGTTGAACCCCAGACTCGCGATTATATTCAATTCCTAACACACTGAACGCCTAAGACTGGCGTGGCTGACAGTCCAGAGACCTTGAGTGAGTTATTCCGTGATTAACCCTGTCGATGATGCTATCGTTGGTTGTGGGGTTTGAACTAAATCGCGACAATTGTCAGCCAACCAAAAAGTGTTGTATGCATAGACCTTCTCTAACTCCCTTGGCATCTTCGCCAAGACAAGTCGGGTCCGGTCGGCCGATCTCCGATGAATCGGCATCGGCATTGTATCTATGGTGTTGCTCAAGCCTTGATAGCTATAGAATCATTCATTCGACCACTTACCGCTCCAGCAAGTATAACTGTCCAGCACATGCGACCCAGTAGCTAAGTCGTTTCTCCGAGTTTAAGCCAGCACTTGTAGATTTACTGTGTTTACAATGCTCCCAAAGGCCAAATCAACGTCTGGACCGTTGTACCCAGCATATCTACCAACTAGACCTGATGGATTCACTGCGACGATAGACGTACCACCATTCGAAGGCGACGAACCAGGCGCTCGTGCAGATCCTTCTAAACCTAACCTTTTAAAGTCTGGAGTACAAGCAACGAATGTCACGCCTAGAATTGGTTCCGAAATCAGAGGAGTCCAGCTCAGCGAACTGACAAAGGAAGGACTGGAGTGCGTCACCTAAACGTGATGTCAACGTTATGCGGTCACTCTTGAATTACTGACTCTTAAAATCATATAGCGAAGTAGCTCTGCTGGCTGCGGAGAGGGGTGTACTCATATTTGTAAGCTTACATAATAAGAGGCAAAGATTTCTGCTGATTCACTGAGGTATAGAGAGACCAGGATTTTGCCGATATTGGGTTTGACAGGCAGCGAGACTTGGTTAGACATTATGGGCCTTTACATCAAGTATTTGTATTGTGAGTTTGGCAGTATGGCCCGATGAACTAATAATAGTCCTCTAGCATCCAACAATGGGATATCCCGAAGGCACCGGGCCAGAGTTTCATGTTGTATATGCGGATGAAAAGGCGTAAGTCTGTGCCAAAGTCTTCGTTCAACGACAGAATGCTGACGAGTATTACATATAGAGGCAATCTGAGGACACTCCTGGGCCAACGTACTTCTTATGACCTCTGGCACGTTGATCAGACGTTCACGAGTAATGTACCGTCCACAACCTTCTTCTGGGTTCTCGAGATGCCCGAGTCCGGAGGAGGCGATACGGCCTTTACGTCTCTTTCAGCGGCCTATGAGGCACTCTCGCCAACCTTCAAACACGTTCTCGCTCCCCTGAGTCTCCTTCATACCTCGGCATCCGTAGGAGAGGTTGCTAGGGTTGGGACGGAACGAGCGTTGAAGGAAGCGGTGTCGACGATTCATCCACTCGTGATCAGGCATCCTGTAACCGGGAAACCATCACTGTTTGTCAACCCGACAATCGCTCGCAAGATCGAGGGAATGCTACCGGAAGAGTCCGACTCCATATTGAAGTTCCTCCACGAGCATATCAGGAGCCTCGACTTCAGCTGCCGCCTTAAGTGGGAGAAAGGCTCCGTGGTGGTGTGGGATCAGAGGAGCGTTGCCCACAGTGCTGTTCCGGACTTTAGGGACGGTGAGCGACGGCATGTCGTAAGAATTATTCCTTATGGGTCTGTCTCTCAGCCTGCATTCCCAGACTTGTATAGCAAGACGGACGAGGTGTAACAAACATGGTCTATAGGCTAGATTTAATTCAGACTGCTTCCAGAATTGCATGAAGTTAATTTCCAGGTCTTCCAAGTGTGGCTTCTTTCCGGATCAGCTACGATCATGGCACCTGCTACTTGATTTGGCAAGATGGAGCAAAGATGGCAGCTAGGTACCTGGAGATTTCATTCCGGGAGGACCACCCGCCCAGATGGTTGTTACACAGCCACATTACATGGGACATGTCTCGATGTCTCAGTGTAACGTTTGTCGAGCGCCGGGATGAGCGGCCGGCACAGACCAGTGCCGACGAGCAACCGGCTTTACACTGACTAATGGATTTACTTTCCCACAAACTCCATACCTGAAATCGACCCATGCTGCAAGGCAAAGGCGGTGCCAGGCTACTAGTCGGAGTTTCCCAATCGAGAATTCCTGAACGACTTATGAAGACTGAATAATCTCACCCCTGGTCATCAAAGTCATGCGGAATGAAGAATATGATGGAAAAGAAAAGGTCGTGCTTTTGAGTTGTATCGTTCAGTTTGGAAATCGTGTACAATTAGAACATGGCCTCTCGTTATTAGACCTACTATCTTGGTATGCAGAGTTACCACTATGAGAGAGGGGCGGGCCCGTACTATAGACTTAGTAAGCACAATGCTATAGGGAGCAAAACTAGCGTAACTAAGACCCACAATCTAACGGGCACTACTTTCGACCACCCCATAGCTCAGTTCCTATTCTGATAGTAGTTACAGAGGCCTACTAGTCCTGAGCCCATATCAAAGTACCTCGCCGCATACATTGTCCAAGTCAGATGCTTCCGAGGATTTATGGTCGAGCCTCATTCTGCACAAGCTGCATACCCGGATCCACACCAGTGGAGACAGACACTCGGAATGATAACCCCGATCAACGGCAGCACTGTCATTCAAAAACATGATATCGGAAACTCCTTATGCTACGCTACGTGCCGGCAAAGTGACAAACCCACCCATGCACCCCTATCACCCACCAAACCGCCCAATCTCAATCCAGCCCCTGCCTCCCTGCGGAACCGCGAAGCCAGCGTCAGCCGGCCTGTTGTGCATGGCCACCTGCGGATCTTTCCCCCTTTTCGCCCCCGCAGCGCTCGTGGAGCCCGCACCGGCAACAGGGCCACCAGCAGCAGGGCTTGCACCTGCGGCGGGCAGGCCCAGCGCCATGTTCTCGACCTCGGCGCTCCGCAGCTCCAGGCGCTCGCGGAAGCCGCGGCACCACAGCCGCTCGAGCTCGCCGTCGCCCAGGGTGCAGCCGATGTCCTCGTAGAAGCGCTCGACGATGTGCAGCGGGGCGGCGACGAGGTCGGGCTGGCCGAGGGGCCCGAAGCCGTCGGCGGCGGCGCTCGAGGACCGGCCGACGGTCCAGTCGAGGCTGCGGCACACGTGCGCCGCCAGCCGCCGGATCTCGCGCGTCTGGTACTTGGCCGGATGGATGGACGGCGGCAGGGTGCTGGTGTTGCGGTTGTAGGCGCTGTTGGCGGCGACGGACGTGCCGGCGCTCGAGGCCGCGTGCGCGTAGTACGGCGAGTACCCGGAAGACGAGCCGGCGGTGCCTGTGGACGATGCGTAGCTATGGCTCGACGGGCTGGGGGAGCCGCCCTCGTAGACGTGGCCGTAGCCGTGCTGATAAGGCCTCGACCCCGGGGCGGCGGCGCCGGGCTGCGTGTTCGCGGCGGTGTGTATTGGAAATGAGGCAGGGGCAGGGATAGGGCTGCCGTCGACCAACACGACCTCGGCTAGGCGCGCCATGGCCCCGTACAATACGATGAGCCCTGTCCAGTAGTACACGTGTGCCAGACCCGACATGGAACTGGGAAAGTCATACGTGACCTCAAAGGGCATCTGGCCCTGTTCGGGCTGTCCGATGGTGGTGTCATGAGGCCAGAAGAGCAGCGGATTTTGCGGGTTCCTGCGTGCGGCCTCCTCGACACCGGCATACCAAGTCTCAAATTGCCGTTCGATAGAGGCGCAATTAGAGAGTAGGTCGTTTGCCTTTAGCCGCCGGCCGATGGAGGGAAGAAGCGACAGGATGCGGTCGGAGCGCGAGAGAATGGTAGGAATCTGTGCTATGGTGTCTAGCAGGCGGTCAAGGGCCGTCTTGGGAGATAGTTCCCAGGGTACCGAATGCCAATCTGGACTGGCCAGGGTCGTAGTCTGACGGTTGAGAAGAGATGCAAATATCTAGTGAGGACCCGAGCCATTAGTGAGTCTGACTTGAGAACGCGAGTGGTTTTGCCATTATGCTTGGATCTAGGCTGGCGATCATACGGATGGCAGGGTAAAAAGAAACTCACTGCATTGGGTCGATATATTCGTGTAAAGAAGTGATGGGCCGGAAATGACCTAAAGGCGCTAGGGCCCATCTGGCGAATTGGATCGCTGAGCGCGGCAGCGTCTTTCCAGTGCGGCCGGTTGTTATAGAATGCCGAGGAGTTGTGCTAACAGAGCGCTTCAGTATCAGCGGTTTGAAAGCTAGTGACTAAGCTCTAGCGAGCAGATTCGGTACAACATACCTCGTATAGGAAGAGACACAAACCCTCGGTCGTGCTGGGACTTTGGCCCTGGCGTTCACGGCCTCGCGGTAAGTGTATATAGCCATCGGCCGTCAACTTGAACTCCGCTTGCACGAATGTAGGTCTGACGTCTGCCCGCCTCGAGGGCGGCAGCCTCAGCCTGGTCTCTCCGTCATTGGGATCCTGCTGTTTCTGGATCTGTCCCAGCCGAGCATGTATGGCGACAAACCTCAACCTGTGAAGGCCGCCGACAGAGGCAACGCGCACGTGCGTGTCCCAGCTTTGCCCCGGCGGCTGGATCTCCTTCAACTCCAGCGTGGCTTTGGGTTGCGGACGCCTGCTCCTGGCGCTGCTTGGCCCGGCCTCGCCCTCGCTCAATGATGCCGCGCTCTCCGTCTTGATCTTCTTCTTGGAAATGTTCCTCGGGGGGTGCGAAGCGCAGCGCCCTTTGTCTTCTATCGTCCCCACGATAAACACAGTCTGCTGCTCGTAGCCCTCGCAGACGCGACCGTGGTCTGTGCATTTCTTGCAAAATGGCCGCGTATTGTCGCACTATAGTCCGGTCAGTGGATACTCAGCGGTTCACGTAAAGCATCGGGTAGTAGTATACAGAGGGCCCGTGTAGTCAATACTCAAAGGATTAGGAAGGCGCTTAGATGAACTCGTCCTGGGTAGGGAAGATGGGGAGCCAAAAAACCGTTACACTTACGGCAACCCGCCTGTTCCGACATGTATTGCAACCCTTGTATTTCCCCTTGACGCCAACCATGTTGTCTAGCAACAAATCGTCACTCTAATTACGTCTTCTAGTATAGATAGGGCTTGCGGTTGCTTGTTACCGTACCAACGGGTTTGATCAGCTCTGACCATGCGGTGACACTGTGTCGTGAGAGCTTCAGTCGGCTGATTGGGGTGTTTCCGAGGGGCCAGTCTCGCCATCAACATTTGCCACTCGGGTGGGCGTACGAAGTCCAATAAGAAGTCTGAGGCCCTCTGAGGATGGCGGTCCAGCGACCGAGCGTAGTAATAGGGGGCGAAGGGCTGTGGCATAGAGAGATTGTGTTCAGGAGGAAATAAGTGGGGGCGGTGTGAGCACTATATAGAAGCAGCCGGGGTGTGTCATCTCGCAGCCGTCCACTGACGTGCTGACATGCCGCTTCCAAGACCTGTGGTTTCCTGTTTCATGCTTAATCCTCCCCATTGGCAGATTATCACGAGATTGTGTGGCACTGGGTTATGTCCACTGAAGCCTAACAGCAACGAAGCCTGGGAGCCTACAAGTCCTTGAGGCTCGGCCTATTTATGGGACATAATGATTGACCGTAAGTTTGGAGGCATGAAAGGACACCATCCGGCCTCCCACCCAGGAGTCCGCATGGATGAATTAGCCTATTGCTCCCTATGCCGATACGCCAAAAAACCAACCGGACGTGCGTGCATATGCAGCCCTACGAGGCTGGCGGCCGATCCTACCGCACTATCATGCCATGCGTGGAGCGAATCGTGACTTCATTCTCCCACCCAGCTTACCACCATCCGCGTCTCTTGGACGAGTCGGACCCGATCCGGGAACGCAAGCCCGTTACAAAGCGAAGTTGCGTCCAGGCAGAGCAGCCACATGAACCCCATCTGCTGACCACTGGGGGAGGAGGACGGCCGCTCCTGTGCCCCCACTACGGCTTATTCACGACGCTCGCCGCCCAAGTCTCTCGGGGACGTCCTGCGGACGACTGCTGCATTGTCCTTCTGCACCAGGCGTGTAGACCAAGACGTGGACGCGTCCCCTCGTCCGGTCGGGGCCACCCCAGCTTCAGCCGCGCTGCACGAAAGCCCGCCTGTCACCCCCCTGTTTCTCGTCATGATATAAGATCTCAGGGGAGCGGTGTAATAGAGTGCCGGGGGTGGCTGTCGAGCCACTCCCATAGATGATGACGTCCCTCACTGGCCCGGGTCCCAAAGGACAGGCTCCCCTTCCCACCCACAGGCGCGCGAGCGGGTAAGAGAGGGAAAAAGCCGGGGTCCCGTCCGGCCAGGCCGATCGCGAGAATGCCACCCAAGACCCCTGGTGTGTCCGTCAGCAGAGAGGAGGGGGGACTTTGTACCAGACCGGCAAGTCCGCAGAATGATTCCATACATGCGGGCATGCATGCATGCAGGGCCCGTGCATACATGAGCGAGGGTCCGGTTAGCAGCAAGCAGGGTGGGAAGGGAACAGAAGAGAGAAAGACACGGGGATGGGACGAAACACCAGCCGGCGCCGCGCAAAGAGCAGCAGTCCCGCGAGTCGCTGCAGCGGGAGCGCCGTTGGGGCCAACTTAGCGACTCCACGTCTCTCGAGGCCACGGCATCGACGGGTTCGGACGATGGCAATTGGCGGGAGCCCTCGTAGGGCTGCAGGGATGCTTTGCACAGAGTTCCAACGCTCGTTCGTAAAACCGGCCCCACACGCCATCAGTCGAGCGTGTTGAAAGCGCGGGAACCAACAATACCAGAGCGTGATTCGACGAAAACGCTCAAAAAAGTGTCGAGCTGACCTCGGGCAGCCTTGGTCGGGTGTGTCGTATTGCAGCGAATGAGTGGCGTTCCACCCCCGGGTTGGGGGACCACAGGCAGGCCAGGTCACATAAGCCGACCGGGGTGGGACTACTACTATGCATGCATGTACTGTGGGCACCTTGGTGTTGGGAGAGCACCGTCATTTGGCGAACGAGATTTTCGGCTATCGCGAACTGTAACCCAGACTATGTGGAATGTCATGAGTAATTCTCCGCATTCCCTGATTACTAAACTTGAAATACTATTCTGGAGACGGATCTTGCAGGCTGTACAACCACACAAGAGCAAGAGCAAGAGCAAGAGCAAGAGCAGGAGCAAGAGCAAGATACCGACAACCGCTCGAGCTCTAATGAAGCCTTTCTACAAGCACACAGCGGGGTTGGTAACAATTCATTCTTGACGAGGTAGTATAAGCGGTCTATCAACTAGAAGTTCAGATGGGGAGGAGGGTCCTCAAGGAATTACCTGTCTCAATTGTCCAGACAGACAAGGAGCTGAGTTCTACCTAGGTACACAGTAATTCCACATAGATCTCTCAGCATACCAGAGGCGGAGCCAATAGCAGGACTCAAGTTAGTAATTCCAGCGCAGCCAGAAACCGCGAGCACGGGAGATGGGGTGAGACTGCAGGACTATATCGGGATTTCTGCATCTCGCATCTGGGCTCTCTCATCCACCGTCATCCGTCCCCCAACGGCGTCACCTCGTGGTAGCACCAGGACCTGCATGCTCACACGCATCACGCATACGCATCACGCAGCGAGCGGTATGAAACCTTCTCTGCGCCTTCTTCTCGATCGGCAAGACAACGAGGGGCTGGCTGGCTGACCAGGCATTGGATCCCGAGCCCGACGAGGAGGTAGGTGGAGGAGGAGGAGCGGGGTCCTTTTCCCAGGGGTCCATCTCATCATATCACAATAACATCACCCACGACGAGGCTCTGCTGAGAAAATTTTTGCCCTTTTTTATTTTGATTTCCAATCTCTGTGATCAAGGACGGGCGGACGGGCGAACGAAACCGGAAACCAGGTTCACACACGTCACGCCATCGTGAAGCCCGGTCGGGCGTTATGCCATGAGCCAACAGAAAGTGCCAGCAGGCCGGAGCCGGCCCAGTGTTGCCTGCCGGGTGCGCGCGAGAGGGAGAGGTTGGACTGGTTGGTTACGTTACATTTACACGACAGCAACAGGGCCAGGTGCCGACGGCGCATCGTCGTCCAAGGGGGAGGCGAGGCTGCGGTCACGAGAATGGACACACAGAAAAGTATCTGCCGGTGTCGTGTGCACACGAGATCGGGAATTGGGGGGGTTATAAACCTGCTCGTTCTATTGTTGTTTGTGACTATCAGGAAGATGTGTTTGACGCTGACCACCCTCCAACTGCGCCTGTCGCTCTATGGAAAGAAAAATAAAACAAGCCAGGGCCATTACCATTACTCAAGGAAAACAAGAAAATGTAAGAAATCCACACGCCACGGCTCCATCTATATGTATCGGCATCTCTTCGCAATGAGTAATGCTAACAAGGAAAAGGTGATCAAGCAAGCCACGATTCCTCCAAAGGGAGCCAGGCTCGTGTTGTTGTCAGATTGCCAGGGCACGGCCACGTTCATGCCAAAAAGACCGGTGACGACGTTCAGGGGAACAATGACCGATGCCAAGAAGGTGATCTTGGCCAGGCCCTCGTTGGTCTTGGTGCCCTGGGTGATGCTGTCGATGGTCAACTGGGCGAGGTAGTTGCTGTGTGCGCGCGAGAGAATCTTCTCAAAGTGCGTCAGGTTCGTCATCATGGTGACGACGTGATCCTGGATGTCGCCCAGATACATGCCAATGTCCATCCGCGGCGTGACCCTGTAGTTCTCGTTGCACCGCTTCGCGAAACCCTTCAACACGTCGGCCTTGCCGCCCAGGATGCGCATGAGGCCAAGTGTGTTCTTGCGCACCGCTCCGATCTTGCGCAGAAATGTATGCATGTCCTCGGCTCGGGCGATGAAGACCGAGTCTTCAATAGACTCTGTAATCAATTCGATCCTGTGGATGGCAGGAGCGAAGCCATCGACGATGTTGTCAATCAGGGCGTAACAGATCCAGTCGCTGCTCAGCGAGAGGTAGTCCTTCAGCATGGCAATTCTCCCACGTACATGCGACGCATGCTCGTTGGGTTGAAAGCTGAAGCTGAGGGTACCCTCGCGGAAGACAATGACATATATGTTGTATGGTTCGTAGTCGGGCCCATCCTCCTCCTGGACGACGGTGAACGAGCGGAAACAAGCAAAGTAGTACGACGGGAAGAGCTCGATCTTCTCTCGGGTCTCTTGGACCGTAACGTCCTCGATGGTCAGGGGGTGGACGCCAAAAGCCTTGCAGATAGTCCTAACTTCCTCCTCCGTCGGACAGTTTACGTTCAGCCACCACACACCGTCAGACTCGTCTTGCGGGAACGAGAATAGTCCGCGAACGGACTCGCCAGGCAGTACCAGGTCACCGAAGGAGGGAGCATGGATGGTGGATTCCCAGGTGGACGAGAAGAAGCTGAATCGGTTCGGGTCCACGTGTTGCTGGGTCGCTGGCGCCTCAGCGGCAGTAGAAGATCCAGAAACCTCGGCCTTCTCATCCACTGAACCCGCGGGAGGGTGGATGATGTCCCCGTCAAGGGTCACCATTGGCGAGGCGCTGGGGATGGTCGGGTCGGGCTGCAAGTTTGGGAAAACTCGTTGGGCGCCCTGGATACCCATCTCGCGCTCGGCGTTCTCTGCCGCAATAAAGTTCTCCAGGTAGTCATAATCGATGTACAACTGGTCACGGCGATGCTCTTCTGGCATGGGGAAGCAGACATCCTCCTCGGCAGACTTGTTGGTGGCCAAGCTGGCCGTATCGTTCTCTACCGTCCCAGGACGGCTGCGAGTAGATCGAAGAGTTCCCGCGCTGCGGCGACTGAGGGTGGAAATGGCCCTCTGCAGCTTGTCGCCCACATCGTCCCCCTGACCAGACGAGACAGAGTACAGCCGTTCACGGCGACGGGCCTCAGCAAATGCCTTGACAGAGTTGGGGGGAGAGATAGATCGGCGATCCATTGTCTCAACCGTCGGGCGGCGGCTCCGTGGCGCAAGGGGGGAGGCATCGCCCGCATCCTCGTCAATTACAGCCTCCTCGAAGTCGCGGACACGAATGTCAGATGGCGAAGGAAGGTCGAGGAGACGAGAACCGTAGAGAGTATCGACGGTGCCCCGACGCGGCCGGTCCAACCTGGCAACAGAGGAGGACTGGTGGCGGTGGTCGTCCAACTCAGGGACGGGGGTGTCATAGCCGCCCCTGACAGAGACTTCCTCGTGGTCAGACATTGTGACGGTGGTTTCACACACACACAGTTCGTCCTTGGCTTCGTCGCCTATTTGGCGTGCTGGGAGCTTGTGGCTGCCAGGGTTGATTCGACCCAAGAAAGGTGTCTATGGTTATATCGAAGAAAAAATCGGATGCTTTCAATCTGTCGATTGTGATCTTGTGAATGTGTGTCGTGATGTAGAACCAGACCAAGTTGGAAACCGGAGATATATCCTAGAAAAAGCCTTCCGCTCTTAAGTCAAGGGAAGGCGCACATGCTGGATGGCGAACTCAAGGGGAGCGCATCCGTCGAGCTGCAGCAGGCGTAGGCAGCACGCCGACTGCTGGATGAAGGTTGAGTCGTGACCTCAAGCCCAGGCGTGAGGGCGAAGCGCAAGGATCAAAGATCAAAGGCAGGCGAAGGCCTTGTGGTTGCGGGGTTGTACGTGGTGGATCGTGATGGATTCAAAATGGCTAGGGTTGTCCGAGGCCCAATTAGGGGGGCTTTGTATCGAGGCCGCTGTATACCCAGCAGAGCGGGGCACGCAACGGTCGGAAGGAGGGGAACGTGATGCTATCGAGGACCGCCAATTTGGTGACTTGTATGTATCTGCGGTGTCGACCGCTGGGTTAGGGCTCTGAAGAGCGGGAGCGTGTGCTGAAGCTGGAGCTGGAGCTGGGGTAAATGGCGCAGAGGGAGACCTCAAGCGTTGCGATTGAGTGCAAGATATCGGGTCGGTGGTCGAGAGCAAAAGAGCGGGAAAATAGCTCTGGGTCTGCGTGGATGGCGGATTCGGGGCCTGAGTTGCACAAGCGATGTGGAACGGTGAGGATGAGAAGAGGAGTTGTGCGACCAAGGATCCAGATGACGTTGAGCGAGGCGGGAGGATGTTGTCGTCTTAGATGATGGGTTTTTTATCCTCTTGTCCAAATTTGGCACTGCGAAAAGGGACCGGGCCTATCGGGGCCTAGAACGGAGAGACCTGTAGTTGAGGGGCGTGCGAGCCTGAGCCTGGGCAGAGTCACGCAGGAGCAACGCGCATCGGTTGGACGTTGGAGAGGGAATTCCGACTTGATCGAGAGACAGCCGGTCGGGTTTTGTTCTGGGCAATGGTTCGGGTGGTGGTATTGTTGTTGTTATTGTGATGAAGGGAGGAAAAGAGTCCAGGTCCGGGCGCTGGGTTCCAGTGGGTCAAGGTGGAAAAAAAAAAGTTGCAACGCTCGACGAGTGGGCGAACAGCCTTACCACCGCGGCGGCTTGGGGGGCGCCATCCTTGCAGGGAGCGAGATCCCTTGTCCGTAGCCGCAAGCCCCAGCTGCAAGCATCCCAAGATCCCTGGATCCGCCACGAACTTGCCGGATTTTCGGGAATAGGCGCCCTGCCATTGGCTGCTTCGCACCTGGGAGCTTCTAGTGCCCCTACGGGCCCAGGGCCACATGGTCTCTCCAGCACGGCTCATTTGCCTCGAGCCATGAGCCATGAGCCATGAGCGAGCGTCGGTCAATCCTGAGGAGTCTATTGAATTCAGCACCCAACTAGGCGAGAGGGAGCGCAGTTGCTGTTTCCCTCCTATGCATGCTGGCTGCCGTCTCGAGGTTCTCCTTTCAAATGGACATCAGATATTGGGACAATGCCATGAAACATTCTGCCCAGGAGTTGGCAGGTCGCCCTTCCATGCCATGATACCGTAAGAGATCTCGCGTCATCTGCCGATCTGTCATCTGTCTGTCTGACTCAAGTCTGATGTAACTTTCTGGCAAGCCGGAGTAGTTGTATTGAAGAAAAGTCCCGGACTATTGAGCTCGGAGGCACTGGGAGTCATTGCCTGTCAGTTGTCGGTGTATGGACAGGGCATAGTACTGTAACAAATGGGCGTGTCTACGGGTATGTGTGCGCAAGTGTTCCTGTTCCTCTCCCCGACGATCGGGTCTGGTTGCCAAGCTGGGTCCATCGGTAAGCGTCCGCTTACTTAGTCCGACCTTCCGCCCTGCGGTTGTGCGGAGGAGGTGGATCGCCAGCCAGCCAAGCTCGGGCTACGATTCCCAGGCCCCACCACTAACAAAAAGCCGTCCGGCGGAAGTGGAACAACGCTTTCCCAGGTCCCTGCGCCAAAGCTGTGGCGCCCGACGTACCGGGAGCTGCCACTGCCTGCCCAGGTGAGGCTGAATGTACCACGTAGCCGGATAAGCAGTACGCTGGTACCTGCGACTTGTGGACACCATAGCTGCAAGTTGCTCCCCCAGGCGAGACGAGACAAGACAAGACATACGGAGTACATCAACCGACCTGGTTCCAGCACGACACAGAGAGGAGGAAGCAAAAGCGAAACCACACGAGACAGCCCGCCGGCCGAGGAGACGAGAACCACCCTCAATCTATTCCCCATTCTACGCAACGCAGCACAGCACAAGCAGCCATGGCCGAGCAACTCCTGGATCAGGCCCGGGACCTGGTCGACGGCCAGATCGTAAGCTACACGCCCCGAACCCGAACTTGGAACCGTCCCGCTGACGAATTGCTCTCCTACGTAGGACTTTGAGGGACAGAAGCTGGCCGAGATCCTGACCACGGTGTTGCTTTCTGTCGTCGGCGTACGTATACGTTACCCTAGTTTATTTGACGGGGCTCGCACGTCCTGTTGCTGTCCCCGTCTACGCTGAAGACAAGAGGACAGAAAAGCTGACAAAGTGTCTCCCCCCAACAGGCCATCGCGTTCTTCGTCGGCTTCTTCCTGCAGGACATTGCGCTCGCGCTCAAGGTCGGCCTCGCCGGCACGGCCCTCACCTTCCTCGTCATCGTGCCGCCGTGGCCCTTCTTCAACCGACACCCCGTCAAGTGGCTGCCGGTGGGCGGAGGCAGGACGGCGGGCGGCGCCGCGGCGGCGCACCAGAATGTGGTGATTGACGACAAGATGTTTGCACAGAACTAGGGGCCTGGGGCTGGCCGGGTCATCTAGGCAGCGAAGCAAGAATGAATGAAATAGCATGGGCATGAAATTGGTCTACGAACCGGGCTTCGTTCTGATCGGTGTTTCCATTTTGCAGTGGATGCAGTGAATGCATTGCAGAGAATGTGAAACCAGCTCTATACGACCATGGCTGCGCTACATGTGCCTCTCTCGCTGTAGAGAGTGCTCTGTCCCTCCTGTCCGATTCTAAGTGCAGCCCAAGATGCAGGACGGCGGGTAACCAACCCCCCTCTTCGCGATAGTTGTGAACAGGCTGCCTGAGCCGCGAAGACTGTAGTGTTCATTGTATGCCGCACATAACCCTCCGTGTCATCTCTTATCGACCATACTTCTGGAATTCCCAATCTCTGTTGTCCAGCGGGCACACCTGTCTTGCCTTCAACCATCGGGAGATGCAGTGAAAGTGGAAAGCATGCTGTAGTCGCGGAGCCAGGTGTCAGCCAATCTTGCATCCGCCGAGCTATACAATACGTGAAAGAAAGGGCAGAAGGGGGCAATCTTACATTGCAGATACCCCAAGCGACAGTGCACTCCTCGCTGGTGGCCGAGGCCTGGTTGGCTTGGCACTCGATGCAGAGGTCCATGATGTGGTTTCGGCAGATGGCGCAGTTGTCGACGACAATGTCCCAAGCCCACAGGGCCACGGCATTCCACTGTATCGGGGGAAAAGTAAAATGGTCAGCACAGGCGCCTGGGCTTCATTCATCGCCCGTGGCCGAGCTGCTGCGGGCAATACGGGCAAGGCAGCCGGGATAACCCACCTTCTTGACCTCGAAGCGCTTCTTCTCGCCCTTGGCATCGGCGTCGCCGCCCTTGGCGACCTTCTTCTTCTCGACGGCACCAGCACCGGCGGTGGGGGCGTCGGTCATGTCAACGTCGGCCATGTTCGGGGCGGTCGGGTGGTTTGGTTGGGTCTCGTCTACGGAGAGCGGCCGGTGGGTGGGGGGGTTGAGAGGGAGGAATATCGGAACCGGAGAAGACGGAGCGCCGGTGGGATGAGCCGCTGATGTGGTTGGTATCGCGTGACGGGTGCCCAAGTTGCCGATCAGACTGCGAGCTGAGCTTTGCGCCGGGCCGGTGATGTCAGTGGTGACCTCGACTGGGTGGATCTTTGCGCCGGAGGATGGACGTCGTCGGTTGGAGAGGGGGACCGTTTGGGTGGACAAGGCAGACAGACGGACTGGACGGGGCGGCCGAACAAGATGGCCAACGATAATAAAAAAAAGTGGACAATGTGCAAATGGGAGAACAACACCAAACGCCGCGGGCAGGATGGGAATTCCGAGTGTCTTTATTTCTTGGAGCAGTGTCGCCGGCTCGACGCTTGCAGACCTGTTTTTGTGTGTTTGTTGCCTTCAAGGTTCTTGAATCACATCCTACGCTCGGAGCATGGCGGATGGCGGATGGTGGCACGCAGCAGCCTGAGGTCGGTCTTCCCACCTTACCTCAGGCACCTGGCAATCGATAAACCATGGCGGTGCTGGAGGGTGGAGGGTGGAGGGGCGAGCACTGAGAGCTTGGGTGGCCTGGGTGGTTACCTAGGTACCTAGGGGTTAGCGCCCGAGAGTGAGTGCAAGCTGGGCCTGCTGGGCTGGCTGGCTGGCTGGCTGGCTGGCAAGGCATTTGCCCCTCCTTCTGGTGGCGGTGGATCCGCTAACGTGCTTACAGTCACGCCTGAACTCGATGACAGGGCCGCATAGGGATGGAAGTGCATAGAGAGAGGTCCAAGTCAGGTTTGTGTCTACACTCACCGCCATCCACATGCTTGCCGTCCTGGCTGCTTGCCGAGCTTACGGGATCTTGATAACATTATTCCCTTGAGACCACACGGTTCAGCGATGGATGCCGACGGCAACGTGGCCGGGTCAACTACTTCTTGCGTACACTATGGCCGCTTCTTGTGCTGCGTGCCTTGTGCTGTCAGCGCCCCGTGCCCGCCGGAGAAAATCGTCATCTTTCATCCCAAGATCCAGAAACTCAGCCCCCAAAGGCTCACCTGCACAGACAAACCCTGGCAGGCATTTGGCAGGTTGACGGACGCTTGACAAGCTTGACACTTTTTTGATTACATACGGAACTCGTAGTCTTGGTAGCTCGTAGCCCTTCATGCCTGTCTCCTTGAACAAAGTGGCCGGCAGACAAGATGCAGCCAGACATTCATTGGCCGCGAAACCTATAATCCCCCATTCATGTGCCAGCCCCTGCCCCTGGCCTTTCAGCCCTCAGCCCTTTCTCAGCCCGACATGCCATCCCATAGGCCCATTCAAATCGGAAGACTCGAGCTTCTTATTCTTCTGCTTCTTCATGTCAGGCTCTCCTCGTGAGGCGACAACAGGGGCCCCATAATTCCTGGCCGATCCTCTGTTCTGATTCGGCCCTGTCCGCGCCACCCCTGCCGCCCTCCGCTGGCCGGCCTTGCCCGCTTAGTGCCTGGTGCTTGGTTTTGGGCCTTGGGCCTTGGGTCTTGGGTCTTGGGTCTGACTGCGCGCAATCCCATCGATCCCATTTGCCATCCTCCTCCTCCTCCTTTGCCCTCTTCTGCCCTGCTTCTTTCCCCCCCATCGTCACAGCCTGCCCTTCTCCCTCCCCCCGACCCCCAAGGCAGGTTCTCTTTCTTCCCTGACCATCACCACCACAACCCGCGACAACAAATATGACACACGCACTTTCACAACCGCCAAACCCCACATCGCCATCTCGACTTTTCACTACTGCTTCGACACCCAGACCCGCTACCCAGCGACCGCCGACCTAGTCCGCCCAAGCCCAATCCCAATCCAGATATCGCAACCCACTGTATCTGCGACGCCAACTCGGCTTCCCCAACCGCTTCCAGTCGTGTCTCCTCGCCTCTGTGCGCCGCCATCATCTCCCCGCATTGACGATCGCCCCCTGGGTCTGCGTTTCCCGTCGCACCGCCCGTCTGGTCTGGCTCAACGACGGCCTCGGCTCCATTTTCCTGGCCTTCTTCCACTTCTTCACATCGCAGCGTACATGCTGCCACAGATCCGACGACATGAATCAATCACCTCATCCCAAGGGCAGCGGCCGCCGACGCAACGGCCGCAACGGCACCCCTCACAAGACGTATGCTTCCGAGAATGACGCTGCCAGTTACCGTCACCATCAGCAGCAGCACCTCTCCGACAGCCCCTTCACCCCGCAGAAGGGCGCATCCAACGGCAACCCGCCGAATCAGCCGCACCCTCAGTCCACCGCCCAGAAGCAGCGCCCGCGGAACTCGTCGTCCAAGAAACCCCGCAACAAGCAGGACCGTCACAGTCCTTCCGAGCACCCGCCAGCTCCGCTGGCATTCGCCGGCGCCTCCTTCCACGCCTCGCCCGCCCCCGGCTCTCTGCCCATGCCAAGCTTCCTCGCCAGGGCCACTTCGGCTCCCGACTCTCCCAGCCTGAAGTCTCCTCACGGCCCAAGCCAAGAGCCCTCCCCGCCAACTACTGATTCTGAGGAGAATGGCTCCCCCACGCCGCCTCTGGGTCCCGAGCCCAGCCGCGCCTTTGAATCCCCCTTGGAGTTCTTCTTCAAGGCTGATCGTGCCGAGAAGGCGCGAACACGACGGGCAAGCTCGGCCAACATTGCTGCCGTCGCGCCAGGGCCCTTTTCCCCTCCCCACGATTCGCATTCCCCTCGGGAATGCCGCACCTTGCCCAAGGCGAATGGATTCTCTCAGCAGCCCGCGCGCCCCGCGGTGCAACGAAATCCATCCTCAGGCATCCCCTCGAGTGAACTTGATGGAACTCCGGGCAGGCCCGTTGGTCATGCCTTTTCCACCCCCTACTCCGAACGTATCAAGGCCGCTCGTTCCAAGAATGGCTCCGCCCTGGCCACACCCTCGGCACCGCAGAACGACGATACTGACCGAAGTGAGGCTCTGAAGCGTTTTCTCGGCGTTGGCGCTGCTTCGCCCCAGCAGATCCAGCAGCCGCGTGGGCAGCAGCACCATGCTTTCAGCCCCGGCTACCCGCAGGCTAAGACGCCTCGCGGCGTATTCCCTGCCTCTGTTCTGAACGGCTCGTCGAGCCCTCAGCATGCCGGAGCTGCTCACTCTGCCCCGGTCGCGGCCATGGGCAGCCCGGGTCATTACGGCCAGGTTCATGTTATGCAGAGCGCCCAAGCCCAATTTGATCCAGAAGCCGATAATGTCCGTAAGATGGAGGATAGCTTGCGGAGGGTTTTGAAGTTGGGCCCGGCTTAGATGTTCATCTACGTTGAGACTCATTTCATATTTCATTTTGTCACATTGGAGTCTGGCATGGCGTAACGGGCGTTTCGGTTTTCATCCAGTAAAGCTGGCCTCTGGCACCCTGTGGGATTTGTTTGCCAAAGCCAGGCTCGGCCTAGGGGTCTCTGTCTGGTTATGGTCTACCGGTCATAGTCTACTAGGACTAAGGCCCCCACCCTTTTTTGCACCTTATAGAGGAAAGAGTCGGTCGCGGTACGGCATTCATGACCTGTCGACGGTTTTCACTTTGGAACATCTACGCTCCTCCAGCATGGGATATCTTCAGACGTACTCTCGACGAGTTTTCCACTACGATTCAATAATGTGTTACAGCATACATTCGGCCTCACCGTCCATGTTTTTGGCGGTATAGGATCCCTACGACTGTTTTCGGACATGGTTCAGGGCACCGGCGTTTTCCTTCCGGATACCCCCCTGTTGCAGGTTTCGAGACTGCAATTCTCAAGTTTCTGGTTGATCAGGCATGGTTAGATTCGGCATTCGGACCTGGATTTTTTGAGGGCTACAAGGCAATGTAGCAGTGCATCGGAACGGTGTTTATAGGCGACATTGAAAGGCCTGGTAAAGGGGCGTACTCAACACCATGGAGTACTGTGGCTCGTTCTCACCACGAGATTACAACTCTCGGATGTGGAGTGTTTGTCATTTTGGTTTGGCATACAGCAGCCCGATGATGCCAGCCAGCAATGGAGGCGGGTCGACCGGGGAAGGATCTTATTTGTCGTGGCAGCATCTACACGGAGGTGCCCGGCACAGATCAGATCGGATCATTCGACGTCGACGGAACGGACGACGCAAGAGAGAAAAACACAAAAAACCTGGTGAAATTTTTTCTGGTGATATATCAGTGCATTCTGGTCCGACACTCGCGCATCATACCTTTTATTATCAGAGTCTAGACCGTGTGCCATCAATACAGTGGACTGGCCCTTCTTCAGGGGGCTGGTCTCATATATCATCAATTCGCTGGTTCTTCGCTGAAATGAGATGAGTTAGAGATGAAGTGAGTGACGTGTGACGTGGGTTGTATGCTTCAGATTCTTCCCGGGCGGTTGACGTGTACAGTATCGATATTTCGACCTTAAAGGCAACTTTGCTACCGCACCCTGACATAGAGGGTCGTTGACAGATGCATGCGGGAAACCAACCTCAGTCTGCTTCAGGCACTTGAGTGACGCGGCCATCGACGACGCTTCGGCGATATTCTTAATATTGCCAATACTAAAGGAGGCAGTGCTGCTCCGGCTCCTGCTAGTCGGATACACCACTGAGAAAAGAGACACGCCACAAATTGCATGGTAATCGTAGTGTATAGACTGCCAGAAACAGCATTGCTGTTAACTCATTGGGCGGCGGAATTCAACCACGTGCTGAATGGTCACCACATCTCGGTATGATGGGCGTGCAACGATCAAGTCGAGTGAGTCTTGACGAGGCAGAGGCAAGCACGAGCTACAGCATCGTTCGATTGTGGCGAAAAAAGAACGGACGCCTTGGGTGCCTCATAAGTATACGCGCCATGGAGGACCCAATCGAGACCAAGAGGCGAGGTCTTGCAGCTGCAGCTTAGAGAATCCGGGTTCCTGGGCCCATGCGAGGCAGACGTACTAGAAAACTGGACACAGCCAAATCTGGTTGCATCTTGCGATGCGGCGTACGGCTGATTTCGCTGTGTCCGGTTTTCTAATACGGTCTGTCTGTCTGGATGCTCAGACACTGACACTCCCAGCCTCGTCTATAGTTCCCTCACTCCTCGTGGGGGGGTCTCACTCCAGCGCGGGCTCTTCCAACCTGCCGGGAAATCTCAGGACGAGAAAAAGAAAAACTGCCCTCCGACGGTTACGCACTCCAAGCACTGCCCAGGCAGCCGGAGGCGCTAGGCTTTGGGGGCTGGCGAGCCCACTGAGACCTGTGGGCGAGACAAGAAGCTCGGTTCCCCAGAAGGCGCGGAATAAAAGGCGAAAGGTGAGACACACGCACGATATATGCGAAGATCGGGCACTGTCTGCTTCCAGTCGCAGTAGCCAACTCCGACAATAAACGCCGTGCAGGCCCGACTAATGCAGGTACCGCACACTCCCCCTCTCCCTCCCCATCCCGTGTCTCGCCGGCCGCCAAGTCCATCGTGTGTCAATGTGGCTTGCTTTGGGTACAGGAGATCTGAGCACACAGATTTGGAACTAGCTTTACCGGCTTTTTAGGCCGGGTGGGAAAAGACAGATGGACAAATAGCGTGATAGACGGATGGGTAGACATGATGCAGGGACCTCGGCCGAGCTATTTCTTTTCGAGACACCTTGTCGGGGACCGAGACTTGTAGGGCGAGGCGAGGCGCCGGCTTCATTGATCGATTCGCCTATAGTCCTATACCATATATCTTGATTATGTGATCATGTGATACACGTGAGTCATGGGAGAGAACCAATAGGCTGGGTTTCAAGAGGGCCGGAGAAGGGGCTGCCCTGTGTCGTTGACAGTCGCCTTTGTCTGTTTGCCCGCGGCAGGCAGACAGGAAGACAATCCAGGTAGGGCTATGCCAAGCTTGGACGCATCGTTATCTCATGTATGTCATGTCCAGAGACCCTTTATCATGCGGACTACTGCAGGTCGGGAGGATCTGAGACATTCGACTCGAGACTTGCGCAGAGGGCCCCCCGACATGGTGCCGACTGGGCAATGCAGCGGAAACAGCCATCGTGCATGAGGCAGTCCCACGAGCAGAATGCCGTTCTCGGCGGCTGGGTGTCTGACTTGGAATGAGTGGCTAATCCACTCGATTTGGGGGGACTTGGTACTTTGGAATGGCTGGCAGCCTGTGGTGTGACATTCAGCTTGTGCAGAGGAAGTGTTGATGCTGTGGTACTCACTTCTCTGATAGCTCTAGAGAAGGACGGACATTCGGGTTCGACAATTTTGCCAAACCCCTTATTTCTCCTTAGCGGACTGTGGAAGATATGGTGCCAATGGGACGCAACATTGTTAAAGCAAACAAACATATATTTTCGTCATGTCTGGCACTGCCTCGTATACTCCGCCTAATAATGTATGAGGTCGATCCTCGATGGAAAGCACTAATCAAGAGACACTAAGCTTACGGGGGGGTTTTCACCTTTTTTTTTTTTTCCCCCTTCTGTGGATTGGTCTATGGATGGATGGTCTTTTCATATGGACACTGTCCGGTTTCATGTGCCACGACTTGGTACCATGACCACGTTACACCTTTGTGTAAGCTGAGGTCTTCGTAAGAAAGTATCAACTTATATCTCTACTTCAGAAGGCTACAGGCACCAATCTTCGACTGTGTGGCTCAGCATCTCAAAGTGCAAGCACAGTGTCCAAGAAATACGCGGGTGTCCAACTGCCGCACTACGCATTACCTTCGAACCATGAATACATGATGTTGCCTGGCGCGTTGCGAAGGGACGTAATCTGATAGAACCGGGCGATGGGCCTTAGTGGAGCTTGATATACTTTGCAAGAACTTTTACACGGTACAGTTTCGCCTCGTTTCCAAGATGTGTAGATCGCTAGGTCACTATAATAAAAGTTCAATGCACTGGGGATCTTCTGTGAAGAACGCTGATTTTATCATTTCGCGGGTGCTTCTATAGCGAGTTTCCTGCATATAGCTTTGACCTCCCTGCTTTCCTCGGATTCAACGGCGAACTTTGTTAAGTCGGAGCACCCACATATGGGCCCCCCCTACATTTGGGCCCCCGGTAATTAATAGGTCTCAAAACTCAACACCACAACTCAACAATTATTATTAAATTAATTGACCTCTACCACGATACAGGAT